AATTTATTCTATTACTTCTATTCTTTCTATATAAACTAAAATAAAAACATTTTTTTTTCTAAGTAAAACTTAGTTTTATCTTAGTAGTTAGATATATAGACTACCTAGCGCTCTATGCGCGTTTCGCCGGGTTGCTCCGGCCGGGACCGCTCCGCGGCGCTCTCCCACACATGCACCGCACTCGCCGCGACAATTGCGAGCCAATCGGAGCCGAAACTCGCAACTGTTACGGAAAACGATCCGGAGCACTCGTACGGGCGGGTCAGCTCCGCGGCGGCCTTGTAAGTACAATGTTGACCTTGCCGCGACAGTTGCAGGCAAGCTAGATATCACTCCGATTTGTGTCGTACGACTCATTCTTCGCGGCTCTACTACTGCACGCGAATTGACGAGCGCGCTCCGTGCTCTTACTCCTTTGTACAGGTTAGGCTTTCCCGCTCTTCTGCTCCGCGTCTTTTCTAAGTTCGCTTTACGGCCAGTTTGTAGTACCTCGCTCGGGACCTCTATCTCTTCGCTCGTGCCGTATCGATTACCCTTCGCAAAGTCGCAATGGAGGAGATGCGGTAGTTATGCAGATTGCGACGAGGTACGGCAGAGAGGACGTGTATACGGCGAGGAGAGCACGCGGCTAGCGGGGTACGCAGATTGCGATGGAGGTGGGGCGGTGAAGAGAGGGAGGTATGGTGAAGGGCAGGCAAATTGCGACGAGCGGTGCAGCGGAGGCGGCACTGCGAAGAGGAGGCAGATCGCGACGAGAGGTGCAGCGGAGGCGGCACTGCGAAGAGGGGGCAGATTGCGACAAACGGCAGAAGAGCGTGGTAACGTGTCGTAGCGGACGAGGAGCTGCAGCGGTGCTCGTTCGTGATAAATGGAGGCTTCGTTGACAAAGAGGTGAGCGCGGCGGCGATGGTGTGAAGAGAAAGTGGGAGAGGCATGAAATTCAGGCGGAGCTGTCCGGCGGCAGAATGGCGGCGATGCCGATCCGGATTCTCACCGCCCGATCGCGAGAAGCGGCAATGCGCGGTGGCCGGCGACAACATGAGACCGCCAAAGCGCGGATTAAAGCTGACCTGGATTGAAGGGCATTGGAGCGGAGTCTAACGGATCGCAGAGGAGCGTGGGCAATGGTGGAAAGTCATGGACGTTGGCGTTGATCATTGGAGAGCGAGCGAGATCTGGAACAGGCTTGACAGTTCGAACGATCCGATGCTACCAGCCTTGCGCGGCGCAAATTGTCAATGTTGTCAGTCTGCTCCCGTTCAGCACTCCTCCCTGCTCACTCTCCCGCTCATCAATGGCCGTCTCGTTGCACGAGTCCACGCCACAGGCCAGCGTTCCGGTTCATGACCACTACGCATCGTCCGTCGCTCTTCCATGGCTTCGTCTTTGCACCACAGCTGGTAAGGCCGCGCCATCGTACGGATCAATATTTCAGTAGGCGGCGAGGGCGCGGAGTAGCATGGTTTCCCTTCACTTCAATGAACGGCCGATTCTGATGATGGAGCGGAGCAGGACGAGGAGGAGAACGACAGGAGGGAACCCGGCATGAACTCTGCGAGACCGGATGCGTTGGCAGCATCAATTCACAAGTCTTGCATCAGTCCCGTCGCTTCATGACTTCCGCACGACATCTTCAGCTACAATGCCCATTCGTGGTGGAGAAGTCGCAGGCGCGCTGTGTTGACTCACGCCGAAACGAGATTGAACGTCGGCAACGAAACGCGTGATCTCATCTCTCCAGCTTCTTGATTGTCGCAGTTGATGCAGGGATCGTAAGGTGAGAGCGAGCGAAGGGTCGGTCAAGAATTGATTGAAAACCGGGAAGCGTTTGTTCTCCAGCGGCGTGGCATCGTTAGTGATGGAAGGAATACGAGGTGATGGTTGCGGGAGTACCGCGGCGAGTCGAGGGAAAAGGCGATGCTGTAGCGGCGCGCGGTCGTCGACCGTGAAAGAGTCGTGGTGGCAGTGGCCGTAGAGGTGCCGGAACGAAGGAAGGATACATAACCGTAGATGGTAAGGTGACGATGGTGAGTAGCAGACAGATATTCTTTTCATATTCTATCAATAGTCGTGAGATGGACGTACGGTCATGGTCAGAAGCCTGCAGACGCACAAAGTCACCTCCGTTGTTCGATGCGCATGACCTCAACGATGGGAGCCTCCGAGATGGCGCACGATCAAGACAGCTCATAAGTCAATCGCAGATTACGCAACGGACAACCTCAATCTACTATCCTCCGCCGATTACTCCACCTCATTCACGCTGAGCTCGATACGCCCCATAGCTTTCTTCCCTACGACAGACGGTCCAGTCTTCTTCACTCGATCACCCACTATCTCCGATGCAGCATCAACGAAGGCGAGGATGCGAAGTCGTCGCTGGAAAGCGTTCTCCAAATCGACCCGCTTCTGTGCGTCTGCGCTGTTGTGACCGGTGATGAGAATGATCATGAAGAACGACTCGATGATGCTAGGCGGGATGTTGCACCTACATGCCAAAGAAGTCAGCGGTTAATATCGCACCCGAGATATGCAAACTCACAGCAACTGCCCCGTCTCGCTCCACCGCATCACACTCGACCCAATCAAGAGTCCAAAGATGAGCAGTACGCCAGCGATGACCGTCAACTCATGCGCACAGAACCGATTCATGCGCTGCGAGATGCGGAAGCTGATACTCTGCTTGCCGGCGCGTGCGACAACTCGAGTCGACGGCAACCCGAGCCTCTCACACAGCGCCTCGTCCGCAGCCTCCAGCGCCTCGTACTGCGGCGCTTCGTGGTCTTGCAGTCGCGCCTGGACGTTGCGCAGCACGAACCCGTCATTCAGCCCGATGAGCCCGGCGTACGTGCCGATGAACAGCCACCAGTTGGAGTCAAAGTGCAGCGCTGGGCCAATGGCGATCCACACAACGAGCACCGCGATCAAGATGGCGATGCCGACGAGCGTGCCGACGACATCGGCGTAGTAGTTGATGGCGCGCTGGATCGGGCTGACTTTGGGCCCGGGGATGATGAATTCTTCATTCTCGAGGTTGTCATCTGTCAGGCGGCGGAGGTGTAGCTCCAGCAGGCCATCGACTTTGTAGAGGGCATCGACGCAGGAGCGCACGTAGTCGGCGTGCCGCTCGCGGAGGATGGCGAGGAAGGAGAAGATGAAGACCATGAGGGCGGAAGTGGCGCTGTTGATGTAGAGTTGCCATTCATCTGGGGTGAATGTTAGGGCATCTGAACCCACTGCATTGTAGATCTGACTTACTGCTCCAGCCATTCGACGGGCCGAATGCGATCCAGATTATGATGGTGGCCCAGTACACAGCCGTAAAGGCGATATGGCCCAGCGCCATGGCCATCCACCCAATCACCTTGGTAAACGCATTCTCGACGGGAAGGCGAAGATCGATCTCGACAGCGTTGTGCGCAACAGCTCTTACCATGCCAATATCATCATCGTCAAGCGATAACAATACACCCGCCAACATTCGACCGTTCGTCTCCGACCGCGATCTCAACTCTGCGGCGACGGTCAAGGACTCAGTGAACCCATTCATCTGCTGCCGCATGAGGAAGGAGTCGAAGATGTAGCTGAAGATTGCCTGCGCGTCGGAGATGAAGATGGGCCAGAGTTGATGACCATGGAATGGAATACCGAGGAACGCCCAAGCTACGAGAACGGCTTGAATGACGATAAAGGCGGTTGTGGAACCCGATGCATGGACCACGGCATCGAGAGCGCGGTCGAGCGCGGCGGCCCTTTTCTTGGGGACGTAGCCGGGCGTGTAGTCCAGCTCATTCGTTGCGACGAGTTCTTTCGCGGATCCGTTCGAGCTGGGCGTTTCGGGTGCAGGCTTAGGGATATTGGACGGCGCGGTCCCGCGGACTGCACGCATCGCTCCCGGGCTGGAGAGCGCTTGGATGATCTTGCTCATTTTGGCGGCCTTCCATCTATGTTGACCGTTTGTTGTCGCGGTTTGCGTTTATCAGCTGGAGTCATGTCAGCTTCGGCGTGATCCAAGAGCAGCCTTCGGGTTATGCGCACATTGTTCAAAATCTATCTCTCTTGCTTACAATAAGGCTCTAACCCATGGTACGTGGATTGAATCCAGAAGCAGGTTAGCTGTCCCTATGGTGGTAGACGAGCCGGCTTGGACTTTGCAAAGCCCTGAAGAACTACTGAGCGCGAGGAATTGTTCATCGATGTAGAGTATGAATCTTTGACTGAAGGTTGTTGTAGGAAGAAGCGGTGAAAAAGAGAAAACAAAACGATGCCAGCGAGCAAGGCTCGGCCGAGGAGTCTTAATTTGAAGTTTACCGCTTGCGCCTCAGCCTGAAAATGCCTCACTGAGCGCAAAAGTCTAAAAAACTTTGCTCGTGTCCAGGCCTGGCTCTCGTATCGGACACCTTCGGGATCAAAGGATGATTATTATTCCTGCGTGCACTGCGCGAACATCGATCTGAGCTCGGCACCCGACGCATCGTAACTTTCCGCTTCGTCTGCTGCGCGAAATAACATGTGAGTCACTGATGCAATCAGTTGAACGTGATGTGCTGCCTCTTGCGGCTGTACAGCCTGTCTTCACTGCCTTACCAACACGCCACTGAGTGAGCCCAGAAGTCTCGCTACTGCATGCACGATGACCTTTGACTGGTCAGTCTCTGCCTCTGAAAAGTCTTTCATTGCCGCTCTCTGATCAAGTCTGGGCTTGACCGAGGGGTTTCATCGACAGCCATGCCTGAGAGTGAGTACATGCCTTGCTGTCCCAGCCGCGACGGCTTGTGAGCGCGCTGTAGTCTGTAACTTCAGTCTCATACACCATTCTTGGTCTTTTCGTCCCGCGGGGTCGTTGGCGCCCATCGACAGGCCGCTGGAGGATACGGCGTTATCATCGGATGCCGTCACTTGGTACAGTCAGGTGTGCAATGAAACACAGCTACACGAGGCCCGGCCCGGGGCTGAAAGCCCGAGGCTGACCACTCCGTAGGCTGACATGAACTATGTTCATATCCGTCAGCAACAAGACGCTCACGCTCAGCTTCCTCCTCCACGCCAAAAACCATGGCAAACGCACTTGTGCTCTTCGACGTGAAATCCGAGAACAATGTCGGGTGCTACTCGCCGCACGTATGGAAGGGTAGATTCACGCTTACTACCCAACCTCAGCGGACCAGCTGACAATCGAGTTCAGCACGGTCATCCTTGAACTTCAAAGGCATCCCCTACCGCGTGGAATGGGTAGAGTTCCCAGATATTGCGCCTCGATGGAAGGCCATGGGCATTGCTCCGAATCCCCCGCCCGAGATATTCGAATATACCTGCCCGACCGTTCAGATGCCCGATGGATCATACGTGATGGAGTCTCGTCGCATTACAGCCGCTCTGGAAGCACTGCAGCCTCTACCGTCGCTCCATCTCGACAACGGATACGCTGAACGTGCTCAAAGCGCCGTCGACATTTTACTCTACCACGTCAGCGTCGGCGTGATGCCCTTCATCCCCGATCTTCTCACCCCCAGAAGCAGAGCATGGTATCATGAAGAGAGAAAAAAGGTCACGGGAGGGATATCCATCACGGAGTTTGCGAACAAGTTCGATTGGGAGAAAGCGAGACCGGGTTTGATTCAGGTCAAGGAACTGCTGAATGAGAACGACGGGCCGTACATCCTGGGCAAAGAGCCAAGCTTCGCCGACTTCGTCATTGTGTCATTCTGGCAGCTCTTCAAGACACTGGGTCGGCACGATGTACTCGACCAGATGATGGCATTTGACAAGAGCTTCCGCGCGCATGCGGAGGTCTGCGACAAGTGGTTCACTCTGTGAGAAGATGAGGAATGATGCGATCGGCATTACTAATTGCCTCGATTACTAATTGCATCTCCGAGGATCCGAACGTCACATAAAGGTTGTAGATTCGCCATCACACTTCCCACTTCTGCATTCCATTATTGCACAGCTCCATCATGTCTTCATCCCCCATCGCAATCGTTGCCGGCGTCGGCCCAGGAACGGGCTCTTCAGTTGCTCGTCGATTCGCAAAGGAATACCCCGTCGTACTCCTCGCTCGCAAGCCGGAGAGCTTCGAGAAGTTGGCCAAAGAGATCAACGACCAAGGAGGCAAGGCAGTCGGTATCAGTGCCGACGTATCGAACCAGGAAAGCATTCAACGTGCTTTTCGCGAGATTGAGCAACACTTTCCTGGCGCGCATGCCGCCGCGGCGGTATTCAACGCGGCTGGCGGGATGGTACTATCATTGTCCTCGCATCTCTTCGCACAGTGTATTGACCGTTCCTGCAGGTCAGAAAGGAGTTCTTGACTGTCACTCTTGATGAGTTCTCTTCCGGCTGGGAAGTGAGCCAGTACGTGCGCCAGCAAATCGTTTACCTTGTCCCGTGCTGACGTATCTTCAGGAAAGGAGGATTTCTCTTTGCCCAGTAGGCCTTCCAATATCGATTACCGTACCAGGCATCTAATCATCCTCCAGACAAGCCCTCCCTCTCCTGCTGAAAGCCAGGGGTACTTCGAGCAAGTTCAATCCAACCTTGGTCTTCACCGGTGCAACGGCCGGCGTCAAGGCCAACGCTCAGATGGCCACGTTCGCCAGCTCCAACTTTGCCAAGCGTGCACTCGCCATATCTCTCGCCAAGGAGTTCGGACCTCAGGGTATCCATGTCGCGTGGGCCAACATTGACGGCCCCATCGACATTCCCGGGCGCCAGGACTACCGCGCCAAGTTGGCAGAAGAGGCCAAGATCAATCCTGATGATATCGCGGAGGCGTACTGGACCTTGCACGTGCAGAGCAAGCGTTGCTTCACGAACGAGATTGACATCCGAACGAACATTGAGAAATGGTAGGCTAGCAGTGAGACGATGCGAAGCCAATGCAAGACCTCTTTGGCAGCCATTTGAGCACTCGAGACTTGTAGCTTCCGCCTTCCCATGAATGTCAGGCGTAAGAAGCATCATCTACAACTGCGCCTTGGTGTGAAGCTCGTTCATCGTCAATCTCTGCGCAAGGTTTTGTCTGGAATGCCGGAACAATGGGACCCTTTTCCCTTCGACAAAAGGAGTCAAGACGCCGCTTCGCGTTTGGTACTTGTGTAGAGTTTCCCGTCGATGAAGCTTCAAGGTTGGCAGGCGGGTATCCATGACAGTGAAACGAAAGAGTCGACGGATGTTCGGCATCGATAGCAAACCCCTCCTTACCATCATCATACTCGCAAAGACTCCCGGCAGCATGATACCCCTTTTTCACGCCCGCCAGCCCAGCCGCCACCCCGACACCTTGCAGTCTAGCGATGCTGTTCGACGACGGTCTTGAACTTACTAAGGGAATGAGGTCCGGGTCGTGGTGAAACAATCAGGCTTTGGGCCCCTTGTGCTGAAGAGAGCGGCGCTCACGATGACATCTCATGTGCTCTTCCTTCCAAGCTTCATTCAACGGATTTGCTCTGGCCATGTCCCTGATCATCGTTGCAACACGATCCGGCATGGTCAACATTGGAAAGTGGCCAGACGGCAATGATGCAGTCGTGACGAGAGCACCTTTCTTCTGTGCCTCTGCTACCATGGATAGTTGTCTTGCCAGCGGAACCACATTGTCTTCTTCAGTCAGAGCATACAAGGTCGCAACATCTTTCCAAGCTGCGTAGGTCGCCATGGATCTGAAAGATCTGTACCGGCAGAGCGTCAGCCAAGAGAAAGCTTTGCGTGAAGACGACCTACACAATCGGCATGTGCGTCCTTTTCGCCGCCGCAGCCCATCTATCCTGCGCCGGTTGCTCGGGCCCACCGTAAAAGTACTTCGCAGGCTGATTTAAGAATATCAGGTCACCACGAACATCCCACACATCCGAATGAGCCGCGTTTGAGTCTGCACTTCTTTGCTGCTGCCCACCACAAAGGACGATGTGTTTGAATTTAGTCCGGCCCGCAATCGACACTCGTTTCAATGCCCCACTTGCCACGATACTTCCATAGCTGTGTGAGACCAGAACGATCACCTCGCTGCGGACGATAGCTTTCGACCCCGCTTCGCCTATCGCATTCACGTCGGGTGTCCAACTCTTTGTCGGTTCACTGGCAGGATGGCACCCGACCGAGGGCAGCGTAACTGCCACGCAGTTGAAAGGAGTGAGGTGATCCTTCAGCAAATCCCAACAGTCTGGTCCATGCCATGCCCCGGGGACAAGGACAACAGTGATTGAAGAGTCGGCAGAAGCCATGTTGCTAAGCACGGTGACGAGCCGCAGCTGCGGCCGGCCTGTCGTGATTAATGTTGTTAGTTGAATTCTTCCAGGGCAGCGCATGAGACTCTGACAAATCCTTTCCAGTGGAATTCGCTTTTGGCCGGTTGAGCTTCAATGAGGCCGCTGTGAGGAGTGATAACACTTGCGCAAGGGATGAGTTGAGAAGGGCTTTGATGTCCGGGAGGTTTGCAATTCCAGCCTTGCCCGCTATTCCCCGCCGTGACATCAGAATTCTCAACGCCGTAACATCGGACTCTCAATCACGCACACCTTCATCAGGCTCCAACCTCCATCTCACATCCGGCAAGATGGACATCACCACCTTCGCCCAAGATCACATCTCCCAACTCACCGTCACCGTCGGCGTCATGTCGTATGCTCTCCTCCGCAACAAACTCACTCCCGGCGGCATCCTCGCCGGCCTCCTCATCGCCTTCATCCACATGCTGCACCCATGGCCCGCCTTCTTCTGGCTCCTCATTGTCTTTTTCCTGCTCGGCACATTTGTCACAAAAGTATGTTTCCCCCCAGGCCCCATCCCATCATCATCCGCCTGACGATCCGCAGATCGGCCACAAAGCCAAACTCCATCTCACCCACTCCTCCACCGGCGGCTCAGGCGGCGAAGGCCCACGCACATCATCTCAAGTCTTTGCCAATTCAGGCTTCGCCTCTGTACTGATACTCACGCACCTTTACATCCTGACATCCACCCCGTTCATCTCATCCGTCATCCCCATTTCCCCCGGCCTCTACGCTCCGCATCTCTACCGTTTACTTCCGCTCGGGATCGTGGCACAGTATGCTGCCGTGGCTGCTGATACCTTCAGTTCTGAGCTCGGGATCCTTGCCAAATCGCAACCTTTTCTCATCACAAAACCGTGGAAGCGGGTGCCGCGCGGCACAAACGGAGGTGTGACGTTGGAGGGTTTGCTTTATGGCTTGCTCGGAGGCTTTCTGCTTACCATCGTTGCGAACGGAGCGCTGCGGTTCTTGCCGCCTTTTAATCGTCTGCATGGGCCGGCGGTGCTGATGCTCACGCTGATGGGGCTGGTGGGAAGTGTGATTGATTCTGTACTGGGCGCGCTAGTGCAGGCTACAGTCACAGACAAGGGAAGTGGGAGGGTTGTGGAAGGAGATGGTGGGAGGAGGGTGAAGGTCGTACCTGGAGGAAGTAGGGTGGTCGTTGGGAAGGATATCCTGACGAACAATGGGGTGAACTTCGTCATGGCGAGTCTCACGAGTGTGCTGGCGATGGGTCTTGCTTGGTGGTTGGATTTCCACAATGCGCCCACGGGGCCAATAGGTGGGAGCAGGATATACATTTGAACTCGGGTTGTATGATGCAGAGGCTCTGGGCTGATGTTGTTCACGCTACACCGGCCGACTCAGGACAGTCACAGCGCCGCCGATGAAATCTTGCAAGCCGTGGGTACGCGAATCGACGTCCATGGAGAGAAGGCTCAATCAGTCATGTCGTCCATCAACTCCCCAGCCTCGTTCGGCTCCTCTTTAACCGCCACCCCTCCTTCCTCATCATCAGCATCGTTGTTTGCAGCCGCCTCAGCTTTGCCCTTGGCCTCCTTCTTCCCACGGGGAGTTGCCTTTTTCTTCTTCTCGGCGATCGGAGAGTCCTCGTTGCCATCAACGTCTAAAGTCAAGGTCGTCAGCATGCGCGGTCCCAGCGAGCGAGACGACAGCCATCATTGCACCAACCTTGGCCCTTGCGCTTCTTCGGCGTCTTCACCTTGCCCTCCGCATCATCACCGGCTTCGTTCCCTCCGTTGGTGGCAGCGAGCAAGTTCTTGCGGATGCCGGCAAAGGTGTCGCGGGCGTACTTGGCGGTCTTGAAGTTTGCTTTGCTGGCGACTTTCTGCCAGTCGACCTGGGCACTGGAGGTCAGTAGTGATACTCGCAACGGAGCGAGGTAGCAACGCACGTCGCCCTTGACTTCGGTGATGTAGGCTTGGAGAAGCTCGAGTTGGCGAGCCGAGAGGTTGACGGCTGCCATGGTGGAGGCTGTGGGATGAGGAGTGTAAGGATTGGTTGAAAGTTGGAGGTGTTTGGAGAAGGTGTGTGAGAGACGGAGAAGAAGGACGGGGCTTGAAGATCGTGTGGAGTTTTTAAGACTCACGGTCAGCGTGACGCCGGATGTGAATTTCGCCCAGTGCTGGGGGTGAAGGAGAGGGAGTGAAGAACCGGAGTGAGCGCAATTTGGCAGTCAAGTCCATACAAAACCGGCTCACTTGCGCTCGTCCTTCCCGCGCAAGACAGTTCACTTCTCCATCGGAGGATCTCGCCGGTCGGGTGAAGCAGTACAACGCCATGCCTGGTGGGATGTGCTATTGCTACGGTTGAAGATTTGACGGGACGGGCGGCGAGTGAGATGCCAGATTGCGACGGCAGTCTTCTCATCAAAGCAGTGTCCCGTTTGTACAGCGTGGCGGCATGCGACGGTGGGTGAGGTGGAAAGGAGACGTCTGTTCAGGACAGTGAAGGGTATCATCAATACAACGCTACGTACATCGTCCTCAACACCACCCATTCCATGCTCTTCCATCTCCAACCCATCATGCCAGCTCTTGCAACAAAGGATGGAGGTCCTGTCAGACGTCCAGCACCACCCTCTCAGAAGAGCCGGCCGAAGCCAAACGCTCAACCGAGGTGAGATCATCACCAGCTCGGGGGCCGGAGCCCAGGCGAGCAAGAAGCGGCATCACTCTTGGGCGGCGTGGATCGGCTCATCAGCCAGGATGGAGTCTGTGGCTCATGTAGAGAACACAGTTGCGGACGTTTACTCTGCGGCGGCGGTCAGCTCAGGAACGTGGATTGGATGGTTGTGGGGTCAGGAACTCACATAGAATAGATTCCATGAAGTACTGATGGCGCTGTTAGCAGGGGGGGGAACTGTAGGGGTGCCTGGGATGGTCTTACAAGTCGCTGAAAAAGTTAAGAGAAGTTCGAAGTTCGCAAATTTCTTATAGATTCGCGGGTGCGCTAAACACGGGTGCGGCCGCCGCGCTAGCTGCAACTCTAATTGTCCGCCCGAAGGAGAAGCCGACTCCGCCCATTGACCAACACTCGCAACATATCCCACCCCAATCACCCCTTCTCTCCTTCAAGTCTACCTGGAGCGCTCCATGGATGTCCCTTGAAAGGGTCGATCAGAAAATCTCCTTCCTCGAATGGCGCTGAGAAGCGAGGAACGATGGTGTAGTCCAGCAAGTCGAAAGATCCGCCTCTCTCTTCATCATTCCTACTGCTCATCATTTCTTCCGCTTGCTCCTCTCCAAGATCACTCTGCTCTGTCACTCCCCTCGTCGGCAGCTTCGACTTCGGACTCATGTCCTCTCCATCTCTCCCACCACCCTTCCCCTCCCCCGTCCAGTCCACCTCCCGAAAAACGACATCCGTATCCCTCAATGGTCCAGTTTTCTCCGCAATCTCATGATGCAGTTGACTCATCTGTTCGCGCTGGATTTGGAATGGATCGGCTGCGCGTTGGTGTGCCCTGCGCAAGGCGATGGCGCCGAAGATAGGGAGATGCAGCGTCCAACTGGCTTCGCTGGTGTTGTCGTCGAAGGAAGCTGATGCCGATGTGATGGGGGAGTAGATTGATGACGGAGTGTCCCGGTGCGGTTGTGCTGCTTGCTCGTGGTGTTGGAAGGCTGTGCTTGAGCCTTTGGCAGAGGCCGGGTGGTCGTCGTGGTCATGGTCGTGTTCGTCTGTGACAGCTTTGTTCTCGGTGATCTCGTCAAGATTTCGCTCGCAAGAGCCACCGATGCAGGCGAAGATACTGTGTACGGCGCCCATTTGTGAAGTACCTGCGTAGCCACTTCCAACTGACACTCTGGCGGCTCCCCTTGTTTATATGCCATCAGCTTCTGGGAGAAGGGTGAAACATGCCATCCGAGTGAAGTCTGTGTCTCACTCGACTTTGTTGCTCGAGAGTCTGCATAACTACCAGATTGGCATGAGTCCACTGTCTCTCCTCCTCAACGGACAAATGTCTCACATATCGTCCCGCCATTGTAGTCCTTCGTTTGTTTGATAGTGGTGAAGGCTCACGCGGACGTGCCGTGATGATTCTGGCATTATCTTATCGACTCCATCGAAGTGGTCCTGTCTGGTTGAGACCCAGATCACACATCCTTAGACGGGATGATGAATCGTCAGCGCGCGCCGACACTACCACTCAGAGAACGGTAAAGGCAAAGGCATCAGCGTCAGCACAAACTTTTCATAGCAGAGAAGTACAATACAGCGACAAACAAACTATCCTCACAGCACCCCGACCTTGCTTCACGTCTCACAACCCGTCTTACTCCCTCCCTCACGAAGAAGAAGTCGCAGCCTCGAGCTCCGCACAGAGCTGCTCGACAACGGCATTCGAGACCGGCGAGGCACCATCCGGGCAGATCAGAGGGCCGTTCACATACCCGAGAATCTCGGTGATTTGACAGTCGGAATTGAAGTAGTGAATTTCACGCACGTGCTCGCTGGGGAGAACAATGTTGTCGTTCTGTTACAGAGGCAATCGTCAGAGGCTCGTCCCAGGAAAGAGGACGATCCGTACCACGTACCTGGATAAAGTCTGCAGTCACGGAGCCATTTGCGTTGTTGATGTAAGTCGCATGATTGGGACCTGGCACGCTGGCAAAGAGGACGGTAGCAAGGCCCACCAGTTCGGCCCGGACGGTTTCGGCGGTTACGCCGACGTTGATGGGAGGCAGCGTTACCTTGCCGCCGAGTTCAGCCGGACTGTGGATAAAGGAACCGTGTCAGCCGCAGTAGTCCTGAAGGTAAGACAGTGAGAAGGGAAGGGCGCTGGCCGTACGTAACCAAGAACGTGCGAGTTGCTAGTGGGGCGAGAGGGATCTGGTTTGCATCGGTGAAGGAGTGGGAGGTGATGGTGTCAATCTCATGTTGGATGCCAGCCACCTTCTGTGCAAAGGTGCAGCTTTGGCGTGCTTCGAGCTTCGCTTCCTCGAAAGGCGCGGCCGCGACGAGAGACAGTAGAGGAACGGCGACGGCCAGAGATTGGAAATACATGGTTGCGTGGGTGAGAAAGAATGACACTGTGAAAAGGATGGTAAGAGATGAAGAGATGGAAAAGACTGCAACCTCTGCAACATCATATACGCTTTTGCCTTACTCGTGATCAATGGAAACGGAAAATGTACGCCGAAGCTGACGTTACGGGGAAGGAGCTAAATGGGGAAGGAGCAGAGAAATGACGGAACGTTTCGATACAACGGACCCCCGCCCGAGGCTAGGGTGTCAGTGACAGTGACTCTCGCGGCCGTATAGTTCGTGAAGCTATGGCGTTGACGAACGACAAAAGGGAAGTGTATCCAGGGATGATTAATAAGACATTGTTGGATTTGTTGTCTCGAGAAACATGAGTCAGTTCTTCGTCAGTCCTTCGTCGTTTCAGCGTTTCCTCGACTTCCCCAGACGGCGATCTCCAGGTACCAGCTTCCAAGGTTTGTGCGATGTCGATCACTTGCGATGCGGAAAACCTCATCCGGGCCTTTCGTTTCCGCGCGGCATTTAGAAACGCGCATGATGAGCGAGAACGTGCGTGGCAGGGGACGTTCAAAAGCAAGTGAGCCACTTCCGCGCTTGTCATCGCTTCTATCATGCCACCTCTGGAAGTGTCTCACTTCACTTTTTGATGGATTATAAAGCCTGAGAGGCCCAGTCAGCCACGCTTCAGCCAGTTCTGGAAGTATCTCAGTTCCTTTTGAAGCCAGCCTGGTGGCTTCTCATCGACTCACTGGACGACACATGCATCACCATGCCGCTCGTTCTCTGTCACAGGCTTTCGCGTGGTCATCCCCGGCTTTCTCCGGCCGGTATGTCGCCGCGGCTGTACCTTTTGCCTGAACCATTTGTCGTCTGCCTCCAGCGACCATGCAGGCACTTTGACCACGGTCGTTCGGGGGCTGATGGCCTCGCATTCGTGTACGTCTACGGTAATCCTGCGGCCCGGATGTGCCTCTTCGATCCAGACGATGTGTCGGAATAGACGAGTTGCCTCGACTGTAGTCTCGGGGTCCCAGGTGGGTATGCTCTGCTCGGACGGCTTCTCGTCAGCGTTGCCTTGCGTTGCAGGGATACGAGACGAGGCAATTTCCTCCTTGTCAAATACTCGGCCCTGCCTTCGGTCGGGATCAGTCAAGCTCGCAAAGCGAACACGAAGCTCTGATTTAGGCGATCGCATGTTCTTCGTAGATTGAGGTCTAGTTGATAGCGCTGTGTAATCGATTGTATGCAACAATCTGCGATGGAACTGCGGCTCTTTTGAAGGAGACAATCGACAAATAGAGGAAATGACATCTCCTTACCTTTGTTCGCCAACCTCGTCAAAGAACTGCCGTCCGATGACAAAGGGCGGGATCTACACCGCTCATTCATGCATGTGTACCAGCCTGAAAGGAATACTCGTGCGGTTTATTATCGCAAGGCGATTGCGCATTGGAATCGTCATCATGTTGATGGCGGGAATGAAGAAGGTGGAGGAGACGCATGAGCCGAGTTGATGCCTCAGGCAAAAAGCGTCTGGCATTGGAAAAAGTCGAGATGCGACTCATCACCACCAACCAATCTCCCAATCGCCGTCTTCCGCACAACCAGCCCTTCAACAAATCCCATTGCCCTCGGTGAATCATTGACACACCGCCATGTCTCTTCCCACCGCCTCGCAGCGGTATTTGAGCACGCGAGGCGGTTCATACGATGTACGTCGCCTTTATCCCGCTGCTCCCACCGAGCCCGCGCTCAACACAATCTAGTTCACCTTCGAGAATGTAGTCTTGAAAGGCCTGGCCTCCGATGGCGGCCTCTTCATTCCAGAAGAAATCCCGACTCTGCCCCGCGAGTGGCAATCACAATGGAAGGACGCCTCGTTCCAGGATCTCGCCTTCAACATTTTCTCACTTTACATCTCGCCACAGGAAATACCGGCAGAGGACCTCCGCGACATCATCCATCGCAGCTACTCTACTTTCCGCGCGCCCAATGTCACGCCTCTCGTCACACTGGACGAGTCCAAGAACTTGCATCTCCTGGAACTCTTCCACGGCCCCACCTTTGCCTTCAAGGACGTCGCGTTACAATTCGTCGGCAATCTCTTCGAGTATTTCCTCGTCAGACGGAACAAAGGCATGGAAGGTGAGCAACGACAACACTTGACCGTTGTAGGCGCAACAAGTGGAGATACCGGATCCGCCGCCATCTACGGTCTACGGGGAAAGAAGGACGTCTCCGTTTTCATCATGTACCCGAAAGGCAAGGTCAGCCCGATCCAGGAGGCTCAAATGACCACCGTTGCCGACAACAACGTGCATTGCGTGTCTGTCGAGGGCACCTTTGATGATTGTCAGGTATGTTCTTCACCCTCTGCCCTTGCAGCCCACCGCGCTCATCTTCCCAGGGCATTCTCAAAACTCTCTTCTCCGATCCGGAAACCAATCAGCAATATCGCCTTGCCGCCGTCAACAGCATCAACTGGGCTCGCATCCTCGCGCAAATCACATACTACTTCCACTCCTACTTGTCCCTCTGCCGCCAGACGAGCAACGACAAGCCCAACGTGAGATTCGTTGTTCCGACAGGTAACTTCGGCGACATCCTCGCCGGATATTTCGCCAAACAAATGGGTCTGCCAGTGGCAAAACTGGTGGTCGCCACGAACGAGAACGACATCTTGCACCGCTTCTGGAAGACTGGCCACTACGAGAAGAAGCCCGTGCATGGGCAAGATGCCGAAGGGGGAATCGCAGAGGATGGTGCGAAAGCCCATGAAGACGGTGTCAAGGAGACCCTCAGCCCCGCTATGGACATCCTTGTCAGCTCCAACTTTGAGCGCCTGCTTTGGTACCTCGCCTTTTCGACCAGCGACATCAAGGAGGTCAATCACAAGCGCATGCATGCGGGTGAGCTGGTCAAGGGATGGCTGGGTCAACTGAAGACGGAGGGCGGTTTTGGTGTGAGCAAGGAGATCCTCGCAGCAGCCAAAGAGGACTTTGAGAGCGAACGTGTCAGTGATGAACAGACTCTCGCCACCATCCGAGAAATCCACGGCACAACCCTCCCCAAAACCCAACAGGCGAATGGCACAAAGAGCGCTCCAACCTCCGGCACCCAGCACGACGGCCACTACATCCTCGACCCCCACTCTGCCATCGGTGTCGCAGCATCCCTCCGCTCCATCGAGACCGGAGGCGACGCCCACCACATCGCCCTCTCCACCGCCCACCCCGCCAAGTTCTCTCACGCCGTCGAGCTTGCGCTGAAAGACGTGCCCGACTTCTCATTCGACACCGTCCTACCCGAGCAATTCGTGGGTATGACCGACTTGCCGCAACGCGCTTCATCGGCGAAGAATGATTGGAAGGAGGTAAGAGAGGTGATTGGAAGGGAGCTGGAGACCGAGAATCGGTAACCTTGATTGATGTCGTCATCCAGACGATGAAACTCGGGCTTGGAGTTTATGTAGATGGTGTTATTCGATATTGTAGCTAAAGCTATTGCATGCAATGCATCTCTGAGCATCTTCCATCAAAGCTCCGATAGAACGATGCCAGCCAGCCATAATTCCAAGTATCGCAGAAAGCAGGAAACATGCCGCACCATCCACTACTCACGCCTCACACCATCCCCGAACATTAACAACACCCTCCGCCACCCGTCATCCAAATTGAAGTGCAAAGATAATCCAACGCTGCGAAGTAGTACTCACCTGCTGGCTGATGTCGTCGAGTAATGCCATACCGTGCATGCAGGTTGTGTCGACTCAAGTGCTGACGCATGAAGCACCATCACTCATCCTTCCCACCATCCTTCTTGACCGCCGAGGTGCGCCAAACATCACGCCAGCCTCCACGCTTGCCCAGCACCCCAGTAGCACCAGAGGGAGAACTGCCGGGCGAGCGATCTTTCTTGCCGCCGCCACCGGGAGACGAGGATTTGAGGATGCCAACCCTCTCTGCCAGCTTGGTCGGCGAGATGCCTTTCGCCGGAGACGAGTGGGCCGACTTCTTCGTCTTGCTGGGACTGCTACCCGTCATCTTGGGACGATGCGGAGTCAAAGAGATCGTCGGAGAACCTGAGTCGGACTCGGGGGGTGGCTGAGGGGAGTTGGGGGGGTTCGTGATACCATCCAGAGATCCCTCTTTGAACCGGCTGTGGCTCTGCATGATAGGATTGGCGCTCATGATGGAGACTGGACGATGACCTGTGTAGAAATGGAAGAGCGGTAAGCATTGCGAGTATATACAACGCTTTCTTGAAAGAGGGGGTGTCGAAAGCTTTACCTTCATGGTGGTTGCTGGTGGAGAAATGGCCGCTTGCAGTGAGCCCAGCAGCTTGAGCCACGGAAGAAGCAGACTTCCACTCGAGTTGATTGCTGAAGACGCGAGCACCGGGCCAGGCAGAGTAGAGATGCGAGTCGAGGCTGGTGATGCTGGCAATGCGGTTGTTTGGCTGGGTCTGCTGACCGGGCATGGCGGTAGGAACCAAACGAGGCACGCCGTCAGACGGCCCGGCGAAGACACCCTCCGACATGATCTCTGCACGGCGGACGTGAGGATTGTGCAAGACGTTTGACTCCGACATGATGCCCTGCCGCTCGGCAACAGAAGCCGTACGATGAGGGAATGGAAAGCCCGCGAGACCATCGCCTGATGTGCGTGAGAGCACTTCCGCGGCAGCAACACGATCTTGCCTCTTCGCCCACGCACCTAGATTGAACGGCGGCTCATTGGCGTGGGGACCGTCAACGGCCGGCGAGAGGAGAGGGTTCTCATTGGCGGGAGAAATGATGGCTTCTTTCAATGTGTCCATGGAATGCAAGTTGCTTTCAAAGGGCGACAGAGCTGGCAGTGACTCTTGTTGAACACGGCTCGACGATTGAAGCACCGCAGGACTCGGACGACATGTGTCGGACTTGACTGGACTCCCGGTTGCCGTGGAGTCGAGATGTTTCGCGGGCTTTGATTTTATCAGGCCAGCGCAGTAGCCGTCGAGAAAGTCGCCCACGCGGTCGGCATCGATGGCTTGACGTGAAAAGCCCGCGCGGAAGCCTTGGATCCAATCGATGGAGGCGTCGGAGAAATCAATCTTGTTGGATTGTGTTTTGTCGACGGATTGTCGTGAGCGAGAGGACTGAGGCTTCTCTGGTGATGAAGGAGGAAGGCTGGGTAGCTCGCTGGCGCCATCTGTGACGGAAAGGTGATGCTGACGTCTGTTCTTCGGACTGACATTGTGGGCATGACGATCAGGGACGCTGACAACGCTGAAGTCTGGTCCGCTGCTCTGGGATGAGCTCTGCCCGACTCGGATGCCGGACTTCTCACTACTCGCATGCATGGCAGACGAGCCAGTACGAGAATCATGGATCTTGAAACGTGGAGAGTCCTTCGCAGCCGGGACTGAATGCTCCGGACCAATGTTCTCCTTGTCTTCCGACTGCTGTGTAGTCTCGGGGTACGCGTACTTCCGAGTCGAATATTCACGCGTGTTGCGCGGAAAGAAGTCTGCAGTCTCAAAGCTGGACACACTCGAGCTGTGAAGATGCGGGCTCTTCTTGGTAGGACTGATGGTCTCATCCGAAGGCTTGGTCGTGGCTGTCGTAGCCGGCTTGAGCTGATGTGCCGGCGAAATGGACGGTGCACGGTTGACAACAGATCTGGACTGCGATGTGCTGCCATTGCCAAGCATTTGCAACACCCCATTGCCTGGTTTGTACGCCGGACTCATGGGGTTGAGGTTCGACTTCAGCATCGTGGCGGACTTGGCGTCCGGTGCCTTGATGTCGACAGCGTGGGAACGGGCCGGAGATGTCACCTTGCGGATGTCGGCGATTGAACCAGCGCCATCGGTCTGGGAGAGATGTGCAGCACGATCGGACTCAGCGGGCTTGGGAGCTTCTGCAGCCTCTTTGGCTTTCATGCCGGCAAGCTCTTGGTATGACAAGAACGGCGGTGGGATGGACCCATCCAAAGAGGGAGGCGGCACAAAGAGAGGTGCAGCAAAGGATGGATTGTAGTTTGCGTCATTCCCCGGACCTGTCTGGTAGCCGTACGCAGCACCAAAGGACTGGGGCGGTGGGACCATGCCGAAGAAGGATCCGTAGGGTGCAACGGATGGCACCTCGACAGCGTCTGCGCTCTGCATGTGACGATTGGGGAAGAAGCCCGGTCCGCGAGGGCGCGAAGTCGACATGGCTCGCTGATGTGACGCAAGACGGGGAGCTGTCGCAGGTTCAGGCATCATCGGCATGCTCTTGATGCTCTTGATGGCTTTGCGAATGTTGTCAAGAGTGAGGATGAGCTCACGACGCTTGCTGATCAGCGCATCTCTCGCCGCTTTGCCCATGGTGCGTCCATGCAGGACTTCGGTCTTGTCCAGCTCCCGGAGCTCGTGCTCGTGTTTGGAATACTCCAGCTCCAACGCGTTGGTTTGCGTAGCCAAGGGCGGGTCAGCGGGATTGACGGTCTTGCTGAGTGAGGATGTGCGTTTCTGATCGCCGTTGTCCCCGAGACTGCCGGGGTTGGCGGGGTCGAAAGGTGTGCCGCGGGGAGAGATGTTGAGATTGGGAGCGGGAATGTACAGTCTCAAGGCCCCGTCAATCTCATTGAGAGGGAGAATCGTGCCGTTGACAATCTGACACAACACTCCGTTGGCATCTTCGGCAATGAACCCATTCTGAGTGGCTTGGGTCCATTGAGTCTTGCCCAGAGGGTGGTTGGGTGCGAACTTGACGAGGCCGCCGTTGGCCTTGATGGCGCTGTAGCCGTAGCGAGGATGGCAGAGAGGGGACTGCTCACTTGGAACGATGCGACCGCCGGCAGTGACGCGGACGTGTTGCGGGGAGCCATGAGCTTTGACAATGGCTTCTGCCTTTTTCTTCTTCAGTGAGGGTGTCGGCGATGGACGGATGGAGTAGACGCCGCGGCGATAGAGTTGGCCGTTGTTTGCAATCTCGCCCAGCACCGGACCCGGAATGGGAAAGTCGTGGCCAGAGGCATGAGCAGAGGAGTGAGTGCTGTTCTCCGCATCGGTGGTGGAGTAATTCTCTTTGTTCGACGGGACGCGGAGGGAGTTGCCGGAGGTGCGGGAGCGGAATGAACGGGCGGCGAAGGATTTGGAGCCGCGCAGGACGTGCTCTGTTGGCGACGTATTGCCTGTCAGCGATGCGTTGCGATATGAAGTGAGGGTGTGAGGTTTGATGGGATTGGGACTCTCGAGGAACTCTTCTATCGGGCTCGGAGGGCCGGGGATGGTGGATGACGGACGTCCCATCTCGTTGGACGTGTGAGAGTAGTTGAGATGGCTAAGCTGAGTGTAGGTGTGAAGCGTGCATATGAAAGAGGGGCGTGCATGGGCCATGGAAGCGTTTGTTTGTGTACCGATGATGTCGGACGTGCAGATATAGATGAACTTTACCTTTGACCAGCTCCGCATCTTCACCATCGTTGTCCTCAATTGCTTCGCGGAGTTTGGGTTGAGAGCAGGAGACACGCAGGCGGTAAAGTTGCTCGGCAGAGTAGACTCGACGAGTCACTTGCTCACCAGCCATGTCGAGATGTGAAGAGGGCAAGGGGAGGAATCGGGAACAGGTGGAGGGTGGTGATTCGGGATGAGGGGCCGACGTGTGCTGCTCTAGCATCAGCGCATGCCTTTTTTACAAGGAACAGCATCGCGAACACATACCCGACGAAGTGACTGGAAGTCGGTGGAGCAACGTGGGCGACGGCGAGATATCAAGAGTTGGAATGGTGGTGATTGCAATGAGCGTGAGAGAGTGTGGGAACGAACAGACGAACGAGTGTGTTGGGGGCTGATTGATTGAGGGAGGTCGATGAAGGGCGGTCGGGGAGAAGAAGAGATGTCCATTTGTTGATGCACTGCCCCCATCCCGTTGTTCGTGACTCCGTCTTTTGCGATGCAATGTGGAGGAGTCGCCACGGATGTTGTGGGAAAGGAGCGGATTGTAATCGGCAACTGCCTCACGCAGCGGTCAAGCAATCGCCATCCTCGATGGGCCAGGAGCACTCCAGCACATGGCCTCATCCTGGCAGGTCCGGGAACGGTACCCCAGTCCTTGCACTTCCCTTGCACAAGGGTGTAGCGAGATCAGCATGGCAAGTGCGCTCCACATGCCTCCAAAGTCGAAGCCTGCGCCTCGGAGCTCATCATCATCATTCCAGCGCTGCTTTGCCTCCGCCTGCGATACGTGCAGTCTCCTTCGCATTGCCCTCTCAATCCCCTCCAAATGCGCTTTATTCCTGTTGACATTCCACCATCTTCCTCATCTGTTCTTGGTCTGCTTGTACGAGAATGGCTTCCGCGTCACCGCAAACTCGCCCAACTTGTGTCCAACCATATCTTCCGTGATGCGCACATCGTGGTAAATCTTGCCATTGTGCACCTGAAAGACGAGACCAACGAAGTTGGGAAGGATGGTGGCACTCCGTGCTTGGGTCTTGATGGGCGGGACTCTCTCACCAGGTTTCGGACGGACAATGGGTAGGCTTGAGGGCGGTCAGTCGTTTATTTGGGCATTGCAGGAGCTGGCCTGTCACCTACGGCACAACGTGAGGGCCTGATGAACAAGTCAGCATTGCCCATCATCTTCTCGTCTTCAACCCGGGATCTGTGGGCTCACCTTTCCACACTGAGCGCGCCAGCAGCGCAGCAGTTGCTCTCATCGCTCCTCCTCGAATTGTCTCTTCTTTGTTGGCGCGGAGAAGGGATAAAGGAAGAGATGAAGCTGATGGCCAAAAACAGATCCGAACTTCCTTGCATCTGGCGGAGCTAGCAATCTCCTTTCGGACTAGCCCCTCCGTCACGTGAAGCGCGTTTCCGACGTGTGAGGCAGCCGCGGCGCTCGACCAATCACCATCCAGGCAAACGCTGGCATTCACATATTGCAACACCTCTTCCATCTACTTCTCTCAATCTCTCATCTTCTCTCCTTTCCCCCCCCCTCTTTCCGTTCTCACCTCCTCCCCTCCCAACATCGATGAAGTGACGAAACCATGCCGTCCTTCTCCCCCGCGGACACCATCCGCATCCTGGTGGCAACGGACAACCATGTCGGAGCCTTCGAGAAAGATCCCATCCGCGGAGACGATAGCTGGAAGTCCTTTCACGAAGTCATGTGTCTCGCCAAGGATCGCGATGTTGACATGGTCCTGCTCGCCGGCGACTTGTTCCACGAAAACAACCCTTCCCGCAAGTCGATGTATCAGGTGATGCGCAGCTTACGCATGAACTGCTATGGAGAGAAGCCGTGCGAGCTGGAGATGTTGAGTGATGGCAGTGAGGTGTTTGCAGGGTGAGTCTTGAGAGTTAACTTCTGCCATCAGCATCCCCAGCTAATCCCTGCCAGCGCCTTCAACCACGTCAACTACGAAGATCCCGACATCAACGTCGCCATCCCCGTCTTTTCCATCCACGGTAACCATGACGATCCATCTGGGGTGAGTTGTCCTTCGTCAAACATCCTACATCCATGCTGATCTTTCACCGCAGACCGGCCACTTCGCCGCCCTCGATCTCCTCCAAATGTCGGGTCTCGTCAACTACTACGGCCGCACCCCCGAATCCGACAATATCCTCATCAAGCCCGTCCTGCTCCAGAAAGGCAACACCAAGCTCGCCCTCTACGGCATGAGCAATGTACGCGACGAGCGTCTCTTCCGCACCTTTCGCGACGGCCATGTCAAGTTCTTCAAGCCCGGCACGCAGCAGAATGACTGGTTCAACATCATGAGCGTTCACCAAAACCATCACGCCCACAGCCCGACCAATTACCTCCCCGAGGACTATCTGCCCGACTTCCTCGACCTCGTAGTCTGGGGCCACGAACACGAATGCAAAATCGACCCCACCCAAAGCCCTGGCGTTGGATTCAAAGTCATGCAGCCCGGATCTTCGATCGCCACCTCCATGGACGAAGGTGAGGGAGTACCCAAGCATGTGGCCATTGTCAGCGTGCATGGCAGAGATTTCGACGTGGAGAAGATCCGACTCAAGACGGTGCGACCATTCCGATACAAAGAAGTCGTCCTCCAAGACGACAAAGCGATGAAGAAAGTTGCCTTTGACGACGACAATGCCCCCAAAGTTCATGCCTATCTCACACGCATCATCGACCAACTCATCGAGGAAGCGAAAGCGGAGTGGCTCGAGCTGCAACGAGAATCCGGCGAAGAGCTGGATGAAGACACCGAAGCCCCCAAGCCTCTGATCCGCGTTCGTGTCGAATATACCGCTCCGGAAGGTGGGAATTTCCAGCTGGAGAACCCGCAGCGCTTTTCGAACCGCTTCAGTGAGCGGGTTGCAAATGTCAAGGACGTGGTCGCCTTCTTCCGCAAACGCACCGCCACTACGAGAGCGACGAAGAGCGAAGTCGAACTACCCGACACTGGGGCTCTGGCTCAAATGTCGCTCGACCGGGTCAAGGTGGGCAAGCTCGTGGACGAATACCTTGCGGCGCAGTCACTCTCCATCCTCCCTCAGAACTTCTTCAGCGATGCCGTCGGCCAATACGTAGACAACAACGACTCGAACGCGATGCGAGAGTTTGTCGCACAATCCCTCAAGAAGCAAGTGGACGAGCTGGTGGCAGCTGGGGCAGAGGATGATGACGCAGCGGAAATGGAGATTTCGGACAGGATGGAGCAGATCAAGCAGGCGCAGGAGCTGGCGTTTGAGAAGGGGCAGTTGAAGCTACTGAAGAAGCCGGCGAAGAGGCTTCCAAAGCCAAGAGGGTGGGATAGCGATGAGGATGGGCATTGGGTGGACAACGTCCTCTCGATCGCCGGTCCTGAGGACGCAGTGGAGGAAGCCGTGTCGGAAGAGGAAGATGACGAGGCGAACGGCAGCCCCACGCCGAAAGGTAGGGGGACTCGTGGTGGCAGAGGGCGTGGCAGGGGTGGCAAGGCCACGGCAGCGGCGGCGAGAAAGACCGCGGCGGCAAAGAAGGCACCAGCGAAGAAGCCGACCAGTGCGAAAGGCAGACGCAAGCAAGTCTCAGAGGACGAAGAGGAAGATGACGACGACGTGATCATGCTGGACGACGACGATGACGATGCGGAAGAAGAAGAATCGCAAGGTCTCTTCGTCACTCAAAGCAAAGCCGCTCCTGCAAAGTCTCGCGGTGCAAAGGCCCAGCCCGCCAAACCATCTACTCGCGGTGGAAAGGCGGCAGCAGCCACGGCAAAACAGTCGCAGCTCTCCTTCGCCAGTCAGAGTCAGCGATCCGGGCCGGCAAAGGCGGTCGGTGGACGTGCTGCTGCTTCGAAGCGTATGCAGGAACCGAGCGACGATGAGATTTCGGATGACGATGATGCGTTTGAGCCTCCCTCTACCATGGGCCGCAAGAGATGATGGCTCTTGCTTCGACTGTCGAGTACTTTACAGCGGGTTAGCAATAGCGTGGCGCTTCGGGGATTAGCATGACGCTTGAAAGGAGCATGGTCATATCATAGACGATTCGTAGAGCTATGTCACTTCGGCTCTTTCCATCCGTACTTGATGATGCTGGTGAGATGTCGCCGCCGTTCCAACCCTGGCTTGCCCCAAACGCCAACCATCATGCACCTCTACTAGCGCTGGAATCATGCCCTTGCCCAACGCCATCCATCCAGTATCACCTGTAGAATTCTCCTCTCTTCACATTCACACCGTACTCCCCCACCGCCATGCCCAGATCTTCCATGGTCAACACTGTCCTTCCCTGCCCTCCACCTCCCGCTCCACCGCCACCATAGCCAGCCCTTGGTCCTCCGAGAGGCGCTGCCTTGCCCGCGTCCTTCTTCCCCTTCGTGCCACCCCCCTCCGCGCCCTCACCAGACTGCTGCGCCTGCTGCATATTCATCGTGCCGAAGCCGGCCGCGCCTCCCAGCCCCGTCAGCGGGTTGTTGGAGGTGGTATTCGTGCTACGAATCCGGCTGTACTGGTATGCGTCGGCGGCGACGTCGGCGATGAATTTTTGCGTGGCGAGGGCAAGCAATCGCGCGAGGCGGCGGTCTGTGCTGGGGGGAGGTGGGAGGCCGGCGACGGTGAGGTAGTAGTCTGTTACGGCGTCGGGGATGAGGGGTGCATAGTCGTCCATTTTGGCGATGAAGTCGCGGAGGGAGGCGTCTTTCTTCTGGGGGATGCGGGGTTCGATGACGGCGGGTTGGTGGGGTTGTGATGCGGCTTGAGGTTGGGTGGGGGGCACGCCGTTGGGGAGGGTGGAGGTTGGGGGTTGGGAGAGAGGGTCTGATGCGCCGTCGAGGTTCATTGCGTCGGCTTGTGATGTGGGATTGATTTCGGCGTCGAGCTCGGCGTCGTCTGGCGCGGTGTCTAGAGGTTCATCGGCGTTGAGCGTGGTGGGTGGAGGAGGGGCATCGGAGGAAGGTTCGTCAGGAGGATTGGCTGGGAGAGGGTCTTGTTCGGCGTCGGGGAGTGTGTCGGAGGAGGAGGGATCGGGTGGTGTTTCGGTGGACATGACGGCGATGTGATTGCTGATGGAGAGGGGGTGAGTTTTGTCGCAGGCGCAAAGGAGTTAGACGGAGGTGGAAGCGCGCATGAGGAAGCACGTAGGCGCGGTTTGGACAGGGCGGTCAGTTCGATGGAGGGCGGAGAAGAGAGAGTCGAGGATGGGCTTATGCGACCTTTTGTGGTCTGTGGAGTCGGTGGGTGTGAATTGGCGAGATGGTCATTGGTGCAAGTCGGAAGAAAGTGAATGGGTGCGAGTGAAGTGAGGAAGCAGCACCAGCAACAAGCCGAAGAAAGGCCGAAGGGATCGCGGGGGCTTCGGTGGTGTTGGTGGAGGAGATGATGCGTGAGATATCTCATCTTGCACTCGACTCCTTGCAACAATTAACGATACATCTCCAATTGCTGATTCGAGCATCTCAGACTATATACTTCCTCGCTGCATTGCTTGCTGGCCGCCTCGTCCTTCATCAAGGTGTGCTTGTACATCGTTGCTCCCCACGTTACGCCGTCTCCGTTACCACTGCCTTTGCAACACCATTCGATGCTGCCGTGTCTATCAGGCATGCCAGAGGCAACAGTGACGGCCCCACTACCCATGCTGTTTCATGACATTCGGGGCCGGGGGGAAGTGATGCATGTCGGCGTTGCACAGCTCGTAGCCACAAGGCTCCCACCACGGATTTCACTCTCCGCCAGCTACTAATCATCCGATCCAGATGATCCCTCGTATTCAACGTGTGCGAGGATTGTAAGGCATAGACCAACTCCGACTTCCACGGCATCGCCCTTCTCTTTCGCTTCCAGTCGGTCTAGAGTGTTCTCCATCTCTTGCCGGCGGTCAAAAGAGACGACTGCACGGCTGCGCGGCCCCAACTCCGCTGAAAGCCGCAGCGGAGTTCACTCAACTCGTCATCACTCGATCTGCAGAGCCATACTTTTACCATTGGCTTGCCCGTGAACTCATCTCTTTTTCATTTCTTTCACACGGCAGACTCACCATGGCGCTCTCGAATCAATCTACCTACAAGCTCCCCACTGGCCATGCCATTCCCGCTATTGGCCTCGGAGTGTGGGACTCCCCCTCCAATGTTACCGTCAAAACTTGCCTGGAGGCGTTGAAACGCGGGTATCGCTTGATTGACACCGCCGAAGGCTACCACAACGAAACCGAAGTAGGAGAGGCTCTCAAGCAAAGCGGACTGCCGCGGGACCAGGTCTTCATCACCACCAAAATCTACGAGCCCGGCGAAGACGCCGAAGCAACTCGCCAAAAGCTGCTGAATGGCATCAACAAGTCCGGCGGCGAAGGCGGCTACGTCGACTTGCTGCTCATTCACAATGCCGATGTTGGCGCCCGCGCCCGCAAATTGATATGGCAGCAGCTCGAGGCCTTGCACAAAGAAGGCCGCATCAAGAGTATTGGCGTGAGCAATTTCGGCATTCAGCATTTGGAGCAGCTCAAAGAGTACGCCACCGTCTGGCCCCCGGCTATCAACCAGCTCGAGCTCCATCCGTGGTTACAGCAGCGTGAAGTCGTCGATTGGTGCAAGCAGAACGGCATCGTACTCGAAGCCTACTGCCCCTTGGTGAGGAATCAAAAGGCCAACGATGAGGTGCTCAACTCCATCGCCAAGCAACACGACAAGACCACTGCGCAGATCCTCATACGCTATTGTCTGCAAAAGGGATGGATCCCGCTGCCGAAAAGCGACAACCCCAAACGAATCCAGCAAAATTTTGACGTCTTTGGTTGGGAGATTGATGCGGCGGCGATGAAGAAATTGGATGCAATGCCGCAAGAAGCGGCGTTGTGTTACGAAGTCGACAACAAGGATCGATCGTAGCGCGAGATCTTGCGCATGGGCAGGCCAAGCTTCCCAATCAAACACTGACCGTCACCTTCCTTCTCCCTAACCCCGTCCTGCTGCACCTTGGACACGGTCAATGAGCATCGAGACAGGTCTGTAGGTAGAATGGGCACACTCTAGAATGGGCACACTCTTCATTAGAACAATAACGCTACAAGCTGAGCTCTAGAGTGATCCACTGCTAACAAATATCTGCCCACGCTCCACTACGCCCCGCCTTCACCTCTCCCCCATCTAAGTGGTCGGGCAGAAATCGTAGTTGCCATTCACATTGTTGCCCCACCATTGCGGGAAGGGATACGACTTGCCGCCAGCACCAAACACGGCAAACGACAGGATGAAGATGGTCGTAAGACTGCCGCCGTCCCACGCTGCCGTGACCAGGTAGGTGTAGTCCTTGAAGATGCGCGGGTGGTAGTTGCGCAGGTAGTACTGAATGAAGAAGCTGATGGTGAACATGTTGAAGATGACGCACGTCTGCGGCTGGTTGTAGGGGATGAAGCCGGCGTATTGGATGAACTGCGGCAGGTTGAGGTCGTCGACGCGGAAGCCTTTGATTTGAGTCACCCACTGGAAGAAGCACAGGTCAGCATGAGCGAAGTTGAAGGAGGGAAGGCCGCGGAGGGCAGACTTACTTTGGAAAAGAGCCAGTGAACAACGACCATGGCCCCGCCGATCAGCATGCCCATGGGCACCATGTAGTATTCATCGCCAAACTTGTAGAGGTACTTGGCAAGTGCCCAAGAGGTTGCGTTGGAGTTGTAGCCCTGCATGGTGGCACCGCTCCACGATGCATTGCCGTTGCCGTTTGCCAGGAGGGCCTTGTTGGAGTCGACAATCGACACCATCACCACGTAGTTCACGAAGCCGCCAAAGATGGTACCCCACATTTGGGTGACCAGCATGGTGCGCGCGGGGATTTTCACTGCGGTGTGGAGTCAGCATGAGGCCGGACAGAAGACACGGATGGCGCATACGGTATTCGCCCATCTTCAGATCGGCAGAAAGATTGACGGCGTTGAGAATGACGTTGTGCGACCAGGCGGCAAAGTACATGTTGCCGACCGGACGGCCGGGGATGAGCAGACCAGCAATCATCTTCGACAAATTGTTGGTCGCAATGCCGTTGCCGTAACGAGCGTATAGGATGGTGCTCTGATGAATGTCAGCCAACGCCGCGGAGATGAATGTGGAGTATCGACACTTACGAATGGCGCAATGATGCATCCCAGGATCAACGCCACGATGTAGGCCCAGACGGGAAGATGGATGTTCTCCTTCAGGCAGACAATAAGACCGAGGATGAAGCTGACGACCAGGATTGCCATGTACCAATACCACGGGACTTCCTTGTAATGCTGGGCCATGTAGTTGTGATGGCGGTCATCGAAGCGACCTTTACGAGCCATACGGTAGGTGTTGAGGATGTCCTTGCCCCAGAAGAGGATGCAGTGCACGATGAGAGCACCAATGGCAGCGTTGGCGATGAACAACCCCCATGCAAAGGTGCCGGTCAGCTTGGGCAGGCCGTACTTCTTGAGGGCCTCCTCATCCAACACTCCCTGGACAAAGACCTGCGCGATGGGGTAGTAGCCTCCATCTGCGGAGCGGAGCTCGGAGGACATGAACGGCAGCGATTGCGCATTCCAGATGTTGCCGTAGTAGACGATGATCATGGCAATGTAGCACGTGATGAATCCAAGCGCCGCATTGACCTGATATTTCAAGGGAAGCGAGGTGGTGCTCGAGGTGATCTGTCACGGCGTCAGTGCCACATCCCGCATAAAATAATTCAAGACACGCACGTATTGCCAATCGAAGCCAAAGTTGAAGAGCCCCAGACCCTCGTTGGTCTCGGCGCCACCAAAGAGGTTGGTCAAAATAGAGCCGGTGTTGCCAGTGGCATGCATGGATGCCAGACATGGAACGGAGACGGAGTTGAGCCAGGGCCAGATGTATGCGGGCAGCGCCTCGTACAACGTCATGGTGCCATATGCATACCAGAAGTAGCGGAGGGGTTTGGACTTCTTCACTTCCTGCCAGTGAAGGCCTTGCAGCGACTTGACAATGGGAAGGTTGCTCCAGTACACGGATTCGACGTGCCAGACGGTGATGGGACGCATGAGACCGCAGAGGCCGTATCCGAACAGCCCGATGGAGCAAGTGCTGAGAATGACAGTCGTGGCGTTGAGAGGGATGTCGTAGAACAACGTCCCGGCAGCAAAGACCATGCTGCTCGCGGCCGCATTGGAGGCAGAGGTCGCGGTAATGGCACTCACGGAGTGCTCCTTCAGACCCCACGGACCGTAGTTGAAGAAGGAAAGGATTCGAATCCCGAGAGGTGTCTTGCCTTGACCGCCACGTGCTCTCCACCGCGCTTCCCAGATGTCACCACGGGGCAAGAAATCCGCCCAGGCTTTGCCGAGGAAGTAAGCCAACAGAACGATGAAGGTACCGGAGAGAGACACATAGGTGGGTTTGAACTGGGCAGGATGTCAGCAACACGACAGAGTGCTTTGCTGGAGATGAATGTTACTGACAGTGTAGATTTGCTGCAGGACGGCCATGAAGCCGGCAAGGACAGTGGCGAGGAAGATGCCTCGAAAGGTGATGGAGGGATCACCATCATCGCGGAGGGGCAAGAGATGGAGAGCAGCGTCTGCACCAGTAACAATCACCCGGTCATCATCGAAGTCTACTTCGCTTTCGCTGACGACTTCAGTGGTCTCGACGGCCACGCCGCGTTTCTCGTCGCTCATATCAGCCTTGTCGACATCGAGGGCCTGTTCAATCGACGCCCTGCGATGTTCGTTGACGTCCCGGTGTGTCGGGATGGAATGAACCTGGCCATCAATTCCGACGCCCGGCCCGATGAGCTCTTCGTTCTTGGAAATGAGAGGCATGTTGGCGTGGTGGTCGACAGACGAAACCTACGTGCACAAAACGGCGAAGCTTTCGCCGCGCGGTGCAAGCATTTATCTGACGGCGGGCGGCCAACCCAGCATCGGGGCCGAGCGGGACAAGCATTGCAAATCTGGTCCCTTGAATGGCGCGAGCTGGGCAGGAAGCTGGTTGATCGCAGACCGATTGGTTTCAGCCGGGGCGAATTTCCACGATACTTGGCGGGAATAGGCTACGGGCAGAGCACGCCATCGCAAATCTTCTGTGGCGGCTCAACCACAGCGTTACATCTCACATTTTGCCAGCCCATCTTCGGTCTAGATCAGCGGTGCCCTCATCCGCCCTCACACAATGTGCGCTTTCCGTCGGACAGAGTGCAGAAATTCGGCGATCTCGCATCCAGACACCAGTTAGAAAGCGCGGCCGTCGGCTGTCGTGATCATATTTGATCGGGCACGGTGGAGGCCATCGATGAGGTGATCGCACCCAGCGTGTTCTTCGCGTATTCCACGCAGCGTTGATTCGGCATGTCGCTGGCGACGACGCTTCTTTATTCACGACAGTGGGGGAAAGCCGTTGCAACCAGCGAACATCGCCACGTGCTTCTTCAACTTCGTGGTACACTTCGATACTGCTGTAATTAGAGCGCGAGCCTGGCAACGAGTTGTCTCATGTGTGGGAATCGTCCCGCGGTGTCGGTCGCGAATGACCTTATCGGACTCTGCTCCTTATCGGTCTCTGCTCCGCCATTCATCAGCTGGCTAATTTGATCGTCGACCAACGAGTCATGCTGCGAGGTGGGGGGCGCGGTTCCGAGCTGATGATACGACGGCTGGGTGCGTGGGATCTTCAGTCGCACTGCAGGTCACCATGCGCGCGGCCAGTTCGAGGCCAGGCCAACCCTAAGCGCATGTCTTGATTTTGAGGCTCCCACCTTCCCGAAGGTCGACTCTGAGGCGTCGATTTAGGCCAGACTGTTGGCAGAAGGAGAGCCATAAGATGTCGGAAATTGCGACGAAAGCCCTCGTTCTCTGTTCGCAAGTGGATCTGCTCTTCACACCAGAGATGTACTGCCGCTCTTCCACGCATCGAGGCTCAGCTGGGAAGCTCACCAGCCGGGCAGCCATCGAAGCCAGTGACTCCCAGCCTGGAGCAGAGAGGCCAACCCTCCGAGCCGAGCCTCGGACGGGTCGTGTCAAAAGGTGCCATGGCCAACAGCTGAAGGAGTAGTGGTGGCATTCGAGGTTGACAGGGTGCGTGTTGCGTGGACGGTCAAGGGGGGCAGGAGTGTGACCTACGTGGGTATGCAAGGCTTCGAGGAAGACAACACCTGGTTGTGAGAGCCCTACCTCAATATGTGTTCGACGGCACCATCTGCTAAACACCGAATGCAGATGGATGTACGATGGGTCAGAGAACGTCGCAGAAGGTGTAGAGGTGAGGTTGGCAGAAGAGAAGGCGAATATGATATACTTTCATCGGTGAGTGGATTAATCTCGTTGGCTGCTGAACTCCGTAGGGCGCTGGGGCTGTAATGCGTCAGCTTGTTACCACATCTGGAAGTAGGTCGCTTCTCTTTTGATGAATGAAGCCTGGTTGGCCTGACGGCCATGTAGTAGGGCGTGCGGACTTGCGTGTCTACATTGGCCGTGATGCGAAGGTATAACATTGACCATTATACAGAGGACGGCACATGCCTGAACACATAGCGGTGGTGCTGTCTACTTTACTTTCGCGAAAACGATAATCGTCAACGGCCTGGAGTATTTATCAGGTACCGGCTGTATACATTGCCGCTTGTTTCACGGCATCGAGGTGAGAGACTGTTCACATGTCGTGGTGTCGAGACAGACGCGGCTGGCGTAATGCCGCGTCAATCAGTGGAATGGGCATCGAGGTGAGATGCAGTGTTCAAAGTCCAGGAAAGAGATGCGAAGAGCAGCATGGTGATGGTGAGCGTTTCGAGATACGATGCGGTGAAACGCTGTATGATGGGCGGTTCATTCCCTGCGATCAATTTGGCAACACAGTACAGCCAGATTTCCAAGTATGGTCCAGGACTTGCGAGGCGTAGCCGTACGTGGGAATGTCCGACGCTCAGAGAACTTCGTGGTGTTCCACGGATAGACGTGCGTGGTTTGTTGTAAAGGTGAGTTGCAAGCACACAGCAAGCTCCCCCATCATCAGGTACAACCGTTGCTATTCCGAGTCATGCGTACGGTATGCAGCAGGATCTCCGCACCAGTTCGAGTCAAGACGGGGTTGGAAGCGAAGCTCTTCCCTTCCACCAAGTCTTGGTGTCTTGGTCGGTCGCAGGCGATTGGAGCGCACGACTTGGCGGCAGAGCGGTCACGTGAGCCCCGATTTCGGGCCTTCACGTGCGTGCGCATTGCAAAAGCGTGCACATCATCGGGCCGACGTGGGAACCCAAGCCTGATTTGTGTCGAATGCTGGCGATCCCTCGTTGAAGTGGAGGAGTCAAGCCATGTGCCGCGCCGCGGTTGGGGAGGAATTGTGGAGAGGCGAAGGGAATTGACGGCAAGCATTCGCTGAGCGTGCACATCGCTCTTGGCAACATATCGTCATGAGGAGATGGTCCAAGCCTTTCGCCTCCGTCTTACAGGGCAAGAAGAGTGGAACCTGGGGCGATGGATCTGGGGATATCATTAAATGAGGGATTGTCCCGCTTGGACAGATTTTTCCTCTCCATTCTCTCAGCCATATCACATCGCCCTCACTCACCATGTCGGAGAAGAAATCCGCCGACCACGTCGACTACAACGAAGACAACAAGGCCTATGATGGCCAGGATCGACAACCATCGATCCTCGACGCCACCCGCCGGCAGTCTGTTGCGCTGAATGTGGTGGAGAACCCATTGAAGGTGAGGCTGTGACGATGCTTCCAGGCCAGAGTCCAGACTAATCGTCAACAGCGCCGTTCGCCGGAGCAAAACGTGCTTGATGCGCGCGCCTATGCCGAGGCGAATGGTATGGCAGAGCACGCCGATCTATTCGGTCGCGCTGCTCTCGTCGCCCGCGAGCCCACAGGGTTCACGGAGCTGGACGAACTCGACGAGAGCGAGCAAGCCGCGCTCTCCTACGAACTCGCCCACAAGTGGCACGGCCCGACGATGCTCTGGTATTCCATCATCCTCTGTGCCATTGGCGCCGCCACCCAAGGTTGGGATCAAACGGGATCCAACGGTGCCAATCTGAGCTTTCCCGTGGCCTTTGGTCTCGAGACTCCAGGAGGTGTCAGTTCTCCGTTGGATCAATGGTACGTCCATCTGCTCGCAAATGAGGCAGCTGTACTAATTGTTCTCCCGCAGGATCATTGGAATTATCAATGCCATCATCTTCTTGACGGCCGGATTGATGTAAGATTTCCAGGTAATCACATCATACGAATCACCACAACTAACACTTCCCAGTGGTGCTTTCATCGTCGATCCACTGAACCACTATCTTGGACGAAGAGGCGAGATCTTCCTCACCGCTTGCTGTCTCACCGCCACTCCTATCGGCTCGGGCTTTGCGCAGTCGTGGCAAGGTCTATTCGCTGCTCGCTTCGTCATGGGAATCGGCATCGGCGCCAAAAACGCAACCGTCCCCATCTACTCGGCAGAGATGGCTCCCGCGCGTATTCGTGGCGCCCTTGTCATGTTCTGGCAACTCTGGGTGGTCATAGGCATCTTTCTCGGATTCTGCGCCAACGTCATCGTCAAGGACACCGGCAATATCTCCTGGCGCCTTCAACTCGGCTCAGCCTTTATCCCATCTTTCCTCCTCATGCTCGGCATCTGGTTCTGCCCCGAATCACCGCGCTGGCTCATGAAACATGGAAAGCATGCCAAGGCTTTCCGCAGCATGCAACGACTGCGTGCTCATCCCATCATTGCCGCCCGCGACTTTTACTACTCCTACGTCATCTACGAGGAGGAGCGAAGACTGTGCCCAAACTCCAACTACTTCACCCGGCTCCGAGACTGCTTCACCATTCCTCGTATCCGCCGATCCAACTATGGAGCTTCGACGGTCATGATTGCTCAGCAGATGTGTGGCATCAACAGTATGCTCCCCATCGATCTTCCCCCTCCTCCCGCTTACTGACACCTGAGCAGTCATCTCGTTCTACTCGTCCACCATCTTTCTCCACGCCGGTTACACAAAGACCCAAGCGCTGTACGCCTCCTTGGGCTATGGTGCTGTGCAAGTCGTGTCCACTATCCCGACACTGTTCCTCATCGACACTAAAGGCCGCCGAACGCTGACGTTAGCTGTATGTCGCTCGTCTCTGTGCATCCCCGGCCCCTGCTAACTCTCGTCAGACCTTCCCGTTCATGTGCATCTTTCTCTTGGCGTCAGTCTTTTCCCCTCCACCCCCTTCGAATCTCTGTGTTGACTTGTATGATTAGGGCGGGTCTATCGTTGCTCAAAACCGACGGCTCCCAGGCCGCTCGCGTCGGGCCGGTCGTCTTGTGAGTTGCCTCACACTCGCCGTCTCGAAGTGTATCTGACCAACCCAACAGATTCGTTTACCTCTTCACCGTCGCCTACTCCTTGGGTGAGGGACCAGTGGCTTTCCAGTACTCGGCAGAGGTTTTCCCAACGTACGTCAGAAACGCTCTTTCCACTCCCGTAACGCATTTACTGATTTGCCACAGCATCCAGAGAGAACAAGGCATGGCATGGGCTGTTTGCATCAACAATACTTTCGGTAAAGCTCGTCTCCTTTGCGTGCTCGCAGACACCCTTTGCTAATAACTCTCGCGCAGCCGGAATTTTGAGTCTTACGTTCCCCAGAATGGTGGGCGTGATGGGCCAAGTCGGCGCTTGTAAGTTCCTGCTTCAAAGGCCATGCTCTTCGTCTCCTCGCTAACGCCTCAACCAGTCGGCTTTTACGCTGGCCTGAATCTCATTGCCTGGTTCATGATCTTCTGCTTCGTCCGAGAGACCAAGCAACTTACCCTCGAGGAAATCGATCGTAAGTGCACCATCAAAAAAACCCCTCGGCGACTCTTCTCTAACACCGTCTGCAGAGGTCTTCTCCGTCCCGACCAAGGAATTCATCGGCTACGAGACAAAGGTCTGGCTGCCTTGGTTCATCAAGCGCTACGTCTTCCGACGCAATGTGGTCAAGCCGCCTCCCATCATCGAGAGGGCCGAGAAGGTCGATCTTACCCACGAGGAGTAGTGTGGATCAGGCTCAACAATGGAAAAGACGGGTAGCAGTCCCAGCCCGCAATACCGACAACACCGTTAGAAGCATTCGCGTTTCAGCAACTATCAAAGATACGTAGCCAGAGAACTCAAGATTGCCAGATATATCGCATATATCCATCTCATTCTAATCTCCATTATACGTTCTTTACCGCGTGGTCCGTGGCCGTAGTGTAGCCCTGTTCCATCGCCGGTACCGACCTGGTCGTGGCGGTGCCCGTCTTCGTCAAGTGTCGTGCTAAGCCATCGTCTCCGTCCTCGTGGGATGCGTGGCCTGCGGCAATCTTCTTCAGACTGTCGCGCATGACGAACTCGTAGAAGCCGGTGGCGAAGATGGTTGCCGGCAGGTTGACGAGGATGGCGATCCACGAGTAGCTGTGATAGGTGAAGGCGCCACGGCCGTAGAAGATTGCTGCCACCATGCGTGTGCCCAAGTCACGAGCAAGGTTGGTGGAGATGGTGATATCGGCGTCTGTGTCATCGGTCAATTAGCATCCATAGACATCACAATCCAAAACGACACAGGAGGGGAAGTGCTTGAGCGAGATGTCGACAACGGAGGTTCACTGCTAAGAGTGCAGAACGTGGGAAGGCGTCGGTGGCACTTACAAGCCCAGATCTGTCAAATTGTTAGTGCAAAACATCGATCAACGGGGCAGGTGCTCTTACGTTTGCAGCGTAGACCAGACCAATGGCAAAGGGAGCCATCGACGGGCTCACAAACGGATTCGCAGGATCCAAGCATGCCCAGATGAGAATGCCCTGAGGCAGAGGGTCAGCATAAAGCAGGAAGCGGCAGACTCGGCGATGGCACTCACAATGTAGGCGTCGACAAACCATTCAATAAGGAACAAATGGCCAAGACTCTGGCTAGGCAAGGGGAAGGAGCACAGAGTCGATGCAGGAGAGCCAGGGCCGGTCAAGCTTCCACCAGCGGCAAGCGTGGCGTCGGCAAAAGCGGAGAGCTGCTGCCAGTACAAGCCGACCATCATCAACCCAGCGAGAAAGGAGCCAAAGATCTGCACGTGTTAGGCAAAGCACGTCGTGGAGGGCCGGGTCGGCTTACCTGTGCAAAAATGTAACGAGGGACCTTTTTCCAAGGAAAGCCTTGCCAGATGGCCAAACCTATCATGGATCAGCACAGGACTCGTATCAATGGGAGCCATGAGACTTACTGAGCGTTACAGCAGGGTTGAAATGACCACCGCTGACGGGGGCACAGGTGATGATTGCAAAAGCCTGTATGACGTGAGCAAGACCAAAACGACGCCGGTCAATTCCGGGCGACTTACGATGCCCAAGGCAAAGGCAAAGCCGACTTGCAGGAGCGATCCATACGCAGCATCGGCCTTGTTGATGGTCAAGGCGGCGATGGCGCCAATACCTGGGAAGACGTAGAAGTAGACTCCCACCGCTTCGGCAATCATCTCACGCAGCCATCGCGGGCGCCAGTGCTCCCAGTCGAGTCTGCGTTGGGAGACGGGCTTCGCGGCGACAATGTTCCGGGAGATGTGCTGCTGGACTGCCTCGACGAGACCCAGCTCGATCTCGTTCGTATGAAGCTGTTTAGACGTGTGAGCCGTGGCGGCAGCAACAAGAAGAGTTGTTGCAACTTACGCGGCGCATGTCGGTGCTGCTGTTGCTGTCACCCATTTTGTCGATTGGTTGGCGTGATTAGTTAGAAATGCTTGTTGTGCCGCTCTGCGCCTGGAGGTGATGGGTTACCGAGGTGGGAGATGAGCGGCAGGGTGACCTCTATTATACTCCCCGGTAGGAATCATGAAATCATGGCATGTCACTCGCGGACTTAGCGACATTGTTTCCGTCCGATTTGCCCCCCGTCTTCCACCAATTGCCGTGCTCCACTCCAACTCCAACGACCCTGAAAGGACATTTGCCAAGCACGAGAGTGTGGAGCACCCACATTTGCACGTGGAGAACCGGGCCTCCGCACGCGGCAACGCACGAATCACAGGGGTGCATCGTGCATCAGACCTCGGTTCTCTGCCCCGGGCGCGTGTCCTCGCACCCCCAACAAATACGAAGTCTCGGTCAGCACCGGACGGGCAGCCGAAAGAAGAAGGCGTGTTGTACAATTCGGCGTCGGACCAACTGCCTCCCGCGTTTTTAAGCTTTCCCCCACAACCCAGACGCCCGGCGGCTTTCCCCAGAAGGGAAAGGCGGGCGAAATTAAAGCACAGCCGCATGGTGTAGCTCGACGTTCCCCGCCTGGTCGCCATGCCTCGACGCCCGCGGATGCTACGTCGCCTTGCAACCAGGAACAAGCCTCGGGAAAGTACACAGTTACTTACAGCGCGTGCTGGGTGGTGCATCCGTCGGAAGAAGGGTGCGCGATCTCTCCATCTGTCGTTGGAATGCGCGAGTGCGAGCCCGATACACGCTGGTAGCGCTGATTACTCGACATGCTTATCTCAACCTCCTGCCACGCTTCGTTGGCCGTCAAGGTCGTCCATCAAGTGACTCGTGGTGAGAAGACTGCTGCTTGTTCGTAGGGGTTTGCATAACATGTGCTTACTACATCCATGTTCCTTCGCTTTTCGCCCCTTGCTCGTCAGCGGCATTCTTCCGCGATCCGCAATATCCGCCCCCAGTTGCGACAACATCGTGGCTGTAAGCGAAGCCTTCCAACAAGCCACCCAAGCTGTCAACACCGCGCCAGACGAGGAGCGCAACGCATTGCGTGCGTGAAGTGGGCGGCAACACAACCTTTCCGTTTCTCGTCTTGAACGGCGCTGATGGTCGACTAAACGATGGAGTCCCGAGCTGAGGAACGCAAAACCTCAGCCTGGCGACGTACGCGTCGTTCCAGGGTGGAGCCAGATTACACTGGGAGATCTGGCAAGTCAGCTTGCCGGCATCGCGCGCGTACGCAGGTTATCCAAGGCACGTGTCCTGTTCTCTTGAACTCACACTCTGCCGTAAACGCGCTCAACGATGTCGATTACAAGTGGGATGAAGCGACAGCGACAGAGTTGGGAATCAAGGCAATTGCAAGTCATCGACGCGCCACTTGCGATTACTTCTCCGCGTCAGGTGATCATCAGGCGTGCCGCAATGATGGTGGGATGCGCGTCTCTGGCAACCGGGGTAAATCCTGACTGACAGGGCCAGACTTCGTCCATGGCATAAGCGGAGAACTGCCATACTTTCCGATTGGTCATACCTGTGCCGGCGCTGGAAAGGATTCCACGAGAGCCAGGCTGGATCGGTCTTTGGAGGGAATTATGTGGATGTTTCAACGACCTCCTGAATCGCCATCATCACAGAGGATGATCCGGGGTTGAAAATCGTCGAATGGTCAAGCAACGGCAAGAGCGTGCTGCAGATCCAGGAGAAGATCTTGCGAGCAGACGCAGAGCCAGTCGATGTGACCTTCAGACCTTGTCCAAATCTATCGTACGCAGGGAATGGAGTCGAACTCACTGGCTCCAGCAATTTCCTGACGGTAGGCGGGCGTCTCCCAAGGCGAAACATTTATGAACGCGTACAAATTAAGCATAGGGCGCGGTCCCCGGCCGGCTTGGGTAAGCGTGGACGGTTTCACACACGGTAGCGTCGGCTTTGAGGCGTTTGTCTTTGAGATGGATGCCGAGACTCGTACGGCAGGTGTCATCCGTCCGCTTGCTTGGCGAAGCAGATTGATAATAAGACAAATGACATGAGAGGACGTGGAAAAACGGTTGTATTGTTGGCTGGACAGAACCCTTCAGCCAGCCTTTCGACTCCGCCGACTGCCCCCTTGCTTCTGACCATCCTTCTTCCCCACTTTTGCCTTGTAGTCTTGCAACTCTTTGACCGCCTCGGCTTCGTCTTTGGCGTCCTCCGCCTCCTTCTTTTCGCGTGCCCGTCGGCTGGCTCCTTGCTTCTCGGCCTCCTCAATCATCCTCTCGCTGTAGTCCCATAGCTTCTTCTGGGTCTCTTCCTCGGTCACGTCCTTCCGTCCGAACTTTCGAGGCGCACATTCTTTGATGTACCAGCCGCCCTTCTCCGTCTCCTTTAGGTTCTCGTCCAGACTCTGTGCGAGAAGCGAGAATCTCTGGTCCATGGCGGCGTAGAGGAACGATTGTGCCCCTTGATCCGGGCTCTTCAAAACCAACCACCAGATTGGGTAAGTGAGCAGATAGAGTAGCAAGCCCAACAAGCTACCCCACGTTAGCCAGCGGCGAGTACCTGGCGTTCGACAGAGTCCAGGATCGACGAGGAGGACTTTGGCGTTCATGGGGAATTTGTCCGGCCGAGTGTAGGAGGATAGATGCTTCTGTAATGCGAGTGCGAACGCTGTCAGGGCGAATTTGGATGTCGGGAAAGCGTTGGCGGGGGACACTCGTGTGGGTTCGAGAAGCGGTTGAGTGTTCGGCTGCGGCTTTCCCTTGGAGAATGGTTTTGAGGAAGACGGGTGGGTGATGTGTAGCAGGTCTCCTGACAGGTAGGAGCTGCAAGCGCCAATGATGATACGCACATCTCGATCCGGCGGCTGCGCTCGGATGGCCGGGCTGAGAATGCTGAGCAGATGGAAGTTGGCCAAGTAGTTGACCTGCCATATTCTCTCCACACCCTCCTCCGCCAAATCTCCCACCTCTTCTCCTTCTTTTACGGCGCGCGCGGATGCGGTGCTGGTGGTGTTTGCGCATAAAACAACCATGTCCAGTCGACGCGGTGGGACGTTATCGATCCATTTCGTAGCGAAACGGCGGATGCTGTGGAGGCTCGCAAGATCGACTTGTTCGGCGGTGAGGAGCTGGTTGTTGGTCTGAGAGCGGACATCTTGGATGAATTCGACAAGGAAAGGGTCGCTCAAGGCGTGCTGGGTGAGGAGGACAATCTGAGCGCCGTGTGTTGCGAGATCTCTGACCACCGCCTCGCCAACTCCGGATGTTCCACCCTGTGTAGAAAGTTAGCGATGTTCGGTTTCGAAGTAGAGGATGAACGGAATGCGCGTACCGTCACCAACACCACCTTGCCATGCATGTCCCGCTCGCCGGTGTTGCGAGCGCCGCCAAAGAACCATTTGAGGAGTACGACCAAGGCGAGCCATGGCACGGCCTTAAGCGCTGGCCATACCCATGGCACCGAGTCCAGGCCATCGAAGACCACTTGACGAAGGATGGGGATGGGCATGGTGGCAATGACATGTCGTCGTTTAGAAATATCCAACCATGACGGACTTTATCAACGGATGAAGCACTTGGCCCATGCGCGCCAAGCCGACTGACGTTTACCCTTGCCTAATCAAGCAGGTACGTCTCTGCAACCTAATCTTGACCTCCGCCTCTACATGCGGTCCATCTCTCTGCTACGCTTGCATGTTCAGGAAACACTGACCCTGCGCCTCTTCTATCGATTTGCAGCCGGCAAAATAACGACATATGCTACCCCACTTCCCAGGATCACCGAGGCCCTGCCCCCGAGCAACGTGGTGGACGACGACAATATCGGGACGTATTGGCCTTGCGGAATGCAACGAGAAAGGTACTATGATGCGTGACTAGGTACTCGCAGCAAGGCTTTCTTTCATTGCGTGCTAATCACTACGGAGTTGCACTAGAGATCTATTTGATCGCAAGCTCACACCTGAGTTGCAGTCCACTGTGCGTCGAGATTCGTGATCTTCACGATCACGGCCAATTCATCTTTCGCAATGCCTGGTGTCACTCGTTCCCTATCCAGGCGGATGCACTCTCACGTGCCTCTCACAACTTGGACTTCTTCTGATCGGGAGGTGCCATGTCGAGCCAGGAAAAGTCCTGCCGAGTGTGTTAGCAACGGCGGTGATGATGAACACAATCACAAAGACGCGACTCACCATGACCAAATCAGCTTGCGGATCAACAAGCACATTAATGACCACCGGGACTTTGGCCTTGAAGCCCTCCTCCGTCGCCTTCTTAAGCTCGTCGCTTGTGCGAGTGACATATCCAATCCCACCAGCCATATCCGCCACCTTCTCATACGCCGTCTCGTAGCCAAGAGACGTGGCACTGAGCCCCGGGCTCTCGCCCGTGCGTCCTTCCACGGACACCTTCTGTCGCTCCGACCACCCTTCACGGGTATCGGAGTCTCCGCGGTACAGACCGCTGTTGTTGATGACAAACACGATGATGTCCATCTGGTATCGAGCCATCGTCTCCACTTCCATGCCTGACAGGCCAAAGGCACTGTCGCCTTCAATGGCAATGATCTTCTTCCGCTCCTTTTTACCTGCTACTCCCTCGGGATTGGTGAAGTTGTACGCGGCAAAGGCTGCGATGGCATATCCCAGTCCAACACCCATGGTAGCGTACGTGCCTGCGTCCATCCGAATACGAGGATGTTCCATGGTGAAGATCGACCGAGAGATGTCCATGGCATTGGCGCCTTCGGAACAATACACAATGTTGCCGTCGTCGGGATTGGAAAGACGGTCCAGGGTCTCTTTGATGACGTTGAATGCCCGCTCGTAGGACATTGGGACTTTGTCTCCTGCCGCCTTCTTCGCGGCCTTGGCCTCGTTCTTCGACTTCGCGGCCTGGAGTGTTTTGTAGAAAGGAGTTGATTTACCCTGCCACTGCCAGCCCTTCAGTTGGGACGTAAGTGCTTCGACAACCAGACCAATGTCCCCAACGACGCTGAGTGTTGGGTGCCCGCCATTCTTGCCAATCTCTTCCGCGCAGAGGTCGACCTGGATGATCGTGGCATCTGCTCTCCACTTTGGAGGCAGGCCAAAGGAGAGGACCCAGTTCAGTCTTCCACCGAGCACGAGAACGACATCAGCCTCATTCAGTGCCGTTGAGCGCGCCGCGGAGTAGTTGTTGGGGCTGGAGTCGGGAACGACGCCCTTTGCCATTGGCGAGGGGACAAACGGCAGGCCGGTTCTGTACAGCACGATTAACACACGCCCAACTTGCCATTGGTCTATTGGCGAACATACTGATCGATCAAGGCTCGAATCTGCTTCTCCGACTGGGAGTAGGATGCGCCTTTTCCGAGCACCACGAGTGGCGCTTTCCCCGACTTGATGGCTTGTGCAATGTCTCGGATCTTGTTGGCGGGGGCGGTGGATCGCGGAGTCTCGGTCAGTGGGGCCAACTTCTTTCTCGGGACTTCAAAATGGCCCAAGATGATGTCTGCAGGAAGGTCGATATAGGTAGGACCCGGACGCCCAAACATGGCTATCCTGTACGCATCTCGAATGAAGTCCGGGACCATGTGTGCATATGGAGGTCGCAGCGCCAGCTTTGAAATGGGCGTGATCATCGGGATAGCGTCCACTTCCTGGAATGCACCTTTGTTGGCATTGTGCGTCTCACTTGCACCGGACAGCACCAATAAAGGCCAGGCATTTGCCATGGCGTGTGGGATCTGTGGATTCTTTCAGCACCACGCCGCCCATCGCATTCAATCTGTACTTACACCAGCCATGATATGGAGCATGCCGGGACCGCCAACGGAAAGGCATATGCCAGGTCTGCCGGTGAGGTAGCCATAGCCCGTGGCGGCATACACAGCGGCCTGCTCGTTGCGGAAGCTGATGAAGCGAATGCCCAAGTTCATGGCCTCCTGGGCGATATCAATGACCGGAAGGCCCGGCAACCCGAAGATCACCTGGACCCCGAGGTCGTGCAGCGACTGCGCGATCAACTTGGCTCCGTAAACCATGCTTGCGGCGTGCGACTGTCAGTTTTGCAACACGAGTGTCGATGATAAGTACAATGTCGGTCAGGACGCTAGGCTCCGAAGCTCCCTGCGCCTCGCTACAGTTGCTCGTTCGGAACGGCCAAGGGAGGCATGACGTGGAGCCTCCGCGTTTCCCCGCGCGCCGGCTATCTCCATTCTCGTTCCCCAAGCTCGGAAATCCTAATTGTGGGGTCCGCGGCTGCGAAGCTCTCCATCTAGCCGGTACATGAGTTTCTTTTTGCGGGGAAGGTTGGCGATATACCTTCCCTCCGCGCATGCAGCCCTGATCTTACGAATGCTTTCCGGGGGGGAGCGGGCAAGATCTAGACTGATCAATCGCTCCCCGATCCTTTGGTAGCCCCGCATCAGAACTCCTTACCCCTCCTGTAGCACGCATCTTATAAACAGTCCGCCGGTACGTCCTCTCAACCTCTCCCCTTTCTCCTGATCAGAGTGCCTCAAGAGCATCGGCAACGACCTGCGCCAGCCTCAGATTTCCTTGTGTCAGAACCCCCATTCATTCGACCCTTTCCTACCTCCAAAACTCCAAACAAACGTCTTCAAGATCAAGATGGGTGATTCGTACGACTACATCATCTGCGGGTAAGTCGGGATCAATGCCATTGATTGCTGTAGGCGGCAAGCTGACAACCGGCATTCTAGTGGCGGCACCAGCGGTCCGGTCATCGCCGGTCGCCTGTCCGAGGACTCCAATGTCCGCGTCCTCATTCTCGAGGCCGGCAAGGACAGCGCCGACATGACCAACATGCACATGGCAGGCGCGTACGTATCAAGTCTTGATCCTGTTCCACCTCCGTTTGGAAGCTGATGATCTTATGCACAGCTGGACCATGAACCACCAGGGCGAGACCGACTGGAACATCATCACCCCAGGACAAGAGGGTCTCCACGGCCGCACCGTCCACGTTCCCCGCGGTCGTTTCCTCGGCGGCAGCAGTGGATGCAATGGCACCATCTGCGTTCGTGGTGTCCGTCAGGACTACGATGACTGGGGTGTCCCCGAGTTCAGCGGAGACGAGATGTTCCGGGCCATGCGAAAGGTATGGCAACCAACCAACCATCCACTCAAACATAATTGACTAACCTTCACAGTCCGAAACCTTCCATCCCGCCAGTTGGTTCCCGGAAGACAAAGCCGCGCACGGCACGGATGGCCCCTTGCACATCACCCCTGCGCCCTGCGGACCTCTGGGAGAGCTGTTCCTCAAGAACTACCAGTCCAAGGGCCTGCCCTACATCCCCGACCTGTTCAGCTCGGGTGAGGCGGCCAATGGCTGCGGTCACGCCATGAGGACCACATGGCAGGGTACTCGCACCACCGCCGCGGACTTCATCACCAAAGACAAGAAGCGCGGCAACGTCACTGTCAGGTGCAACGTCACTGTCGACAAGGTCATCCTCGAGAAGGGAGCCGATGGCCTCTTGGTCGCAAAGGGCGTCGAATTCCTGGACGAGAAGGGCAACAAAGCTCAAGCTCTGGCCAAGAAGGAAGTTGTCATTTGCTGCGGTACCTACTGCAGCCCCGCCGTGCTGAACCGCTCTGGTATTGGAGCCAAGAAGGAGCTCGACGCCGTCGGCATCGAGACACTCGTTGACATTCCGGGCATCGGCAAGAACCTGTCCGATCACCAGCTGATCTTCATCTACTACGAGTTGAACCGCGCCGGTCTTACCAATGACGAGCAAGTCAACCACGACCCTGACGCGTATGAGAACGGCAAGAAGGAGTGGGAGGAGAAGCGAAGCGGCTGGCTGTCGACCTTCCCCTTTGGCTCCTTTGCCTTTGCACGCTTGAACGACCGTCTCGACGCCGAGAACAAGGAGTGGCGCGATATGCCTCGTGAGCCCGGCCGTGACCCCATGGGCCTTACTGCTAAGCAGCCCAACCTCGAGTTCTTCCACACAATCTGCTACGGTGGACCACCTGAGTAAGTCTTCCTGTCTGCGACCTCATCATCGCCTCGTCCACTAATCGCCTGTCGCAGATACACCGACAAGCCCAAGCCAGGCCAATACGCCTTCGCCATGTGCTGTTTCCTCATGAACATCCAGTCTCGCGGCTACGTGCAGGTCAAGAGCAAGGATGCCAAGGAAACCCCGCTCGTCGACCACAAATACCTCTCCGACAAGCGCGATCTGTTGATGATGTCCGAAGGCGTGCGCTTCGCCAACGAGCTCGTCATGACCGGCGAAGGCACCAAGGACGTCGTCAAGGGCGCCTGGCCGCCCGGCGCGACGCACCACCTGAACAAGTCGAACGAGGACTGGCAGCCGTTTGTGCAGAAGTACTGCTCCACCTCCTACCACCCGGTGGGAACATGCAAGCTCGGTAAGGACAGCGACCCCACGGCCGTCGTCGGCCCGACGCTCATCGTCAAGGGCTGCAAGAACCTCCGTGTGGCGGACTGCAGTGTCATGCCGACTGCCCACAGCGGTCACACGCAGATGCCGGCCTACGGTATTGGTGAGCTGGCTGCCGAGTTCATCATCAAGGGCAAATAGATGTTCGATTCCATACAATCTAGGCTGGCCCTCGATGCCACGCGCGCCAGGGCAGCCTGGCCTGGGATGCAGGTGTGCCGCCTTGGGGTTTCACGTTATCTAGTTCAAAAATGGTATCCTGTGTATAGCAGTTCTCCTGCGTTCTCTCCTTTGATCGATGCGAGGCATTCGTGGAGGCTGATCATCACCGTATTTGACCTTACCTGATTCCTCACAACGTTAGAGTGAACCGCGACAGGGATGCTGTATGCACTCCCCAGCACGTGATCGACAATGATCAGCCAAAGTCTTTACGCAATCCCCAAACTCAGCACTCCACTTTTGCACCAAACGACGGGATACGAGTTGGCAAGGCCCTACGTCAAAGTTGGCCAGAAGACTTGGCAAGATCTCATCAGCCCCAATGACGAGCTCGAGATCGCAGCGTGGATATATAAATACGGTTGCGGCTGGGCAAGCACATCGGCGTTTCTTTGCTGACTTCCATCTAAACGACTCTCTTTCAGTACCAGTACAAATACAAACAAGCGCCGCACAATCTCAAGCAACATGTCGGGCCTCATGGACAAAGCGAAGGAAGCGGTGCACAAGATGGGCTCGAAGCCGGGTGCGGACCAAAAGGTCGACAACTACGCCAACAAGGGCATCGACCAGGCCACCGACCGCGCCGGCCTGGGCGACAAGTACGATTCGAAGATTGATAAGGTTGCGGATGTAAGGCTTGATATCTTCTGACATTGCTTATGCTTGCGCTGATTGCAACTTAGAAACAAATCAACAACCAGCTTGGTGGCCAGGGCGGCGCCCAACAAGGCAACCCAGGCCCGCAGTAAGGGATGAGTGTGGACATCTAGCTTCCGTAGGAATGAACGGATAGCCAGCGTTGAATAGGGAGATAGAGTCGCATTCAGAATCTTGAAACGTCTCTGCCAAACAACCAATTGACGAACCTGTCAAGTAGCGTCAGCGAAACAAGTCCACGTTGAAGAGCCCAAGAGCACAACGTACCAATACGTCGGGATGAGTATCCGATTGCGCCAGCTCACGCTCTTCGCCAGATACGCCGACCGCCAAATGAACCACGCCACTCGTCCAGAGATGTCGTCTCCGTCGCTTTGAAGAATAGCATTTCGATTCCCAAGGTACGCCATCACGCCGAGGTTCTTGTATGTGAATTTCTGTTGCTCAATGTCGCCCTTGTTGAAGCGGGTGCCCAGCCAGCCTGCCTTCTGCGAGGCTACCTGTGCAGTCGCAGGATAGGAAGTGTCTTCGATGACGGCGCAGTCCTCAAGAGCGTAGACGTGTTGTAGGGCACTATCATCGTCCTTTTTGACCTGGAGTCGCTCGTTGGTGACGATACCGCCGGTCTTATCGTGTCGCTTTACTTTACCCGCAAGCGCATTGCTTACGAACGGGTTCATCATCAGTCCAGTCGACCACACACACATCCCGATGCCAATCTCGCCCTCCTCTGTGATTTTGATAGTGTAGCATGATGCACTGTCGCCAACGTCACCATGTTGCTTTGTTGCTTCCGGCGCGCCAACTCTGAGGTCTTCGATGTGATGTGATGTCTTGATGCTGATGCCTTGTCGATTGAATTGCGCCATTGCGTACTGCGACAGACGCTCATCGAACATGCTAAGTACGTTGGGGGCCACGTCGTAGACTGTGATTTGTGCGTGCTGGACGAGGTCAGGGTAGATGCGTTTCATGTCCTCTTGAATGAGATCGTGCAATTCGGCGGACCATTCGATGCCCGTCGGACCACCGCCCACGACTGCGAAGTTGAGCAGGTGCTTCCTCATCGCATCTGATGTCGTGGGCAGCGCCGCGGTCTCAAAGCACTCGAGCACCCGATTGCGGATTCTCCTGGCGTCACCCACATCCTTCAGGAAGAATGCGTTTTCTCGGACGCCCTTCGTGTTGAAGGTTTGATTGTAGCAGCCGACGGCAATGACCAGTTTGTCCCATTTAAGATCAAACAACTGCCCTTTCTTCGCCTCAACTTGCTTTTCGTGTGCTCGCTGAGCTTCGCTTTCGTGTGCATGTCGATCGAATGTGAGTGATCGGCCTTGCCACGGATCCTCGACAGCTTCCTCAATGGTCAAGCTCTGCCCCTCCAAATCGACCGCATCCGCCCATCCCTGAAAGAAGTGATTTTTCGACCGACGAGTTCTCACGGGCTCCAGGGTCGTCCTGAACTCCTGTGTGCCTACGGATGCACCAGCGAGCAGCGGAGTGAAGACGAAATATGACCTTGGACTGATCACGACGACCTGGTACTTCTTCGGGTCCAGATCTCGGGCGAGAGTGTACCCAGCCCACCCAGACCCTAGTACGATGATGCGTTCCCGGTCTTGTCGCTCTGCGTCTAGCTGCTGAGTTGTGATGTTGCGTTTGTGCACTGCTCTCAGAGGGGCATTGGCTGTGGGACGCCATGTTGAATAGAGCTTTGTGGCCCGGGCAGACAATGCGTGCCCTCGCAGGGGCAACATGACATCTGCTGATGTATCGAAAGAATAGCAGAACGAGAAGAAGCGCGATGCAGAACTGGCAAGATCTCGGGATGCTGGCACGGTGTTGTAGCAGTATCTTCCTAAGCGATGTGATGTGTGATGAGACGGAAGGCTGAGCCAGTAAAAGTGATGTGCACCTTCCGACAATGGAACGTTCCGGTGCTTTGCGCAAGCGTGACGTAAGGCTGGCGGTTTATTCTCGCCCTTCCGTATCGCTCCTTCTCCGATCAACAGAGACACTGAATTGAGGGAAAACGCGCGATGGGATGGCATCTTACGATGGTCGTATGAAGGTATCGACAGTCGATGGCGCGGAGGCTCATCGAAAATGCCCTTCTCCAATGTCATCGGTTTCGCGCGTAGTCACAATCCTTCGCGTGCTCAACGACCAGTAGTACCACGACAGTCAAACAGTAAAGTATTGAAACGGCTGGCCTGAACTTCCAATACTCCGTCTCAAGAACACGCCCGACAAGTCTAGACATGATCTACTTCCCACCTCCGCCCTGCTTCGCATCCCGGTACTCCTGCTGATACCGTCGAATGTCCTGCGCAAACATCGGACTCTCATCAGTCCAGCCCGTCAACGAGCGAATCTTCTCCGATGAAACATATTGCGAGAAGTTGGTCAACATATTCGAAGGCTCCAGCACGCCACGCTCAGACGCACCAAACTGCAGGCCTTGCGGGATCTGGTAGAGTCTGACGAGGGCATGTCCAACTTCACGCAGCGTCTCGTAGCGCTTCCCGGCCGAGACGTTGAAACACTGCCCCGCGACTTCCGAACGATTGGGGTGGTTCGCCAACGCGACGTATGCGTCTCCGCAGTCGTTGACGTTCATGCTGTGGACGATGGTGCGAGGATCGGAGTCGAAGTGCAGTGGTCGGCCGTCCTTTTTGGCGTCAGCTGCCAGTTCGAAGAACTCGCCGAAGTACGAACTCGAACCGCCGTGGACGTTGGTAGGGCGTAGAACGACAGCATCGAAGGAGTCTTCCTGCAAGGCCTGGAGCGAGTATGTGGTCCTGTTTTTGAGGAAGGGCGGGGGATTCAGGGAAGCCTCTTCAGTGTGCGCAACGAGATTGTGAGATCCATCCACTTCCCCGGGTCCGTAATCTTTGCAGCCGGAGGTGATGAGTACGAGAGGGCACACGCCTTGCTCATTGGACATCTGGGCCAGCGCTCGAAATAGGACCATCGTGTCCGTGAAGTGCTGAACGTAGTTCCGCTTGTCTTCTGTCGTGGAAGCAATCACGTCGATGGCGGTGATATGCGTCCTGACCGCGGCCAGCACATCCTCGTACTTTGCCGCAGAGCCCGTGATGGGGATGATGGAGTGTTTCTCTAGCACGATCGCCGACTGGGGAGTACGGACGAGGCCCAGCGTCTTGAAACCTGCCCTTTGGAATGCTCGAGCCACAGCTTCACCGATGTATCCATTCGCTCCGGTGACCAACGCCGTCTTCTGCTTCGGGTTGGATGTGTCCATCTTGACATCAGCTTTTGACTGAGTATAGGCATTCATTAGGCATATTAAACCCCATATAAAGCTATCTCCTACTACGCAACGAATCCACTAGTCCCTTAGACAGTACAAAGCAACGTGGAAGCCATTTTGATATCGCCTAAGCTACGATAGAATCTGAGCAAAATAGAGCACCGAGGGAGGTGGACATCGATGGACTGCACTTCAGGCACTCGTCACGCTGCGCGTAAATTGGATCCCGACGATCGATTCGACCAACATCAGCCCTTGACCGTATATCGCGCACCGTTAGGCAACCACTTCGACGTACAAATGCATTAGATACTGATGCACTGTGCATCATCTAAAGTGCGCGTACTTGTACCGGCGGTGTCTGATCTGGCAGACTGCTTTAGGAGACTTGGCTTTAGCTGCGCGGCCGAGGACGCCTTTGACCATGGGACGCCCGAAGCAGGAAGATGAGTTCGACCCGGCCTCCGACGTCCAGGAATTACTGTCGGTGCACAGCGAAGATGATGATAGCCCGGCCCCTGCGGAACTTGAGCCGCCTGGGAAGACGGCATCACCGAATGAGGTGCGGAAGTACATTGTCTCCCTGCTGCAACGCCGCGATGTGGACCTGAAACAAGCCACCCAAATCTCCGCCAAGTGGCGGCTGGGAACCGGCGAGGAGCTCCGAGAGTATGACAGGCACGCGTATACTTTGATCTTCGGCCTGGAAGATGGATGGGCGATCCACAAGGATGTCCGCGCGGGCCTCGCGCCGGAAGACGCCAGAATTGCCGAAAAGAAGAAACAGGCGCTCAAGGCTAAAATGTACCCCCGGATATGGATGTCTGGTCAGTTTCGGCTCGCGAAGGCGTGAGGCTCGTTTCAAATGATCGCTGACCTGTCATTCAGTCACATGCTTGCTTGCGAGCATTGCCACAATCGGCTATGGCATCCACACGGCGAGGACGCCCACGTGGGGGACCTGGAATAGAGACAGAGGATTCAGCATCATCAAAATTGGGGTCTTTGCGGCAGTCATTTGCGTTGTGGGGCTCTTCGTGAACGTTCTGTATCTCTGGGTCATGCTGGAGTGAAGAGGAGAACGCAACAGACAGTTTCGACATTGCTCCTAGCACCGAATGAAACGTGCGATCGCAAACCAAGCGAGGAGACTCTATGGGAGATCGTCGTGCTTGTTGTGTCACTTCAGTGGAAGTGCCGATAGCGAACGCATGCCTTGGACATGATGCTATTGCAATTAATGAATATTTGTTAGGCAAGGCTGATCAAGTGTTGTGCGGGACATGCGATCATCGTGGGCGTATCTTATGGCACGACCTTAGTCAGCATCGCTATCGATAACGTTCGGGATGGCCAAAAGATTTCGAAGCAAAGCGAACGTCGTCAAGACTCATCTTCGCTGCAGGTGTTTGCAGCACTCTTTTCCTCTTCTCTTCTCCTCTTCTCACACTTCCTATCCTTTCTCTACACCGTCATCATGTCGATGGAAGTCGATTCCGGGTCCGTCGCTCTCCCTCCGACCGAGCACCGCCCCACCACCGCTGCCACCGTCCTCTGCTACAACTGCGGCGCCCCGATCGATGGCACGCAAGCTGCCGGAGCACTATGTAATGACTGCTTGAAGACGACCGTCGACATCACACAGGGCATCGATCGGGAGGGCGTGCTGCTCATGTGTCGCGACTGCGACCGCTGGCTTTCGCCTCCTAGCCAGTGGGTCGGCGCCACCCTCGAGTCTCGAGAGCTGCTCGCCTTGTGTTTGCGCAAGTTGCGCGGGTTGAACAAGAGTCGCATCATCGACGCCCACTTCATCTGGACTGAGCCGCATTCGCGAAGAGTCAAGTTGAAGATTACGGTACAACAAGAAGCCTTCCAGGGCGCCATTCTCCAGCAGGACTTTCCCGTCGAGTTTGTGCAGCAGTACAAGCAGTGCCCCGACTGCGCCAAATCATACACCCACAACACTTGGCGGGCGGTGGTGCAGGTCCGGCAAAAAGTCCCCCATAAGCGCACCTTCCTCTACCTCGAACAACTCATCCTCAAGCAAGGCGCGCACAAAGATACAATCAACATCAAAGAGAACCCGAACGGCATCGACTTTTTCTTCGCCCAGCGCAACCACGCCGAGAAGTTTGTCGATTTCCTCACTTCCGTCTCGCCCGTGCGAACCAAGAAAGCCCAAGAGTTGATCTCACACGACGTCCACACATCAAGCACCTCCTACAAACACACCTACTCCTGCGAACTCGTGCCCATTTGCAAAGACGATCTCGTCGCACTCCCGCCGAAGCTGGCCAGGCAAATTGGCAGTATCTCCCCTCTGGTCCTGTGCTATCGCGTCGGCACGGCCATTAACCTCCTCGACCCCAATACCCTGCAAATCGCCGACCTCAACACAGCAATCTACTGGCGCTCCCCCTTCTCCCCCATCGCCGACGTGCAAGAGCTCGTCGAGTTCATCGTAATGGACATTGAACCCACAGGCCCGGAGAACGGACGCTTCGTTCTCGCAGACGTGACCATAGTCCGCGCGTCAGATCTAGGCGTCAACGACACCGAGTACCTCGTTCGCACACACCTGGGCGCCGTTCTGCACGCAGGCGACAGCGTGATGGGCTACCACCTCACCGGCACGCAATTCAACAACGAGAACTTCGAGGAAATCGAAAACTCCAAGCAATACGCCGGCACCATTCCCGACGTCATCCTGGTGAAGAAACACTACCCCGCGCGCAAGAAGGGCAAGAGCCGCAATTGGCGCCTCAAGCGCATCACCAAGGAAGAATCCGCCGAACAGAGAGGCCGGAAGGGCGCTGGTGACGCCGATCGAGACGAAGTGGACTACGAGCAATTCCTGCGCGATATTGAGGCCGACGAAGAATTGCGGCAGGGCATGAACATGTACCGCAATCCGCAGCATGGTGCGAAGAATGTGGCGCAGGATGCGGCGATGGAGACGGATGGCGAGGAGGATGATGGGCTGGAGATTCCGATGGATCAGTTGATTGATGAGATGGATGATATCAATTTGGAGGATCACGAGGAGGTGTGAGAGGGATGTTTAACCAGATTTCGGACGGCCTAGATGTGCCGGCTCCGAGGATCTTGTCGACGTGCGAGAAGCCCGACTCTCCCATTCGCGATTCGCCGGCTCGCACGCAGCTTGGAGTCGCTTGCTCAATGTCGGCTACGTGTGCCACACCGGAAGGCTTGCCTCGAGAGGTTCCTTCTGCTAGATCCCTCCACCAAGTCGTTTGAGATCATCTACAGGCTGAAGCCGAGAAGATGCGCAAGACGGATCAAGGAGAGAGTCGGACAGGATTGGGCAAGTGGGTGCTCTTTTGCTCGTAGCAGCTTTCATAGCGGGCAGCGTCTGCTTGCCCTCTCGGGCAGTAGAAGAGGAAATCTCAGATTTGAAATCATGTTCTCATTACTTATCAACCCCAAGGTATTCATTGAACCCCATCAACGCCTTCGTTTCCCCAGCACCAACCACCCCTCAAAACCCCTCGGTAACCCCCTTCTGCACCCCCTCTAAAATCCCCTTCAACTCCCCCCACACCTTCCGCCCCGCCTCCTCGCCATCCTGACTGCGCACAAACGGGCTGAGCGCCGACTCGTCCACCTTGCCATCATGCATGTACTTCCCCTGACTCTCCTCACCCGCCACCGCCGCGCAAACAAGCGTACGACTCCCCACCTCCGTCGAGCGGGCGAGCGCCATCTTCAACAAGTACAGACTCCAGCCGGCGTCGCGGCCGAGTTCGGAATGGCACAGTCCGGGGTTGAGGTAGTTGAGAATGACTCCTGTGCCGGCGAGTTTGGGCGCGAACTGCCGAATCGCGAGGACTTCGAGGAGTTTGCTCGTCATGTAGCGCTCTTGCATATTGGCTGTTGCTTCGTCGTCGAGCGCGGGGAAGATGCTGGGCTGCTTCCACTCGGCGAATTTCGTCCAGGCGTGGACTTCGCTGCTGACGATTGAGAGGCGCGGTTTGACGGCGAACTTTTTCGCCGTTTCTTTCAGTTTGGGCAGGAGGAGGAAAGCGAGGAGGAAGGTGGAGACGACGTTCACGGTGACGGTGCGTTCATGCCCTTCCGAGAGGGCGAATTTGTCTGTCGCGATGCCTGCATTCTCAAGCAGGATGTCAATCCGCTGCAGCTCTGACTCCGCGCGTTTCGCAAAGCGCTTCACACTCCCATAGTCCGCTAGATCGAGAGACCACACCTCCAGCGTGTGGGGCGGCACACCAGTAGAAGCGAGGATGTCTTTGCGCGCGTCTTCGCCGGCGGTCGTGTTGCGCACGGCGAGGATGACTTTGGTGCAGCCGAGGGCGGTGAGGTGGCGGGCGGCTTCTTTGCCTAGGCCTACATTTGAGCCGGTGATGATTGCCGTTTGGCCTGTGAGGGAGGCGGCGGGGGGGATTCGCGGGGTGACGAAGAGCTGGGAGTAGACGAAGGCCATGATTTAGCTGTGGTTGATGTTACTGCTGGTGAGAGGAAAGGAGCGGGGAGCTTCGTGGGTGTTTAAATAACTGGGCAGCACGAGGAAGAGAAGTGGTGAGCTCATACCGTCCCACCTACGGTACTTTACCTATCCCAATGCGGCCTTACCGGCGTTAAAGGCAGCTGCCCGCCGGCCTAACCATCTCGCCGCCCGCCAAGCTGCCCAGGGCACGCCTCGATACGGTGCTACAAGCACACAACTCCGGACTTAATCTACATCTTGGACCACGCCTTCTCCGGCCGTCTTGACGAAAGGAAGCAACACGTCGAAGAAATGGGTATCTCCAGCTAAGAACCGTGACCTAAATCTCTCTCCGCGCAATCATCCCCAAATCTGTCTTGAAAGATCCAGCATTATCCCGGGACCTAGCCCTAATAACTCCACAACCCCCATCAGCCACATGTCAGTGCAGCAAGTAGAGCAGCCCCTCGCTCCACTGCTTGGTAAAGAGCCTAGTAAAACAAGCGAGAATCGAAGAAGCAGTCAAAAAGCAAGAAACATCCCTAAGTCAACCCATGCGTAACCTCAACATGATGCCCCACAGCCGGCTCGTCGCCCTGAAACGTCTTGCAAACAGGACAAGTCGCCACCACGCTCTGCTGCCCCGACGACTGCTGCGTCGACATGGTGCCCGCCTCGTCGCCGTAGTAAGAAGAAGAATTCGACGTCGACCGGCCCATGCTGGGATTGCTGATGGACAGAGTGGACAGGCGTTGGTGATCTGGTTCCGGCGGCGCGGCGGGCTGCGGAGGCCGTAAGCGGCTGTAGTTGTGGTAGTAGTTTTCGTCCCCTGAGGAGGCGTTCCTTTGTATTTGAGGGTGTTGTCCGGAGGAGGGGGAGGATGGTGCTGCTGCGCCAGGCTCCTCGGGGATGCTTTGGTGGGAGGTGACGCGAGGGGTGCCAGTTGGGTTTTGCTGCTGCTGTGGTTGTTGCTGTGATTGTTGCTGCTGTTGCTGCTGTTGCGCCTGCTCGGGATTGTAGGCCTGGTAGGAGCTTCGAGCAGAGGGGTTCGTACTGGCGCTGCCGGCGCTGGATAGACGAGGGCTGGAGAGCGGCGAGGAGCGAGTCTGGTAGGCGGGATGTGTTGCATTGGGTGGCGGACGGGGTTTCAGATCGGGAGGATAAAGGGAGTTATCACCGGGGAGTTCGTAGCGAAAGGCGAGAGGTTGCTGTTGCGGATTGGCTTGGCCGGACTGCTGTTGCGGGTGGTAGTACTCTCCAGGCAACTCAATAGGCGTCACGCCATAATGGCCCTGGCCCTGCTTGTCAGACAGTCGCCTCTGCTGATCAGGTGGCGGCTGCTGATTCATGGTCGCGTAGCTGTTCCTCGAACTCAGACTCGACTGCCGTCCCGCAAGCTGGCTGTAGTTCTGAAACCCCGGCTTGGGGAAGCTGTCGCTGTGCAAATCCGGACTGCTCTCCCATGGCAATCCTGGACTACTCGGCCCCGCAATAGGCGATGGCACAGAGTACTCGCCATCCGAGATTGGTTCTGGAGGGGGCAGCGGCGTCGCAGCCGCCCCTTGACCCGGCTTCGAAGTCTTCAACTCTCCATTCTGAAACATGGCGAGCAGCTTCCCCTCATCCAGCAGCTCCGCCTTGCGCCTCATGCGATCAATCATCACCCGACTCGCCTCCTGCATTTCCTTGCGCACGAAACTCGCCATGAGCGTATTGCAGGTGAAGCTGATGTCCTCCCTCAAATACAGCCCTTCCACTGGTGTATCCACACCCAGCTCGCGGTCCTCCTTCGGCTCGCCGGGCTGATTGCCACCAATGCGATACTTGTTCCTAAACTCGATCCCCAGCGGCGCAAACACATGGCTCTGCATGCCCCAGCTCTGGTTGTGAAAGCAGCCCTTGAAGTCATACCGCACCTTGACACCCGTCACCTTCATAATCTCCGTAATCTCGTACCAGTTGGAGAAGTACTCGTCGCCCTCGGCGTTGCGGGGCGCATCGATGGGGCGCACGTTGATGACGAGCGGGTTCAGGCGGATGAACTCGTCGTGGCTATGCAGGAGGTCGAGGGCGAGGAGGCGCGGGATGTTCGCGGGGAGGGGCGTGATTTTGGTGTAGAAGACATGGCGGCCCATGCTGCGCGGGCGGGCGAGTGGAGTGCGCGCGGGCGCAACTTCCGGTTGTGAGGTGGTGCGAGTTGCGCGGGAATGATGAATGCGAGGAGCAGTCGGCGCACAAAAGAAGACTTGAGGTTGGTGACGGAATGGTCGAATGTATCTGTAATGCGATAGTCTTGAGCGCTTAGCTAGCGGCTGGGCTCCGTCCCGTAAGATGAGCTTACGGCTAAGGCTGGACCGAAGTCCAGATCGGGGATGACGTTCGAATGGAGGAGGCAGGGCCTGCAGGGCCAGGGTCGTCGCGGATCCGGAGGGGCTCCGAGGCGGAAAGTCTCGCCCTCGCTTCCGATGCCGCTCCACCTGCCGGAATGGCGTGTTCTCTTTAGCACAAGGATGAGCGAGTACCACGTGCAACACGAATAAATTGAAGGAAATGGATGGTGAATAGATGGAAGAGAGATGGGATTGTGTCCTCGATAAGTGAGCAAGAAAGATCACCAGCAGCGCCAAGCAAAGACACAAGAGGCAGCCACGACAGCCAAGACGAGAAGGGAAGGCGCAGACCGCCGGGTGTTCCTCGTGCCGGTCTCACTGCTGCGTACGACAACCACCACTCCCGAGTCATGTACCGTGGATGCCGTCTTCAAAGCCTGCATCATAGACTCGAGAAGAGAATGCTATTAACTTGTTTGTTTTTTTCCTATCATAGGAAACTCCAGAACCGCGCTTCTCCACTCGTCCATCAACTCAACAGACGGATGAGAAGAAGCGCAAGTCCCAGCAGAGCAGAGATGGGGGGTATCCTCAGTCAGTAACATACACAAAATCCAATGGTCGTGCCAGACCAGTCCTCCGCGGCATCCACGTCCCTGGAGCCAGTGTAGCCGGCCGGAAACAGCCAAAGCACAAACTCCCAAACTCCATCGCTAATGCCCAGCCGTATAATGCAATCATACTGTACAGTCCTCCTCTTCACGTCCTCACCTCACCAACTCTGCAATCTTGCCCGCAACAGCGCTCGGATAACCCCGTCCAAGCGCCTCCCTCACGATCCCTCGGGCATTTTCCCTCTCACCAACAGCAAGATACGCCCGAACCATAGCCTCATAAGTCGAAGGCTCTCTCTTCGCAATAGACACCCGATCAAAAGCCTCGCGCGCCTTGCTGACCTCCTTCTCCAGCGTCCAGCCGTGGATCAGTGCGTTGGCAATGTACGGCGTAAATTCCACACCTCGTGCCGACATGTCATCCAGCAGCGCCCCACACTCGCCAACAAGGTGGTTGGCGTTGAGCGACTCGAACAGAGCCTGGTACAAGCACGGCTGCGGTCGCGTCTTGCCTTCGGAGATGACGGAGTCGAAGAGGGCACGCGCGCCAGCCATGTCGTGCAAGACGCAGCCTTTGGCGTGAATGAGAGAAGCATAGTGCACCGCCTCGGGCTCAATGGCATCGGCGCGCATTTGCTCCAGCACGGCCTCGGCGGCAGGCATGTTAACCGGTTCCAGCGTGGCGTGGGTGTCGATGAGGAGCTTGTAGGTGTGCACCGTCGGCTGGATGCCCTTGCTGCGCATGCGTTCGTAGTAGGCCAGCACTTTGCCGCGGTCGCGCTTCGTGCTGAGGAAGAATTGCATCAGGCTGTGGTACGGGGCGGGGCGCGGCTTGTAGTTGGTGCAGCTCTCCATCTCCTCGAAGATCTCTTCGGCAAACTTCTCGTCGGAAACACGGCAGAGGGCATTGACGATCGTGCCGTACGTAACGGACGTCGGGCGGATACCCAAATTGCGCATCTCGGCAAAGTAGAAGAGGCAGTCATCGATGCGACGAGCCTTGCCCAGCTTGCCAATCAACGCATTGTAGAGGAAGGAGGAAGGCTCAACGCCCTCCGCCTTTGCGCGATGGAAGATCTTGACCGCTTCGGTGGCCTCGTCAAACGTCTTGGTATTTTCCTTCAACGTGGTGATGTATAGCCCAAAAGTGTTTGCGGACGGCGCAGCACCCAAATCCAGGAGATCCTGATGGTAGCGAGCGGCCAAGTCTCTGCGACCGATGCTCAGACAGCCGGCGACCATGTGGTCAAGGATTTGCTGCCAGCCGAAACGGACAACGCGGTACCGCGCATCGAATGGCACGTCCTGCTTGGCCATCTCAAGAATGTCGTGAGCTAGCGTGAGGTTGTTCTCCTTGGCTGCACTCTCAATCAGCTTGCCGTAGGTGAACATGCGTGGCACACGTCCAGCTCGGCGCATGTTTCGGAACTTGGTGAGAGCCTCGGCAGTGCGTCGTCCTTGTGGCCTCTCAAGCAGCTCGTTGATCGCATTCGAGCCCTTGACATCGGTGCGTGCAGCGTACGGATCGAACGAGTCGTCAAACGCCGTCTGACCAGCAAAGACTGGGGTGTGCGGTGAGTATTGCACAACAGGCGAGAATGGTGCTGCAAAGGAGGCCGGGGTCGGAGGGTAGCGGTAGGTGTTCCAAAGGCTTGACAAGCCGGCGTTGTCGATGTTGATCAGAGCCTTCTCAATCATGGTCTCCGTCTCGGAAGCTGGCATGATGCGTTTGGACACGATATTCTCCAACAGACAGCCGAACCGGGCAGGCCCTGCAATGTCAGCGCCAGCAGCATCCAGGATCATCCCAGCTTGAGTTCGGGTCAGGAGCTCGGTGTCGGCGTTGCCCAGTCGCGTGATTGAGTCGGCACTGAGCCTTGCAACCAGATGCTCTGCCACTGGCTGCACCAATCCACCGTTCTCCGTCATCATCCGAAGCAACTCCACGCTCGATTCGGACGTGAGGTGGAGAGGGTTCCGGAGCATAAAATTGCCAATCAATTCCAGAGCCTCGTCAATCTGCTCAACAGCCTCGATTTGCTTGCTCTCCGTCTGAGAGTCACGGATGCGGCCAAACATGCGTCGGCTATGTCTCAAGCCACGCTCCGCTTGGTTCATTCCAATCAGAGCGACAGTCCGCATGGTACTGGGCTCGATGAACGTGATACTGGTCGGCGCAGACTCGAGGATTCGCCAGTACGGCTCAGCTGCCTCCACATTGGCGTTGCGGATATGCATCGCTACGACAGCCATGGCAGGCTGCGCAAGATCTTGTGTTTGAGCAGCAAGCTTGTCGAATGCTCTGATGCTGACGTCCAGGACATTCTTATCGGCGGCTTGAATGCAGATCGATGCGAGCGCGGAAGTCAAAGCTTGTCCCGACAACGACTGGGTCAGGTCGAAGGCATTCCGGAAGGTATCATCTCTGAGAGCAAGCGGAAGAAGGGCCTGAAGCGCCACAACATCTCGCAATTGCCCGAGCTCAGCTGCATCGGCGACTTCTGACTGCACACTCGACAGAAACTTCAAGCCGTTCTTCAAGCGGTCGGAAGAGCCGTACGCTTTGATCAACGCAGCGTAGATGTCGTGGTCATTGCGAAGCATTGTGTTCTTCCCAGCATTGTTCGCCACGGCCAGATTTTTGTAGTCATCGTACACGTCGACTGCGCTCTTCAAGTCACCGCTGACTCCAAAAGCCACAATCATCGGAGGATACATGCTGGACTGGGGATCCAGTGAAACATGCTCCATGTGAGAGTACACCCGAGTCATATCCTCGATACGCCCTTGCTCGGCGCACGCGACGACGAGAGCGGCACAAGCTTCGCTTGACAGTTTCTCGCCATCAACTTGCGACGCTCGGTCGAACATCTTCAAAGCAATCGAAAGCGACGAGTCCTCCAGGAGCATGGAGTGCTCGGACTGGGTTGATTGAAACATGAACTTTCCAGGACCGTGCAGTCCACCGTAACGGCTCAATCGCTCCTCGAGACCTTTGCGCAGTGTCACTGCTTCCGAAGCCCGGTTTGCCAGGAGTCCAATGAGGATTCCAAACGTCGCAGTATCGGGAGTGACCTTTCGGCGCAGCATGTCCGAGTAGACTTCGAGGGCCTTGGGGATTTGTTGCTGCTTCCCAGAGGTGATCGCGATGGCGGAGCAAATAAGGGCGCGGTATGCTGACGGGGATGGACGTTGCACGCCAGCGCGCAACATCTCCTGGAAAGCTGCCGGGATCTCATGATATCTCTCAGCCTCGACGAGTTGCAGAAGCTCGAGTGTATATGCGTCGCTATCAGTTGAAAGTGCTTCCGAAGGCGCAAAGGATGTCGCGGGACTTTCAATCGATTGGACATCCGCGGGAGAGGACACCGCCTCTCGTGTGACCGATACCTCACTGGCAGACTTCGACACTTCAAGATCGTCCGCATCCGACTTGAACTTCTGAATCTCCTCGGCAATGGCAATGTTGACCTTTTCAAGCGCTTCGGCCTCCGCAGCTTCATCATGGCTGAACGCCTTGCCAAAGTTGTCCAACGCACTCGTACTGTAGGAGCGCTTCAGACTCGGCGGAGTCAGATCCGCGTTCTTCTGCTCCTGCACATCCTCCGTGATGGCAGCCGCCTGCACATCTTGCGCCGGGGCTGGAACGACACTGGGAGGCTGCCATTCGATGCCGCGCGCAATGTGAAAGGGTTGCCATTCCTTGGTGGTATTCCGCTGGTGTTGTTTCTGCCATGCGCTGAAGTATTTGTCTATGCCATGATCTTGCTGGCCGGTCTCCGCTCGACCCGAGGAGAGGGTGCTCGCCTGGCGAGCCTGCTCGATGTTCTGCAGGACATTGCTCGCTCTGCTGTGCTCGCTTTTGCGGTATTTGCCAACAAGAGCGTCGGTAAGAGGCGACGAGGAGTTGTGGTTTTGAGCGGCAAGGGCGGTAACGGTTTGGGCGTAGCCGTGGGTGAAGGTCTTGAGGGCAGTGCCTGCAATACGCGAGATGTGGACTGTGGACTTCACGTAAGGCATTCAGGTGATGGAGGAGCCCTTCAGTTGCGAAGGGTGGGATTGGATGAGACGAATGTAGCGAGGGTGCAGGGTCATTTGACGACTAGATAGTCGCCAAACGAACGCGCAGGGTAAGGTGTGGGAGGGAAGTAGATGGTCGCGTGGCTGGTAGAGTCGAGATGGTCGGGACCTGCCCCAAAAGAGTGGGGAAGGGAAAGCGAGAGATCTGATAAGAGGATGGGGGAGGAGATGGAGGAGGAAGGGAAAGCAGGCGAGGTGGCCTGCGTCTAAAAAGGGATGCCTCGCAGGGTGTGATGGAGGAGGGAGGATGATGGAAGGACGATGATGACTGCAAGCTGTTCCTCGAATTTCTCGCGAATCGCCCGGAACCTTAACCCCATTAGGCGTCGACCCACCCCGGCGGATCCACCTCCCGCCTTCCGGAAATACCTCGCGCGCCTCTTCCACGTGCGGCACAACGAGCGTGCTGTTTCCCACGAGTGAGGTTGACAACACCTTTCCCACCCAAAGGTCACCTCGACGCCATCGAGACTCTCGTCACAGCTTCTCCGGCGCTTTTCTCGCGATTGAGCGGCAAAAACCCCTTCTTCAATCGTCTCTAACCCCAATCCTGCCCATTCCGCAAAATCCCTAATCGCTCAGGTCATCTGCCACCAAAAAGCAGGGAAAACGGAGCCGGAGGTCAGCTTAACTCCAGCTCTCCATTCCTAGCGACCACGTCTCATCTCCATCTCGGCCGAAGCACTACAATCACCATCCGACTCGGAGCCTCAATCTCTCCGTTGTGACTCGTCAATTCCTCGGAGAGGATCGAATGGTTCACAATGCTGTAGCCGTCTCTGCTCCGGGCAAGGTCTTGCTGGCAGGTGGCTACCTTTGTCTCGATCGTACCTATACCGCCCTGGTCTTTGGCCTCGATGCCCGCATCCATGTCGTTGTTCGACCCATTCCTACCAGACGCGGCGTGGAACTGTCGGAGATCGAGGTGACTTCACCCCAATTCCAAGAAGCCGCCTGGAATTATGGATATCGTCTGGGAGGGAGTGGAAGTGGGATGAGTGTCACCCAGTTGCGCATGTAAGACTTTCTCTTTTTCCGCTGTTGCATCATGTCGAGCCATTGTCCTTTCGTACCGGCCCCTACGTGGTACTCATTGTTGTCTCGCCAATATAGGGATGCAGACCTGCACGTCAATCGCAACGTCTTTATTGAAACTACACTCGGTTACGCACTCAGTTACATCTCCGCGATCACAAGTCCAACCATCACTCCAGCGTCCATCACCATTCTCGCGGACAACGATTACTACTCCACCCCAGCTGCTCCAGCCGCAACTTCAACCCAACCACGCTTCCGCGATTTCGGCGTGAAGCTCCGCAAAGCTCACAAGACCGGCCTAGGATCCTCCGCAGCCTTGGTGACAGCCATCACGGCCGCAGTGTTATCCTACTATCTCCCCTCGAAGCTATTCGATCTCGACTCTGATCGCAGCAAACGCATCATCCACAACCTCGCCCAAGCGGCCCACTGCGCAGCACAGGGTAAAGTTGGTTCAGGGTTCGATGTAGCAAGTGCAGTCTACGGAAGCTGTCTTTACCGCCGCTTTTCTCCCACCATCTTGTCGAAATCCGCCGACCCCGGAACCAGCGGCTTCTCCAAATCCCTTCGAGAGCTCGTCGAAGAGCTACCCCCGCACGGTCAATGGAACACAGAGATCCACCGGGATGCGGTCAAAGTGCCCAAAGGCTTGCGACTGCTCATGTGCGATGTATCGGGCGGGAGTGAAACACCCGGAATGGTGAAGAAGGTCCTAGCGTGGCGACAGGAGAACCCGGCGGAGGCAAACGAAATTTGGTCTGATTTGCATGCTGCGAATGATAGCCTGGCGAAGGAGTTGCGCGCCATGGCTGAAGCGCAGGATTTCGGACTGGAGAGGTTACGAAGTTGCTTCACGCGCATCCGACGCGGGATAAAAATCATGTCCGAGAAGAGCGGGGTGCCCATCGAGCCAGCAGAACAGACGGAATTGATTAACGCTTGCGAGGCTGTGCCGGGTGTCATTGGCGGAGTGGTGCCGGGCGCTGGTGGCTACGATGCGATTTCGTTGTTGATTGAAGATAGAGAGGAGACGGTGGCGGCTCTGCAGAAGCTGTTTGACGGGTGGAATGTGAAGAGCGAGCACAGCGGCAAGGTCAGCATCCTTGGTGTGCGGCAGGACATGCAGGGCGTGCGCGTGGAGCAGGTGGACCAATATCAGGAATGGCTGCCGCCGACTTCGCCTTGAGTTGGCGGCTGACGATTTGCTGGCCGGCGGTTCAGTACATGTTACACCATAAAAGCATACAAACTTTTGCTGTGTAGATCCTGTGCCAACTTAAAACGAAGACTAGCAGGACACCGTTCTCGTGGTTGCATGCGTCCAGAAAAGCTCCACCATTCCCCGCACGTCACTTCACCACAAGGCTCTCCCGCTGCAACACACCAATGCTTCAGCCAAGAAACCATGCAGGCCATGAAAACAACCACACCACACCAAGTCCGGCGGCACTGGATCGAAGGCCGCGAAATCGTCCTCATAGACGTCCGCGAAGAAGGCCCCTACTCCACCTCCCACCCTCTCTTCGCAGTCTCCATCCCCCTCAGCGAACTCGAAGCCAGACTCCCCGCTCTCATCCCAAGGAACTCAGCGCCTATAGTCGTCTACGATTCCGGCGAAGGCTACGTCGCCCGTGCAGTCCCTCGCATCCAAACGCTCGGGTACACAGATGTGTCGATTCTGCGCGGCGGGTTGGCAGCCTACGCCCGCGAAGGCGAAGTCTACCGCGACGTCAACGTGCCCAGCAAAGCATTTGGAGAACTCGTCGAAGCGATTCGACACACGCCTTCCCTGCCCGCGCGAGACGTGAAGCACATTCTCGATACGCGGGAGGATGTAGTCGTCGTAGACGCCCGGCGGTTCGAGGAGTTCCACACGATGAGCATCCCGCGCGGGCGAAGTTGTCCGGGAGGCGAACTGGCGTATAGGATTCGCGAGGCGGCGCCGTCGCCTGAGACGCTTGTTATTGTGAATTGCGCGGGGCGGACGAGGAGTATTATTGGGACGCAGTCGTTGATTAATGCTGGGGTTCCGAATCGGGTGCTTGCGCTGAGGAATGGGACGATTGGGTGGACTTTGGAGGGGTTGGACGTGGAGAGGGGCAAGACGGAACGCCTTTCCACGCCTTCACGTCAAGCGCGAGACGAAGCACGAGAAAGCGTGGAGAGATGGGCAAAACATGTTGGTGTTCAAGTCATCAACGCCGAAACTCTTTCCCAGTTCCGGCAAGAAGCTCACACGCGCACATTGTATACTCTCGACGTGCGTGATCCAGAGGAGTACCAGCATGGTCACCCAGCAGGCTTTCTATCAGCGCCTGGAGGCCAACTAGTCCAAGCAACAGACGAGTGGATCGGCGTGCGAGGAGCGCGCATAGTCCTCTACGACGACGACGGCATCCGAGCGCTCATGACAGCGACATGGCTGCAACAAATGGGATGGAACGTGTACGTTCTAGAGCAGAACACGACATTACCAGAAACCGTCTCTTCCGCCCCGGGACCAATTTTCCATCCAGATCTCCCCCATTCAACCATCAGCGCCACCGAGCTCAAGAACTGGCCAGACGCCACGATCATCGACCTCGCTCGCAGTCCAGCGTACACGAAAGGACACATCCCGGGCGCCTACTTTGCCTCAGGCCCAGAACTCGCCCGTGACCTGCAAAAGGCCCCAGGGAGCGGACCCATCATCCTCACATCGCCAGACGGAATAATAGCAGCTGCGAATCTCCCTTTCGCTAAGCAAGCAACTTCAAGACCAGTGAAGTGCTTATCGGAGGGCACGGCGGGGTGGACGGCTCTTGGCTATCCGCTCGAGACGGAGACGCGGTGGTTGTCGGAGCCGATTGATGTGTACAAACGGCCGTACGAGGGGACGAATAATGCGCGCGAGAGCATGCAGAGTTATATTGATTGGGAGCTGCAGCTCGTTGCGCAGCTGGCGAATGATGGTGTTGCTGGCTTTCATGTTGTGCGGGCTGCTGAATGATTTTCAGGTTGGAGACGAGCGACGTAATCTAAGATACATTGCATGAAGACGAACACGCTATCTATCTAGCTGTTATAAGTCACGCTGAAAATACTGAACCCGGCCGGAGCCTTGCCAAGCTGCACAGCGCCGTTTTTGTTGATAGACAGATACTTCTTACCCGTGACCTGCTGAACAGAATATCCTGTTCCATTGCCCATATCCAAGATCTGGAAAGAGCCCGCAAGACTCGGCGCGGACGACTTCTTGTTCTGCACCGTGGCCGTGGTAGAGTTCACACTCTGCGCGCTCTTGATAGTGAAGACGGGGAGGGTTGAGTTTGCTTCGTACACGACGAAGCGTTGGGAAGCGGTGTTGTGCGTGGACGTGGCTTTGGTGGCGGTGAGCTTACCGTTGGTGTCCGTGAGGGCGTAGCCGTTCATTTCAAAGGTGAGGTAGCGGCCTTCGGAGAGCTCGCCGCGGACGGCTTTGAAGCCTTCTTCTGTCTCGAGGGCGGTGTTCACGTTCTGCTGGCCGTAGGGGACGGGCGGTCTAGGCATGCGATCAGCATCGTGTGTGTACGAAGGTGTCAAATCGGAATGCTCACCTCTGAGTAGGATATTTTGCCTCGCACACGGCATAGCCATTCCATTGTCCCTTGCTGTTCGTCGAAGGGTAGGAAGCGTTCGGCATGCTCGGGATACTATAATCCGGATGTTCAAAGTCGAACGCAAGCGTCAAGTCGCTCATGAACTCTCGTCGCCAGGCGTTCATCACGGGCGTCTTGACATTTTTGCCCTTGGCGGCGAACACCTCCTCGACGAACTTGATCTGGCTGTTGTGGTCGGATTTGCCCGTGTAGACATACCCGCCACGCGTCCATGGGCTGATGATGTAGAAGGGGAGACGGAAGCCGGGGCCAGTGTAGACGTATCCAGCCTCACCGTAGGGGTCTTGGATCCATTCGCCAGGCGTGCCGCTTGGGGAGTGGTAGGGCACGACATGGTCACCCCAGCCGCCAGTCTCGTCGTAGGAGATGATGAGGACGGTGTTGTTGTAGAGAGGAGAGCTGGTGACGGTGTCGACAATCTTCTGTTGCAGCCAGGCGCCATCTTTGGGCTGGTAGGGGGGGTGTTCGGACAACTCGGCGGGACCAATGATGTAGCTGACTTGAGGCAGAGTGCCTGCGGCAGCGTCCTTGTAGAAGGACTCCAGGCCGATGTACGACATGCCTTGCTTGTTGAGCGCGGAGCCGTTGGGAGCTTGCTGGAATTGCTGGAACCAAGCCAAGGGGTTGTCCTGGGACAAATCAGTTTTTGAATAGGATCAATACCTCGTCCAAGTCGCGGCTTACGTCGAAGTTGTCCGTGTCTTGATACACCTGCCAAGTAACTCCGGCGTTTTCGTAGAGTTGGGCGGTAGTCTCCCATGTCAGGGGCTTCAACGTTGTCAGTACACACGACAGAAGGCAAGGGCAGAAGAACTTACGTAGCAATTGAGATCGGGAGACTCGCAGCCGGGCGTCTGTAAAGAACATTAGTCTTGCAGACTTGCACCACTTCGACAGGACGTACCTCGTTGTTGTCAATGTAAACACCTCCATCCGGCTCATTGATCGTGCCCGATGCCCAGACCACGCGATTAGGATTGGTGGAAGTGATGACAGCTTGCTGGTACATATCACCGACAGTCCAGCCCTCAGCGATGGCAAAGTGATTGGGCAGCTCAGCACGAGTGAAATGGGCCCAGGACCACGGCGTGTTTTGAGTTGCCCAGTCGTTGTTCAGGTCGTGGTTCAAGGCTGCTTGGTTGGGACTCCAGCCGTTGCTGCCGGCTTCCATGCATTGTGTGGCGTTCTCCCATGTCCCACCGAGGTAGTTGAGGTACCAAGGGAGCAGGGAATCCGTTTTGGTGGACAGGGCGGCGTCGACGTTCTGGTACCATACTGGGGTGCCGTTGTTGACCTGGACGTTGGGGTCTTTGAAACCCCGAATACCGGCCATGGTGCCCTTTGCGCTGTTAGTGGTGTTTCGAACGAGTGTTGCTGGTAGTCTGAACTTACAAAGTAGTGGTCGAATGCCCGGTTCTCCTGCATGAAGAGAACAATGTGTTCGACATCCTGAATGCTGCCAGCAGCCGCCAAAGAGGCTGCCGCAAGGGTGAAGAGAAACAACATATTGAGACAAAAAGGAGTGTGATGATGGAGAGATGCCTGACGAAAAGCTCACAGCAAGAAATGGCGATCAGGGAGATGCTATATGTACACTCACATGGCCCGGTGCGACACCACGGTTGCAAGGCTATGGGGGGGTAAGGGACGCCAGCCATGTGCAGATAGTGTGCATGTCGGCCTTCTCGCCGCATGCAAAGAGACTCAGTGTTCTTGCTGAAAGGAGGAAAGATCCTCGGGGAAATGGTGAAAGGAAATTGGAGACCCAGACTTCAAACGAGCAAGCGGCCCACGTGCAACGAAGATCCGCGTGCAGAAGTCCCACGACGCAGGAGAGCAGGGCAGGGGAAGACAAATTGTAGGTCAGCATAACCGCCAGTTAGCTCCAGGGTCCTGCAGCGTGAGATAGATTTCAGACGGGGGTGGACGGGTGATCTGCAGCGGCCAGGAAACGGGCGAATCGATGGCCAGTATGGCGTCTCGTGCACCACGGCGTGGAGGTTTGCCATTGTTCACTTTAATCATTCTAATCATTCCCAGGGTTTCCGCCGTTAGGCTGTGGCGGCTAGTATGTGCCGAGTGGCGAGGGCGTTGGATTACTCCTTGCCATCGGTACCGCTGTGCTGTTTGAATACTGTACGTCCCAAGGATCGTTTCTCGGTTTTCCGTCCGATGCTGCTGTGTGATGCAGAGGCTGGATCTGCGCCATCCATCATTATGTAGCGAAGACTTCAGACAAGCGACAAACCAGTCTAAGAATTAAGGAGGAGATGCCATCATGACGTTGAGGTTGAAATGTCTTCACACCTGAGAATGAGAAGTCGCGATGCTCGGAGCAAGCCGGACATCACCGCCACAGAAGGCCCGGGCAAAGACTCACAACCGGCGAAACGAAGATCTCACCTCCACATCATCGCAACATGCTTCCTGATATTATGCATCGCCGGAGTCTTGGTTACGCTGCTGCAATGGACAACCGCGGACCATCTTGTATTTTCATTTGGCAAGACTTCCACTCCATCAACGGACAACATCCACCCGTCTCGACTACACCCACAGGATCACATCTCCCGCCGAGCAACAACCATCCGACAGAAATGGAAAGTCACCTCCGGCGACCTACGCCCAGACGGCGTTCTGAAGCGTGTCTACCTCATCAACGACGCCTTCCCTGGCCCAACACTAGAATGTCGCTGTGGTGACCGGCTGATCATCGAAGTCGAAAATGCCCTCGACGATGAAGGCCTATCGTTCCACTGGCACGGCCTGTCAATGCGAGGGGCCAACGAAATGGACGGAGCAGTGGGCATTACCAACGACCCGATACCCGTCAACGGATCCTTCATCTACGATTTTAGAGTGGAAGACGGCCAAAGCGGGACATTCTGGTATCATTCTCACAACCATCTACAACGAGCCGAAGGCTTGTATGGAGGCTTGATTGTGCACAAACCCAAGCCATGGTGGGAGAGCAGAGACGAAGCCGCAGAGCATCTGGTCATGCTTGGAGACTGGTACCATCGCACAGCCGGCGAGGCGTTGAAGTTCTTTTCGCATCCGGGCGCTTTTGGGAATGAGGCTGTTCCGGATAGCATTCTTGTCAACGGACATGGAGCTTACAACTGCTCTGATGCTGTTGCTGCGAGGCCTGTCGACTGTCTCGACTACACATCCGATGAGCGCCTGGCGTTGGAGCTCGACTCGAAGAAGCGAAACATCTTGCGCGTGGTCAATGTTGGCTCGTACGCTGGAGCTGGAATATCTTCTTCTCATTTCCACTTCACACCGATCGGAGTCGATGGCGGGAATCGAGTGGAGGAATTAACAGCCAAAAGCATGCAGTTCTTGCAACCGGGCGAGCGAGTCGATGTGCAGATTGAGTCAAGTGGACAACGCACCGCAGGCCCATCAAGTCTGGAGGTATTCCTGGAAACGGCCCCATTCAAATATCCCAACTCTGCTTTGACGCCTTTGCATACATTTGCAATAGCAGGCACACCACCCGCCTCCAAAGCGCAAGCACAAGCACAAGACAGCGTCGACTTGCAAGCGCTGCGCGCAGCAGCACCTCATGCCGAAAGACTGCCCTCTCAAGCCGATCACACCATAGTCTTGTACGCCATTACACAAAGACTCGCCCATCTGAACAACCAGCCCCTAGGTTTCATCAACTCCACTACCTGGCAACCCCAAGCCTCACCACCCAAACCTCTCGTCTTCTTAGGCCGACCGCAATGGGACAAACACCAACTCGTCCCGCACATCCCCTACAAACCTTCCAAGCCCCTGTGGATCGATATCGTCCTCAACAATCTGGACGAAGAAGGCCATCCCTTTCACTTGCACGGTCACGATTTCTGGGTTCTATCTACATATTCATCGACGTTTAATTGGGGGAGTTATAATCCCTACACTAACACAGAGCCACCAGGAGGGAAGTACAATCTCGTGAATCCAGTGAAGAAAGACACTGTGCATGTCCCGAGACGGGGGTACGCCGTACTTCGACTGCGCGCAGACAATCCGGGGATCTGGATGTTCCATTGCCACGTAATGTGGCATCAAGCAGCAGGGATGAGCATGGCCTTTGACATCAGCCCAGATAAATAGCTCAAATAGAACGAATTCGAAAATCACCGCATCAAATGCCTCTCAATCATCCCCCGATACGCCTCCGCCCCCTCGGTCCTCAACCCCACCACCTTCGCCCCATCATCCCACTTCCTTAAAGCCACCATCTCCTCGCACCAAGGATTCGCGCTCCAAGCCCGCACCTCCTCCCCTCCCATCGGCCCGCCCTGAAAGACAAGCGACTTCTTACTCGCGTCCGACAACCCATCATGATACGCCTGCTCGACAGCACACAAATAGCGCTTAGCAGCGACATGCGAGCCCACGAGGGCGGCGACTTTTTCGCTAAATCCGAGTCGAAGCAGGTACTCCTCTCCTATGCGCTCGTGGCCTACGCGCCCCACGCCGCCGGCTGAGACGTCGCTGCTGGAGTTCATGGATTGCACCTTGTGGGCTATGGCTTTGACGTCTTCGGCCGGCAGGAATTGGCCTATGTCGTGGAGTAATGCGGCGATGATTGTTTCCTCTGAGGCGTGGTTTGTGCGTGCTTGGTGCGCGGCTTGTAGGGAGTGTTCGAGTTGGGAGATGGGCTCGCCTATGTAGTCGCCCTCGCCTTTAGTGTTGAGGAGGTGGATTAGGGAGGCGGCTGTTTCTGAGGGGGAGGTGGGCATTTTGGAGAGTGGGTTAGGGAAGACGTGTGCGGGTGTGAGGAATGGTCATTGTCGTTCTGCAGTACATATATTTATGGCTACGAGTGGATTGATTTGGTTGTTGGCCATGTCGGCGGGAAGAGCGAGGTCGCCGCACGTGCTGGTGTGAAGTGAGGTCGGCAATCGTGTCTGGCTGTACGCAAGGCGTGATGGAATATTTTTCGAGCCCCTGATGTTACTTTCACGTCATTGAAGACCACTCGACTAGCCTTGTCTTGCATAACCTATTCCACTCCTCTTCTCTTCATCACGCTCTTTGATCAAGATGCATCTCACCCTCCTTTCACTCCTTTCCACTTTCCTCGCCTGTGCGCTGGCGCACGGCGACCACGAGCACGGGCACTACGAGCAGAAACCCCTCGCACCAGACGCAGATTGGGCGACCAGGCACATGGCCGAAGAGCACCACATCGACGTCTTTGACGCCGGCTCCTTCTTTACCCTCCACGATTACGACGACAGCGGCGAGTGGACGCCAGAGGACATTCTCAAAACTTACGGTATGTCTGCCACCATCAGTCCTACACCCCATCCACTACATATTACTAATTCCTCGTTCTCCAGGCCTCAAAGACCCCTCCAACTACCACGTCTCGCAAGACAAAAAAGACGACGCCGCCCGCCTCATCCTCTCCCTCTTCGACAAAGACAAAAGCGGCACCGTCTCCTTCGCCGAATACGTAATCGGTACAGCCGCCGGCGTCGCCCTCCCGGATCTCGGTTTCGGGCCGGGACATCACGGCGACGACGAGTGGGAGTACGAGATTCACCATTTCGAAAAGTTCCATGGGCCGGATGCCACGTTGGAGGATCTGACGCACCCCGAGGATATTGAGCATTTTCGCATGCATGAGGAGATGGAGTTGCGGGAGGAGAGGCAGGAGGCGATGGATCGGATGAGTATTGTGGAGGCGAACATTCCGGCGAAGTTTAGGCGGGTAGCGCGGTGAGGTCTTGCGGACTGATGAGAAGAGAGGAGGTGTTGAAGAGGTGTATCATTATGAGCGTGGAGGATTAGCTTTGGAGTTGAGGGACTCGATACAAGGACAGGGCAGGGCAGGGCAATGGTCTCAGTGTGGATCACTCCGCATTGCAGCGAGGGGAAACATGTAAATCTATCACGCAATGCATCACGCCGGGAGCATAGCTCTTCAGACGATTGACATGATCAATCCGCACTTCCCTCCCACCGCACAGCCCCTGGAACGCCTCCCGCACGTCTTCTGCCCGACTCTCAATCTCCGCCACAGCGAAATTCTCATGCACATGCACCCATCCACCCAGCTCCGGATCCAACACCTCCACCGCCGTCCGCCAGCTCGCTCGCGAAGTAGGCAAAAGCCCGCAATTTACATGCCTGACAGGCGGGAGTCTCGCTCTCATCTCCCCAATCCTGCGTCCAGCATTCTCATTCCCCTCATTAAACACAAGCAATCTCGCCTCTCCGCCAGCAGAAACCGCCTCACCAACTTGCTCGTCCCACCCATTCGCCTCCGCTCCCCTCCTCAACCCCTCCACAGACCAAGGATTCAAGTCCCACCCAACGACAACCCTCACGCCAGCCTTCAAGTACGAAAAGGCGAAATACCCGATGCCGACGAACAAATCTACCGCGCAGGAACCGGCTCCACTCGCCTTTCCTTCCTCCACCGCGAGATGGACGGAAGGTAGGTCCAACAGGCGTGCTTTCTCGCTCACGTTGCCGCGGGAGAACATTGTCCAGCGCGGGGTCCAGGTTTGCTGGATGCCGTTTTGCTTTGCTGTCGTCCAGAAGGCTGCGGTGAAATCTGAGTTTGTTGGGTGAGAGGAAGCCGTGTTGGGGCCGAAGTCGCCATAGATGGGGTTCAAGTTGGAGGGGGAGCGGAGGATGTTGTCTTCTTCGTGATTGACATTGTCGGAGACAGATGGAGGGATTGCGCTGTTGATTGCGATGTGTGTAATTTTGAGGTGGGTGGCGAGGATGGGGTAGAGGGTGCTTAGGTCGTTGTTGAGCTCGTGTTTGACTTGTTTCCATTCAGGGCTTGTGAATGCGGTTTGAGAAAGGAGGAGCAGATGGCCGTAGATGGTGTATGGCAGTTTCAGAGTAGGTAGTTTGGAAGCGGGTTGGCCTGTCTGTTGCAGCCATTGTGCAATCGCTCGATCCATGGAGTTTCCCAGTCGTGCGTTGCAGCCCGGTGTGGGAAGTCATTGTGCTGACGACATTGGATCGTCAAAAAGCATCGGACGAGGGGATCATAACGTTTTCGCCCTTCATTCGTTTGGCTGATCTACAGAATCTCACTCGCCAGAATAACAGTCAACGCCGAATGAAAGATGTGAGAAGCAAAGGCTCCAGATGAAATGACTTTGAGAAAGCCGGTCCGAGCTCCCCGAAGATGTCAACTCGACTTTTTTTCTGGTCTCAACACTCGCCAAATGACAACGATTCGAACATCACTTTAATCCAAATAAACCTCCACGATACACATCGCCACCATGGCAGCGCAGAACTCGGAGCTAAAAGCCATGAACTGGCCCTTCAAGAATCCCAAATACATCTTCTTCACGGATTTCGACGGAACGATCACGCTGCAAGACAGCAATGACTACATGGTATCGCTCGCCGCTTCTCTGCCAACATGATCTGTGCAAGGTTGACCGACAAATAGACAGACAACCTAGGCTTTGGGACGGAGAAGCGACAGCAGGGTAATCGCGATGTACTGGAGAACCGGGAGACGTTTAGGTGCGGTTCCGCAATACGATATCTGTGGCGGGGTATTGTTGACTCGTACGGACAGAGATTCCTTTCAAAAGATGATGGACTCGGTCAACACGCCTTTCCCGCAATGCGTGGACTATCTCGTTGAGAACATCGAATTGGATCCGGGCTTTAAGGACTATCTTCGATGGGCGCAGGCGAATAAGATCCCTACCGTCATTCTTTCCGGCGGCATGACGCCCATCATTACGGCGATTATGAAGAAGCTGGTTGGTGACGAAGTCGACCAGATTGATATCGTCTGCAACGATGTCCAGGCAAGACCGGGCATGTCGATTGAGCAGGAAGGAGGGTGGGATATCAAGTTTCATGATGAGAGGTGTGTTATGGCGTGACGAAGGCGTGGAACGAATGTGCTGACCAACGGTAGTGGATTCGGGCATGACAAGTCTTTAACTATCCGGCCGTACGCACAGCTACCCGCAGACCAAAGACCGTGGATGTTCTACGCTGGCGACGGAGTATCGGACTTGTCTGCTGCGAGGGAGACTGATCTGCTGTTTGCGAAGGAGGGCCGAGGTGAGTTTCTCTCCTTTCTAAACTGTGTGCGCATGACTAATGATGGGCAGACCTCGTATCGTATTGTGTGAAGGAAAATGTACCGTTCACGACATTCAACGATTGGTCTTCAATCCTAGCGACAGTCAAGGAGATTGTAGAAGGGAAGACTAGCATACAAGATGCTGCGAGAGAAGGGTTTGAGAAGTTCAAGGGTGGTGCGACTTCCAATGGCCATGCAAAGTAGATTGTGGCAAAATAGGATACATAGCGATAGACATAGAGTAATTACACGGTAGATTGATTTAAATCTCGCATTCGTCCTCATCTTCTAATATTTGACAGCTGCAAGGCTGTCCTGGCGTGGTGGCGATGCGCGAAGCCCGGCTGTCAAAATTCTTGGCCATCAATCTCGAAATCCTCGACAGCTGCCACACCTCTCCCTCTTCCATCCATTGCACCAATTCATCCTTCCGACGCAAGATCATCGCCCACCATGGCCCTCCGCCTCTTCACCTCCCTCCTCCGCCTCCCCACAACCCTCCGCCCAACCCTCACAACCCTCACTCAAATCGCCAACCCCATCAGCAAAGCCCGCCCCTTCAGCACCACCCCCTCCCTCCTCTCAACCTACAATCAAGTCATCCGCGGCTGCCGCAAAGAGCAACGCGCCCGCAAAGCGCGCTCCCCCGCCCTCGTCAACCGGCCCGAAGTGAAGGGCGTGTGTCTGCGCGTGGGCGTGGTGAAGCCGAAAAAGCCGAACTCGGGGGAGCGCAAAGTCGCGAGACTGAGGTTGAGTAGTGGGAAGCTGGTCACGGCTTATATTCCGGGGGAAGGACATAATGTGCAGCAGCATTCGGTTGTGATGGTTCGGGGTGGGAGGGCGCAGGATTGTCCTGGTGTCAAGTATCATCTTGTAAGAGGGGCTTTGGACTTGGTGAGATTTTCTGAGATTGCGATGTTGCGGAGTGTGAGCTGATTGTCTATACAGGGAGGCGTGGGCAACCGAGTAACGAGCAGGTCAAAGTACGGGACGAAGAAGCCAAAGGCATCGTGATTGCGTTCGGGTTGAGGGACCAATGACATTGAGTGCGCCCCCGTGGCGGTCGAGAATACGTCCTGCGGTCTGCAGAAGGAGCACCTGCTGGCGTTCGCAGCTCGGGGTCACGAAGGGCTTCAACGCAAGGACTGACGGGGGCCGTCATACATCCAGGAAGCACGCAGAGCAGCTCCTCCTGGCGTTATCAGTACAGGCTGTGGAGGATCCTTTGCCTTCGAGCTCGTTCGCAAGACACCTGCATAGCCCACCGCTACAGCCATTGGCACACGCTCAATCGACAGCGGTAATCGCGAGCGCTCGTCTGGGCGAAGGCTCCCAACGGCTTGGTGCTGGACCTGCCCGCCTCCGCAATCACCGGCAACAGATGGCTGTAGCTATACCTAGAACGGGAAAGTACGTGGACCAGCTATAACGAGACTACTCCTCCGCTGGCCACCGTCCGTCCAACTACAGAGAAATGTATTAGATCCGGCATTGCACATCGTGGCGTCTACCTACCCAAAAAATTGCTTCATTCTCACCCTCGGTATTATGATTTGTTCAATGGTCTCTGACAAGGGCCTTACTACTGCATCGTACAGGGATACAATGCTTCCAGTCAACAAAGCCATTGTTGTCGGACTTCATTTCGTGCACCGAGTCGATCACATGTCAAATAGCCCATTCGAGACTTCGACATCTCAGAATAGCTGTTCAGCGGCGAACTACTTTCCTGTGCTCAGTGTCGTCAATATGGATGATAAAGGCTGTAGATACTGTACGATCGTCGCTGCCGCTCTCCTTGAGGACTCCGCCGAGGAAAAAAGCACAATGACCGCCGCAACGACCTCGATCTTGTAATTCTACCAATCTTCCCAAGCTTGAAGATTTGAAGCATGGTACATTGGATAAGCGTTCAAATGGCCAAAAAAGAAGTCTTTGAAAGTGATTTCGTCCGGGTTCGATCCGCTAACTGATGTTAGCGCCGGTTGACTCTACTAAGTAGAGTGGACTGAGAAATGGGTACGCACGAGACCTTCTGTGTTCACGGTTGGCCCGGAGGCTTTCCTGTTAGACAGATGTGATAACCAACTACACCACGAAACCCAATTCATGAAAGTCTCAGCCCTTGTAGATCGATTATATACCTCATATTGCCGAAAAGCCGAAGTTTTTCCACTTTCTCCATTTTGGCTTAGTAGCTCGCAACACCGACCAAATAAGACCAGCGGGATGCCATTTCAATCGTTTTCAGACAGTGAAACAAGCATTGAGTAGATTCATTGCCATTTAGTTCGAGTTTCTCGTAAATTTCATCCCATCCGGTCGAGTCATATCACGCGTGAGATTCATTCATCACATGCAAATCCATCGCCGCCCAGCACCCCACCACTGTCTCAAGTCGCCTTTCAAGCACTCAACGCATGGTCTCTCATCATTCTACTCATCCATCGTTAAGCAGCAGATTCCGTGCCCTCGTTGCCATACACGTCCACTTTCGTTTCCTCTGCACGCAGAATTCTTGCAGTTTCATTGTTCGCTCGCGGCCACTCGAGAGTATTTCTGACTTCGCCAACACATTCTTCTCTCATTTGGAGCATATTCGGCTCTTAGGCTGCATTTGGCGTATTGTGTAAAATTGCCCTCTCCGTCACGCCGCTCGGGCAGTCATTCTCGTATCCATCTCGTGTCGTAGTCGTATCGATTGCTCCTTCGCATAGCAAAAGACTGCGTAGACTGGATTCAGTCGTTCGTCATGTCGACTGTCGAGTCAATCTCGTCCATTTCGTCCAGAATATTGTCTTCGCCGCCGTTCAAGTCAAAAGGTACAGCGCAGCGTAAGCCACCACCACAATCGGCACGAGTGGCAGCATGGTAAGGTAGTCAAGAACGAGTCGCAAATCGTATTCGTCCGTTCAGAAAATCCAGAATGCAGAGTATTCTTCTTCGTCTTTCTTCCAGTGTTTATATGACGTTGAGCAAGCAGCACCTTTAGATCTGCGATGCCAATAATCCCGCTCCACTTAATGGAAGGCGAAAATGATGAAGTGATGGATCCGGCGTCTCGCGGTCTCCAGTGTTTCAGGACTATTTTCGCAAGCGAAGGCCGTGCAGTTACGAGAGGAACAATCAGACGAACGAGGACGAAGGGAAAAGAACTACGGTCATGCTCACCCTATACATATAATCCCGAGCAAAACGGATACAGCGGACAATCGGGCAAACGCCAGAAACGTACAATGCTCACTCACACCGCCTCTGCATCACACGACCAGCTAAAGCGAAGAACGCAAGCGAATGGCGCGAGACTTACACGGCTTCGCACGGAAAGGGCAGTCGGCGGTCGGGGGAAAACAGCTGCGCCCTCCGTCCCGATTGGTTGCGCCGGCGCATCAGATGACACGAGCTGCTCCAGCTCGCCCCGCGGAGAGCGGAGGCCGGCTACGACTTACTTCCACTCGCGCACGCTTGCTACTTGCTGGCGTTGCATTAGTTGTGCAAGCTTGTCTGTACTATTTGAACGCTAAAGTGGGGGACGGGCGAGTGTGGAATGGGCGGGGCCCGGGCGTTCTGTTGGCGGCCGTTGTAGATGGCGGGGTTGACTGATAAGGTGGGGGAGAGAGATTCGATTGTGCGGGAGATGTGTTTTCGCCGATGGTCCGATGTGGAAGTTGCGTTCTCGCGATTTGGGCGGTGGATGAGGTGATTGCTGTGTGCATGGTGGGCTGGGTTGTACCCTCTGCTAGACTGCAGTTCTGGACCGCGTACTGCAGTCCGTTCGACGCTTGTAGGCGATTCCCAGCATCAACACCCACGTGGTGCACGCGCTGTTGAGCGTCGTGTACGCGGTTCGAAGTCTGTCGTCCTCGAGTGGTGGCCAGCATGCCCTGGCAGATATGATAGTCGAGTGATTCATGCAGCACCACCCCTTCATCCCTCCTCCCCATCATCCACATCCACATCCACATCGACCACCTCACTCCCCCTGCCCTTCCTCGATCTCCTCCTCCTTCTCACTGTCCCCTCCTTTGCCGGGGCACTAATCGCATCCAAAAACTCCTCATCCTCCATTCCACTCCTCAACCTCACACAGCCTCCCGCCTCACTCGTGTCTTGCACAAACATCCGCTCGTTCCACACCCGATACGCCTCGGGCTCCTCCTCGTCGACGTACTCCAGCTTCACCCAGCGCTCCTCGTGCGCCGTCTGCAGCGCCATCTTCATCTCGTGCTCGCGCTGCTCCAGCTCGCCCTTGGGATTGATGGTCGTGGGTTTGTATGTCTGGTGCACTACGCGTGCAATGTCTGGGGCAGCGGAGGCAGCTGCTTCTGCTTCGGCCGCGGCGCGCGAGGCGGCGATACGGTTGCGTTGGTCTTCGGCGTCGAGGTGGTGGAATTGTGGGCGGAGCTGTACGCTGCCCGTCACCTGGGAGAGGTGGAGTTCGGAGCCACGAAAGGCGCCCACAAAGTAGACCGGCTTGCCAGCTTCTGTCGCGCTCTCGTGGTGAACGATTTGGCCGCCGAGAGTCTGTGTGTGCATGACCTTCCCTTGTTCTTGAGCGTCGTCGAACTCGATAAGTCCATTAGACAGATCGAGTTCCCTATCCGCCGCATCTTTCAACTGAAGCCTCCTCAATCCCCCTCCAACTCCACCCCTCACTCCCGTAAACCCCGCCGCCAAACCATACGTAGCACTGACATTCTGCACCTCCCTGCCCGTCTTCAGCGCATCTCCCCACTTCAGGCCCCTCCACTTGTTGAAGTTGCGATCGGTGTTGAGGCTGATGTCCAGCTCCATGTGGGCGGCTTGTGGTTTGATTCGCATCTCGCGCGGTAGGGCCAAGCCGCTGGCATTGTAGGGTTTGTCGCGGGAGCGGTTGGGGTATTGGACGAGGAGGATCTGCTGTTTTGCGCTGGGGTTGGTGAGGAAGACGTCGTATTCGGCTGTCACTGGATCGTCCTCTTCGATCCGTGCGGCTGTATGAGGAAGTGGTTAGATTCTATCTGAGGTGAAGAGCATCGTGCAACAACTTACGCGCCATGGTTGGTGGTGAAAGGAGTGAAATCTGCAAGTCGTAAAGATTGGTTTGGCTCTGGGATTTTTTGAAGATTGACAGACGAAGCTTGGGCCATTCGGGATCGTCATTGATGGCCGACAGCTCCAACGACTCAGCATTTCATGAACATCACTTTGTCCGACACTTCACACCAATCCATCTCTCATTGCACACGACCGTCCGGCGAATGATTATGGTATCAACTACCCGTCAATTCCGATGAATACGATCACCTGAGTCCCGCCCTCCACCACCGAGCCTCCTCACTCCCTCACCTCAGCCTGATCACTCAATCACCCTCCATCGCCCATCATGGCCTATCTCGCCCCCATCCACCGCCCCTCCAGCGTCCGCCACGCCCTCAAACTCTCCTTCCTCGCTCCCGACGCCGACAACCTCGTCCTCGCCAAAGCCAACCGCCTCGAAATCTACTCCCCCAACCCCGCAGACCCCACCCAGCTCCTCCTCCAACACACCAAAACCATCTACGGCAAAGCAACGCTGCTGCACAAACTCCGGCCCGCCAAGTCCCCCACCGACCATCTCTTCGTCGGCACCGATCGCTACCACTACTTCACCCTCAGCTGGGACGCGGCCACGAACCAATTGGTGACGGAGAAGAGCTACCATGACATCGCCGACAAATCCGCCCGCGACAGCCAGACCGGCGACCGCGTGCACATCGATCCCACCGCGCGCTTCCTCACGCTCGAATGCCACGAGGGCGTGGTGAATGTGCTGCCCATTGCGCACGCAGGCAAGGGCAAGCGGAAAGCGGCAGACAACGAGATTGGGGAGCTGGGCGATCCGATTCCCGTGCGGGTGCCGGAGATGTTTGTCAAGAGTAGTTGTTTCTTGCAGAAGCGGGATGCCGGGGCGAAGCAGGCGCCTCCTGAGCTGGCGTTGTTGTGGGAGGATACGAATCAGAGTCGCGTGCGGCTGAAGGTGAGGAGGTTGGATTATACCCCTTCGTTGCAGCCACAGAAAGAGCCCGGGAGTGTGGAGATGCCGGATGAGGGGAGTAGGGAAGTGAGTGGGGAAATTGAGTTGGGCGCAACGCATTTGATTCCGTTGCCGGCGTCCATGTATGGGATGTTGGTGGTGGGGGAGACGAGGATAAGCTATGTGGAAGAGTGGGAGTATGGGGTCAAGAATACGGTGGCCTTGGAGGAGGCGACCGTTTGGGTGGCGTGGTGTGCTGTCGATGATCAAAGATATGTGCTGGCGGATGACTACGGGAAGTTATATCTACTGTTCGTGCAGCAGAATGGCGAGGGAGAATACGCCGGGCATCAGATTGACGTGCTTGGCGAGACATCAAGAGCATCAACTCTGGTCTATCTGGACGGCGGAAGGATATTCGTGGGAAGCCATCAAGGCGACAGCCAGATTATCCAGATTTCAGAAAAGAGCTTGGAGGTCGTGCAGACATTTGCCAACATTGCCCCGATTCTGGACTTTACGGTAATGGACATGGGGAACCGATCTTCCGACGCACCGGTGAATGAATTCTCGAGTGGACAGGCGAGGATCGTAACGGGATCGGGAGCTTTCAAAGATGGGAGTCTGCGATCTGTCAGGTCGGGAGTCGGGCTGGAAGACCTGGGTTCGATTGGAGAGATGGGAGCGCTTGTGTCCGGCATCTTCAGTCTCCGAAGTCATGCCTCTGCCGAGCTGGATGATACGCTTGTCGTCAGTTTTGTCGGGCATTCCAGAGTCTTCACTTTCTCGGCCGATGGCGAGGTTGAGGAAGTGGAGGCATTCCGAGCATTCACCCTCGATGAGAGCACATTATACGCGAGCAGTCTACCAGACGGTAGAGTGGTGCAGGTGACTGGATCTGGAGTTTTCTTGTCCGATGTGGACAGCGGCATGGTCACCGAGAGCTGGAGTCCAGGAATCACCATCACAGCCGTATCTGGAGAAGGCGTCACGGTTCTCGTGTCCCTCGGAGGCGCGGCACTGGCAGCTCTGGACCTTTCTGCGTCTTCAATCCGAGTACAAGCACAGCGGGAGTTTGACGCCTCGGAGCAAGTGTCCTGCATCGCGCTCTCCCATTCAACCCCGGGTGCTTGCGTTGTTGGCTTTTGGAAGGACAGCAAAGTCTCCTTCCTTGACTTGCAAACGCTGCAGCCAATTGCAACAGAGACAGTGGCCGATGATGACAGCCTCGCTGTTCCTCGCTCTCTTATCGTGGCCAACCTCCTCCCAGGCCAGCCCGCCACTCTCTTCGTCGGCTTAGCGGATGGAAACGTCGTCACTTACTCCATCGAGTCATTACAAAGACCTTTCACCGCCCGCAAGAGTATTATCTTGGGAACACAACAAGCCAATTTTGCTTTGCTACCAAGGGCAGACGGACTGCAAAACGTCTTTGCTACTTGCGAACATCCTTCTCTCATATACGGCTCAGATGGACGGATCGTGTACAGTGCCGTCACAGCAGAAGACGCCTCATGCATCTGCTCATTCGACAGCGCCGTCTACCCCAACGCCATCGCTCTCGCCGCCGAAGGCGAGTTGAAACTAGCAATGGTGGACGAAGGCCGGACAACGCACGTACAGACTCTGCCGGTGAACGAGACGGTGCGAAGGATAGCATACAGCGCCGAGTTGAAGGCTTTCGGCCTCGGCACCATCAAGCGGACGCTGAAGGCGGGCGAAGAGCAGATTGTCTCTCATTTCAAGCTCGTGGATGAGGTGGCGTTTCAGGAACTGCATTCCTTCCAGCTGAATGAAGATGAGCTGATTGAATGCTGTATGCGGTGTCCATTGGACGATGGCTCGGGTGGACTGGCAGAGAGGTTTGTCGTTGGTACTGCGTTTCTAGACGACGCGGATTCGAGTTCGACGCGGGGACGGTTGCTGGTGTTTGAGGTGACGCCGAGTCGGCAGTTGAAGTTGATTACGGAGCATGCGCTCAAGGGCGCGTGTAGGTGTCTGGGTGTGGTGCAGGGGAAGATTGTCGCTGCTTTGATCAAGACGGTGAGCTTCTCCGCCTCTGACCGAGTGCTTGACAAACAAACGCTAACACAGTCACGCCCAGGTCGTCGTCTACTCCTTCGAATACGAAACGCCCAGCACGCCCTTCCTCGTCAAACGCGCCGCCTATCGCACCGCCACCGCGCCCATCGACATCTCCATAACCGACAAAACCATCGCCGTCACCGACCTAATGAAATCCCTCTCGCTAGTCGAATACCGCCCAGGCCGCTCCGGCATGCCCGACACCCTGGTAGAAGTCGCCCGCCACTTCGAAACCCTCTGGGGCACAGCGGTGGCGCACGTGGCGGAAAACACGTACCTCGAGTCCGATGCGGAGGGCAACCTGCTCGTCCTGCAGCACGACATCAACGGCTTCAACGACGAGGATCGAAGACGGCTGCGCGTCACGTCGGAAATGCTGCTAGGGGAGATGGTGAATCGCATCCGCCGCATCGACGTCGTGCCCACGCCCGGCGCGACCGTCATCCCGCGCGCCTTCATCGCCACCGTCGAAGGCAGCATTTACCTTTTCGGCCTCATTGCGCCGGGAAAGCAGGACCTGCTGATTCGCTTGCAGGGCAAGATGGCGGAGCTAGTGAAGAGTCCGGGGCATGTGTCGTTTGCGCGGTTCCGGGGGTTCAGGAATCAGGTGCGCGATGCGGGGGAGGAGGGGCCGAGTCGGTTTGTGGATGGTGAGTTGATTGAGGGGTTTTTGGAGCTGGATGAGAGTGTGCAGGAGAGTGTTGTTGCGGGGTTGCCTGGGGGGTTGGATTTGGAGGGGGTCAGGGGGATGGTGGAGGGGTTGAGGAGGATGCATTAGATTGTTGTGTTGGATTGATGATAGATGAGTGGGTAGAGAGGGGGTGCATTGGGAGGTAGCGTGTCGCTGTAGCTGTGGTTTCGATGATGATTCGAGTCGTTATATCCTTACTAGCCCTTCATCTTACGTCGTATTGCATGGCATGCCCATCATGTAAGAGACCGTACATAATCTCTTCATAATCCCAGATTCCCATTCCTATTTCATGCAACGCCATCAGGTCGTACGCGTACATCAGATCATTCAAATCCCACCGCCTATCATCGCGCATTAGCAAACCCATCCACTCTCCCATTCTGCGCAATACTGCAGTGACAATACATAGACATACCAGATCGATTCGGCTCAACGTGCAACGTGCCTACATTCCGACGGCGCAGCTGTTCGTCCCGATAGCGCAGCGCAAGCCAGGAGCTGATGAGAGCTGCAGAGCTGAAGAGGATGGTGTTGCGGCGGCTGCATTGGACCGAGACGTGTTGTTAGCTTGGAGATGGTAGTGGGCGCTGGAGGGGTTGGGGGGACGGACGTTAGATAGCGTTCCATTCCCATCTTTCGATTTACAGTCTAGCTGACTAAGGTACTGGAAGAGATGAGGAGATGGGTTGAAGGGGCGTTGATGGAGGTGATGGTGATGGTATGGTGTCTGAGTAGGTAGCTTGCTACTGTTGGATGACGGGGTGAGGTGGAGTCTTTTCCCCACGATTTGCCCCGCAATTGCAGGACCCTTCCCCGCCAAAGTCTTCATTCTATGTATACACCTGCAATCCGTGAACGCCTGCGACTACTTGGAATGGGACGAAGCCTTGAACGCCGCCGCTGTATCGGCGCTTGACTTCTCGCCGTTCGTGGCGAACTGATCGTCAAGATACTTGAGGTGCAGAATGGCCTCTCCCAAGTTCGCCGTGACACCGAGCTAAACACGAAGTAAAAAGTACGTCAGCATGATGGGCTTTACTCTCACACATCGCACAACCTACCCCAAGCCACTCTTCCATCTCCGGGGACAGACTGCCCTTCACCTCTTCATTCAACTTCCTCGTCCAATTGACCTGCTGCCGAAGATGCGGCGCAGTGTAGTACCCGAACAACAGCGCGCGATCTTCGCTCGACACGTTCGCACCAGAAGTATGCCACATTTTCCCATCCATGATGATGATCGAGCCAGCCTTGGCTTCAAACGGCCGCAAAAGCTCTCGAGCATTGTCCGGCACTTCCACCCTGCGCTCCCACTTGTTCGACCCCGGAATGAACAGCGTCGCGCCATTGGCGGCGTACACATCCGTCAGACACCAGATGACATTCATAGCATTAACGTACGGCCACGGGTCAGGCGAGACGAGCGACTGATCCGAATGCAAACCCATAGATTTACTCCCCGGCCGAGCAATGTTGGCAGTGAAATTGGAGATGAGGAAGTTCTCGCCCAACACGCTCTTCACCATTTGGATGGCGGTGGGATGCTGGATAAGGTTGCGGAAGAGCGCGTGTTCGAGGAGGTAGAAGACGCGCACGTTGCTTTCGTTTGGGTCGAGGAAGGGGAGGAAGGTGTCTTCGCCTCGCTTTTGAGCGGCTGCTGCTATGGCCCAGAGTTCGTCGAGGACGTTTTTCGCTTCGTCTTTGCTGAGGATGTCGGGGATCACGCACCAGCCTTCGTCTTTGACGCGTTGTTGGGCTTCGGCTATCGATGGGGTTGGGGAGACCATGGCGGCGGTTAGCTGTTGTGTTTGTGAATGATGATGTAAATTGGAGCGCTGTGGTAGGTAGTTAACGTAAACGCCAGGCTTGGTCCTGTAGATCACTCCGTCAAGTCAAGCTGTCGAGCTGTCGAGCTTTCCTACACACAGCTGTGCAGATACAACGTCGATCCTCTACAGCACTTAGTCACCTAGCTGTTAGTAACGCCAGTTGACTGGCCATCGAGGTGCAGCATCCCGGCAATGCTGGCGCTGATCGGCTTCCAATGCCGTGGAAGAAGTCCAACCAACCGAGGAAACGAGTGTCACTAAGTTGTACTTGCTGGCGGTATGCATAACGGACGGACAGCTCGCTCCAAACATATCGGTATAACTCATCGTGTAGCTAAACCCCTCAGGCCTGGCCTCCAAACAACTCCATAAAGTTGGGGCAACCGCTCTTCGCCATCCATCCTCCATCAATCGTCAATGCTGTAAAGTCGATTGGTCAGCAAGGCTGGCAAGCCACCAAAAGCACAAACTCGTATTGTACATACTCTGGCCCGTGATAAATGAAGCCTCATCCGACGCAAGAAATAGTACCGCCCGTCCAATCTCCTTCGGATCCGCCCCTCGTCTCATCGGAATCGTCGCCAGAAGCGCATCCTGCACGTGTTTCTCCATCCGAAAGGCTTCCGTCATGGGTGTAATCATATACCCCGGACACACAGCGTTGACACGAATGCCCTCCAGCGCGTGATCCAGAGCCATCGAACGGACAAGATTGACCGTTCCTGCCTTCGCGGCGTTGTACGAGCACAGTCCGTAGTCGCCTGCCAGGCCTGAGGTACTGGCAGTAGCGACGATTGCGCCTTTGCCCTGGGTCCGCATCTGCGGAATCGCAGCTCGTGAAAGGTAGAACAAGCCGCAAAGATTAGTGTTAATAATCTGCTGGAACATCTCCACCTCGTGGTCAACGACATTCGCAAGAGGCGAAAGCCGCGCGGCGTTATGGAACAGCACGTCCAAGCGACCGTACTGCTTCACACATTCTTCAATCGCGCTCGCGCAGTCGTTGGGCGAGGAGACGTCGCATTTACGGAAGGCCGCGTTGTCGCTCCCGAGGCGCGAGAGGATGTCGCGCTCCTGCAGGTCGACGACGAAGACTTTCGCGCCGTCCTGCACGAAGAGCTCGGCGGTGTCGGCGCCTAGGCCGGACGTTCCGCCTGTGATGAAGACGACTTTGCCGGCGAATCGGCGCGTGTGGCTCATTTTGGGGGAGAAGTATGGGTGCCACTTAAGGAGTTCAAGAACGGGGGAAGGATGTGAGCAGACGTGAAGATGGATCTTGATCGGACTCGCCTTCGATCGTTTACGTGACCTACGAGTTGTCAGATAGCCCCGGTACCCACGATGTCACGCTTACGGCCTTGCTCGTTTCGTTTACCGAGCTGAGGAACAAAGATTGGTCAGTCAGAGATACCTGACTAACATCATGTCGAGTGCGGGGTGAACATGCAGGGCAACATCCTCCCCACTAGTGGTGTGGGGAAGCTCGGGGATCAGGCTGTTGATGGCATTACCAGTCCGTTGCCATCAGCGACGTGTGTGTTGTCGACATCATGAGATGGATTTACAGATCAGTTGGGAATCGATTATTCGATATGACCAGTACACGTTGATGCTCACAATCCAAATCAGCGCTCCAACATACGTCAAAAACTTTCATCTTTCGGCCTCGCTCCATCTCACTCCTTCACCGTAACCACGTCCTTCTCAGCCACGCTGTTTTCGGCGAAAGAGTCCTCGCGCATCTTGGTCTTCTCGTAATCAATTGCCCCCTCCGTCTCCTTGCCACCCTTGTAGATCTGTCGTGACAAGTGATTGTTGAAGTACGGGTCGTAGTCTTTGATGCAGATGCACGCTGCGTGAAGTTTCCATTAGCAACTTCCGTCAAATGGAACACTGTCTAGGAGTCGAGGCATACCAACAAGTCCGACTAGACCAACCGCAATCGCAGCGTAGTAGACATAGGCATAAGCAGCCGCATACCCATCCGCCGTGGCCAAAGCCACCGCGCCTTCAATCGTAGCATTGATGCCCGGAACCGCAGCCAGAGCGTCAGCAGTGCCAGCAGCTATTGCCTTGAAGAGCGCCGGAAGGGAGGATTTGGGAAGACCTGCGTTCAAAGCCGCAGGGGTGACATGCTTGACTAATTCCGTGGGCGCTTTGTTGGATAGGATCGCGACGAAGATGGCGGTGAAGATTGCGCCGACGGCTGTTCGACCGAGGAAGATGATGGAGAAGCACGTGCCTAGGTCGGCGTCGTTGGAGTCGAGCTGAACGAGTAGACCGGAGGCTACCTCCAGCGTTCCGGCGGGGAAGGTGGCGAGGAACGAGAAGGCTGCGGACTGGCTGAAGTTGGAGGGGTTGCAGGAGATCAGGGCGCCTATGCAAAGATCAGACGGATGTCAGAGTGTGTGCAGACAGGCGGACTCCAACGAGCATACTCACCAAGGAATGCGACGGAGAATGCCATCATGCAGATGAGCTGAATTCGCACAAACTTGCCCAGCCCGAGGAAGGGGGAGAGGATGATAAGCCCGCCCCAGATGCCAAAGGCAATGGTTGTCTAGTCGATATTAGCAAAAGCATGGAGCCTGAGTGGTGCCGAGGGACGCACAGAGGCCCAGGCCTTCCGCTGCCAGCTCGTGATGGTAGTGGCGTAGATGACGCTGTAGTAATAATTAGAACATTGCTGTATTCCCTGCCTCGAACACAAACGACTTACGCGACCTGAGACGGCCAAATGATGGCGGACGCCAGGTAAACCGTCCCACTGACCGCACTGATGATGAAAAGCATGGTAAACCCGCGAACATCCCGGAAGAAGTGCATCGGCACGAGGGGATTGGGAGTCTTAGAGTAGACTTCCCAAAAGCCGAAGATGACGAGGAGGATGGCGCCGGAAATGATGAGGCCGAGGATACGAGATGAAGACCATGGAAGAGGTTGGCCGCCTGTGGAATGTTAACAATCGTGCACTTGGAGGTGGAACGTCTGGTTTTACCCCATGAAACCCCGAGCAAGAACAAAACCAGTCCGGCCACGAGCAGAAGGATGCCAACCCAGTCAATCCGCTTGATTTCCTGCATACGGGTACGAGAGTTGCCGTGGAGCTGCCGAAAGCTGGGAGGATGGTAGAAGACGAGCATCAGAAGCAACGCGATACCTTGCAAGACGATGTATATGTAGTAGATGTAGCTGCGGCCTGCGTTAGTTCGGCTCTAGGACACAATCGTTGAACACGACGTACCGCCAGCTGGCCGTGTGTACCAATCGCTGTGCCAGATAGGCACCGAATCCCGTGGGTATGACGTTGGGAACGACGACGATGCCGACTACGACGACGAATTTGTAGTTGTGGGGACAGATTTCACCGACTGTCAGGCCATAGCAAGTGCTGAGAGGTCGCATTAGCCAAACACGTATCACAATAGCATCGCTTCAACCTACTGAACACCTGCAGCGAGACCAAGCATGACATTGGCGCCCACCAGAGTGTTTATATGTTGCGCAGTTCCGGCGATGATTCCTGTGACGCATATAAGATTCGATTGGCAGCTCGCTGGGACCGGAAGGAATGTGTCGCGTACCTCCAATGAACCCACAAGCAGTAGCGGCAACGAGGAACCAACGTCGTCCGAACTTGTCGCTGATGCGGCCAAATAGGATGATGGAGACGGCCGATGAAACGGACCAGATGATGGAGAAGAGGGAGGCATTGTCGCTGGGACCTACGGCGCTAAATCAGTCACGGTTCTTTAAGCGAGTACTCGCAAGAATCCCTTACCTATGTCGGCATTGATGACAGTGATGACGGCGGCGGCAGGTGAGAAGCCCCAGTAGCTCGCCCTGTAGTGTGTGTGAGTCGGAATTCCACTTGCCGCCGACCAGACTTACACAGTAGACAGCGAGATCGAAGCCAGTGCTCCAATCAGCGTCAAACTCGTAAAATAGCCCCTTTTCACATCCGTCGTTCGCAGTGCCAGTGCTTCGGCATGCCTGAGATCTTCGAGCGTGCCTTCGCCCGCGTGCGCGAGCTCCAGCTCTTGGAGCCTGGATTTAGGATGGGAGGTCATGGATCTTTGCTACGGGACACCGTGGGATGTAAGGAGATAATAGAGAAAGGTTACCTCGGGCTCAATGTGCCAGCTGCGTCTACTTAAATGGCTGCTCGACTGCCTTTCCTGCCTGCGAGCTCCAGGGATGGCAGTGTGGCCATTGCCGATTGCCTGGGATGGATCGCCAGAGATCTCCGAGGCTTGCATGTAAGGTAGTCAGAGATCCCCATGGGGTAGCTGTCCCTTTCCGCCGGGGTGTACTCTTGTACTCTGCGTAGTCAGGGTTTGTACAGTCATGGGTGGAGGGGGAAAGTGTCGAGGGACTTAGGGTTCGAGATCGATACGAGTCACGTGCAGGCCATGAAAAGCAGTTGTATTCAGGCCTTGCATATCCGTCTCAACTCCTTCGCGAGTCCAGTTGATAGCAGATTGAAACTCTGGTTCGATTCGAGGATCATTACACATCACCAAAAATAGCTGTTCCGAACCAGTCGTTGCTGACTTTGCTAAACAGACGCCAAACCGCTAACATTCATTGCATCGGATCAAAAAGGGGCAGCAAAGACCACACGACAGATCTACACGGTCACATACCCCAGCGCCAATTTAGAGAAGTCCTGATACTGCGCAAGTGCCGCAGAATCCAAGGCCCCGGGACAAGGGAAAGTGTCGTCCACGAGGCGCCTGTCCGGCTTGAGGGGCACTCCCTGCGCGATGACATTCGCTTCGCAATCGTAGAGTTCGGGATATGCTTCGAAGAAAGCCGGGTCCAGGCGGTAGTTGAACGCCATGCCGTGGTCGAGCCGTAGCTGGCGATGCGCAGCTGTTGCGAGAACGGGAGATTGGAAGAGCTCGCTTGCGGAGGCGGCGGGGAGTCTGGTTCGCTGCTGTTGTTGTGGAGAGCTGGAGAGTGCTGTCTCGTTCGTTGTCCTTGCTGTCGAGACACAATGAGTGTCCCTATTGCATCCTGTGGGCAGAGCCTTGGGACGCGCGTTGGAAGGCTCTTCATTCCCATTCGAAGTGATTGCTTGCACGAGTCCCCAGATAGATACGTAGCCTATGACTGGCTGAGGACAGTCGATGAGATGTGACAAATCCGCTTGGACGACATAAGATCGCCCAACATCGCTGATGATGTCGTCGATGCGTGGGTTGGCTGCGTGGTGGAGGATGAGCTTATCGCGCAACGAGGGCCACTACAGTATGCCAGTCAGCAGCTAGATCCTGCTAAATGCGGAGGATGGTAATTCTCGCAAACCCACCGGGATCCAATCGATCACACTTGGATGCTCGACGGACATTTGCAGCCGCGTTGGCCGATACTGCGGAGCGACGTTCTGCCAGTTGTCCAATGTGCGCTTCATCCGCCAGGCCGTCAGATCTTTGAGCGCGCTGAGGCTTTTGGTGTATGTCTCCCACGCGATCATCGGCTTCCACGAAACGCTGATGAACGCGGTAATCATGAACTCGATGGCGCCAAGAAGTCTACGGCAAAGTTGGTCAGTGGTGATATGCATGAGAATGGCAGGCATGTATTGACGACTCACTGTTGATCAGCAGCTCGTATGAGCCCTAGTTGAGGCCATTGGCTTGCTAGACTGGATTCGAATGCATCGATATGGTCTGAAAACGTAGAATTCGTACGTCTCAGGATTTGCGGAGCATTCGAAATTACCGCAGCTCGGTCCAGCAGATCTTTGTATCGATCAAATCCAATACTGGGCCCGGAAAGAGATTCCAGAGGATAGTGTGGTGCACGAACATGTAGAGCCGGCGGATCTACGGCTGTCATCTGGAAGCTTGGGTCGTCTGGTCCAGCAAGCGTGTCTATGAAACAGTCGAGCACAGGAGCAGAGTTTGACTGGTTGGGCCATCGTACTGAAGCATCCTCACTACCGAATGTCGTTCGCTCGCGAAGTAGCACGTCGGAAAAGATGCAATCACTGCCACCAGGGAGGGTGTTGGACCGCATACACGACGCAGCATCTAGCTCGACCGTGGTATCCGAGGGCGAGGTCGTCTCCAACGGCAATGTTTGACTCTCTGGACCGCCATTTTGCTCGACTCCTGTCCGATCAATACTTGAGATGTCCTGATACGCAAGCTAAACACACTCGTCAGATATCTGCGAGCAAGCAACAGCGAAAAAGAAGGAAGCACACCTGATCCAGTCCCAAAGCCCTCGCAGCCTCCTCCGCCAAACCCCTCAACGAAATCTGCAAACTGTGCGCCTTCTTGTGGACACCCAAAAGCTGCTCGCGCAACCGCGCATTGTCGTCCTGCAACTGCACCACCAAAGTCGACTCGTCCGGCAGAGCTTGCTCATCAAGTCGCTTCTCCAGCTCCTGGATGCGTAGCGTCTGGCGTGCGCGGAAGGCCCGCTGGGACATGCGGTTGCGCATTCGTCTGCGCTCTGGCGTGCTGCTGCCTGCGTCTGCTGCTATGCTGTCTCCGCCGCGGCTGCTGCGGTTTGCTGGGGAGATCTTGCCGCTTGCTGGTGGCATGGTGTTTGGCGAGACGGAGATGAAGAGATGGCATTGACAGACGTAACCCCCTACTACCGTCCTGCCAGATGTTGAGGGGTTTTAGGGTTTTTTTGGGGTCAAGCGGCACGTTGCGCTGCACAGCTCCCTCGGTGCGACTTCCGGAGGAGCCAAGTAAGCATGAGGCACGCAGGGTGTCGTCAGTGGAGGGACGCTGAGCAGATCCCCCGCAATCTGTCCCCGTGGGGAAGCTGAACGGGCAATTTTGGTACAGTCATTGCCCATCTGCCGCGATCTAGATAGTGGAAGTCATGCCATGCATATTATTCGTACATCTATCTATCTCTATCTTGACATCGCTGTTCTAACATCACTGGGTATATCAATCAGCAGTCGTAACGCTGATCGGCACGAACAAAAAACGAAGTGGTGTCGTTCCCGCGCCAAACGCTCATCATTGCATCCCTCCGAGCCATTGAGTCTCGGTAAAGGTCATGAGACGAAGCAAGCCATCTCTTACACCTTCTCCATCAACTTCTTGCTCCTCGCAAAGCGCGCAGCAAGCACAAAAGCACCACCGACCAGCATGATCGCGCCAGAGAAGGTCGAGAGCGCGATGTAGCCGCCGGCTCCGACGAGTTCGCCGGCGATGGGGGTTCCGAAAAGTGCCGTTAAGGCGATGGAAGTCTGCACGATCCCTATTGCCTGGCCAACAGTCTCCTTTGATGCGACGGCGCCCACGCATGCGAATTGCAAGCTCAGAGTGGCCTATGAGACATGTTAGAGAAAAGCGAGTGTGGGGCAGTCGAGGAAGACTTACGCCCGAGATGAAGCCGTAGGCAAGAGCGAAGACCACAATACCAGCCGTATTCGTCACCGCCGTCCAGCAGAAGCACACAATCGCCGAGCCGAGCATGGACACGGTGATGATGTTGAATGGGCCGACGCGATCGGCGATGTAGCCGGGGATGACACGGCCGAAGAGAGAGGCGGCGTTGAGGATGGCGATGAGGTAGAAGGCGAAGCTCTGCGTCTCCCCAATGTGGATAGCGTAGGTGGTGAGGTAGAAGAAGGGGGAGAAGAAGCCGAAATAGAAGAGGGCGAGGCCGGAGCACAGGAGGATGAAGGAGGGGTGGCGGAGGCGGGCGAGGTCGGCTTTGCGCGCTTTGGCGTCGCTGGCTTTCTGCTCCTTGGTGGTGATTCGCGTGAGGCCTGCCTCGCTATCCACCGGCTGCTTCTTGGGTACGATTGGTCGCTTGACGCCGATGATAACGATAACCATCAAGGGTAGCATCATGAAGCCGCAGATGCGGAGCGTCCAGCCGAAACTGATCCCATCTGTGTCCAGCAGCTCATCGAGCACGATAGGCCAGATGACACCACCGAGCGACGAGCCTGCAATGGAGACGCCTTGGGCTAGGCCTCGATTGCGCACAAAGTAGCGAGGAAGCGTCGAAGTGACAGCAATGGTGATGTAAGCCATGCCAATGCCCAGCAGGACGCCTTGCGCAAGGAAGAACTGGTAGTATTCCTTGCAGAGCGAGACCATAAACACCGCGACTAGCTCACACACTGCGCCAATGGCAATCGGGATCGTGGGACCGCATTTGTCGGTCAGGATGCCCGCTGGAACGCCGTTGACGAAGAACATGAAGATGGAGAAGGATCCGATCCAGGAGATTTGGAAGTTGGAGTAGGTCGGCAGGTAGTGGAGGGTGTAGTACGCCTGACTAGGATGAGTGTCAGTATTTTCTGTGACTCACGTTGGGAGAGAAGGACAGGTTGGTTCTTTGGCGGGATACTCACTACGACGGAAGTTAGTACAAGGCGTTCAGTGGCAGAAAGAGCTTAGAACTTACCAAGACGCCATAGGCATTGAGAAACCCAGCAGTGCAAAACAAAGCAGCAGAGCAGGAGATCAATACCAACACAGACCGGACTCTGCAGGACGTCAGTCATGATTTAGAAATCGTTGCAGCAGGAGGGACACGGCGTACGTGAATTCGGAGGTCTCTACCGGCTTGACTAGGTCTTGTTGGAGGGGAGCTTTGTCCTGGGGAGGGACGCTTGATTCCGACGTGGGCGTGGGTGGCACGTCTCCCTTTTCCGACTCGGCCGGGGTGAGGGGACGTTCTTCCCTTTCCGACATTGTGAGATTTGGTTGCGATTCTTCAGTTATCTGGTGGGTACGCGTGATTTGTGGTAAGATCGAGGGATAGCCAGAGCTATGCGCTGAATGTAATCGTTGATGCTTTGCCAAAACCACAGACATGTCGAGCAGGGCGAGCTCTTTAAACCAAAAGCTCCCACGCGCCGTTGCAGAAAATCCGCGGATTCCAGACGCGAAACCCGCGGGGCCGGGCGTTGCTTACCCATCCAAACGTCCGAACCCCGCGGGCTCGGAGATAAGGCTGCGCCCAGCGGGCTAGTGATTGGCCTGACCGCGGACCCCACTTTGCATGAGGCATCTATTCTGCAAATTGTGGATGTGCATGACATTGGACGCCGCGTAACAATGCGCGCGCCGAAAGTCAATGATTCATTCCTTGTCGGGGAAAAGTGCCCATGGTGTAGCTTGGATGTCAGCACCAATGGCCACGCTGAGCTGTGGGAGTCATCCGCGTCATTTGTCGTCTGGACAGTAGCATTGCAGTAACCCATGCACAATCTTATGAAATATGCATCTCGAGGTCGTTCATAATCGCGTCCCAGCTTTGGGGGTCCAGGGCGGCCCCATTGTACAAGTATTCGTTCCAGATGTCGTCGAAGCCAGCGCCGTCACCCACCACTTGCTCAAACGCCGCCCCCTGCAAGGCGGGCCTCGTGTCTGCCTGGGTGCTGGTGTGCTCTATGGCGGAAAGCATCTTGGTCCCGTTGGCCTTGCCATTGCTGGCCTCCGTCGGAGGGAGATTGACCTGGTGTTTGCGAAGAATCTCCATCAACGACTGCAAAAAGCCCGCCGCAACCTGCGACGACGTCTTGGCCTCCTCCAAGCTCTGAATCACGCTGTGTGCCTCGTAAAGAGCAGTCTGATCGCCATGGCTGTTGACGCACAAGTCCATCACGAGAACGATGGCGGCGTAGAAGATGTGACTCAGGGTGCCGCCGAGCCGGAAGACTGCCATGTAGCTTTCGATGGACACTTCGGAGCGAAAGACGTCTCTTGCTCGCACGACCGCGCGGGCGGAGTCGAGGCAGACTTGGCGGGAGTAGTTGAAGCGGGGGTCGGACTTGAAGCGAACGAGATAAGGGAGATGTAGCTTGCACCGACGCGAGTGATAGAAGACGTTTACCAGCATTCGCAGCGACGGCGGAGCATGAGGGCGGTCTGCTTCTGTCGTTGCATCGCTCGTCTGGCTTGTAGTCTTGAGCCTCAAAGGTGCGGGAAGGGTATCTAGTGCCTCCTTGAACTTGATGTCCAGGGCGATGAGCTTCTCGTAGGGCAGGTTTGCAGCCCCGAGCGCGCCTATGGAGTCGGCCAAAGTGTCCACGGCCTCGCGACAGAGCATGGCAAGCTTGCATCGCTCATGGAAGAATAGCATGGAGAATGGTCCGTCTCGTGATCGTTCACACAAGGGTCCTTGCGTACTGAGGTCATGGTCGTCTATCATGCGAGGGAGATTGACGACCATGTGTTTCGGATGAATCGAATAGACTGCCTCGGCCGGGCCGCTCATTTGTGCGAACAGCCTTGTAATCAATGGTCAGCTAGGGTCGGAGCTGTACAAGTGTGCAGGCGTCGACAAGACCGCACTGCTCTAGCGGAAAATAAACCGCAGAGACAAGGGCATATTTCACCCTCGTGAGTCCCTGATAGGAACGCGAAGTGTAACATACCATTCAGACGAGGCAATATGCCACCAAACCCTTCTCCCCATCTCAACTCTAATAATATCATCTCGCGTCTGACGTGGAAATTTCGAGCCCGGCCCATCAATCCTATGCAACCCCAGCTCCCTCGCCATGGTGACACAGCTAGCTTGAAGCAGGCGGTTGTGGATCGACATACCATCCAAGTTGATCAAGCAGAAGTTCAGGATGACAGCGCCCTGGAGCAGCTCGAGAGAGATGTTACTGGAGATGTGAGCTTGCTCGAGAAGAGTCAATGCTTGTTTGGCGAGTGCTGTGGAGACTTGGAAGTCAGAGGTCAAGCTGCTGCACGAGAGGTCTTTGGCAGGCTGCCAGAGTTCGGCATAAACGCAGACCGCTAGGATAAGAGCCACGGAGCCTGGGTCGGGAACGCAGCCAATGGACAGCTTGTCGTAGACATCCGTAAAGATTGCTCGCGCAGTGGGGACGTGGACGATCGGTACGCTGCAATGGGCGTAGGACTCAAAGCCGTCCAAGTAAGCCATTGATTCTTCCCGCTTGGGAATGTCGATAGCAGTTTCATGGACCAGAGAAGCCTCGGTCACTATTTGATTGGTGTTCTGGACGGTGACCTGAAGCAAGCTCGAGAAGGGCGGGACCTATCATAAGTCAGTGGATGAACGCAAACATAGTCGCATGAGCTACAGATACATACCACTGTCCCACTCCGATTGCTGAACTTATGCTCAAGCCACTCACTGTCGACCTTTGCACGGGTATCTTCCTGCTGAACAATCGAAGTTGCGGGCGATAGACTCGCCACCGACGGGCTGGGGGCGTGTGAGGACAAGTCATGACCAAACACAGCCTTTTCCAACCTTGCGAGCCGAGACCTCAGAGCGTCATTCTCCGACTGGAGGCTGTTGCCGTTACCGTGGCCATTCTCCGTCGGGGATACGGTAGGTAGCTTGTTCGAATACTCGCAATCAAGGTGTCGAGTTCGACAGTTGGCACACGGTCGTTCCCGGTCGCACTTGAGTTTCTTGAGACGACACGATCGACATGATGGTGGGTTTCGAGGTGCCCTTGAGCGACCCGGCGTCCTCTCTGGTGGCATTGGTATGTCGAGGCTCGGATTGTAGCAAGCGTCTATTCGTTATAGGCTCGGGTCATTCTGGGGGAAGACCATCATCACATTGTACTTGTCATCGCTCGGTATGGCCACTACGTCGTTGCCTGATGAGTGATGCCCTTCGGTATGTTGCTGTTCAAACGTCCGTTGCTCGTGCAATGGAGATGACTGAGGGCTGAAGATGCATGTCATATGGATGCCTGAGGCAAGCGCACGGGCCGCATTGCCATGCCCCGCTGGGCAGTCCAAGGCAGATGCATTTCACGACACTCGTCGCTCTGGACCACTCCTCAATCACGATACTTGCGCCCTCGCCGAGACAGCCCGATATTTCACAACCTCCCCAGCCTTCATCGAGGCCCAACGATATTCCGAGCCCACCCCGTCTGGCCCTCCGCCTTGCCCCGTCGCCATGGCGGCATCAGCATCCACGCCCGCAACACCACTCCTCTACTCCTGCATCGCACACCACGACACCATCCTAACCGAGCACACCATCGCCTCCGCCGCCGGCGTCTCGAACCTCGCCTCCGTCATCCTGCCCAAAATCTCGCACGAAACCGCCCAGAAACTCATCTACACCCACAACCAACACTACATCTACTACATCAGCGACGCAGATGGCACATCGTCCAGTAAAGCGAGTGATCTGAGCGGCGCAGGCCTCACATACCTCGTTGTTGCAAAAGCGGATCTCGGCCGCAGTATTCCCTTTGGCTTCCTGCTCGAGGTGAAGAAGCGCTTCTTGAAAGACTACGATGCAGAGCGCACGAGTTTTGCGTCTCTGCCCGCCTACGGTGCCGCGGCGTTCAATACGCAGCTCAAACAGCTCATGGTCGACTACGGCACCACCAAATCCGGGCAGACGTCTGCGTTCGCGAACGTGCAGGCGGATATTGATAATGTGCGGGGCATCATGACGGAGAATATCGAGCGGGTGCTGGAGCGCGGGGAGAGGATTGATTTGCTGGTCGACAAGACGGATCGACTTGGAGGGAGTGCGCGGGATTTCCGGGTGAGAAGTCGGGGGTTGAGGAGGAAGATGTGGTGGAAGAATACGCGGTTGATGGTGCTTTTGGTTGTCGTCATTGTGTTCTTGGTCTACCTCGGGATAGGCATTGGCTGCGGCTTGCCTGGCTGGGGGAGGTGTATCGGTGGAGGCAAGTCGTGATTATTCACATGCGTGGCGTTGTGGAAGGCTGGCACTATTTATCTATCCTGTACAGGTACGGACGTTAATGGCTACGAATTGAACACGATATCAGCGATCCAACGCATTCCCTGCAGTTTCTGAGCAACTTCAAGCGCCGTTCAACGCGCCAGGACGTTCACATCTTGATTACTGTTCATCCCTCGATTACTCTTTATGCCTAGGTACCACACCTTGAAGTGTGCCGCGATACCTCCCCGCATGCGTCATCATGCCTAACGCATCCCCTCCCCCGGAGTCCACTCTAAAGCACAACTTGAATGATCGACAACATAAAACCATCAACCACCAGCCCCTACAGCCCCCTCAACTCTTTCCCCAAAGAAACTAAAGACAGAAAGGAACAAGCCAAAATGCCCATCTACGAAATCCAACACGCAATCCCATTGAGCATCTCGCAAAAAGACGAGCTCGCAGCAGCAATAACAACCCTGCACTCCACCACCTTCACCACCCCCAAACTCTTCGTCCAAGTCTTCTACACCGACGTCTCGACTCGCGATGTATACATAGGCGGCGTCGCGCGCTCGGGGAACCACATTAAAGGGCAAGTGCGGTCCGGCGCATCGCGCAGCCAGGCGGAGTGGAACACGCTGTGCGTGGAGATGGCGCGCGCGTGGGACAAGGTATGCGGTGTTCCGCTGCCTACGCGGAAGGGCGGGAAAGAGCAGGGGGATACGAAGCTGCATTCTGTTACGTTGATGGGGGGGATGGTGGCGGGGTTGGAGGTGGGGTTTGTGCTGCCTTCTGCGGGCGGGGATGTGGATTGGATTCGGGAGAATATGGCTGCGTTCCGGAAGAGGGCGGACGAGGGGGATGAGGATATGAAGGGGTTGGTGGCGGATGTGGAGGCTAGGGGGTTGTTGGTTGATGAGGGGAAGAGTGCGGTGCAGCGGCTTGAGGAGGCGTTGGGGTGGGGGGATGCTGCGTAGGCATTGCCATGGGGATTGGGTGTTATGCGCGAATATGCTTGCTGGATGTGGATTCCAATAGGTCGACGGGGTGTGTGCATCGTGCGACGAGTGATTGGAAGAAGCCTCATTCATTCCTATTAGTCTTATAATCCGCTGAGGCAGAAGCGCTTGACCGTCAGCGCCACATTATCTCCACCGCTTTGCGTATCCAGCTAGTATTACACGGGTGGTAAGTGTGCGCGCCTGCGCTGCTCCCGCTTCTCTTTTAGATCGAGGACTCGGCAAGTCTTCTAAGATCACGTCGAGTCCGCTAGGTGGCTGTTGCGGCAGCTGTGCGCAGCCTAAATTTGTTCCGCTCCCCAACCAGCATCGGCATCCCTGCAACACAGTCAGTATCATCTACTCCTTCCTGTCATGTGATTTCCACCCACCTCATATTCGCCGGCGGCTCAATGCTCGGCACAAACTCGAGCGCAATGTACACCACTCCTGCAAAAGCCACCAGGCTTCCGAGCAACCACTTCCAAATCGAATTATCGATGATGAGGGAGCCGACGAAGAGGTAGAAGGCGCCGCGGCCGATGAAGGAGAACATGAAGCTGGCATAGCGGGCGATTTGCGGGGGGATCTGGAATTCGAGAAGGCCGGTTGCTGGAGAGAGCATTCGTTAGTGACTTGGATGGAAGAGCTTGGGGTGCAACGCAACTTACACAGGCCAAAGATGATCACGTAGACTGCGACGATGATGCTTCGACTGCAGCTGGGTGTTAGGTGTGTGCCTTCCCCTTTCTCCACTGGCTTCTCTTGCTGGATATCTGCTTACAGGCTGATTGTGGGCCAGAACTGTCCAATGCCGCCGAGGACCATGAGGACACCCACGGCCAGGTTGACTATGCGGCTGGAGGCGAGTTATTAGCAGTCGCTTTCTCAATGCTGCTGCCTCACAGTATGTAAAGGGATGAGAGGAGCTCACAAGATGTCGGAAAAATCCATGTTGGCAGATTCAAGTAGTCGTGGAGGGAGACGAAGGTTATGCGACCGGGAACACAGTGGTTTCGGAAGATGATGGGCGTTGAGGATGTGAGAATGGAGTTGGTGAGAATGTTGGTTTCAATGCGATCGAAAAGGCTGGAGGGGAATTTTGGAGGCGGTCGTCAGTCGCGTCGCGGTTCATCCCGCCCGCCAGGCTCCAGGGTTAGGGTTGACGTCACCCGTCCTTTCGCTGCCTTGTCCATGTCGATTCGTTGTCCTGCCTTTCTCCTTCCAAGTGGCACTTCCATGCATTCTGTGAATAGGTTTCTCATCTTCTCCCCGACATGATGATTGAATAACAGTTTGCACCTTGTCGTCAGTGTAAGGCACGAGGCAAGCCGCATAAAGTGTGAGAGCTAGCAAAGCTCGGGCTTCCCTTGTTGCCTGAGGCCCCCACTCGTTCCTGCAAGACCTCATCCATGTGCCAATGCAATCTCATCCCTCAGCCTTGTAATCCATCCTCCAGGACATGAACGCCAGTCTGGCTGCTGCAGCTCGCCGCGCAGTGTTGTTCAGCAATGCAACCACGAAGACTGTACTTCCCACCCCGATAGCACGATATACCGGAGGGAAGCCGAGATCCTCATCCTGGCAGTGCCCAGCATGTACTCGCTCGATGCGAACAAATGCGCCGGTCTGGCAAAGCAAAGCTTGGGCCAAACAACTACACACTTCAAGTCGACGCTTCAATGACGCTCGTTCAGCCGAACCTCCCCTCTCCCGTACACCATCCTCACCCAACCCTCCCGAGACTGCCATCCCACCCTCAACCCCCACCGCTTCCCTCCCCTCCAAGTCCGACTCACAGCGATGGCCCAGCTCCCGCCGCATGGCGCACCTAATGGACAGCGTGCTCGCCCGCGCCTCCGTTGCAGGCCAACACATCAACAACTACACCGGGACAGACTACAGCGGGATCGAAGCCATCAAGCACGAAATCAGCGCGCAAGAAGGCAAAGTCGACGCCTGCCACTCCACCATCGCCACCGCACGATCTACCCACTCCAACGCCCACGCCAAACAAGCCGCGTCGCAGAAAGAAATTGTGAGTCTACTGGAGCGCAAATCTTCCTGGTCGCCTGAAGACCTCGAGCGATATATGTCTCTTGTTCGCTCGGAGCATGGTCACGAACAAGCTATTCAAGCTGCTAAAGATGGATTGGAAATGGCTGAGCGCGATCTGGAGTCTGCACGCGCGGAGCTGGAACGTTTGGAGCGGAAGCAGTACCATGAAGAGCAGATTTGGAGCGATACCATTCGGCGGAATAGTACGTGGGTGACGTTTGGGCTGATGGGGTTGAATATCTTTCTGTTGCTGGCGCAGATTGCCATTTTCGAGCCCTGGCGGCGCAGGAGGATTGTCAAGGAGGTTCAGAAGGCGTTGGATGAGAAGCATGCGTTTGTGACTGGCGCTCCTGCAGCGGCGGTCGAGAGGCAGATTGATACTGTTGTGGAGCCAAAGGGCGTGCCCATCGAGGTGGCAGCTGATCAGACTCCGACAAGCACTACACCCAGTCCTCCGAACACAATCCTGGCTGCAGACACACCACCACCGCAGGAACAAGCCACCCCACCTGTCCATCCTCCCTTACGAAAACCCCAAACCTGGCCGGAAAGCTGGGACTACCACAAAGAGCGCCTGCACGACCTGTTCAGCGAGCGCATGGTGCAGGTGAAGAAAGTCGACATCACCACCACTGCCTTACAAGGCGCGGCCACTGGCGTTGCGGCCATGGGTTTGCTGTTTGTTTTGTGGCGGCCGAAGTGATTGCTTGGTTGACATGCTGGGATTGCATGACTGCCATGCGCATGATTGCATGCTATGGCTTTGTCACGGAATTTGTTTACTGGCTGCTTTAGCCAGGCGAGCATGCAGCCAGGTGCTGCTCACTGGCTGTGAGGTACCTTGTGAATGTGTCTTCTTCCTCAAAAGCCACCCAGCATATACTCGACCCGCGCCTCATGCAATATAGACATCCGCATAGAATATATACCCCAGTCTCAACTCCTCCCTCCTCCACCCATCCCTCAATAGCACTCAAGTCAACACTCTGAACACCAAGCAACAAGACCAAGATAGCAACCATGCTCCCCAGCCTAACAGGCGGCCGTAAATCCCTCCTTAGAGATGATGGGGAGGAAGGGGAGGAGGGAGAACAGGATACATTTCGCTGGTGGTTGCCGAGGGTTCGTCGATATGTGTGACCCCGTTGTTGAGGATGGAGAGAGCGAGGAGACGGGGCCTGAAAGCGTGCGCTTGCCGTCTGTTATGAATAGTGATGGTAGCGCCGGGAGGCGCTAGTCCGGCTCGGGTCGCTGATTTGGGCGTGTGCGGTTTCATGGGATTTGAGGTCTCCTATGTTCTCCTTTGCGATTCCGAGTCATCGGTCATCCCAACGAGGAGAGTCTTATCTAGTCAGCTTAAGTTTCTGCAGCCGTTATGGCGGTGTCGAAAGCACGTACGGGATATTATACTTCCGGAGACTGTCAACCGAATAGATGCGGGAATGCAATGTCCAGCCAACCACAAAACGCTGCGATCATGTCGGTCTCGAACCACTCTGATCGCCCACATCACTGGAACTCTCCAAACTCGCCGTCGTCAAAGCCAAGTTCTTGCGCCGACTTGCCTTGAACAGTAGGCGGCGGCGCAATTTGACCAGGCCCCTTGCCCGCCCCAGGCGGAGGGGCAATAGAGAACAACGCAGCGGCATCGTCTTGCTTCGTGGAAGAGTTGCCGGAAGTAACAGTTCTGCTCTTCCCGCCAAGCTGAATATGAATCTTCTGCCCTTCCTTCAAGCTGAAATCCTGCTTTGAGTCCTGCACTCCGGAGCTAGGGGCGTCCGTTCCGCGGCCAGAAGCAGCAGCAGAGCCAGCCTCGAATCCAAGCACTTTCCGCGCCTCTGACAACGCAATGTTGAAGTCCAGTGCCGGACTGCGATCTTCGAATCCTATGCCCAGGGTAGCTTTCATCCCTCCCTCGCCTTCCACGCGAACGGCAAAGAAGCGACTACTGTCGTTAGCCTGCTGGACGACCGCCGGATGGATATACGGAGCAGCAGCGAAGAGGTCGCCAGTGTTCGGGTCTTCCAGCACAGCGTCAACTTTGATAGAGGCATCGACAGAGGTTTCGATGACTCGAAGACGCGCGGTGAAGATTTCCTGCGCCGTGGGTTGCGTTGGTGATGTCCAGTTTGCTGCGGAGAAGCCTTTGTTGCTGGAGATTGGTGGGATGCCGTAGACGTGTACTCCCTCGGTCACGAAGACTATTCGCTGGATTGCATCGTCTGGAAGCTCGGCGCCGGTTGCTATGTCTCGGGTCATTATGGCCGTGCGGTCCTCGGGATGTGGCTGAATGTGAGAAAACTGCCTTCACGAAATGACGTTCCAAGAGTCAGAATTGTTATGTTCTGCCAGGCTTAGAAAGTGCGGTCATGTGGCATATTCAACAAGATCACCGCCTTGCGAATGGGACAGCGAAGTCGAGAAATGGAGCTCGGACCAAGCGATCTTCGCTCGCAAGCCACATGTGAGCGCCACATCCAAGACCCTTCGATTAAAAAAAAGTTAAGCACACACACCTCTCTCTGCACACACACCACTTGACTCCCCTCGATCAAAATGGCCGCCGACAACACCGTAACAGCACTACGGAAAGTCCTAACAGACGAAAACGCCGCCCTCGCCCAGCGCTTCCGGGCGCTATTCTCCCTCAAACACCTCGCGGCGCAAACCCCGCCAACCTCTCAGACGGTCCCCGCGATCGAAGCAATTGCGGCGGCTTTCACATCACCCTCGGCGCTGCTGAAACATGAGTTGGCGTACTGCCTTGGACAGTCGGGCAAGAGCGAGGCCGTGCCATTTCTACGCAACGTGATTGAAGACCGGGGCGAAGATGCGATGTGCAGACATGAAGCGGCGGAAGCACTAGGCGCGCTAGGGGATGAGGGGAGTTTGGAAATGTTGAGGCAGAGGAGGGACGATGTCGAGGAAGAAGAGGTGGTGCGGGAGACGTGCGACATTGCGGTGGAGCGGATAGAGTGGGAGCACTCGGAGGCGCGAAGGCTGGAGAAGTTAAAACGAAGCAACTTTGCGTCTATCGATCCTGCGCCGCCTCTTGCCAACCACGACACTCACTCTGCGTCTATTCCTGACCTGGAGAAGACTTTACTCGATACTTCGCTGCCGCTGTTCCAGCGCTACAGAGCCATGTTTGCGCTGCGGGATCTTGCATCACCCCCTGACCTTCCAACCGCGAAACCGGCCATCCTCTCGCTCGCTCGTGGTTTTAGCGATCCTTCCGCCCTCTTCCGACACGAAGTCGCCTTTGTCTTCGGCCAGCTATCACATCCCGCTTCCATTCCGAGTTTGGTGGAGACTTTGAGCAACACCTCCGAGGCCAGCATGGTGCGGCACGAGGCTGCGGAAGCGCTGGGGAGTCTTGGAGATGAAGATGGCGTTGAGGAAGTCCTGCGCAAATTCATCAATGACCCGGAGCAAGTCGTGCGTGAGAGCGTCATCGTGGCACTGGACATGGCGGAGTTTGAGAAGAACCATGAGATGGAGTACGCCACGATCCCCATTGCTCAAGCGGCGTGAAGGGCGCATGTCTGGTGATAGTTGTTGGATAAATAGCGAGGCGTTCCGGCTTCAATCAATTATTGGTATTCCACTTATTCCCGCACTGCGGGCAAGTATAGAAGACTGTCGTGCCTTCATCGGCTGATCGAAGTTGCTGAGTGTAGTAGCGCACTTCGCCGCAGCCGCACTTGTCGCAAGTCATGTTGATGGTCGCCTCGATTTGAATCTCCGACTCGGTGATCTCTTGCACATCCGATCGCAATCTCGTGCGCAGGGTAGATGGGAAAGCGGATGGTTTGGAAGTCGTCACGATGACCTTGGATGATGTATCTAAATACAGCCACGAATGAGTACTGTGACAGCACTTGGAAGCCACGAAGAGGAGAGCATACCCTTGTTTTGCGCGCCGCAGAGCTCGCATTGAATATGCTCCTTGCGACGGTGGTTCGGGTCGAGCAGATTTCCGCAGTCGGTACAAAACACGAGTGAGCCGATCGCCGCCATGCCGAATACGACACGTGATAGTGATGCTGTGCGACAAATGAATGAACCACGAAAGTGAGTAGTGAATCACGTTTCACAAGTGAAGCGAATGTGAGGCGGAAGTGAAGGGCAAGAAAGAAAATTATGGGACGGTCGTATTGCGCACGGACGCGCCTGCCGTTTTGGGCGGGGCTAGCGTGCAGCGTCGGCAGAGCCATCGACCTTGTTGCGACTTCATCTCGTCTTCTGCATCTCCATCTTCCTTGCGCAAACGCCTTTTGCTCTCGCTAAATGGATTATGAGTCCTCGGGTACTGTGAGAGACATGTACGCCGAGTGTGTTTGATGCTCCGCGCCTTCGTTCGCTACAAGTGGCCCATACATCATCGCCAGTCAGCGAGATTCCAATGCACAACCACAGATGATCGTCAACCATAATGGAGGGGTCAAAACAAACGAATGGGACCGCGCCGCACGGTGATCCGTCGCAACAGCTTCCCAACACCGCACGCAAGCTCCGAGCGCCGACGGTGCAGGAAGCCCTACCCTACACCCCGCTTAGCTCCATCGTTCCCTTCACTCCAGGTACGTCAGAGCCTCACTTCCAACTGACTGTATCACACTCAATACCTCTGGCCCACATTGCATAGCCTCCGACTTCTTGGCGCAGTCAGCTCTAACACATGCCTCCAGATGTCATTCCTGCCCCTCTCGCCCTCCCTACCCTCACCCCCGCCGTCTTGCAGAGTTCCGCCGACAGTGCAAACGCCAAGAAGCTCTTACATGACCTCAGCAGTGGAGCCACGAGTGCTGAAACAGCATCCAAGCGAGTACAACAAACGCTGAAAGATGTGCAAAAGCTGCTGGACCCGGCCAGCCTGACGCAATACAAATTCAAGCGGCTACCACCTCAACCTTCGAACAAAGCAAACAAGGACACGACAGTCCCGAATCCACCTCTGTCTTCCTTCGCCAAGATGGTGCTGGACAACACCAAAGTGTCGTATCGCTATCTCACCCCAGAGTCCGAAGCGGAGTCTAGAAATGCCACCAATGGCACTGGAGTCATACCTTTGCCTCATTCCTGGAACATCAAAAAACAAAGCAGTGGACACGTCGCACCCAGCAGACCACAAACGACACCTTCATCATCTCAGCAACGCAAAGTGGAGGCTATCATTCCTCAGACCCTCACACCATCACAGCGTGCCGAGTTCCAGCGTCTGGCGGATGTGAGCTTCGATCATGCAAGGCCGATGACAACAGATCAGAGACAGAAGGGCGATGCCGCAGTACAGAATCTCCAAAAGCTCTTGTCGGAAGTCTTCGACGCGGAGGATGCGCCAACCGAGTCCGATCAGCAAGCTACACCCAACCCCGTCTTTGTCGTTCGCGATACTGGCGATGGCTCAGTGACGATCTTGGCGCCGGAAGTGCAGGCCCGCTTGGATTCGTCAATTTCAAAAGTCATCACGAGTGGGAGGTTCCATGACATTCAGATTGATGATCTCATGCACGTCCAAAAGATATGCGAGGTTCCGGTCTCTACCGTCCAAAAGCTCTCACTGCTGGTCTCGAGTGGCTGGAGCGAATCGGAGGAAGAAGACTGGGTATCAAGACTCGGCATCGCCGAAGTCGGTTTGATCGCCTCGAGAACTTTGATGCGAACCATGAGTGCAGGGGCTCACTTCAAGGAGCTTCAATCCGAAGACTTTGTATCTGAGTCCCTGGATGTCCTGAAAGCGGTTATCGAGCGCTGCGTCATACCAATCATTGAGGAGCCGCCGTTCGCAGGAGAGAAGATCCGTGGAGAGAAGAACCAACCACCAGCGAATCCAAAGTTCCAGGCCGCCAGGGACAATCAAAACGCACTTGTATCGTTGATCAATGCGACATCGAAGAGCGTTCGACTGCTGGGAGACCTCGTTGTGAAGATCGACCTCGACGATGCATCGATTTCCAGAGTGGAGTACTTATGCAAGACCCTCATCTTCGCCGAAAATGCCATCAGCGACAAGGAATCTGCAGTCGGAGTGCAAGTCTTTGAAACGCTGAGGCGATGTGCTATGGATGTACTTGCAAAGGTCTTTACCAAGTACACTGACCAGCGGCAATTCATCTTTGATGAGATTCTCATTTCACTCGAGAAGCTACCCGCCACGAAACAGAGCGCTCGCCAATATCGACTGACGGATGCGAAGCCCATTCAACTGGTCTCGGCTTTGCTCATGCGGCTTGTGCAGACCAGCGCTACTAAGAGTACCGAGGCACTCAAGCTCCGCAGCAAGGCCCAGAACAACGAAGAGGATGAAGCAGATGATGCATCGGATGAAGTCTCGGACGAGGAAGAAAGCTCCGATGACGAGAGTGAACGCAAGGCCTCGCCGTCCAAGACTCGTGATGCCGATGACGATTTACCTACCATTGTCAGGCCACTCCACGAAGCCGCTCGAGCGAATGCGTGGTACATTGTCAAAGTCTTGACGCACCGTGCGGCCAATACATCGAAGACCAGCGACGAACCCTTCCGCAAGTTGCTGGACATCTTTACCGATGACTTCCTCAATGTGCTAGGGCTGAGTGATTGGCCGGCGGCAGAGCTACTTCTCCGAACCCTCACCATGCACATGATCCAAATCGTGGAAGGCGACAAGAGTACCGTGCCGTCACGCACGCTCGCACTTGAACTTCTGGGTACCATGGGCTCTGGCATTCTCGAACTTCAAATGGCCACTCGAGCTGCTATCAAAGCTGTGGATGTCAAAGAGTCCCCAACAGCACGTCGCCTGGCCGACTTGGTCACTCAATTTGACGCAGGGCAAAGCGATGCAGCCGAACTCATCTCGTTCGATGGACCGTATCGCCATGTCATCCACTATCTCGAAGCGAGAAATACCGGCGAAGATGCGCAACTTCAGACAGCACGAGGCTATTATCTCATGGAGTGGGCTTTTGCTTCCATTAGCGGCCGGGAAGGCTCCACCGATTCGGATGCGAGCGAAACGCCTCGGGCATCCAAGGAGCTGCAAGCGAAACTCAAGCAAATGTTCGCCCATCCGAAATGGCTGGAAGACCAAGCTGGCTCTTTCCCTTTGACGACCTCTGAAGCACAGTTGGCCTCGATGATTGTGACTTTGCGATCACCATTCTGCAGAGCCTTCGATCGAATCTTCAAGACTTTGCTCAACTCGATGAGCAGCGAGCAGTCCCGGGTCAAGAGTCGCAGCATGGCAAGTGTCGTCGCTTTGCTCGAGAAAGACGCCAGCATCCTCGATCGCAATCAGAGCGTCATGGGCTACATCTTCCGAGGCGCGACGGATCCATCATCTCTCGTCCGAGAATCAGCCATGGGGCTAATCGACAAATGTCTTGCTCTCCGACCGGAGCTGGACGCCAGTGTCTACAGACGAGTCATCGAGCGCACAAGAGATGCCGGCGTGAGTGTCCGCAAGCGAGCTTTGAGGATGCTGAAGGAGATGTACATGCGCAACAAGACGGCAGAAATCCGCTCGCCCGTCTCTGAAGCAATCATTTCTCGCATCGAGGACAATGAAGAGAGCGTCATCGAGCTGGCCCGTGCTACCATCGAGGAGATCTGGTTCCATCCTTTCTACATGCTGAAGCTTGAGGGTGAGCGCGCGATTCAAGCCAAGCTGGCATTCGCTTCACAAGCTGCACTCTTCATACAGATCGTCGAGGATAATGAGCGGATGCTCCATGTGCTTGAAGCGCTTGTCAAACGTCTGCTCACTGTCTCGAAGACTGCAGACGGCAACAAGCGAGTATGCAAGACTTTGGTGGCGGTGCTCTTTGAAGGAGTGGTGGACAGCAACGAAATCCCAGGCTCTCCGGGTCAGGACCAGATCTTACGGTCATTGACCATCTTTGCTCGCGCAAGCCCCGACCTGTTCACGACTTCTCAGTTGGAACGCCTCGAGCCTTATACGCAGAACCTGACGAACACAGACGATCTCGACGTCTATCGATCAGTGATTACCATTCTGCGCAACGTCATGCCCCATCAGCCGATGATGAACACAAACACGCTCAAGATGTTGCAGACCACTCTCCTTACCAGCGTCACCAAGCTTCAGAAGCCTGAGCTGAGGGAAGTTGCGCCATGCCTGTGGACCATCGACAACATGCTCGGCGATCAAGGGAATCCCGATCGGCTGCCTAACTTTATCCTTTCAGTCATGCAGAAGATCTATGGGATGCGCGGAAGTGATCAGACGGTTGTGGATGACAAGACTGCGGCGACCGTCGCCAAGCTTATGCGTATTGCGTGCGAGTTCGGCAACGCATACAACTTCGACAGCCACCTCGCCGACTTCCGCAAGCGGTGTACTTGGTGCACAGGTGATTCGGTGGCGGGCATGCTGGTGGAGACCTTGTGTCCCTTCACCAGTCCTAAGCGAGCCTTGACTCTCCGTGTTGCCTCGCTGGAAGCCATCTGCACCATCGCTCAGGCCTGGCCGAAGCAATTCTTGCGTGTGGACGTGACGAATGCGTTTGAGACGGTGTTCAAGGATAGAATCCCGCAGCTGGAAGAAGTCTTGCTCACTGGATTGGAGGGCTTCTTCGTCGCTCAGGAAGTGCCAGATGGGGGTGAAGATGCCCCAGTGGGGAGCGGCGTGGCAACTGGGACCGAGCGACTTGGTAAGACCTATGTCGCCTCCGACCACGATGGCGCATCTACCTCTCTGGCGCAACGATTCCTGCCACACGTTCTTCGCATTGCACTTGCGTCATGCGACGAGGCCGCTTTCATCGCCGCCAGGCTGGTTGTCAGTATCAACAAGCAAGGTCTCGTGCACCCCAAGGAGAGCGCACCGGTTCTAGTGGCGCTCGAGACGTGCCCGAACAAAATCGTCGCCACTGAGGCCTTCAAAGAGCACAAATCACAGTTCCAGAAACACGAGGCACTGTTTGAGAAGGAGTACATGCGGGCCGTCCAGCAGACCTTCGAATACCAACGCGACGTCATCGGTGATGCTGCTGGGTACATTGGCAGTCCTCCGACGGCGAAGTTGCATCTCACTTGGGAGGTGCTGAAGACGGGCAAAGCCCAAATCCGCAAGAAGTTCCTCGCCAATCTCGCTCAAAAGCTGGATTTGCCATTGGCGAAGTTAGACGTGGCAGCAAGTGGTGGCTCTCAGCCTCTGGCTTTTGTCCGCTTCTGTCTGGAGAATATGGCGTTCTTCGAGTACGATAAGGTGGATGATCTGCTGCATCTGACGGCGAGTCTGGAGAAGATATTCGCAGGGACTGGATCGACTCTCGCCCAAGCCATCGAGAGCGAAGTGTTGCAGCTCCAAGTCGATGCCGTTGTGGGCGCCAGCAATATCCCCTACGTCAACACCTCCAAACCGTTGAGCAGCTCCGAGCCTATTCCAGCACCAACTCTGACCCCTGATCGCCTTCTCCACCTCGCAATGTCCTCCCAACTCCTCTGTCTAATCTGGGAGACAAGATCCCATCTCCACAAAACCTGGAATCTCCAAAAACACCTCAACAAGCCCAAAGCGCAGCAAACGAAAGACACCCAAAGCAAAACCGCCTCCCGAGCGAGCAACGCCCCCTACTTCGCCGAAGCCTACTTCAAACGCACTAAAGAACTCCTCAAACCCATCGACTCCGCCCCGGCCGCGAGACAAATGTGCGCCGCTTTTGTCGAACTCATCTCCGTCGACCACGAAGTCAAAGTCGCTTCGGACGACGATGCCGTAGATGGTGACGACTCCTTCGCTGCTGGAGGCGGGTACGCGACGCCTAGTGAGTCTACGGAGCGCGGTTTGAGTCCTTCTGTTCCGCCTAGTGGGGGGAGTAAGGCGGGGCGTAAGCGCAAGGCTTCGGGTACGCCGGGTGGGACGCCGAAGAAGAAGGGGAGGCCTTCTTTTGGGAAGAGGAGGTCGGGTTCGGGGAGGTTTGGGGAGGGGGATGATGAGGATGAGGATGGTGGGTGGGAATGAGGGTGATGGTAGTAAGGGATGGAATGGCTTTTGCTGGTGTGAGGAAGGAGCGGGCGTGGGTTGAGATGACCACCGGTGCTTAGCTTGGAGGGAAGAGGAAGGTGGCATGTCGCTGATGCGGACATCATCGCTAGCAGTCGAGCCGCTGAGATCAGCTCCAAGATACGGAGAGTATGCCAACAGATCTATCTAACGAGACTAATCATGTCCCACTCCATTCGTCCTTTCCAAAGCCCGCCCAACCAACTTCCTCACCTCCTCCGCACTCCCCCAAGAAGTCTGATACCCCGCTCCCCCATGCCCATAGCAATTCACCACCTTGACCCCCTCCACCTCCACCGCATCAATCCGCACCCCACCCCTGCGCAAAGGCCTCAATCCAACCCCATACCGAATCACACTCAACCCCTCCGTCCCCTGCCCTTTGCCAACAAGCTCCGGACAAACCTCCACACACCGCCTGAGCATCCTGCTCGCGAGCCGCGGATCGACGTTTCCATCCCAGTTGTCGAACTGCAGACATCCGCCTAGGAAGGTTCCCCCTCCCCCAGCGCGGGTGATGATGTTCGCGCTCTCGGACTCGCCTTCGTCCGTGCCCGAGGAGCTGACTATATACCCCGGCTCGCTGCGGACGAGAACCGACTGCCCGCGGGCAGGGAAGAGGTTCTCATCCTCGATTCCGCCTAGAGTTAGGGAGGAGAGGCCCGTGCAGTTGACTACCACGTCAGCGGGGGAGCCTGAGTGATGCAGGGAAGCGGCGGCGGTGATGTGCGTGATTAAGGCGCGTGAGAGGGTGCAGTTTTGCGCTAGGCATTGGCTGGCTAGCCAGGGGAGGTAGAGGGTGGGATTGAAGGAGATTGTTGTTGCGGATGTGCCTGAGGTGAAGCCTGGGGGGAGTTGATGCCGAGGGACGGGTTTGATCTTGGTGAGGCGGTTAGCTGTTGGGTTACTTGGACTTTGGGACTTTGGGAGATAGCATACCGAGTCAACGAGTGATTGGATCTGAGGGGGGATTTTGCTGCGAGGTGTAGCGGCGAGGGAGATGAGGTGGTCGGCGGTTGGGGACGAAGTGTCCTTTTCGCGAATGAGGATTCGCATTTCTGCTCGTCGTTAGCATCTTCCGCGTCTTCAGCGAGACACATGGCAAGAAATACCTTGGAATTGCAACCCAGCCTCAGGAACATCTCGCGCCAACTTCTCCAGCACCGGCCAAGTATTCTGCTCAAGTGCCGTAGCCCGTCGACCGATTTCCTCCACCGCTTCTTTGGACGTCGAGGGAGAAGTGGAGATTTTCATCCATTGTCGTGTAGCGAGACTCCTAATCGACAGCCTCTGTCAGCGCAGGAACGGAAAAAGATGGAAAAGGGAAGTGGTTTCGTACGGGGAGTAATCTGCTCCGGCCCACGGACTGCAGTATTCAATGTCGTAGTCGCCGGGCATGTGTTTGGCGACGATGGACACGTCGTGGCCATTGCGGGCGAGATGTAAGGCAGTGGTTAAGCCGACGACGCCTGCTCTATTGGAAGTGGGTCAGTCAGGTGTTGGTGAGCGAGGGGGTTGACTGGATCTTGCTTACCCTACAACAACGATTTTGGACATTTTGATTTGAGAAATATGGTGAAAAGGGGTTGGACGATGTAATGGAAATACTAAAGGAGAGAAGAGTGAAAGTGGACACGGCGTGGCTGCATTATGTAGTCGATGGTCTTGCTACTTGTGTTTTGGATGTAGTTCTGAAAATGTACTTGATCGCAGCCCGCCCTACGCCCTTTCGTATGCGCAGATCCCCGCAATCGTCGAAATCCAGGGTGTTTTGTGCAGAGATTGACGGCGGTGTTGGAGATTTTGAACTTGCGTGCATCGAAATGCTCATTGTAGCTGGATGACGTTGTGTGAAGTGTACTGTTGCATCATTCGTCAAATAAACAGCCATCGAAATTGATGTTGGATGTGAAGAATGGAGGAAGTGGACGAGGTGAATTATTGTCGTTGCGGATTTTAAGGTTTGATGCCTGTCTCGTGCCTCCGTCGTGCCTGCCTCGTCGTGATGTTTGATGCCTGCATTGTTTACATCTTCAACACCTCTTCAAGACACGATTCTTAAACAAACCGACGGAAGCAAACCACACAAACGTAAGTTGACGCACGGCAAATGCAAGTGGGAGAAGCTTGGATGCTTTGATGACTGCCGCGGCCAATCGGTTAGGCAATGATGACGAGAATTAACAGAGCCTACTAGCTGCAGCCCGCCCACGCACCGCACATGCACGCTGCATGCACCACCTCCTGGCCTTTGCCGCACCACCGTCCTCTCGCGCACCCTCGCTCCCCCACCGCTGTTGCTCGGTGAGAGAGGGAGAGAGCCGGCCAATCCCACACAAACATCACCTGCCCTCATGACCCAGCACAGCACAGCACCTCCACCTCCCTCCTCCGCTTCCCACCCCTCCACGCCCGACTCGTCATCCTTCGCTTCACCCCCGCCATGGGTGGCCCGAACGACGAGTTCCCGCTGCTGGGGGCTATGGGGCTACACATAGTTCCCACACGAGGAGACGGCAATTGTCTCTTCAACGCCCTCAGCGACCAAATCGCCGGCAATCAAGACCAACACACCGCCATCCGCGCCCGCGTGATCGCCTACATGCGAGAACACGCCGACTACTACAAGCAATTCATCGACGTCCACCCGGGCGGCGGCATCCGACGCAATCCCAAGCGGAAGAATGCCGGCGCCTACTCCTCCCCCGCCCACTACCTTCCCCCGTCCGAAGCGGACATTGATCGCGTGTTCGAGAGCCATTTGCAGAGCATGTCACGAGGAGGCACGTACGGCGATAACATGGAGATTACGGCGTTTGCCAGTGCGTACAACACCGACGTGAAGATCTACCAGCGGGATTTCGCGTACATGGTGACGGCGGGGGCCGACGAGGGTGCGAGGCCGGTGGCACACATTGCATATCACCTCTGGGAGCACTACTCTTCCATCCGCAATCTGGATGGGCCACACACTGGTTTGCCCGAAGTTCGATCGAAAGTTCTGTCCGTGGAAGAGGAAGAAAGACAGAGACAGTTGCTTGCACAAACGCCGTATGTGCAGCCGTGGATGATTGACGTCGTTGGCAAGTCACTACCCTTCCTCGCCGATAAACCCACCATCAAACGCGCAATCGAAGCTGCAAAAGGCGATATAGATACGGCAGTGTCGGCGTTGTTGGATGCAGAGGAGTATGGCAGTGCATCATCACAGCAAGAGAGCTCGAGCGTGGAACGAGACCATGACAGCGACGAGGAAAACTCCCAGCACGGTCCGAACAAGAAGCGAGATCGACGCATGAGCAAAGCCACGCGAGGACTCCATCAAAACTCCAGCGGTATACCGTCCTCTCTCTCCCAACCGCCGCTGTCCGACGGCAGTCAGGATTCATACGATTCGGAAGCCTCCTCCAGTGGCATTGAGGTGCTCCTTCCGACCCCGACGCAACTCCACCAACATCACAACGCCATCACGACCTTATCGCCTCACATCAAGGAACAATCCTCACCCTCCGGCTCCCAATCCCCCTCCACAAAACCCTCTATCAAATTAAAACTCCACCCACCCAAACCGCCCGAGCGCATAGGCAAAACGCAGCAACAACAGCAGCATGGGCCCCGACTCACCGCCCGCGAACGAAAAGAAGTCAAAAAGCAGCAGCAAAAAGCTGCCCGCAAAGAGCGAAGCCAACTCGCCGCTCGAAGCGTGAATGCTTCTTCACGTGCACGGTCCCGGAGTCCGTCGGTGGTGGGCTTGGCGTTGAGGCAGAAGGGCTTGACGGAGACACCGCCTGTGGAGACGCTGCGGACGCTTTATATATGAGCATTCGCATCTACTCCAAATTCTGCGGGAGAACGAACCCGACAACCTCCTCTTACTCACCGGCGGGGAGCGAGAGTGCAGTACACGAAGCATAGCGACCGGCGCACCAACACCGACCTCTCCTTTTCTTCTATTCTTGACGACGAAGCATAGCGATGGCGCAGACACGACGAAAGACGGGACAGGATAGGATGGTGGATTGAGGTGGACTGGATTGATGATCCTTACTGTCCCCGATGATGATGATGCTGCTGCTGGTGGAAGCGGCGGCGTATACTTGGTTTCTGACCTGCTCTGAAGCGCTCAGGCGGGTTGGAATCTTGATTGGCGGAGGGCGGGTGGGTTTTATATCGTGCGGGGTTGACGAAGGGGACGTGAGCAGATAGCGGACGTGAAGCAAAGTGAGCAAATGGCGTGGTTGAATGCCACTCTCTACATGCATCTCATCTATCACCAGCTTTTCTCCTCCTCACTTCGGCGTCTGCGAGTAATGCTGCACCTCAATCTCCCCACTCTCCAGCCCAAAATACACCGCCACGGGCTTCTGTCCCCCTTGCAGCCCCAACTTCGCCGCCTCCTCCCCATTCACCCCATGGAACAACCCCACCTCCAACACCCCGTTGATATCCTTGATCCGCCTCGCCAGCGTATTCACCTCCCACACCCCATCCTCCCCCTGCCCCTTGCCAACACCCCTCGCGACATCCTTAGCAGTCAACAGCGTCTTAAAAGGCGCATCGACAATGTAAAAACTCTGATCCGTCTGGATAGGTCCCGTCTTAGACAAAGTATGTTCCCTCAGAACCGGATTCGCCGACCCGAGCGCGCGCAACTCCTTAATCACCGCCGCTTGCGCGATTGGCGCCACTTCAATCGGAATGGTAGGCCACTGCGTCAGCAGTCTGCGCTGCGCTTTGCGGTAGTCGGCAATGCACACGAATTTCTTGCTGCGCAGCGCCACCAGCTTCTCCTGGAACAAACACGCGCCTCCGCCTTTGATGCAATTCAGCTCCTCGTCCACTTCGTCCGCGCCGTCGAAGCAGACTTCTATCTCCGCGTTTGCGGGCACGGAGTCGAGCGTAAGCGGCATTAGCCCCGCCGCTTCGATGACTTTCTTCGAGTTCCAGCCTGTGGGGATGAACCAGTTTAGATGGCCTGGAGGGGGAGGGTTGGCTTCTAAATGCGCTTTGATGGCTTCCACGCCGTAGACGATTGTGCTTCCGGACCCGATCCCTACGAAAGACATGGTGGAGGTGAAGTGCGCTTTCACCGCGGCGAAGGCGGCTTTGCGCTTGGCGGCTTCGATTGCTTCGGGGACGATGGCGGCTGCTTTTGCTGCGACGGCGGCGGCGGAGTCGGGTGCCATGGTTGGTGATGTGACTTTGGTGCTGCTGGGAGTAGGTCCTGAGTTTGGACCGATATGGGCCGCTTCAATGGTGTTTGCTGTATAGTCTATGCTGTAAGGTCGGGCGGGGTGTCTCCAATGGTGTCACAAAGGGAAGCCAGTCGTGTGAAAATCAAGTCCGAAGCCCCCAAACTCCTTTCCGAGGGCGTCCGGTCGTCGAGCAGCGTGCCGGTCTGAGTAAACGACGAGGCAGGAGTGTGTCAGCCGTTATTCAACATTTCCCTGCGGCCCCGGATAAAGTTGAGGGTCAATGGAGTGCTGTACCTTCCCTTATCGGCTGAATTGAGTGACATGCCCTGGACCCTGCGTGGGTGTGGCGTTTGTTGGAAGGTGGGGTGGCTGAAGCTGGTGTGGCTGAGGTGCTGTCGACATCATTTCCATGTTCGACGGTTTGCTGACCTTCCCATTCCATCTGTCTTGCTTGTCTCCCTCAATAGACAGCCGTTCTGTCGGTCTCGGTGTGGTCACTCTTCTTCTTAGTATCACCAACCTCATCGACACGCCCCCCATCCGCAGACATCATCCCCACAACACGCACCATCCCCTCCGATGAGGTAGAGCCTCGCAGCATGGCCAGCGATCAAACGGAGCTGCCGCCTCCCTTCCAAGACGTCCCCACAGCCAAAGAGAGGCGATATGACCGTCAGCTGCGACTATGGGGTGCCGCTGGGCAGATGGCGTTAGAGGACACCCACCTGATCCTCATCAACAACGGCCCCGGTGTCACGGGGGTGGAGACGTTGAAGAACCTCGTCCTTCCCGGCATTGGCCAGTTCACCATTCTCGACTCCTCTATCGTCTCGGAGGCAGACCTTGGCGTCAACTTCTTCCTTGAACCTTCGTCCCTGGGCAAGTTCCGCGCAGATGAGACGGTCAAGCTGTTGATGGAGTTGAATCCGGAAGTCAAGGGTCATGCCATTAAAGAGGTAGGTCAAGTCATCCACACCTTTCTTTCTCTGCAGCGTTCAAACTCACACCTCTCCTAGCCTCTTGAATCGTTCATCTCCCAAGATAAAATCTTCGCCCCCTACACCCTCATCCTCGTCACCGCACCCATCGACCCCGCCATCCTTTCCCGCATCCAGCTCCACGCCGAAGCACTGCAAATCCCCACCTTCTACATCCACTCCGTCGGCTTCTATTCCAGCTTCTCCATCCAGATCCCACCTGCATTCCCCATCGTCGAAACCCATCCCGAACCCACAGCTACCGACGACCTTCGCGTCCTCAAACCATGGCCAGCATTGCAAGACTTTGCAAATCAGAAGACCACCGGCTTGGAGACAATGAGCGCGCATGAGAAAAGCCACATTCCATACGTATGCTTACTCCTATACTACCTCGAAGTATGGCGAGCAAACCATGACGGCAAAGCACCCGAAACGTACAAAGAGAAAGCCGAGTTCCGCGATCAATACGTTCGAAAAGGCAGCCCCGACGAAGAAAACTTTGACGAAGCCTGCGCCGCCGTCCTCAAATCCCTCAATCCACCCACCGCCAACTCCACCGTTCGCGCAATCCTCAGCTCTCCGGAAGCAACAGAGCTAACTCCCACCTCTCCACCCTTCTGGCTAATCGCAAACGCCATCCACAAGTTCTACACCACTCACAACCAACTCCCCCTCCCCGGCGCCGTGCCGGACATGAAAGCCCAATCAGCAGACTACATCAAGCTGCAAAACATCTACAAAGCGAAAGCGCGACAGGATTCCGCCGAGGTGCTGACTACGGTCCGCGAGCTGGAGCGTTCAACAGGTCGCGCGCCCAAACTCGCCATCGATGAGAAGGAAGTAGAGAATTTCTGCAGAGGCGCGGCGCATATCCATCTCGTGCGTGGACGGCCTTTGCAGATTGTGCGGCCGGGGGAAAAGGTGAAGTTCGGGGATCGCGCGGAGGATATGCTCCGAGAGCTGGAAAATCCAGAAAGTCTGGTGAAGCTGTATCTCGCTTTCCTCGCGTGGGACGAATTCGTCGCCACACACGCTTCTTCACCAGAGCAAGCAGGCGGCGAAGGTATCCGCGTACCAGGCGACACCGATCTCGGACTCGAAGCAGACGGCGAGAAACTAACCGGCATCGCACACAAACTCGTCGACGACCTCATCACCGAAGCAGGCACGCGCATCGAAGAGCCAGAGTACAGCGAGATTCGCGAGAAGGTGGCTGCCATTTGCGAGGAGCTGGTGAGGGCGGGGGGAGGCGAGTTGCATAATCTTGCCAGTTTGACGGGCGGGATGATTGCGCAGGAGGTCATCAAGGTGATTACCCGGCAGTATATCCCGGTGGATAATACGTGTTTGTTTGATGGGGTGGAGAGTCGGGCGTATGTGTTGAGAGTGTGAGTGATGGCGTGAGTGCATAGATCGTGTGCGTCTTCAAAGATACTTGAAGACTAGAAGATCATCGACCGCATCCTGCCCATTTGGTCTGACGGTCCACTATCATCTCCCTTTTTCACCTTGACGGCAGTCTTTTGCTTGAACTCCTTCTTCTCCCTCCCCTTATCTCCAGCAACAACAGGAACAGCCCTCCCCGCCCTCTTCCTCTCCATCCCCTCCAACATCTTCCCCCTCTCCACATCCATCACAAAAGCCCGATTCTCCTTGCGCGTCCGCCTCACCTCCTCCCGCATCCTAACCGTGCGCTCCGCATTCTCCGCCGCAATCTGCTCGTTCAAATCCCGCCACTTGAAGCCGCGCAAGTACTTCAAACACCACAAATCATCATGATAGAATCCGCCCTTCTTGCCGCCCATGATCCCCCCATTGAGCAATTCAGCAGCGATTTTGGCTTCCTTTTTGGAAACGAACTCCACCCACCCGTCCGCGTAGGACTTCTTTTTATTCCCGCCTTGACGCACGCGGGAGGCGTGTGTGGTGCTGTCTTCGGGGGTGAGGAAGAGCCGGTTGAGACCGCTGGGGGCGTGGGGGGTGAGCAGGTTGCGCAGGGTGGAGGGTTTCATGAAGGGGGGGACGCGGGAGATGTAGAGGACTCCGGAGTGCCGGGTTGTGCGTTCGGCTTTTTCGAAGGGGGTGAGGGCTGTCTTATTTTTCTTTGGTTTTGAGGACGAGGGAGGTTGGGGTTGGTCTCCGTCTGCGTGGGGAGGTTTGGGAGGTTGTTGGCTGTCGGGGCTGATGGGATAAAGGGACGATGTATTGTGTTCGTCTTCTTGTTCGAGTCCGTCTTGCGATTCTTCGTCAGATGCGGCGTCTAGTTTCCTTCTTTTTGCTCTCTGTCCACCAATGTTGCCTCGACTCTGCTCTTGCTCGTCGGAGTCGTAGCCATTTCCCAGCTCCTCCTCCTCCTCACTATCATCACCTTCGAGGAATTCGTTGCGCTTGCGTGTCGACATGTTGCGTATGGCTGAGCAAGGAAAACCCGAAGAAGTTCGGATGTCCGAAGTTGATAAAAATGTCTGACCACGACTTTTGGCCGAGCAGCCTTGCGCCCCTGCTACCCCACAGCACACCGCCCGAGCCCCACCAGCCAGCGACTTAAATCCACCACACCATTTTGCAACATCTTCAATCGGAGGTACTCGAGAAACAAGCTCTTCCTAGCCAATTGTCACCCGAATCCCCGATTGAGCACCCACAGAGTCTGTGACCCCACCATCATGTCATCCTCGGCCGAAAAGAGGAGGAGCACGGGGGGCAAGCGGATGAGTCGAAGCAACATTGAGTCACAAGTCGAGGCATTGAAATTGAATGGCGACGACAACACTGCCCCGACTACCTCTTCTCCCTCCACCACCTCCACTCCAGCAGCAACAGCCCCTGTAATGGAATCCGCCGCCCCGACCGAGAAACCGCAAAAGCAAGACAAAGAGCGCAAAGACCAAAAAGCAGCGGCCAAAGCGCAAAAAGCAGCGGCCCACAACCAACAATCCGCCGGCGGCGGCAAGAAGAAGGCAGACGACATGGCGCTCATAGGCATCACGGTGGCCAAGGCCGACGACCTGTCGGAATGGTACCAGCAAGTCATCCTCAAGGGCAAGATGCTCGCCTTCACCGACATCCCCGGCTGCTACATCTACCAGCCGGCGTCGTATCGCATCTGGGAGTTCATCCAGGACTTCTTCAATGCGCGCATCCGCAAGATGAAGGTCAAGAATTGCTACTTTCCGCTGTTCATTAGTGAGGCCAATTTGCAGCGGGAGAAGGAGCATATTGAGGGCTTTGCGGCGGAGGTGGCGTGGGTGACGGAGGGGGGGAAGAATAAGTTGGAGAAGAGGCTGGTGTGTTCACACCTAATACTATCGACTGAATGATCCCCACTAACCAAACATCAGGCCGTGCGTCCGACTTCCGAAACCGCCATGTACTCCTTCTACAGCCAGGAAATCCGCAGTCACCGCGACCTCCCGCTGAAAATGAACCAATGGAACAACGTCGTTCGCTGGGAGTTCAAACATCCCATGCCCTTCCTCCGTTCGCGAGAATTCCTCTGGCAAGAAGGCCATACCGCCCATCTTACCCAAGAAGAAGCGGGCAAAGAAGTCCTCGAGATCCTCGACCACTACGCCTCCATCTACGAAGACCTGCTCGCCGTTCCCGTCGTCAAAGGCACCAAGACGAAAAACGAGCAATTCCCCGGCGCAGACTACACCACCACCATCGAAGGCTTCATCCCGGCAGTGGGCCGCGGCATCCAAGCCGCCACCTCGCACTGCCTCGGCCAGCACTTTGCCAAAATGTTCGACATCCGCGTCGAAGACCCCAACCAAAAAGTCAAGGAGGGCGAAGCGCGCGACAAAATCTACGTCTGGCAGAACAGCTGGGGTTTCACGACGCGCAGCATCGGCATCATGGTCCTCATCCACGGCGACGACAAGGGCCTCGTGATCCCCCCGCGCGTCGCCGAAATCCAAGTCATCATTGTCCCCGTCGGCGTGACGGCAAAAATGAAAGACGCCGACAAAGAAGCGCTCTACGACCAAGTCGAGTCCGTCCGCCGCACGCTCGAAGACGCCGACGTGCGCGTCGAAGTCGACTACCGCGAAACGTACAACACCGGCTACAAGTTCAACGACTGGGAGATGAAAGGCGTGCCGTTGCGGCTCGAATTCGGCCCCAAAGACGCAGCCAAGGGCGTCGTCACCTCCTCCCGCCGCGACATCCCGGATCCCGCAGCGAGCAAAGCCGAGCTCCCCATCTCCTCCATCGCCACCGCCGTCCCCGCCCTCCTCGAGCAAATCCAAAACGACATGTTCGCGCGCGCGTCCGCCGAGTACGCGGCTCACCGCATCATCGTGCGCGAATGGAAGGACTTTGTCCCCGCGCTCAACGACAAGAACGTCATTCTCGTGCCGCATTGCACCGAGGGGGAGTGCGAGGATGAGATCAAGAAGGATTCCGCGGGCGTGCAGGCTGAGGGGCAGGAGGTGGATGTGCGTGCGCCGTCCATGGGGGCGAAGAGTTTGTGTATCCCTGCTGAGCAGCCGGAGGGGGGCATTAAGGAGGGCATGAAGTGTGTGAATCCCAAGTGTGGGAAGGAGGCGAAGATGTGGGTGATGTTTGGGCGGAGCTATTAGAGTGGTGATTAGATGAGCATTTGCAGGGGGTCGAGAAGCGAGGAGCGGGACGCATTTTGATGAGTGAGTTGTGCTTTCATTGTATCTGTCGACTAATGAATAGTCGGCGGGTGTAGCAGGCAGAGTGGATGATCCAAATACGCTGCTCAATGGCATTTACCAGCCGTCTATCCCAGTCCTGCTTCATAGGATGTGCCAAATCCGCCTCATCCCAATTCCGCAATCTCCCGCTCCTTCTCCAACAACATCCGCCGAAACCTCTCCGCCTCGCGCTGCAACTCCTCCCGCCGCGCTTCCTTTTCGCCTCCTCGCCCTTCTCCCCCTTCACTCTTGGCACTTGCATTCGTAGTAGAGTGGTGAGCCGGACTTTGCCGATGATGATCATGGTACGGCAAAGCGGGATCGATATTCTCATCCCTTACATTCGCATAGACATGTTGCTGTCGTTCCGCAGTATCCTCCAGCGTCCTCGACAGACTGCGTTTGCGTGGATTCGCATACCCTTCGTTCCCATTGGCCCGTTCACCCGGTAACGGAGACGCAGGCGCAGTGGTGTGGCCTGTTCGCAAATGGCGAAAAGTATCGGTGAAGTCGACGGGGATAGGCGCGCCGGGTTCTTTAGGCGGAGCAGGCAGGGGAGCGGACAGCATGTCCTCGTCGCTGGCGTTTTCGTAGTGTTGATGCTGCTGGTGTTGATGCTGCTGGTGCTGCTGCTGTTGTTGTTGTTGGTGTGTGTAGTTTCCGACTGCGCCTCCGCCGCCGGGAGCAGACGCGGGCACCACGCGCTTCCGCCTCTTGATTTCCGCCTTCTTCATTTGGATCGGGCGGTGCTCGCCGTGGAGTTTGTGGTAGAGGCCGCAGGCGTTGCAGATGGTGTGGCCTTCTTCGTCGCGGCGCCAGAGGGGCGTGATGGTTGTGCCGCAGTTTTGGCACGCGACGACGACATTCGTAGCGGCGGGAGAGGCGCCGTTCGTCGTTGGCGTAGGGGTTGAGTTGGATGACGGGTCCCCTGCTGATGTCTGCTGGAGAGCAAACTGCGCCGTCTTCGAAATCCGGTTGTTGTACGCTGGACACCCGCTGCAGCCTTGGTGGCCGCCGGTGCCGTTACATCGGCCGCCACCAGGACACGTGCCCGCCGTACTAGTATCGGCGGAGACGTAGACAGCGCCAGCCTGAAGAGAAGAAGCAGGGGATGTGCTTCTGTCGTGTCGCTGCCCTGCTCCTCCACCTGGAGAATCGGGGAAGCCGGCGGCGTTGTTGCTCCCGCGTTTCAGCCCTACGGGTCGCATTTGATTGCGCGCCTTGTAGTAGAGGCCGCAAGCGTTGCAGATTACCGTGCCGGTTGGGGAGCGCCGCCAGAGAGGCGTCTTGGTCGTGCCGCAGTTGCTGCACATTTGACCTGCGCCAGCCGCTCCGCTGGTCGAAGTCACGGAGGATGAAGCCGCCTGTCCTGCGTGAGAAGCGAGTTGGTCCGGCGGAGAAGCGGGGGAAACGCTATCGTTGAGATCATGGTATTCCTGAGTAGAAGCACGCCCGTTCTGCTCGGAAGAGGGCGTAAAGTGGTGTACGCCGTCAACATGCGCTGATGCCTCCGCTGCCTGCTGCCCAGAAGAAGCCGCCGCCGCGCCGCTCTGCGAGTGCTCAATAAGATGCCTCGCAATCTCCATTTCCTGCTCAGACAGCTCGCGCGTCAACCGAGTAGGATGCACAGGCGACCCGCCAGGCACGGCAGCCGTGGCGGCCGCAGTCAGGGCCATGTTTGTCGACGCGTGGCTGTTGTTGTCCGCGGAGCCCATGGTGTGCTGCTGGTTACCGGGAGAAGAGTGACATGAAGAGCGGCAGAAGGGATGTCGCCGCTTGTTACAATGGGGACGGTGCCGCGAAGCCGGTGGAGCCGAGAAGAGGGCGGGCGGGCGTTTTCCTGCGCGTTGATCGATCTGATAAGTCGAGCGGCGGAAGGTGTTTGCGTAATGCCTGGGCCTGTGTATGAGCGTGGTTTGGCGTGCTTGGCCGCGGGGTGAGAGAGTGCTTGGTCTTCGGTTGTGCCTGTCTGGCGTGGACCGAGTGGTTTCCTATCACGGAGGAGGCTGTCGCGTTTGCTTTCGCCTTCGCCGCCGCGTTAACAGAAACCTCTCGAAATCGCCCGAGACACGTGAAATGACGGTCCTCGCTTGACAAATGTCTTTGCTGTGATTGGCTCTTGACGTCGCTGACTGTGTGATATCGGCAGCTTGCCGATTGGCTGGGCTCGGGTGCACGCGTACTCCACGTGCCCTAGAAGCCCCATCTACAGCCTTCAATGTCTTGGAAAGCGAGCACACGAGCAGAGTAGTAGCAAGAAAAAACCAATGCCGATGAGAACAACACGCCTTCGATTTTTATGTAACTCCCAATCTACCAAATGCAGCAAATGCACCCACCCCAGTCCCCTCAACTTCCCTCCATTTTAGAATTGAAAGCACAGCAGCAGCAGCGACCTTGAGCGAGCAAACCTATTTCGCAGCATCCAAAGCAGCCTTGATAGCATCACACGACTGCTTCGCGTCGCCGAACAGCATCTTCGTGGTCCTGTATCACGGCAAACAAAGGTCAGCATCAAGTCATTATGCATTAGGGAGTTAGCGGGGACACGTACGGCGCGTAGAAGAGCGGGTTAGGAATGTCCGCGTAGCCCGAGCCCATGCCTCGCTTCATGACAATCGTCTGTTTGCTCTTGTAGGCCTCGATGATGGGCATGCCGGCGATGGGGCTAGGATTCACACACAAAAGAGTCAGCAAAATCCCAGCGCACTCACAACATCGCACTCACCTGTCCTTCTCCAACGCAATCGGGTTCACAGTATCATTTGCGCCAATCACCAGCGTGACATCCACATCCTCGAAGCCCTCTTCATTCATCTCGTCCATCTCCAACACAATATCGTACGGCACCGACGCCTCCGCAAGCAACACGTTGCACTGCCCCGGCATGCGGCCGGCGACGGGGTGAATCGCGAACTTCACTTCGATGCCTTCGGCGCGGAGGTCGGCGACCATGGCCGCGATGGGGTACTGGGCTTTGGCGACGGCCATGCCGTACCCGACGACGATGACGACCTTCTGCGCGTTGCGCAGCATCTCGACGGTTTCGTCGATGGTCGTTTTGGTCATTTCGCCTTCGATTTTCGTCTCCGTGGAGGGTGTGGGGGCTGCGATGCCGCCGAAGAGGACGTTCGTCAGGCTGCGGTTCATGGCGACGCACATGATGTATGAAAGGATGGAGCCCGAGACGCCGATGAGAGAGCCGACGGTGGTGAGGATGGGGGAGTTGAGCATGAAGCCCTCTGCGACGAGGGCGAAGCCGGAGTAGGCGTTCAGCACGGTGATGACGACGGGCATGTCGGCGCCGCCGATGGCGGAGGTGGTGGTGAAGCCCTTTGCGAAACTGAGGGCGGTGTTGGCCGCGAGGCAGGTGGCGGCGATGGCGGGCGCGCCGGGCGCGAGGGCGAGGAAGGCGCCGAAGGTGCCGACGTTTGCGGCGAGCATGCCGCCGTTGATGAGGTGGCGGCCGGGGAGGATGGTGGCGCGCGACGACATCTTGCCGGCGAGCTTCATGAAGGCCACGATGGAGCCGGTGAAGGTGACGCCGCCGATGAGCACGCCGAGGTAGCCGGTCACCAGGTGCAGCATGTCGATGTCGGCGTGGTGCACGGCGGCCATGACAGAGCCGATGCTGGTCAAGACGGCCGCAAGACCGACAACTGAGTGGAGGGCGGCCACCATTTGGGGCAGTTCGGTGGGAGTGATGCGACGGCCGATGAGGCCGCCAATCACGCTACCAATACCCGCCACACTCAGACATTGGACGAGTGTCGCCGGCGCAAAGCCGACAGCAGATAAAGATGCAAGCACACCAGATCCCACACCGAGAATACCCATCAAGTTACCCGTGCGGGCAGTAGCTTGGGAACCCAGGCCGGACAATGAGCCAATGCACAGCAGACTACTCGCCAAGTAACCCGCCTGCACCAACCCAGCCATGCCTGTGCTCGCAGCCACCAGATACCCTCCACCAAACAGCACACCCGGGACGGCGTAGAGCCAGGGGTACTCAGGCGGATCCGTAGGTCGTCGAAACATGTCCAGCATGCGTTTGGTAATGACAAAGCCACCGGATACGTTGACGAACGCGAGCAGCACCGACAGCGCACCGAGAGTTTGCGGGATGGTCTGCGGGAGATAGCCACCGCCCATGATGAAGAAGCCGCCGATACCCACCATACCGCTGATGGCGTTTGTCACGGACATCAACGGGCTATGCAAAGCGGGTGCCACGCCCCAGACGACGCGGTAGCCGATCATGCCAGCGAGCGAGAAAGTGAAGAGATTGCCCATGAAGATGGGGCCGGTGAACTTTCCGAGGGTGAGCGCGGTGGTCATGGCTCCGGTGATGGTGGCGACTTCGCGCGTCGCTTTCTGCCAGGGCGTGAGCGCGACGACTTCAGTCTGTACAGCTTCGGCTTTTGGTTTTGCGGGCGCGGGAGGCGCAAGCGGTGGGAGTGCTGGGAGGAGTTCGCCGTTGTAGGTGACGATGGAGCGCCGCACGACCTCGTCGTTCAAGTCCATGCCGAAATGCTTGTCCTTGGGCGACATGGAGAGGAGGAACTTGGTGATGTTGTTGGAGTAGAGTGTCGAAGATTGCGTCGCCAGGCGAGATGGTAAGTCCGTGTAGCCAATGACAGTAACACCTTTGTGGGTGATGAGTTGATTGGGGACGGTGATTTCGCAGTTCCCGCCCGCTTCGGCCGCAAGATCAACAATGACGGAGCCAGGCTTCATATGAGCGACCATTTCCTCCGTGATGAGAGTCGGCGCAGGACGCCCGGGGATGAGCGCGGTGGTGATGATGATGTCGACTTCCTTGCACTGGTCGGTGAAGAGCTTGATTTCCGCGTCGTGGAACTCCTTGGACATTTGCTTCGCGTAGCCACCACTGCCAGAGCCGTCTTCCTTGATATCCACTTCAATGAATTCGGCACCGAGCGATTGCACCTGCTCTCGTGCGGCGGACCGAGTGTCGAAGCCTCTCACAATAGCTCCCATGCGTCTCGCGGTGGCAATGGCGCTCAGCCCTGCAACGCCGGCTCCGATGACAAGCACCTTGCACGGAGGAATTTTGCCCGCCGCGGTAGTCTGACCAGTCATGTACCTGCCGAAGACATTGCTAGCCTCCAGCACGGCCTTGTAACCGGCAATGTTCGCCATAGAGGACAAGACATCGAAGCTCTGAGCACGCGTGATCCGGGGAATCATATCCATGGCGAAACTGGTCAATCCCTTCTTCGCATAAGCATCAACAATCGGCTTGCTGCGATCGACATTCGGCTGCAGGATAGAAATAATGACACCGCCCTCCTTGAAGCCAGTGAGGAAGTTATTCGGCGAGGCAGCAGTACTACGCAGCCGCGGCGGGCGCACTTTCAGCACAATGTCACTGTCAGTCCAGACGCGCACGGCGTTGACGAGCGTCGCGCCGGCTTCCTCGTAGTCGTGGGCGGAGAACTCCGCGTTGAAGCCCGCGCCTTGCTCGACGAGGACTTGCTTGAAGCCCTTTTTGAGCAGCAGGGCGGCATTCTGCGGCGTGATGGCCACGCGCTTCTCGCCCGTGCGGACTTCAGTGGGCACACCGATGGTTAGGTCGGCGTAGGGGATGGATTTGACCTCGTCGGCGGGCTGGGAAGCAGCAGCAGGCTGCGCTGGAGCTTCTTGCAGACGCCATTGAGTGGTGGAGAAGAGGATGCGGCGTTGGGTGGCGATGCAGCTGGGTTGGACGGGCCGGGAGCGCTGGAGCGTGGTCGCCGCCCAGTGGTGCAGCCTTAGGGGCCGCGAGCTCGGCCACATGGTGGCAGCTATAGCCTTATCATGAAAGGGCTATGTGCAGCGTGCGTTTCCGGGAGGTGCAGGTCGCGCAAAGCGGCAAAGCGGGGGGTGGAATGGAGTGGAGAGTTGTAGGCGTGCGTGGTGAGATCCGGCGAGGCTGCTGATGGTCTGGCGGAAGCGAGTGGATGTGCAGTCCCGTGCAATTGATGGCCGACGTGAAGGAGACGCGACTGCAGAAATTCCAGGAGGCCACACTGCCGCAAGGTACCTGTCCCTGTACCTCTCCTGGGGGTGCGAATTCCCCCCACGTACCCCGAATCCCCGTGTCTTCTCCACAACGCGCGATGTGGGCTCTCCTTCGGCTAATCCAATGCCGTGCCCGCAATCTCCACGCGCTAGCGCCGAGCGCGACTTCTCATTCGCCCCTTGACGTCCTTCATCTTTCATTCACACAACCGTCGATGCTGCACACACATTAGCATTGAAACCAGTCGTGCGAGAGAACCATGACCAGGCGAGCAATTTGGAGAAGATATAGAAACGGGCCTTGCATCTCCCATCACGAGAAGCAGAGAAGCAAACAATGTGCACATGTCTGGACATCCACACGTGGCAGCACAAGGAACACGAGTTTCACGAGGCGAATCGTCATGTAACACACATCGCATGCGCCGGCCGTGCTCACACGGATCGAGCAACCCACGCATTGAAGCATGTGAAGATGCTGAGAGCGTGATCATGACATCTGACAATCTACGTGTAAGACAAACCGAACTAAACTACCAAAACCAACAAAGCAACGCAATGCATGCTCAAAACGCTCACGACACCCTCCCATCCCCAAACCGTAAAGCAAAGCAAGAACAACCCACCTACTCCGACCGCGAAGCACCCGCACCCGCACCACCATCCCCCCTCTCAACCCCCTCTCCAATCTCCCTCCCCTCAACAGCAACAACCCTCCCCTCCCCACCAGCACCACCCCGTCCCCTCCTCCCCTGACTCCTAACAGCCGTAGTCCCCCCCTCACTCCCCGCCGCCGAAACAGGAATAGAAACACTACTCAAGACCTTAATCTCCTTCAACACCTCACGGAACCCCTCCTCAAGGCCCTGCATGCGAGCCAACATAATCCGATTCACGCGCCCCTTCTCCTCTTCCCTGCGCTCCTCCTCTCTTCGTCGCCGGAGCTCGCTCGCCCGCAGAATCTGCTCGGAAAAGGAATTCGGGAAGCCGGATATGCCACCGCCTACGTCTAGCATCCCCCCGCCTCCTGACGAGACGAATTTGTTATCCCCGATTTCGGACGCGAGGTCGAGGGCGCGCGCGCTGAAGGAGGGGTCCCGGCGGCTGGCGCGCGGGATGTCGAGGAAGGAGAGGCCGGCGGCCGGTGCGGTTTTCTGCCGCGCGGGCATGGGCGGGCGGGGTTTGAGTTTGGGCGAGCGGCGGCCGGTGGGGGGGAGGTCGATGGGATCGAAGGCGGCGAGGGCTGCTGGGCGGGTGGAGAGGGGGTTGGGGAGGCGGCGGATTGTGCTGCTGTTTTGTGCTGCTGCGGAGGAGGAGGGGCCTGCTTGCGGAGGAGCGAAGAGGGCGGTGTCGGTTGAGATTTTGCGGTTGTGCATGATGGGTTGCAGGGCGCGGGCGTCCATTGTGCGGAGCAAGGTTGCGGATTTGCCGGCGCCGGAAGGGTGGTAGAACGCTTCGTCGTCATCGTCGTCGGAGTCGTGCAGCGGCGTTCTGTTTTCTTTGTCGAAGACGGAGATGCTCTCTCCGATAGCTGGGCCCGCGGCCTCCGACTCGAGATTGTTATCGTCATCACCGTCCGCTTCGGTATCTGGCACCAGTCTGTCATCACTAAGCGGCCCACCCGCTCCCTCACCCTCCTCATCAATCCGATACGGTCGCCGGGAGGCAATGGTAGACATGATATCCGGATCGGACGAAAAGTCCCGTCTCCGACCACCCAGCAAGCTACCCGCACGATCAGCAGTAGCAGCCCGACGAAAAGGCGGCCTCCGATTCTCCAGCCGTTCGACAACGCTTCGAGGCTGCTCGAGAGGCGGACTTGCACCACCCTCAATCTCCGCCGCCTGGATCCACTTGCTCACTACGTTCTGCGACTTCTGCCGATCGACGCCCATTTCGCGGGGAGTGGTGCGGACGGTGCTGCCGCGGAAGGGCTGGCGGAAGACTTCGTCCAATGCGCGGTCTTTGTTGAAGCTGATGATGGACGGCTCACGGAGCAGGCGGTGGGTAGGACTGAATGTGTCGCGCTGATGATGCACGCTGAAGGCAATGGGTTGCCGTTGTTTCGTCGGCTGCTTCTCGACGAGTTCGAGAGGTGCGTAGGCAACTTTCGACAGGATAAGTCTTTCGTAGCAAAAGATTCCGAAGAGGATGGGGAAGTGCGAGACTTTGATGACGGTGCGGTTGAGTTTGACGAATTGGCGGAAGGGCATGACGAATCGAACGGGACTAAGCATCCAGCCAAAGACGTTCGTCGGGGCGATGTAGCTGAACAACGCATCCGATTTGACCATGGAAATAGTGTTGATCGCGAAGAGGAATTGATGCTCCTCGTGTGCATTCTTGACAATCGCCATGAAGCTGTTTGTCAGGACTGTGATGAGGATGGTGACGATGACGAAGTGGCCGATGATGAGGAAAGCACCCAAGAGCGTCTTGCCGAGTAGGTTGTACGTGGTCCATCTATCCCATGCAGCGGGTGTGAAGCCCATGAGGATTTGGAATAATGCAAAGGCCACATCACTGCCTCCAGCCTTCTCATCTCCGAATGAAAGGGTGAAGGCAACAAAGAAGCCAGAGCAGGAGATGATGATGAGAAAGAGGACGGCCATCAGATCCTGGGCCATCATGCGGAACGCAATAAGCAGCTGGGAAAAGTAGCGGTAGTGGTCCAGGACACTGAATAGGCGTGGGAAAAGTAGGACGGCCGTAGACGCAAGGACATCGTACGCCGAATTGGCAATGCGTCTCTGGCCCTCTCCCGCCAATACGATTCCATAGAGTCGCAGGCAGTAGTAAGTGACGAAGAGGAGCAAGATGCCTGCATCAAAGGCATTCCAGAAGCTGAGAATGTATAGTCCGAAGCCCTGCTCTGTGAAGCCCACCACTTCATCTAGCATGTACCCAATCGACCAGAACCAGAAGATGACTTCCAGAGGGGTGATGGTCACACTGCGTTCAATGAGGACAGCAAGGAAGAGCCCGAGCATAATGGCAAAGGAAATCGTGCTAAACACTTGTCGATAGCGCGGCACGCGAAGGCGGCTGAGCTTGAAGAAAGAGGCATCTCGCGGGTTGTACAAGGTGACTGAGCGTCGGACAAGCCTGACGTCCACCGAAGGCCGCTTGCTTGTCCGTGTTTCTTGCGATTTGCGAGAGAGCACGGCATCGGCGGGGAGCGCACTATGCTCTGTCGTGCCGTAGGCTCTCTCCCGATTATGCGGCTCTTCTCCGACCGACACGCGGCGGTGGAGATTGTCGGCCTGGGAGTGAAAGACGATTGTGCCGGCCCAGATGGCTTCCAGGTGCTGGACGACGAGCTGATGGGACAAGAACCTCTTGGACTGCGCTCGGATGGCGATCTCAATGGTACTAACGCGGGCACCTTTGGCCTGCGTTCGTTGGCTCTGTAGGTCTTGCTGCGGTGGACGCTGGCTTTCGACGTTAGTTGAAGACGCCATGCCCTGCAGGGGATCAAAGTCGTAAGACAAGGCATCGATCAGCTCGCGGGTGGTGAATTCCTTGATCAGCCGCATCGCCAACAACTCGGCAATCAGCGCTCTCGTACTCAAGACGCCGACGTTGCCCGGGTTCGTCTGGGCCTCTTTTTGAAACTGCAAGCAGTTGGCAATGAGGGCACATAGCGTGGCTCGGTTGAAGTGATTCGTCCGGATTTGGCTCTGAATCGGCTTGACGAGGAACTGACTGACTTGCGGACTGCGCAGCTGGTCCCACGAAAGCGTCGTTTCGCATCTCGGCACGATCAAAAGTCGAATGGCATGCGTGATGTTGTACAAGGGCAGTTTGTCGAGATGTGCCGCGGAGAAGATGGGGAGGAGCGGCGTCTGGACGTCGTCTTCGGCAGCGTCCTCATCGCCATCTTCGTCTCCAGCATCCTCGTCGTAGCGGCCACCATTGCCACGTCGGTCGAAGTAGTCCTCGTCCTCGTCCTGGTCAATGGCCTCATCGTCACCGTCATCTTCGTCCAGGCCGTCCTCATCTACCGCCTGGCCCACCACGCGATTCCGCGAGGTCTCCGGCGAGCCCGCGAACGGGGAGAAGATCCGCGAGCTGTCGTCCTTTCTGCCCCTACTGCCTCGCCTCATGAAGGTGAGCATTGATGAAAGAAGGCCGAGGTGGGGCTTCCCCCGCGAAAGAGTGAATAAGTGGGTTAGGGAGTGTGAAATCGAGGTGCCACTAGTGATCGACCTCGCAGTCACGGAGTGCACACCATCGTGCGCAAAGAGTGGGGAAAGGGAGACGGGGAGCTGTCACAATGGGCACCCTGCTGCTTCTCCCTGCATGATAGCGTCGCTTGGCTGGATGAAGGTCGTCTGGTACCAGCAGCGAGGTCACGATGACGCCTTCCACCTGCCGAGTCGAAGGAGGCCTCCGAGAAGAATGCAAACCTGAGTGTGCAAGGCGTGAAAGAAGAGACAAACAGACAAGAGAATGTCGACGCCCCTCCACTCGCTCGTCTCGCCTCACCGCGTCTTTTTGATCTGGTGACACACCCTCGCCCCTAGTCCGTGCCATCATCAGCGGAATGGATGCGTGGGAAGCTTGTCTGTTTTGATATACCACCTTGGGCCAAGCGCCAAACTCTAATCCGGTGCTAACTCGCACAATTTCACCGCATGCGTCTCTTTCACATGCAAATTCGAACCGGCTCGATGTGAAGAAAGCAGATCTCATATTCATCCAGTCAATTTACCCACGCTATCAATCTTACCGGCCTGTCGAGCAGTGAGATTGACGTGAGCGATATATCGATCAAAAGCCACAACGACGTGTGGAAGCAATACGCGAGCCACCGCTAATTTCCCGCATCCTGCGCACCACACTTGGAGAGCTCCAGAAAGCTCCATCTGCATACAACCCTACCTGACCTGACCCCAAGCTCCCCTACCGATCCACACGGGCGGTGACATACTCCGCTCAAAAAATGCCGCGCCCCAAGCGCGACATTCAGGCCGTGGCATTGGAGACGGAAACGCCTCCGGCCGCACTCAGCAGCAACCAAGCGATTGCCCGAGTCAAGCAAGCGGCCGGCAACAACTTGTATCGCGTCGAGCTTCCTGGAGTCGGAGAAAAGGCCGAGCCCCGAGAGCTGCTCGCCGAGCTCCCCGCGCGCTTTCGCTCGACCATCTGGATTAAACGCGGGTCGTATGTGCTGGTAGATACCGCGTCGCTGGCGGATCGAGACAATAAGTTGAATGGGGAGATTGTGAATGTTGTGCGGGATGAAAAGGCGTGGCGGAAGATGGGGTATTGGCCAAAGGACTTTTCCGCCAAGAGTTCAAGATATCTTGATGGGGAGTCTGGAGATGAGGGTCCGCAGATGCCACCTTCTGATGATGAGGATGATTGATTCATTGATTCATTGATTACTGCCGCTTCTTCCTCGCCTTACTAGCGGAGAGGCTTTCTTCTCTTCCCCCGACCAAGGCGCTTGCCACAGTCACCGCGAGACAGGCGACCACCACCATGGAGCTCACATTGGAACTCGGATACACATTCCACGCCCATTCCTGCGCTCCCCAGATTGCGTAGACCAGGACGGGATGCAACCCGCTCTTCCAGAGAAGGATTGGAGTCGACCATGCAATGTACGCATAGAACTGGTAGTGCAAGCTTCTCGCACACAGACAGCCGACAATGACGGCAGAAAGGATGGTGCTCAGGACGTAACTCGGCGTCACTCGTCTCTGAATCTCGGCCTGTCGTGCTGGCGATGGAAGGGACACGAGCTCTTTGATCGCGACCAAGGGCGGAGCATGCAGCCATTGCATCGAGAGCATGAGAGCGAGGAGCGATGCATGTAATGCGAGGAGCGCTCGAGAGAAACCCGACGACAAGAAGACGTCCTCCCCGACAAAGCGCCAGTTGACAGTCCACTTGAACAGGAATTGTCGAGACAGCTCGAAAGCCCGGGAAGCGTACGACCACGGCTTGACCGCAATGAAGGGGATAGCCAATGCGAGCTGCTACCGGTTAGCCAGCACTCCATCAAACAAGAACAACGATACCCACCTGGAACTGCAGGATCTGCATAGCATTCAGAAACGCCCGATCCCTCCCGGCTCCCTGCCACAGCACGACCCCAACAGCAGGAAGCGCAAGCAACAAGCTCATCTTCACCCCCAGCCCAACACTATACGCCACAGACCCCAGCGTCCACGCCCGCGCCTGGTAGCAGTAGATAGCCAGAAACAAAAAGAACACCGCCCAAGCATCATTAAACAGTCTCAGCACAAAAATCGAATGTAACCGCTTACTCAACACCAGCAGCGGGAAGAGCCCAGGCGGCGCTCGCGCGCGGCGATAGCACTGCATCACCAGCCCCAGCGTAGCTAAATAGAGGCCCGCGAAAATGTACTGCGCGAGTCGGACGTCATTCCCGGAGTCCGTGAAAAAGTGCAGCACGCGGTAAATGTAGACGTGCGCGGCTGGGTAGACCAAAGGCCCCGTGTCGCCGTGGAGTTTGATGTAGTCGCGCTCGCCGGCGATGTACTGCGTGATCTGCTGCATGTACGCTTTCCAGTCGATTTCGGTGTCTGCGTGCCCCATTGCTATCAGTTCCAATTGCTGTGCGGGATTTCTGGAGCTGACACGTACATGGGATTTTGCGGATTACGAGGAGACAGAGGCCTGCGTCGGCGAGCAGGAGAAGGGGACAGATCCATTGCGTGTGTTTGGGATTTCTGGCGATGGACAGGCCTTTGTCGATGAGATCCATGTTGGCGGTGCTGCTCGCCTTGTTCGATGCTCAGGAGGCTGCGAGTTAAGGCTGTCGAGCTTGTTGCTTGAGTTGGAGCGAAATTTGATTGGACGCTTGAATTCGCGCCTGAAGGTGAACATTGATTGGCGCGCGCGACGTCACCAACCTCGGCTTCTTTGGAGAGGTTGCATGTAGCCTGTGTCTACACACGACACTGCACTTTCGACATTGAGACACTTCTTCCATTGTCCTTCGCATCTGTTAGACGAAGCGTTCCCGAATTCGTCTGAAGCCAACATGGGCAAAGCATTAGGTCTCGACATCGCCGCCAAGCGCAAGCGCACGCGCGCCGACTACCCATACCACGAAGACTACCGAACAAGATGGTACTCCCCTCCTGTCCACTACTCCCAGCAACACCTCAGACTAACCCATGCGATGAACCAGGAACGACAACGACATGTTCCACCACCTCAACAACCCCGTCTACGCCGTGCTCATCGACTCCATCATCAACTCCTACCTCATGCAATACGCCGGCTACAGCACCGCCAAATCCGCGCACATCGGCCTCGTGGCCCACACCTACTGCGACTACTTCGGCTCCGCGCAGTACCCGGGGATGCTCGACGTGGGGCTGCGGGTGGTGAAGCTGGGCACGAGCTCGGTGATGTACGAGGTCGGCGTGTTCCAGGAGGGGCAGGAGGAGGTCAAGGCTGTGGGCGGGTTTATTCAGATTTGGGTGCTCAAGGCGACGAACAAGGTGGACGGGAAGGGGGTGCCGAGCAGTGTGAGGGAGCCGATTCGGCCGTTGTTGAAGGGGAGTGAGCAGGAGGATGAGATGGGGAAGGCGAAGTTATGAGTGGGTCTTTTTGGGGGATGTTCTAGTGTATCAGTTTCCACCTCCTGTTGCGTTGACTGTCGGCTCCCTTCCTTCTTTCAATGGGAGGAAGATTTGTTCCCACAGCTCACTCGCTTCGCCCAGCGTATAGCTCAACTCGACATCAGCCATACCCGCTTCGTCGCCGCCGCCCATCGTCTCCAGTTGGCTGATGATATGGTCCAACCCCAGTGCCTTGCCGACACTCTGCGTCGCCGCCGCATCCAAATTCACATGCACAATGTGCACATGAAAGTGGTAGTACGTGGGTTGGTAGTGCACGTAAAACTTCAGCATGTCGGCCTCCACACCCTCGTACAGTTTCGCCACCGAATCGGCCAGCGTCGTCCGTAACTTCCGCAACCACGGCACGTGCTTCTTCTTCAGATCGCGCACACTCCAGATGTCTCTCCTCGTCACGAGGGCCAGCAGATGTAAACTGCCCACAGTCTTCCGGTCCCAGTTGAGATCCGGCAGGAGGAGGTAGTCGTCATTCTTATCGCTTTCCTTGGATCGATAGAGAACATCTTCCTGCTCCGCCCTCCCTTCAATAATATTGAACACCCAATCTAACCTCCCCTCCTCCCGACACCTGCTCATGTACGGCCGCACATACTTGCCATACACCTCGGCACTCTCACTCACACCCCGAAACTGCTGAAACGAATACTTCTTCACATGCTTCTCCGTGCACGGATAAATCAAATTAATCTTCACATCCGGCGGCGTGGGCTGATCAAGCGTATTGTCCGGCAGACTGTTGGCCAAATACCAGCGGTAAATGTCGTTCTGCCCGAGGTTGTTGACGTGCAGCAGCAGGCGCGAAAAGGAGGACAGGTAGTACTCGTCGGTGCCAAAGGCGCCGCGCTCGGCGATGAGCAGGGCGGGTTGTCCGCCTATGCGGCCTTGCAGGATGATGCGGCGGCCGCCTTGGTCTTGGTTGAGGAGCTTGTCGAATTTGAAGCGCGTGATGAGCGCGTTGGCTGCGGACATGGCATGCGCGGGATGGATTTGCGGATTTGTGGCTTGTTTCGTTGTGGTGAAGTTGGTGGGAATGGGACGCCCGATGCGGCTGAAGCTCGGCGTTGGCGGAGTCGGAGTCGCCGTGGCCGTGGCCCCCAAGACGGCATCGTTGCAACGAGATGTTGTAGCGATGCAGGCACATAAGGGAAGGATCCTGTTTCGAACGTTCGTCCGATTCTGTCTTACTATGTTGGCACTACTCGCTCGCCCGCCCGCCGTAATCTCCATCGGTTGGTGCCAATGCGCCGCTCGCCCAAAAGCAATACCCAGCACATTTTCATCCTAAGCCACTCGCCTCTGCCATGAATGTACGGAGCAACTCGAGTTCTCAACACTTTCATGAAGACTATTCAGACAGCGCCATGCCATCATCAAGCCTGCATCAATCAGAGAGCACATCAATGGAAACCGACATCGGAAGCACGACAACGACGACGACAAAAGACGACGCCTACCCAGAGCAAACAGAAGAAGACATCGCGCAGCTATTCAAACGCCTAGCAACCCGCCACATCGACCTCGTGCGCAGCAACAACTGGACACACCCCGACTGGACCGCAGTAGTCGCAGAAGACTTCCGCACCTTCGTGCCCTCCGCGTGGCCCTATCCCGCCGCCGACGGGCGGGCAGAGTACATCGAAAGCTCGCGGGTGTTCAAAGCGGCGAACCCGGCGTATGATCTTGTGCCTACGCGGATGGACGCGGTCGTCGATCCGTCCCAGACGGAGGGCAGGGTATGGGTGACGCTACATGTGTATGGGCATCCGCCGCCGTTGGTGAGGGAGAGTGTGTGTATTATGCATTTTCAGCTTACGAGGCGTGGATGGCGGCTGGTGAGGCAGGAGGCGCTGAGGGGGCCGCAGGAGATGTGATGTGCAGAGTGCTGGCATGGATTTGCTTGTTGGACGGTCAGTTGGTCAATGTTCTTTGACGTTCAGCTCTGTAGAACGGCTTCCATCATGTCGATGCATCATCAGCCCCGTGAGGATTTGTAGGGCGGCAGCGGCTGAAAAGTTGCCGCAGGGCTGAAGTGTTGTCGAGGAGAGGTCGCGGCAACGTTCACGCAACGGGGATCTACCCCAAACGGGTGCCGGTGATTTCGAAGGACCGACGACTCGCCCTCCCCGGCGATGATGGAACCGCGGCTGTTTTGGAACAGACAGAAACGCCCACGACCGACGCATTCTCGGAAATTCCACTGCTGCGTCTTCACTATGTTGCTACAGACACCACTGCGTCTCGACGCTCCAACGCATGCATAAACCTCATCTGCAGAATCCTCCGGCGTTATTATGCAAACCTTGCCAGCCACTCTCCACGTCACCCCGGAGCTTATTACTTCAGCGCGCATAACCCCCTCAGCCATTGGGATGGTCACAGCAACAGCATCATCAACTCTGAGCCCAGACGAAGCCGACGCCCGGCCGCGCAGCACAGCAGACATCAGCGCCCTCTGCCAGCGCATCGCGGCGCGCCAAATCGAGCTGATCCGCAACAGCGACTGGACGAATCCCGCATGGGCGATGCTCGTGGCCGACAACTTCAAAACCTACGTCCCCTCCGCCTTCCTCGAGGAACTAGGGCATCCCTCCACGGATACGCGCGCCGCTTACCTCGCCAGTTACGCGTCGTTCAAGCTGGCGCATCCCGAGTACGATATTGTGCCTACAAGCATGGATGCGGATGTCGATGAGTCGCGCACGAGTGTGCGTGTGTGGATTATGCTGGAGGTGTTTGGGCATCCGCCGCCGTTGGTGAAGGAGAGTGTGAGTATTGTTCACTTTGCCCTGACCAAGGACGGGTGGAGGGCGGTGAAGCAGGTGGGGCTGCGAGGGCCGCAGGGGATATGATGAGTTTTCATGGCATTTGTTCATTGAGCGATTAGTGGTTTTTGAAGGCTAGGCGGTCTGCTTCATGTCTCCGTCGTGAATCTGGACGTCATCAATTCATCCACATGCGCCGTCTGCGCCTTTTCATTCCCCTCGTCCAGCTGCTTGAGCAACACCGCCAGCACTTCCACCGGCGGCTTCAGCCCCAGCAGATTCGCCCTCTTCCAGCGCTTCAGGCGTGCAATGCCTATACACGGCTGTCCATGAATATCGATTAGCAAGTTCCGCAAGCAAGCACCCGCATGAGATCTCGACGTACCCCATACTGCCCACTCATATCCCACTCGCGCAGCACCTTCTCATACACCGTCAAGTCCTGCTGATGCACGCGCGGCGCCTTGCGCTCCTGCTCTTTCGCCCGCCAGTACGCCTTGATCTGGCTGTCCTTGATCTTGCGTGCGCTCGCTTCCTCGTCTCCCACCCATCCGGACCCTTTGCCTCCTACGCTGCCTGCATCACTCTGCTGTGCGCGCCCGCCTAGGACGTCTGCGGTGGTTACGGCGGGGCTGGTGGTGGATAGAGGATCTGCTGCGACGTCTTCTTCAGCCTGTGGAGCTTCCTCCTTGGCATCGGCGGTAGGGAGTTCCGCTCGTGCGATATCGTCGATTAATGCCGGATCCTTCTTGGAGGTCTTTGCTTGCTGTGCACTACTGGGTTTGGTGACTTTGCTTTGGAAGGAGAGTCTTTGCTGCTGCGCGGACGTCGTACGTCTTGCCGCCGTTTGCGAGCGGCGTTTGGGCGCCATGATGCTGTTGCGGGAGGGATGTGACGCTGGAGATGTTGAAGATGGTTATCCTGCGTCTATCAAGTATGCTTCCATACGGTTCTGCAGAGGTAGATGGCGGGCAATGCAGAGAAAGCGACAGAGGCTCGTGCGTGGAAAGGGAGCTGGAATGACGAGATGTGCGGGACGTGCCCATTGCCCGTTGCTCAGCAACCGCGCGACACGTCTCGCGTAAAATAGAGTGCTGGCGTTTTTGCGGGGCGCGGCTAACGCGACTTGCCCTTCGTCACGTGCGACCACGAGATCTCGACGTGAGCTGTTGCTCTTATTACTCTCATCGCTGTCTGTTCGACGGTTACACATGATGACATTGCTCGGCCATGCTGCCGACCCTTCCAGCATAGGTACACGGACCCCATGTATCCCATTGAGTGACGGCACGGCGAACTGTTGCAAGTCATGGCAACTTGATTTCGTTCGATTAGGTTCGCAGCATTACCTACGCTGCAATGATCTGGAGATCTCCATCAACCGCGGCCGTGCACATGACGTTTGACGTGTTCCTTCTTCCGTCCTCTCAGCATCGATCGGCGGCATGGACTCAGCAATGCATGTGTTGCGCCGGACCGCTTCGACTACCGACCGCCACTCAGAGACCACGCGGACGACTGTACCACGCCTAGGAGGCTATCAAACGCATCGGGCTTGTCTTCTCCGATTACGAAGGCGGAAGTCTCTCTAGACCACCGCCGGCGACCTCTTTGGAATTTTCTCCTCGACAGACGTAGAGTCAGCCGCAGAGTCAGCAAGAGGCATAGGTACTTACAGGGCGCCATGTCTTGAAGTTGAGACCCCATTGATATTCTCAGCAAGCCGTGCGCCTGCACCCGCAGCCTATGTTTGCTCGATCTGCTCTCCCTCGGCCGCGTGGCTGCGTGTGGCGGCTTTTACGCTGAGTCATCAGCAATTGGGGCACCCATGTCACCTCACGTCTTCAATCTAGGCCAACGTGCTAATAGGATACTTGCTCTGCCACTGGCCGCCCTTGCTCTGTAATACCGAATCTGGCTCTGTCTTGCAGGTCGAACAATCGCAATGCATGTCGGCGGCGCCCCGCGACTTCAATCTAGACCCCGTGCTGTCTCAGCCTTCCGCAAGTCCTCGTAGGCTACACCTCCTCGATGAATACCGATCGGGCTACAACACGCAGGGACGGTGGGAGCAAATCCGAATCGCCCCTCAACACATCCGCAATGGACGATCTCCAACATGATCGGCCGTCGAATTGTCAAACATGAGCGATGAGCGTTTGCCAATCTGCCGCGTTAACCCTGTTATTCACAGGCTATATCTCCTCAATGGCAACGATCTTCCTACTCTCTGCTTTTCTTGGTCCACTCTCGACGTCATGGGCCGATACTTGAAGCCAGACATTGGGCGAAACACTATAGGGCTGTAGCCCCAGACCAACCGCTGACTGACCACCCGGCGTTTTATCGATCCACCACAGTGCAGCCGGAACCCAGTGGCGTGGTCTAGATGTGGTTGTAGATCTGCAGGGACGCCAGGGTCGTCGCTCTGTCATCACAGCCTGATCCTGCTGGTTAGCATGTGTCGCTGTGGTACAAAGTCGTGCTCCTCGGCGACACGATTGGGAGTGAGATTCATTGCTCACCCTCACCTCGTACTCATTCATCTCGTTCCATCCCTCCGACCGTCTCCCACCGCAACCATGCTGTCCCACACTAAGCTCGCCGTCCTGCTTGGCCTTGCCTCGCTCTTGACTCCCATCGCCGCTTGGAACCAGGGCCAATGCGGGCAAACATGGCGATCCCAGGATTGCTCGACTCAATGGGGTCCAACCAGTACATCGGTTTCCACCACCACGAGCACGACATCGACGACGACTACGACGTAAGAAAGGTCTGAACACATATGATAGACCCGTACTGACTGATCTTGATGACTAGGACCTCGACGTCCACGACTAGTGTCACCACGGCGGCACCTACTAGCACCCCGACGACTGGTAAGTCTTTCCCCCTACTCACTTAACGTCACAAGTCTGGATAGCTCATCGGGACCGTGCAGTCACCACTACTGAGACGTAAGCTCTGATATTGCACGCGATCTCTGCATGTGCATGGCGCGCTGACCAAGAGGAACAGCTCCTATGTGACGCAATGGGGCCCTCCCAGGACGACCACGTGGTGGAAGAGTGAGTACCCTCCAAATCCGCTGCATTGTAAATCAAAGACATTGACACATTGCCAAAGCCCACACCGACCCTCACTGCAAGAGAGAAGCCTTCCCCGAGCCGACGGCACTCGCCAAACCCGCCATCCTCGGCCGACGCGGCCAATGGCCTCAAAACGTCTACTGCCACGAGTGAGTGACGTCCTCTCATCCCTTGCTGACCCTCCTTACCATGCTGACCTCGCGTACGCAGACACTGGACGTACTGCGAATGCGAGACGACGACCACGACCGCCCCGTACGGCCACCCGACTCAGCCGCACCAGCCCACCGTCACGAAGACCACGTGGTGGGATCAGACGACTACCACTTGGAAGTGGACCACTCAGACCCAAACTACGACGGTGTGCGGCTAGGCGACACGCTTTCCGTGCTTGAGTTGCTTGTCGATCTGCTGCGTCGGGAGTGACTTATTCACACTGAGTCAGAAGTGAACGGGGGTGGGATGGCAGAATCACACTCTTTTCCGCGTTAAGGGAGGTATTGGAAAGAGCGGCCAAGTTGGGCCGTGTCTGTAGTGTACGTACACATTTAGTTGTCTTCATCATAATACTGTCTTACCTCCGTAATCAGCCGTCGTGCTGCATGGTCGTTGTGACGATGTAGGTGAAATTGGACTGCGTTTCCCCACACCGCCAAGACATGAAGTCGGCGCGCGTCGTGCTGCCTGTAAATCTCCGCCGCCTTTCCTGCGTCGAATCCATCTTTCAGTCCATCAGGTCAGCGCTACTGCATCACGCCGGTGCTCTCCTGAGGAACTTCACCCTGTCCGGTTTCCAGCCGCAGCAAACTACTAGCCGTGATGGCTGACAATGCACTCCTCAGGCTTCGAGGAGTCGCCCGTTGGGCACGGATGCTGTCTCGAGGTCTAGACTACGATTCGCTCGTGCCATCCACCAGGTCGACACTGTCCTACACACCCAGTGCACTCAAGGCTTTTGTGCGATGATTAAACTCCGGCAACGCGTCGCCCAGAAAGCAGATAGACGAGGAATTCTCCTTGGCCCCTCTTGGCTTTCGCGTGGATAAGCCTCGCCGTTGGACTCCTCTTTCGCTCGACCGTCATGCGTCTATTGCCCGTGCGCAGTCGTAGACGGCTCGCATGGTGGCGACATCGGATGGCCGAATACGATGGGCCATTTGTCCGATATCGTACTGCAAGTGGAGACGATGACATGTCCGAAAAGAAACCACTCTGCGCGCCACAAGGTCAGGCACGATTGCATGGCAGAATCAGATATCGATAGCTTCGCGTGCGTTTGGTGGCCGACAGTCTGCTTGCCTTCTACAATTTTCCACGTTGCATCTGAAAGAGACACTTTGGTTGAACACGTTATGCATCTGCATAGGGTCTATTCATGCTCAGATGTTCACTTGCAGTTGTTGCTGTGTCCATGTCAGCCTTATCGGCAAACCTTGCCCTTCTAGCCTTGCAGCTCAAAACGGTTTGGTGCCTGAAACTCTAAATTTATCTGCAGCTCCTCCACATCGGGCGAGGAATTGTTGAACTGCAAGCAATGCCATCGCGTTATTAGGAACCTCGCCTTGTCTCATCTTTCCCACGCTTTATCTCTGCAGTTCTCTTGGAACACTCACCAAGACCACTCCCGAAGCAGCCTCAAAGATGGTCGTCGGCTCGGTGCTCGTGACAGGGTACGCACCATCCCCCGACAAGATGCAGCTATCCGCATCCACACACCTCAATGTCTAACCACCTCGCAGCGGCACAGGCTACATCGGCTCCTTCACCGCCCTCGCCCTCCTCGAAGCAGACTACAAAGTCGTCATCGTCGACAACCTCTACAACTCGTCGCAAGAAGTGCTGCGCCGCATCGAGCTGATCAGCGGCAAGAAAGCGCATTACCACACCTGCGACATCACCGACGAGGCGGCGCTGGATGCCGTCTTCGCCGCACACCCCGACATCGACAATGTCATCCATTTCGCCGCGCTAAAAGCTGTGGGAGAGAGCGGGGAGCGGCCGCTGGACTACTACAATGTGAACGTGTTTGGGTCGCTGTGCCTGCTGCGCGCGATGAAGAAGCACCACGTCACCAATATCGTCTTCTCCAGCTCCGCTACGGTGTACGGCGATGCGACGCGCTTCCCCAACATGATTCCCATCCCTGAAGAGTGCCCGCTGGGCCCTACAAATCCGTACGGAAATACCAAGGTCACGGTGGAGATGATGATTACGGATCATGTGAATGCGGAGCGGGCGAACGCGAAGAAGGCGGGCAAGAGCGGGGAGGAGTTCAACGCGGCGTTGTTGCGGTACTTCAACCCGGCCGGCAGTCATCCGAGTGGCATCATGGGCGAAGATCCGCAGGGCGTGCCGTACAACTTGCTCCCGCTGCTTGCGCAGGTCGCGGTGGGGAAGCGGGAGAAGTTGCTTGTGTTTGGAGATGGTAGGTCGCAGAAAAGCTTCGGGGCGAACATGGGTTTATGCTAACATGGCACAGATTACGCGTCCAAGGACGGCACCGCCATCCGCGACTACATCCACATCCTCGACCTCGCTGCTGGCCACCTAATAGCCCTCAACTACCTTCGTGCCAATCACCCGGGTGTCCGTGCCTGGAACCTCGGGACAGGTAAAGGCAGCACGGTGTTCGAGATGGTGGCCGCCTTCAGCAAAGCCGTGGGACGAGATCTTCCCTACCAAGTCGTCGGGCGACGGGCGGGCGACGTGCTCGATTTGACTGCTAATCCGACTCGGGCGAACACCGAGCTAGGGTGGAAGGCACACCGGACGCTGGAAGATGCGTGTGCGGACTTGTGGCGGTGGACGGAGAACAATCCGCAGGGGTACAGGCAAGAGCCGCCGAAAGCGTTTCTGGAGGCTTTGGAGGGGCAGAGGAGGGGGTGATAATAAATGAGGGAGAGGGTGGAGACGAGACGAGGGTGAGAAAAGTCAATACAGTAGATTAGTGAACGCACGACCATTCAGCAACCATCAGTGGCAAGCAGGCTGAATGCGAGATTTGAGTGTGGGGAGGGAGGGGGAGGGTACCAAATACCACACTGCAGGGGCTCACGGGTGGCGAGACGGGTGCAGCGGCAAGTGAGTGCGATGGCCGCAGACCCGACTGCCGAAAAGCAAGCCTCCCGAAGCCCCCAAGCCCCCTACGCCTTTCAAGACGACGGGACGGGAGCGTGCTTGTTTCGAGTCTAGTCTGCCACCCTCCCCGGGGACACGGAGCTTGTAGTGGAGGCGAGCCGGAACAACCCACGCAGCAACAGCCCCTCGCGTATCTCGCGTGCACCCGCTCACCTCCACAAAGAAGGGCAAAACGACCCAATGAACAGCAACTTGCGTCATCTGTCAACCATGGTGGCAGGCGTGGTGGGCAAGAACCGGCTTTTCCGCAGCGAGTGGCCGCCATCGTAGGCGGCGGCGCCACGAGTTGTGTCGTGCATAACGAGCGAAAGCTTAAAAAGCGCCACGAAATATCCCGCGCTCGTTACAACGACCGAGGGTGGGGCATGGACGAACCAGTCGTTGTATAAAGGCTAGGGGCTACGCACGCAACCCGGTTGCTGATCCCTCTTCATCGCTCGTTTTCGCCTCGTTAACCTCCTCTACTCTCACTTGCTCATCACTACACACTCCGACAGGCTGATCATTTCTCTGCCAAGAAATACTCGATTCCACTTCAACTCACTTCATCTCACATATCCGCCACCATGAAGGTTACCATCATCGCCGTGGCCATGGCCGCCTGCGCCGTTGCCGCACCCATTGCCGAGAGACTCGAGGGCCTTGAACGCTACGCCGGCCACGAGGGCCACGAAAGCTACGCTCGGGATGCTGCACAGATGGAGGGCCGGGCCTACGCCGACCGCTTCGAGGGCAACGCTTACGCCGACCACATCGAGGGCCACGAGGCTTACGCACGGGACGCTGCACAGATGGAAGGCCGAGCCTACGCCGACCGCTTCGAGGGCAACGCGTATGCCGACCACATCGAGGGCCACGAGGCTTACGCACGGGACGCCGCACAGATGGAAGGCCGGGCCTACGCCGACCGCTTCGAGGGCAACGCTTATGCCGACCACATCGAGGGTCACGAGGCCTACGCTCGCGATGCTGCACAGATGGAAGGCCGAGCATACGCCGACCGCCTCGAGGGCAACGCTTACGCCGACCATATCGAGGGCCACGAGGCTTACGCACGGGACGCCGCACAGATGGAAGGCCGGGCCTACGCCGACCGCTTCGAGGGCAACGCTTACGCCGACCACATCGAGGGCCACGAAGCCTACGCTCGCGATGCTGCACAGATGGAGGGCCGAGCATACGCCGACCGCCTCGAGGGCCTTGAGCGGTACGCCGGCCACGAGGGTCACGAGGAGTACGCATGATGGAGAGGATTGTAAGCAAAATGATTTGAAAGGCTCTCTTGACTTGATAGAGATCGAGCGCAGGTAGACGAGACCAAGATGCATGCAAAATGAATTCCACTGCTTGAACGCCCCCATCTTTTCTGCCCGTCTCGCTTTCATTCCTTTTGTGCCGAGGCCGACCGACCAAAAGCATCTGTGTCATGTGTGCGTCTTGTTGCCCAGCCGTCCCGGAGGGGCCGGCCGCCGGCTACTCCTGCAGCACCCCACGAAATGAGCTGTTGATCCTGCGGTGGGGGTGGGGTAGTTTCTCAAGTGATCAACAAGCGCGTTGCGGACATTTGCATTGCGCAGTAGCTTGCCTCGTGGCAGTGGACAGTGCAGCAAACGGACGGGCATCTTGGCATGAGGAGTGAGAATCACGTGTGGGCCAAGAGGTGGGGCCGAGTGTTCGTGACTTTTGCGCTTACCTAAGACTTTCGGGTCTCAGTTCGAGAAGGCTTGAAGTGCATGTGCCTTATTACATCACACCCGCAGCTACAAGAATCTCTCTTGGCTCAAACACCGACCTCGCACTGTCCACGATGGCATCTCAAGCTCCCGTCGGCGATGCCAACATGACCGAGTGTCAAGCGCAGGGGCGCAAGCGAAAGCGCTTCATTCCTCTTGGTACGTGGAGCCTGCTCTCGTGTCTCGGTCACAGCTAACGGCCAGCAGAGAACAACCCCGAAGTCATGACGAAGCTCCTCCACAGACTCGGCCTCTCTCCCGGCCTCCAATTCCACGACGTCTGGAGCATCGACGACCCCGACCTCCTCGCCTTCGTTCCCCGACCGGCCTACGCCTTGCTTCTTGTCTTTCCCGTAAGCGATACCTACGAAAAGTTCAGGCACGAGGAGGACAAAGCGAAAGAAGTATACACCGGCTCAGGAGACGGCGAGGATGTGATATGGTACAAGCAGACAATAGGCAACGCGTGCGGACTGATTGGATTACTGCACGGCGTGAGCAACGGCCCCGCTCGATCACAAGTGCAACAGGGCAGCGATCTGGACACATTGATCCAAAAGGCCATCCCGCTCAAGCCTATGGATCGCGCAGAGTTGTTGGAAGATACCGACGCGCTGGAGAGCGCGCATCAAGAAGCTGCGTCCACGGGCGACACGGCCGCGCCGAATGCTGATGACTCCATCGACCTGCATTACGTGTGCTTTGTGAAGAGTGAGAAGACGGGGCACTTGTACGAGCTTGATGGCAGGCGGAAAGGGCCTCTGGATCGCGGGTCTTTGCAGCCGGACGAGGATGTCTTGAGTGATGCGGCGCTTGAGAAGGGGGTGCGAGCCTTCTTGAAGAGGGAGGAAGCGGCTGGCGGTGGGGAGTTGAGGTTTAGCCTGATCGTGTTGGCCGAGGGATTTGACTGAATATTCGTCCTTGCATGAGACGTCTATTGGCTCTTTTCGTGAGCATCTCGCCCCGGCAGAACTTTCCACAACAGACGACGACATTCAATCATGAGCAGCCGGAGCTGACCGGATTCGGATGACATTCCTGCACGGCTGCCGGCAGATGGAGTGGGTCTCGCGTCAAAACACCCCAAGCATCTACAACAGCAACGGTAAAACCTCCGAAATGCTTCGCTTATAGGGTAACCGACCTCGTTACCCCATCAGAGTTTATCGAAGACTCTGCTAGTAACTGTCAGCTGCCGTAATCGCCGTCAGCATCAACAAAAGCGCGCAAAAAAATTCTAGACCATGCGACCTTTCCTTCCACATTCCATCGATGCACAGCGGCACGTTGCGATGCCATTGCATCATCTCCCGGGACCGCAGACATGGGACAAATAGCGCTCTGAGCCTCACAATGACAAACTCCCTGGCATGAGTGAGGGACACTTCGCAACCCGCCGTCGCATGTTGTAGCGTTGTCAAACGCTCGCGGCCGCCAGCATGGACATTTTATCAACACCTCACGTTGGCCTCCGCAACTTCACCATCCATGCATCATCCGGGCTGGGCAGTAGCAAGGGTTTCGACCCATCGGACGTGCTCAACCCGACACAGCGCCATGTCCTGCAAATCCTTGCGACCGTCACCTCCAGTCTCAGTCTGGCTGCTGCACTCGTAGCGGCGTTTTGGTTTCTGATGATGCAGAGGAATTTCCGACGAGATCTGGTCTTGCTGCTCATCCTCGGCGGATCGTGGAAGAGCCTGTGGTTTGTCATTTTCTCGGGTGTGACCTTTGCCACTGGGCCAATTCACACCTCGGACACCATCTGTCAGGTCGGCGGGTATTGCTTACAGGCGGGATTCGAGGCGTGTGGTGCGTTGCTGCATCTATTGACTCTCTTTAATGCAGTCCAGCTAACGTCGTCACAGACATTGCCGTCTTCTTCATGAGCATGCACATGTACTACCAGATCTTTCCGCCGTCAAACTCCATGCTCGGCCACGACGGGCTCTACCGCATCCGCTACGTGGTCATTATCGCATACATCCTCTTCCCGAATCTGAGCGCAGCACTAGGATTCACGAGCAACACATCCGCTTATGTGGCTCAAGGTGCATGGTGCAGCCTGCCACTTCGACCGTTCTGGTACCGATTAGGTTTGTTCTGGGTCCCGAGGTACATCGTCTGGCTGTATATCGTCTTCGTCGCCATACGAATCTACCGATATGTTGGGTCGGAGTTCAAGGTGTTTGGCGGCGAGACGGCGAGCTCGCTCAGTTACGGACTAGGAGGCGAGTCTTCGGGCGACCGTGCTGCCCGAGTGGAGAAGGAGCTCACGTCGACGAGAAGACGATCTGATCCGGACGTCGCACCACTGGAAGAAGCAGGTCAGCCGGAACCTGTGAACGACATCACCTTGGCATTCAACCCATCACTGCCCCACGCCTTCCCGCCGGATGTTTTTGTGACGCCGCCACCAAGTCCAAGTCGTCGAGCGAACCAAGAATCTCCCCACCGCAGGAGTCCGACTCGCACTGCGACCCACGGGCCCGTATCCTCCACGTATCCAGCCTCAGCCTTGCGCAAAGAAAGTCACCCGGCCACAGTGACCGAGGACTTTGCAGCTCCCGACCCCAACCACCGACGCAGCTCCCTAGTGAGCTTCGCCTCGCAAAGATCGTCGGGGAGGGAATCCTTCGACGGCCCACCAGTCCTATCCCCAATCGTTGAAAGCGACGACCCCTTAGCACCAGCCGCACCAAAGCCCCGTTCCCGCCCAGCAACACACAACGCTATGCGCAACCGGCGCCGCGCCATCCAGCGCCAACTCCGCCTCCTCTTCATCTACCCGGTCGTCTACCTGCTCCTCTGGGTCATCCCCTTTGTCGTCAACATCATGAACTTCACCAATCGCTACGCGCAGCATCCCGTCTTCGCCCTGCAGGTGCTGCAAATCTTCACCCTAACGATAATGACCCTCGCGGACGTCGTCGTCTTTTCCTGGCGAGAACGGCCCTGGCGCCACATCCCAGGTGCGGACGGCACCTTCCTCGGCAGCTTCAAATGGTGGCAATACTGCTTCGACAAAAAGTGGGCGACGGGACGCCGCGCAAGTCGAGTCCCCAGCGCCATCCCGCGCGCAGCAAATAGCAGCGCAGCAACGACCAGCACAACCAACACGACCATCACCGACCCCGAAAAAGGCACCGCCCCCGCAGCAGCAGCAGCAGGCCTCCTGACCCCCCTCCGCTCCTCTCTACACCGCAAATCCTCCTCTTTCCGCAGTGTCAGTGCCCGCTCGCCTTCTTCTACCGCCGCTGCGTCCCTCGCTTCGCATCCGACGACGCCGCAGAAGAGAATTGTTTTCTCCGGCGGCCATTCGGATCGTAGGCTTTTGGAGGTTCAGCGGGCGCATGAGCGGTTGGCGCTCGAGAGGGCGGAGTATGAGGGGCGGTTGAGGGGAGTGAGGGAGGACCAGGATGGTGTGGAGGGGGAAGGGAGGGGGAGAGGGAGAGAGTGGTTCGACCGGCAGTATGGGGATTTATTTGCTGATAAGGACGAAGAGGAGGGAGCAGATGTGTAATAGAAGTCCGAAGCACGGCTGCGCTTGGCAAGGCTGAGCGTCGAAACGCGGCTTCGATTAAAACGGCCGAAATACGAAAATAGAGCATTATGATGTGCGGAAAGCGTTTTAATCATTTCTGGCCCCCACACTCTCGATACGCACCCCCACGCTGTCCTGCATGCATGGATTATCATGCATCTGGTCTGGCCAGAGCGGACTGGGAACGTACATGTCGCTAAGCCTTGTTTGGAGGGGGAGCTTCGACCAACCAGGTTGGCGCAAGTGCGGAGGGAGCTTGATTCGACTTCACCTGGCGCTTGCATCTTTTGACGTTTGAGCTACTCTTTCGGCGCTCATGCTGGGATTGAGGCCTCTTTGGAGATCTGGTCTTTTTGTCAGTCCTGTGCTGACGACATTCAACCAGCTTTATTCAAAGTCTCGCCCTCGCGGTGGTGTTCTTCCGGCAGCATGATGGACCCCATGACGGCCCTTGGGCTCGTCTCGAATGTCGTACAACTCGTGGGCTTCACCGCCAGCCTTCTCTCTGAGACCCGAGCATTCATCGCATCTTCCAGCGATGCTCTGCCGCGGAACGATTGGGTGGAAAGCCTGGCGCAGGACAACAACGCACTCGCCGAAGACCTTGAAGCTGCCATGAGTGTTTCTGGTGTGCCCAGCAAGACCGAAGCGGCAGTTCGAAGCCTTGCGAAGCGTTGTCAAGAGGAAGCTGCACTCTTGATTGCGCTGCTCGAGCCTCTCAAGGTCAAAGCTAGACCGGACGGATCGAAACCAATGCTCAAAGCTTTGGGAAAGGCTTTGCGCAGCAAGCTCAAGACGCATGAGATCGAAGCCAGCCAGAAGAGGCTTGAAAGCCTCGAGCGACAGCTTTGCGCTTTGCTGTTGCGCCATATTCAACAGACCCAAGCCGTTGAGTTTGAAGAGCTGAGAGATGCTGTGGAGCGAAAAGGCCGTGATTGTGTCCAGACGGTGCTTGCGTGCAAAAACGATCTTCTCGATATCATCGTGAGACTGGAAGCTCTTCAAACCACTGTTGAGCAAGGTTTCACCACCATGGACCAACGATTCCAGAGAATAGACCTGTCTTTCCAATCCGCCCAAGAAAGCAAGCTTGCACAGTCTATCGTTGACAGCCTGGCTTTTCCAGAGATGCAATCCCGGTACCAAGCTATCACAGACCATCATTCTCGAACCTTTGAGTGGATGTTTTCGGACACCGATAGTCAGTATCATAAGTGGCTGCATGCCCAAAGCTCCATTTTCTGGGTTTGTGGCGAAGCTGGCTCTGGCAAATCTACCCTCATGAGGTATTTGCGCGGGGAGTTTGAGAGCAGAGCCCTCCTCGAGACTTGGGCAGGGGATCGTCAGCTTATGCTTGCAGCTCACTATTTTTGGATCCCCGGCTCTCCTCTCCAAAAATCCCTGGAAGGCATGTTGCGGACCTTACTTCACCAGTTACTCAAAGATCAGAGTGACCTCCTCCCAACCGCGTGTCCAGCACGTTGGGCCCAGACGCAAGGATCAGCTCACATGATCAACGAACCATGGATATACGCCGAGCTTGTCGACGCCGTCGCGAATCTTGGAACGAGGGGAGATCTCGCCATCTGCTTCTTCATCGACGGTCTCGATGAGTGTGAGGAGCGCTCCCATCCAAAGTTGAATCAGCTTCTTCGACGACTGTCCAATCTGCCTCACGTCAAGATCTGTATGAGTTCTCGGCCCTGGACTGCCTTCAAACGCGAGTTCGAAGGCAATACGGAGACCATCCTGTTGCACGAGCTGAACTTGCGAGATATCTTCGAGTACGTTTGTGATCGACTCGCCGAAGCAAAACCGACCTTGTTTCCAAGAGCGATATATGACGACGAGCAATTCTCTGCCATTCTCAAGGACTTCAGGGACGGGATTTCCGCATATTCATTTGTACCTCCTTCTTTGGAAGCCTCCCCTACGAAGATTCTCATCTACACAACGGTTCTGAAGGCGCAAGGAGTCTTCCTCTGGGCTTCCATCGTCATGGACGGTATTTGCACTAGACTTGTGCACCAGTCCGCCACAGAAGTACTGCCGTACCTTGACGATTTTCCGCCGGACCTCGAGACCCATTTTGAGAGACAAATATTCTCCAGAATCGATGCTACGTACCGAAAGTCAGGGTACTCCGACACTGCCATGAATCTCATGCTCGCACTTCATCATGCATCGACCAATCGAAACGCGGTCCTTTTTTTGCATCTTCGTCAAGACATTGCCCAGAAAACGGGCGCGGTCAAAGATGAGAGATTTGCCGAATGCCTGAATATCCAATTCATCAACAGGGACGACTTTGCCAGAGACGTCGTAATATTGAAGAGCTATCTCGCAGAATGCTGCAAAGACTTACTCCATGTGGTTGAAGACGATAATTACATTTTTGCCCTCGACGAAGAACTTCACTGGAACGACTACGCCAAAGTTGACTTTCGACATAGGGCGGCATATGATTTTCTTACAACGGCCCACATGCAGGAAACCCTGCAAAAACATGTCCCTGCGCATTTCAATAGTCCCGGGTTCTGGCATCAATTCCACCTGGCCAGGCTCAAGAGGCTTCCAGAATTGCGGAATACGTGCTGGTATCTAGTCCTGGAAGCCAACAACTTGTTTGGCGACGACTTTTCAATCTTATATCCACAGAGCGGCCGGGTCGCGCAACAATGCGATGCTGCTCTAGACTTTTATTTTTCGACCCTTTGTCCCCACGGAAATCAATGCAGAGCATTTCGGGCTGATGACATGTGGTCGCTAGCGAGGCATTTTGCCACAGTTGGACGTTATTCATTCATAATGCGAGCCTTACGCCTGGAACCATCGATTTCTTGCTATATGGACGAGAACCTCTCAGAACAGTTCATAGTGCTCACATTAGCGTGTGGCCTGGATCCCTGGAAAGATGTTCTTGAAGTCCCTGGGATACCTTGGTCGATCTTTTCTGTCAATCTGGATTTCGTAAAGCTGATACTTGATTGTGGACTCAGCCCTCACTCGCTATTTATGAGGGAATCTTTGTGGCACCACCTGTTAAACGGATTTCAGCGTTCGCATGCTAGGGGGGCCGCCGATTTCGAAATCCGGTTTGACCTGTTCAAGGCCTTCATTCATCATGGTGCCGACTTGTGCCGGAGCTGTTGTGAAAGACTTCCCGCACTACTACCATCAAGATATCATGCGGAGCTGCACTTGCTGATAGAAGAGTATTCTCAGCCGGAGAAACAAAGGCGGATAGCCGATGCCAGATTAAAGCGTGTCGCAAACTATCCGGCGGTGTCGTTGGCATCCTCTGAATGGGCTGAAGTGTGTAAGCGAGGCTGGAGAACTGTCAACGACAGTCATGAGGATGTAGAAAGCGCTTTTCAGGTTCTCCTAGAACGAGCTAGGACAAGACGCGAGCATTCGCTGAAACATGCTCTACCAGAAGCAGAGCGCTGGTCAGGGCCTCCGCCGCTCCTTGACGAACGTGGCAAATGGAATCCAGAAAAAGATACTTCTGACGCGCGATCAGAACCAGCGGGCGAGGAAGAAGAGCCAGAGCGTTGGAGAGGGATACCAAAAAGACGTGCAAGCGCAGAATCCCGGCATGCGATCGAAAGGGCTTCAATAACGGTACGGTCTAACATGGAGGAACACGGTCGTGCGTTCGTCTGAAGCGGTTCGGACGGACAGTCAGGCCATCCCTTCCGACTCAAGCGCAATGACCCGTACGTCGTCAACTCGCAAAATGAAAAAAGACCTCTTACACCACCATCCTCATTCAAACCTCTTCTCGTAGTAAGCCTGGGGCTACACTCTGCAAAAGGGCTGAGGAACAGCGCGTCCGAACCAACTATATCACCGCCGAAGGAGCAGTCCCGACGAGTTTGAGACGACCATAGACGTCACTGCCCTCTTCACAGCATTGAGAAGGCGAGGAGAGTCTTTCTGCAATCTCTTTGATGCGTGTGAAAGTAGGAAGCTAGAAAGCACATGCCTCTATGCACAAGGGGGTATCTCAAACGCAAACATGACCCGCAGAACGCCGTAATACCCTTTTCCATCCCCATCGCCGATGCAATCGTACAAGACACGGTCCATCCTCGCTATGCAGCACACACACACTTAGTAGAAACTCGCGAGAACACAGATTCCGTTTTCTTCTCAGACCCCCGAATCCGGAATCGCTTTCTCCCCAATCATCCTTACGCGATACAAACAAGTAAACCGCCCACCCCAATTCGTACTCGCGCGCACAACAAAGTCCTCCACCCCAAACCCCAGCGCCTGCATATCGGCGAAAACAGGAATGACCTGCACATGATTCCCCTCGTGGACATCGTACTTGCCGCGCGCGACGCACACGTACCGGGCGTCAGGGCGGTTAGCGGGGTCGCACTCCGCGTCAGGGTAGCGACGGTGCTCGCGCACGAGTTTAGCGAGTTTGGCTGCGGTCTTTTTGCTCCCTGCTGAGGCCCAGAGTTCGATGTCTTTGGGGGCTGTTTTGATTGACAGCGTGCCTTCCATCGGCACGTGGTCGAGGATGAGTTTCTCGGGGAAGATTTTCTCGTTGGTGTAGATTCCGATGGAGATGGAGGGGTCGGTTTTGGACTTTGGCTTCGCGCACCAGCAGTCGCCTGCTTCGTTCCAGTGGGAGAGGGCGGCGGTGGGAGGGTGGGGTTTGGTGGTGAAGGGGCTGAATTGGTGGTAGACGTGGTGCAGCCAGTTGCGGGGCGGGTAGAAGGTTGTGGAGGTGTGGGCGGGGTTGATGCGGGCTTGGTTGCCGAGGGAGAACCAGTTGACGGAGCGCAGGGCTTGGTAGGTGTTGCGGACTTGGTTGGCTTTGATGAGCATTTGGAGTTGCTCGCTGACGTGGAAGGAGAGGGGGTTGGTTTGCAGCTCGTCTTGGGTGCTGCGGATTGCGAGGGCTTTGACTTCTGCCAGGTGGGTTTGCTGCATCGCGCGAAATTCGTCGCGGAAGTTGCTCGACATGTATGCGTTGTTCTCTTCGATTGCCTCGATGAAGGCGTCGCGGCTGACGACTTCTCTAGACTGAATAGCGCGGTCGAGCTGGAGAGAGATGAGCTGCTGGTTGAGATGCTCGATCTCACGTTCGTTGCCCTGGATATAAGATTGCCAAAGAGGAGTCATGTCGGTCTCGCCGGCCAGCTTCTCCTGCAATGCATTCCAGAACACTTCTGGAATTTCGTACCTGCCGTCGATCACGTGGACCACGACTTTGCTGGGCAGCGCCTGCTCGAGAACTCTCCAGGAATTCAAGGTAAGCCGCATGTCTCCTTCAAGCGCGCGCATATTTGCCTCTAGCTCCTCGATGCGCTGGAGGTAGTTGATGTTGATGGCGAACTGCTGTTCCGGGATATTGTGGTCTGGTAAAAGGTCGCTGAAGAGTTTGTCGTGCTTGAGCTGGTACCAGGCAGACTGCAACTTCGCCGATGGCTCGATGCCGAGGGAAGTTTTGACGCCGGAGAAGATGTAGTCACGGTAGGGGCTGATCGAAGAGGGCAACGGAGTCAAAGCGACCAGAAGGGTGAGGGTAATAAAGCCCGAGATCAGTAGAAGAAGATCCTTGAGTGCCGGATTAGCACTGCGTAAAAGTCTCGGGACATAGCGAGGAAGCGCTCGCGCAAATACTCGAAGACTGCTCGGCTGGGAGCGGCGAACAGGCTCGTGCCGGACGGGCTCCTCCTCCTCTTCCTCCTCCAGAATATCGTCATGATCGAACGGGCCATAATGAGCACCAGCATCAAGAGCAGTCGCAGTGCGATCCGCGAACGTCGCATCTCCGATGACGCTGCTAGCATCATCTCTGCGACCAGCACGCGGCGTTGCAGTCGGGAGACGGCGACGACGACCTTGCGGGCCCTCCATCAAAGGAGATGCATCGCCCAGCTCGCTGCCGCTGTCGTCGCCTCCCACCGACTCCTCGCGCGAGGTGGCAAAGGCGGAGGCGAAGTCCGTGGCGCTGCTGCGGACTTGGGAGCGGAGATTGGCTTTGCCAACGGCGCCGTAGGCGTGGCTTTGCTTGGCTGCGATGGCCGGGAGCGGGGCGGGGGTTTTCGATCTCGCGCGCGTGACGCGCGGAGTCGCCATGGTGGTTGATGTAAGGGTGGTGATGAGGTGGAGGCGGAGATGGCGGAGAAGTAGCAGATGGGCGAGAGGGAAGATGTTGATTAAGAAGGATCAGAGTAAGGCGGCAAGTCTTTAGTGAATGTTTTCCCAAGTTTGCGCTTTCGTGAGCGGTCAGAAGTCGTGAGACTCGTCGTCAAGTCCACGACAATGGGCACAATAGCAGGATCGTTGCCGGGTGAACTGGTGCATCTCACCCGCGAAAACGTAAGAGGAAAGAGCGAGGGACAAGAGAGTGAGGAATCAGCTGGATAGAAAAAGAGAGAAGGGCAGGCCGAGCAAGCAATGCGAGAACAACACGCACATTCCAACCCGCCTCGCATGTTGTTTATGCCGTGAGGTTCAAAGGCACGCGGCGGGCGGAAGCAAACACGCTTATGCAGCCTCCCGCAGAGCCGCACTAGCCGGATTGGGTATGCATCGCTCCCCACCCAATCGGAGCTCGAGGCAGAAAACGACCCGCCGGAGCTGAAGATATCGCGCGTAAGCTACCGGCATGCTTGCAAACACTCGGATTAGGGCATGGCCAGAAGTTAGTAAGGTGGGATGGCGGCGATCTCAGCTGTATAAGATCCAGGCGAGTTCGCTCTCCGTAGGTTTCTCATTCTTCTTCTCGTACGAGCGAAGCCAGGGTGGTCCAGCCATCTGCTTGTTCTCGAAATCAGACAACCACCTCTAGATGATTGCAAACTCTTAGACCTTCACAATGTCCCCTCATCAGGACGAAATCTCCATCGCCATCATAGGCGCGGGAATAACCTCCCTAGCCCTCGCCCACGGCCTGCTCCAACACCCGCACATCAAACTGCGAATCTACGAAGCGCGCCCCAAGCTAGGCGAAGACGGTACAGGCGTGGGAATCGGAGCGAATGGGCAAAACGCCCTATCGCTCATAAGTCCTCAGCTGCGGCAGAGCCTCGACGATGCCGGAGCGGTCAAGTGCGTGCCTTCGTTGCGGCTGATGCTCGCTGCGGGGTCGTATGCGGGGACGTTGGTGAAGGAGATGGATTATGATCCGCCGCAGGCGACGGTTGTGAGGTCGCGGTGGGTGTTTGAGATGGTGAAAGCTGTGCCGGAGGGGGTGGTTCAGACGGGCAAGCGGTTGGCGGGGATTGAGGAGGTGGCGAGTAGCGGGAAGGTGAGAATGACGTTTGAGGATGGTGGGGAGGAACTGGTTGATGGCCTGATTGGGTGCGATGGGATTAATTCTTACGTGCGGTCGTACGTGTTCCCGTCCGCGGAGGGGATTTGGTCGACGGGGTTCAACACGCGCATGATGATTCCCATTACGGAGGGGAGGGCGATTTTCGGGGATGAGTACTGCGCTAAGCAGGTGCAGACCGGCTGGGTGGGGGATGCCGGCTTCTGCATGACGGATTTCGAGGACGGCGGGGACTTGATGCAGGTGATTGCAGGCTTCCAAACCGATGAGCACATTCCCGAGCTGTTGGGGAAAGCATATGCGGAAGTGCCAAAGTCGCTCTTCCTCGACCCCCTCCAGAGCTGGGGTTGGATTGGTGAGCGGATCTCCGAGGTCATCCGGAGGCAGGAGAAGATGTTTGCTGGGGCTCGGAGGGTGTCGCCTATCGCAACGACATATGTTCGCGGCAAGGTGTGCGTATCAGGTGATGCTGCTCGCGCGTTCTCCCCGGCGAGAGGGGCCGGTGCTTCTGCGGGGATCGAAGACGCGCTGGCACTCTCTGCTCTGCTAGGAGAAGCCCGACGGCCCGCTGATGTGGGCAAGGCATTCGCTCTGTATGACAAGCTACGGCGACCAAGGAGGGACGAGGTTGCGGAGGCTTCGCTCGACGCGGGACGTATCATCACAGGCACCCACCCGGACGCTGGTACGGATTTGGAGAAGCTGCGGGCCAAGGTTGCGGACTGGAACGGCTTCATCTATCGGTATGATCTCAAGGGCTTGCAGCAGAGATGCAAGGAGTCGATGCGGGATGGAGTGACAACGTAGGTGCCTAGACTCGTTCGCAGCATAGACATTCGGTATAGACATTTCATTGCTGTCATGTGGTCTCCAAGTGTAATTGGGATTGCGGTAGAGTCCATATTTTAAGCGTGTTGTCCGGAGAAAGAATGTCCTCGTCCTCACTCGTGTCGCTGTCGGGGTTTGACAGCTGATCATGTTGGCTGGGATAGCCCGGTCGTGTTCCAGAGCAGGTGGCGAGAACCGCTCCTCCAGGATGCCATACGGTACTCGACACCGGGTCTTCGAGAAGTTTAGCAAACTCACATTCCCAGATTCGGCGAGACTGCTTACCATCATGTGCTTCCAACATGCAGTCACAAAGTTGCTCCCCCTCCACCAACCCGGGATTCCTCCACATCCGAATACGCCCATCCATTCCCCCAGCCCAAACTTCCACCCCATCAGCAGTCGACAGAATGTCCACGCCCAACCGCTGCGTCGTTTTCGCCCCTCGTCCACCCAACCACCCCACTCTCCGAAGCGAATGGCGCAAATCCCAGACTTGAATGCAATCACTCTGCCTCTCGGCGATGAGCAGATAAGTGCCGTCAGAAGTCCACTTCATCTGCGTGACGCCGTTTCCCTTGGCCACATCGACTTCTCCGGGCAACGGAGCGAGGGAGAAAGACGTCACAGCTTGTCCACCCATACCTTCGTGCTCGTAGATGGCGATTTCCCGCTGTGTCGTGCCCGCCGCTAGGTAGTGATCGATGCTGAGATCCAGTGCGCTGACGATTCCCCGGCAATGCTGCGCGCTCGATCTGCCCGGGAAACGCTTCTCCGCCCGACCAGGTGCCGTCCTGTGTTGTATGACGGGACCAGAGCCATCGGCTGAAGCGTCGAAGACGGAAATGCGATTGTCGCTGCCTGCGATGAAGCGTGTGCCGTCTGCAGTCCAGAGGAGGCTGTTGGGAGTGATGTACGCTTCGGTGGTGGCGTTGATGAGAGGATAGGTTGCGTGCACGACATCCGGGTGGAGGACGTTTGAAAGAGTGATGGGCAGGTCTTTTGAGGCGGAGAGGGCGACTGTGGTGGATAGGTCTTCGAGGCTGAATTTGGGGTAGACGGCGTAGCTTTGGATTGGGCTTGGTGAGTGGATTGTATTGATGGCTGAGAGGGTGTGTGGCTGTTTGGTTTCGTCTAGAAGATCGGATGGCAGGACAAAGGTGGTGAGGGTCTGGTTGCCGTTGTTGGTGATGATTGTTGTTCCGTCGTTGCTGAATTGAGCCTCGCGGAAGAAGCTGCTTGCATGCGGCTTGTGGAGGTGGTGGTCGGATTCGCGGACTCTTTCAATATCACCGACATCTCCTGATTCACCCTCATCGTACCCACCTCTCGTCCTCGCGATACACCTCGCATCCAACACACTCGACACTGACATGATCATTGTAGTGCAGATGTGTACAGACATCGCAGGAGACGTCGAGATTAGAATTCAAGCCTCGGCCAAAAGAAGGCTAGAGGCCGCCAGCATGGGCGTCGCCCAAAGCGGAAAAAAGTCCAAGCTTCTGCGACGCCGCGGCGACGGGAAAAATCTAGAAACACTCAAACTCCCAAACACCATCGCAACGACATCTCATCCACACCTCATCCACACGCGCAAACACCCATACCTCCATCTTCATCACCCCCATCTCCATTCACAATGGTCAGCACTCTCCATCATCGTACCCGCCCGTGCGCGCCCAGCTAACGAAAACCACAGGCAACGGCGCTCAAATCCATCCGCTCCATCGCCCCCCTCCTCGACCGCGTGCTGGTGCAGCGCATAAAAGCTGAGACGAAGACGGCCGGCGGCGTCCTGCTCCCCGAGACGGCGGTCAAGGAGCTGAACGAGGCGAAGGTGTTGGCTGTCGGCCCCGGGGCGCTGGACAAGGAGGGCAAGAGGATGCCGATGGGCGTGCAGACGGGGGACAAGGTGCTTATACCCATGGTATGTTGTTACGTTGGACGAGAGTTATGTTAGGGCGGGAATGCTGACACTTGGTGATAGTTCGGTGGAAGCCCGATCAAGGTTGGCGATGAGGAGTTTTCGCTTTTCAGGGATCATGAGTGAGTACTGCACCCAAGCTTTGAGGTGTTTGACCAGAGCTGACAGTATCTAGTATCCTCGCCAAGGTCAATGAGTAGAGCGAATCGCTAGCCGGCATCATCCACCCTGTAACAATAGCATAGATGGGCGCACCGCACGCATACCCATGGACAGCCGCAGCCCCATCTTGGCCGCGTTTGAGCGCTTAAAGCACCTTGTACTTGCATCCTCCATTTGTACCTAGAAGATTAGTGTCTGAATCCATCTCTACTCACTTTGTGAAGGTCTGAACGCTTGCCTACCGGGATTTGATGGAGAGGAGGAGTCGTCAGGTAAACATGTAAAGTGCAAAGCCACGATCCAAATTCAATCGTCTATCACCCTCAAATCTACGCTTTTCCTCCACACGTCTTGTCATCTTCTCCTGCACCCCACTGCCTCTCCCACGCACATCTCCGCTACTTGTTCTGACTCGACAACGCCTGCTCCCTCGCAAGCTGCTCCTCCGTCTTCTTGTTCCCATGCATAATCAGCTTGTTCAGAAAACTGCCCGGCTTCCCATGCGGCTGATCCGACTCTTCCGCCTTGTCCGCCTCTCGCTGCAAGTAGCCCGCCGTCTCATCGTCGATGTCTTCTGGGTCGTCGTAGGAGCTGAGGTCGGCTGGGAGCGACAGAGAGGGATTAGCTGGGTGGAGGAAGAGAGGGGAAGGGCTTGACAGGGGAAACACGTGTGTGACAGGGATCAGGGTGTGGGAAGGGAAGGGGGAGAAGAGAGCTTACGGTTCTTGTCGTGGATGGAGAGCTTGCGCTTGATCTTGTCGCGGAGATTCTGCATGTTGGCGGGTGGGGGAGTTGACGGTCGATTGCTGAGTTCAAAGACGATTTTCGGTAGCGAGTGACGAGGGTAGACTTTTCTGCCTTGACGTGAAGGACTCGCAGAAGCTTGGGGTGAAGTGGGCGGGCAGCAAAAGCGGTGGAGAGGGTGGGATTGGGAGAGATGGTGGTCGGGGCTGAGCTGCTGCCAAACCCCACCACCCCGCTCCTTCCGTTCCTGCAGGGTCCACCCGCGCGCCTCTTTCCAATTGACCATCTTCCACGTGCTCGGGTTAGTGAAGGCAGCTCAGGGTCCCTCTTCGCCGTGTAGAAGACCGGGCTGAACACACATCTCACCTTGCTCCCCATCTCTCTATCTTCAAACAGCCTCGTGAAATTCCGATTGGACGACTCTGACCCCAGCGGACTTCGAGACGCGCTCCATCGACGCGTCTCTCGCCCAATGAAGGCGATGTGAATGGCTCGACTTCTCCAACCCTGATAGCACGCGACGGGGACGAAGAAACACCATGCTCCACGAAATCTTGTTGGCCCTATCCGGCCACCCTTCACCCTTGTTCGCGGACGACCTCTTGGACGCAGATGGCTCGCACTCCCTACCCCTCTCGCCATCAGAGAAGGCCTTGCTGCGCTCAATCGGCCAGCTTGCCGACCTACACCGGAAGCTGCGACGGCACATCAACCAGATAGCCTCTCACCACACATCAATCATCTGCCGCGCAGTCGCCACATCCATCCAGCAAACCCATTTGCCCAGGTTTCAGGACAAAATCATCCAAGTCGAACGCAAGATCCTCACCAAAGATGCCGCCATGGTCGGCGCATACGACATTGTGCCGCTCGCCGGGGTGGTGGGCGAGTTTGACGGCTGGCATCGGAGGATGGCGTGGTATTGGCGGATTGCTTGCTTCATGCGGCCGGAGTCCGAGTCTGAGAAACAGACTGGCTGTACTGGCGCGGCGTTGATTGACAAACTTCGTGCGGAGCAACAGACTGGATTTCCGGATATCGAACAAACCACTATCGAGCTTAGCACCGTTGCGGAGACGGCGTGGCTGCGACAGGTCGTTTCGTGGGTGTTGTATGGGCAATTGCCCAAGTTTGGAGCAGATGACTTTTTCATTCAATCGAGTTTGGATGATGGAAATGGCGCCACTTTCAACAAAGAGAAACGACTGCTCCCTCAATTCGTCACTGCGGCTACTGCGTCTTCCACCCTCTTCATCGGCAAGTCGCTGGACCAAGTACGGAGATATGCAAGTCGTACCGGCGCTTCACACCTCCGACACCCAACAGGTATGCGCGAGGAAGAACTCCGAGCAACACACCTGCAGCAGCTATCCTCGCTGTCCTTACCACTTGTACCAGCTCAATTCTCCCGCGCCGTCTCCGCCATTCGACTATCCGTTTCGCAGAACATCTTACAGCATCTCCTCCCCATGGACGTTACGCTCCAGCTCCTCTCATGCATCAACGAATTCTTCTTGCTCGGAAGAGGCGAGTTTGCCGTAACGCTGATCAACGAAGCCGAGGCAAGGCTATACGAACGTCAGCGAGGCATGAGCAAACTTTTGCAGCAAGACCCCGTGAAAGCGCTGCAAGGATTATCGATCAAGGATGCGGAGTTGCAGCAAACATTGTCCGCGACGTGGAAGACCCTCGCAGCCCTGGGGGACGATGACAGCGAAGACGACGTCCTCGACTTCGCTCGGAAACATATCACTCTATCCACTCCACGCGAGGTCGGCTCCAGACCATCGACGTCTGATAGCGCACAGGATGCCCCATCCATCGACCTCACCACCGTCCCATTCAACGACCTCCTCTTCCCAACCGCCACAACTCTCAACCTAACCATAACACCGCCCCTCGACCTCTTCATCTCCCAACGAGAAGTAGACACCTACGCAACCATCGCCTCCTACCTCCTCGCCATCCGCCGCGCACACCTCCGCCTCTCAAACCTCTGGCGCCAAAGCAGCGCAAGGCGCGACCACCCCTCGCCAAAATCCCCCCCAACCACACCCCTCTCTCCACACAGCAAGACCCAGCTCGCGCAAAGACGAATCGCAACCCGCAAAGTCTGGGCAACATGTAGCGCAGCGCTCTTCCTCGTGTCCGAAACCTCGGCCTACTTTGAAGGGGAAATCATCAAAGCTTCGTGGGACCATTTCTCGGCTTGGGTGAGGGAGCCTCTCCTCGACACATCACCTGCTCAACGCGATCCGGAAAGTCTGGCGTCTGCTCACCGCTCCTTTCTCAATGCGCTGGCGTACGCCCTCCTCCTTACCGATGTGCCGTACACAAAAGACCTCCGCTCCCTACTGACTAACATCGACCACCTCCTTTCTTTCTTTAATCGTCTGCTGGCATTACAGCAGAAAACCGACCTCGAACGCAACCTTGACGAAGCGTACACAGCCGAAGCAGAAGACCAAGCGCGAATCACACTCGAACTCGACCGTGCGAGGAAGAAAGTCGACAGCGATTGCAAAGGTGTTATTGCGCGGTTGCGGAAGTTGGATCGCGAGAGGATTGGAAGGGGGAGGGTTGCTGTTGGGGAGGGGCAAGTGGAGGGGGCAATGGGGTTTGTGCCGGTTGTGGCTGGGGGGCTGGAGAGGTTGTTAATGAAGTTGGAGTTTGGGCGAGTGGTGGAGGGGGTGGAAGGGGATTTGGTCTGATCCATTCGTGCTGGTATTAACCAATGGATGAAGAAGCAAAGGCCGTACGATGCTGTGTTCGGAATCAAACATCCAAGTCCAATCGAACTTACGCCGATGTCAAGATTGCTGGTGCAGGAACGATATACACCGATGACACGCACGGCCTTGAGACTGCTCTGAGCGTCCACAGATACCGCTTTGCGCATCGTTTAATGCGCATGGTGCGCAGTGGCAAGACAATCAGCAACACTGGTACCACCGACGAGAGGTGGACGGCATGAATGGCGTCGAGCATGCACGCAACAGTGCATGATGGAAAACGACTCCTCACATCGCGAATATATACCTCGCCTCTCATCGGTATAACCAATACTCAACGACCCGCAGTTCTCCCTCACCGATCACCCAAAAATGGACAAAAGCATCCACAACCTCCCCAAAGAGCTCTTCGAAAAGATAAAGCAGCATGCCTTCACATCACTAGCAATCGTCACCGCACCAGTCCGCATTACGGAAGAATGCAAGCCGCCCCAAATGCTGCAAATCAACCGCTCGATGCGCGACCAAGCAGCGTACAACTTCTACGGCAACGGCGCGGTTTTCGGATTCGATGATCTTAACACGCTGATTAGATGGTATGCCAGTTTACCTGCACCGCATCGCGGTTTGGTGGAGAATATGCGCATTACGTGCACGGCTGAAGGGAGACCTGTGAGCTCTGAGTTCAAGGCTTGGTATGCGGCTACTGTGCTTGGTGCGAGGGAGGTGGTTGGGCGCGCGGAGCGTTCGCTTGGAGCGTTTGCGGATAAGATTGATTTTCAGGTTTTGGCGGGGGAGTTGTTGAGTATTGTTCGGTTGCTGCCTAGTGGGTCTGCGAGGGGTAAGTTTCTGGCGTAGATTCTCCGTTACGGGATGAGGAGTGCTGACTTGTTTGTGTAGATCCTGTTGTTATTTGGCGGCCTTCGAGTATGAGGTTGGATTGGGTTGATTTTGAGTGAGGTGGTGTGGATTGTGGGCAGCGCTAGAACTATCAAAGATAATGCAATGGAATATCATCGAATCAGTCTCACATTGCTGTCCCGACGAGCGTTCATTTCACGCGCATCGCATGATGTTGAGCAACAACGGATAGGGAAAGTCGGCATAAGCAGGGCAGAGTAGACGCTGCGGGGCATGTGACAAGGCTGTGCTTCGTCGAAACTCACGCAAGGCTGCCGCGGCTGTTGTTTGCTGCCAGCGTTTGTTCTACTTGACGACAAAAGACACCTGGAGTCTTCATTTAATATCAGTCTTGCTCAACGCACGACCACCATTCAATACAGGTATAGTATACCGTGCGGACATTCACCACAGTCCGTACAACCTGCGCTAGGCTGGCAGGAATGATGTCCATTCACGGCGACTGGAGTACATATACGCTGTTTCTCCTCCCTAAAAACATCCTCTCCTTCCAAGCTACTCACGTGGACCCAGAACCAACTTACCAACTAGCCAATCATGCCGACCGTGGAGATGGACCTGCGTCTTTCGCTCCCATCGACCGGAACGGCATTTGGACAGCTGCCACCGGTCCCCAAAGGGTTGAGACAAGGAGGAGCAATCGCCAGTTTACCTGATGAAGGCCCAATACCCGATCTGCCGCTCTCAACCACAGACGAGCACATCCGAACAATCCACTTCATGTCGCCCGCGCACTTTGCCACCGTGAGACAGAACGTCCTCGCAAACCCACCCCGCACGGTTTTCGTTTACCACGCGTACCGAACGCCGACGGAGCTGGGAACTCAAGCGGCGCGTGACTACTATGGCAACTCGGTCTTTACGTTCCGCGATCTGACAGGCTTGCTGAGCTGGTATTCCGCGTTGCCTGCCCGCCACCGCGCTCTGGTCAAGGACATGCGCGTCGTCAATCTCCGTGTGCCTCGTTTCCCTTGGCACACTGGCTACATGTTGTGGGCGCAGAACAATCTCGTCGCAGCAAGACCGCAAATTGCACACACCGAGTCTTCTATCGGCGCCGACTTCGCCACCAAGGTCGCCTACGAGATCGAATGCGCGGGGCTTCCGATGCGTTGTGTCCTCAGGATGCCAGCCACCGATGCACCCCGACGTAGGCTCGTCACTCCTTTTATCTGCACGCCGTCGCTGACTTTTCTGCCTAGCTCCCGTGTCTGACTGGTGGCCGGTCGATCCACGTGCTGGCGACCGCGTTCAGATCGTCCCCTACAGGCCCCATGCCTCCGCCAGTGGACCGTCTCGATCGTGAAGTACGAGTTTGGGAAATTATCTGCCGCGTTTGCGGGTGACGGGTCTGAGGGTGCCGAAGATGAACGATTGGTGCAGTGAGCTACATCACGAGAAGAGAAGAAGTTGAAGTATGAAAGTGTGCCAGGCTGTCGGGATTTCGGGTTTGAGTGGTGACAAATTCCTCACGCCTCCACGTCTCAAGTTCCAGACATTCCATCATTCTATCCTTCTGCATCTAAACCAAAGGTTGGTACATTACCCTGCGAGCCTGCGCAGCTTCTCAGCCTCGTGAAATGAAGTCGGATGGAGCGTGTCGCTCCTGCCAATGGAACGTCGTACTGGCTAGCACCTCCCCGTACAGACTGAAGGAAAGGACGACACACGCCGCGTGCTGCGCTGCCCTCCTATTTTCTTTCTTTATCTCCTCTCCTCTGCCTTTCCATTCCGCTATCTTGACTCTCTCCTGCCAGCACTGCTGACAACCCTCATCTCAACTCCACTGAATCCACCAGCACTCTTACCCAGCAATGCTCCTCTCCATATCCATTCTCGCGGTGGCTTCGGCCCTGCATACCCTTGCCTCACCCATCTCCAGTCCGCATGTGGTCCACGAGAAGCGCGCCATCACAAGGCACATCCGCGGCTCTCGCATTCCTGAAGATGCCATTATTCCCCTCCGCATCGGACTGAAGCAGTCTAATCTGGAGCATGGGTATGACAAGGTGATGGATGTTAGCGATCCTCGCTCTCCCAACTACGGTGAGTGAGACGGTGTCACGGGACTTCTTTGCTGTTCTGACTCGAGTCCAGGGAAACATTGGACCCTCCAACAAGTCCGCGACTTCTTTGCTCCTCCGCCTGAAGCTGTTGAAGCGGTGAAGCAATGGCTGGTCGACTCAGACATCAAACCCGAACTCATTCAGGTGTCTGAGGACAGAGGCTGGATTGGTGTCGACCTCCCGACGGCCCAGGCCGAGCACCTTCTGCGCGCGGAGTATCATGAGTACTACCCTGGGCGCGATGCTTCCGTCCGGATCGGGTGTGAAGAGCATGTGACAAGATACCTCTTCTTACTTTAAGTCGGCTTCTGACACCTCTTGCAGATACTCTCTGCCGCAGCACATTTCTCAGCTCGTCGACTACGTCAAGCCGGGCGTCAACCTTTCGCCTCCCGCGCAGAAACGATCCATTGTACATCGCGAGATTCCTGAAACGGTGCAATCTTCGCCGGTGGCTGCTTCTGTGGACCCCGTACTTCAATTCTGCGGATCCAAAATGCGGCCGGCTTGCGTGCGTGGTTTATACAACATTCCACTAGGCACTTACAACACGTCTGCGAACAAGCTCGCCATCGCCATGTTCCAGAACTCCCACTACTACCAACCCGATCTCAACGCGTACTACTCAGTCTTCGAACATCGTGTACCGATCGACACGCATCCCGTGCTAATTCCCATCGATGGTGGGGAAGGGTCAACCGAAAACATCGACGACACCTTTCACGAAGCGGATATTGATCTCGAGATTGCCATACCCCTTGTCTACCCCCAGACGACTACCTACTACTCGGTTGGCGACATCCATGCGAATGATTCGAGGATGTCCGAAGAGGATACAGTCATATCGCCACTGCTGGACGGTGCGTTGATCTTCAATGGCACATAAATACTCCAGTACTCCACTGATGCATCCTCAGCGATTGACGGAGGTTTCTGCACTCCGACTGATCACCAGCAAAGTGTGCGTGGATGTGATGAGGCTCCAATCCCCAGAGTTCTCTCTGTGTCCTGGGGTAAGAGGTTGTCCGCGTGATTTGAGTCCTCGTCCTCGACTGACCTAGTGCCAGCGGCCTCTGAGCTAGTCGCGTACGAAAGAGGAGCGGCGAGGAGCTGCCACCAAATTATGAAACTCGTGTTGCAGGGCTCAACAATTGTCGTCGCCAGCGGGGACTTCGGCGTTGCCCTCGATTCGAATCTACATGCAGACAGCCACAACGAGAACGGATGCTACAGCGACAACGGGTCGCCGGATGGAGGAGTCTTCAGTCCTGGATTTCCAGCAGGTTGTCCATACGCTCTCGTGGTAGGAGGCACTCAGCTCCCAGTCAATGGGACCTTGGAAGATCCGGAAGAGGTGCTCAATGTTCCCCTCACTGAGCTTGCCCTCGCTAGCACCAGCGCCCCCTTTTCCAGTGGAGGGTGAGTGGACAGTCGCAGCGCACTGCACAAGTTGTTACCTCGACCACGTGCTGACACTTTCTTAGCGGCTTCAGCAACTACTTTGCCCGTCCCTCGTACCAGGACTCGGATGTGAAGACGTATCTGAGAAAACACGCCCCGGATTATCCCTCATATGAGTACGACGGCTCCGACCTGTTTTCCGGACAAAGCAAGATCGGCTCGAACGGCGGTCTATACAACCGTGCCGGTAGAGGGTATCCCGACGTCAGTGCCAACGGGGCCCACCTGGTCATCGCCTTCAAAGATAGGGCTTTGTTTTCCTCCGGCACGAGTATCTCCGCACCAGTATGGGCCTCCATCATCACCCTCATCAACGAGGAGCTCACGCATGCCGGCTATCCACCTGTCGGCTTCGCGCAGCCGCTCCTGTACCAGAACCCCGATGCGTTCAACGACATCACTCTCGGGTCCAATGGCGGCTGCGGCACGGATGGTTTCCCTGCTTCCCCTGGCTGGGATCCTTCGACTGGCTTGGGTACGCCGAACTATCCGAAGTTGTTGAAGGCTTTTATGGATGCTGCGGAGCGGGCGGCAGCTCGACGAAAGGACTCGCCGAAGAGCTCGTGACTGGCACCACGGCAAGGCCTCGCAACGTTTCTGGTACGTGGCTTCGTGGGTTGGACCGAGTATGGCAGTTTAGCGGCATTGATTGCGAGCACGAGATGAACAGAGCATAGATCATGGACAGTCATTCGAATAATACCCAGTAGTACCATCAACTAGGCCCCGCTTCCGCCACGCCATTGGTACTCTCCAATCCATACTCCTTGGCCACTCGCTCATCTTCTTTCCTCTGCCTCGCCTCCTCTGTTTCTCGCCGGAGCGCCGCTAGATTCCACACATCCCCGTCCTCCGCTCCATCGTCTTCGTCCTCGCTGAGTTGCCAATCGCCCTTCTCGAAGAGCGCACGACCTGTAGCCTCCTTCATCTTCTGCGCCTCCTGCTCCGCAGCCTTCTTATCCAACCTCTCCTGCTTCCATTTCGCGAACGATTCAGGCGTCACAGGCGTCAAAGTGCCGCTCAACTTATGCCGCTCGGATTCCAAGAAATCCTCCAACGTCAACGTCGCCAGCGGACTCTTATCCATCAGCGCCTTCTCCGCCGCGCGCTGCTCTTTCGTCTTGAGCACGAAACCCGCCGGCAGCGAATGGCGATACATGCACTTGTCCCCGCCATTCGGACACTGCCAGAACCACCCGTACTTGCCATTCTCCACCGCCTCGATAAAGAACTTGCACACTTTATCCGTCGTCGTCTTGGGATTGCCGTGCTTGCTCATGACCACCTGGCGCAGCTTCTCTTCGTCCCAATCCGCCATGTCGTCCTTCTTCTTGCCATCCTCGTCGTCGTCCTCGCCGTCTTCGTCTCCCTCGCGCATATCGGTGTACAGCGACTTCTTCTGCGCCTTGCGCCCGACATCCAAGTCGTGACTGAATTTACACTTCCTCCCCTTCTCGCACATCCCCTTGCGAAAAAACTCACACACCACCGTCTTCGGATCAACGCCAAAAGGCACCTTTTGCGTAGACACAGGTTTTCCAAGTAATTCAGCGGCCTCCTTCTTCGCCTGCTCCGCAGCCTCCTTCTCCTTCTCCCGCGCCACCTTCTCGGCCTCCTTCTTCTTCTGCTCCGGCGTTTTGGCCGACGCTTGCGCCTGTGCAATCTGCTTGATTTGCTTCTGCGCCACGGCGCCTCGTTTGTTCTTCATGCCGAACGTCTTGTCTTCGACCGAGGCCTTCTTTTTGGCCGGCTCGTTGCCGCCGGCGCCCTTTTTGGGAGGCATGGTTGCGGTGGGGGTGCGGGGTGTCGTGTGCTTTATGTGTGTAGGGTTTTTGTGGCGAATTATTGCTGCTCGGTGCTCGCGCTCTCAGGTTGTCGGCGAGGGAAAGCTCTCCATTGACCTGCGGCGACGAGAGGGAGTCACGGATGACCTTTTGTCGTTGTGGGTCGTCGGGGATGGAGAGGCACGTGGTGGTGGAAAATGAATGTGAAGAAGACGGAATTCCGAGGAGAGTGATGTCGGTGGGGCTCGGTGGACGTGTGGCGTTGCATGTGGCGTGGGGAAGGTGTGGCGTTGAATTCTGTCCGTGAGAAAGGGACAGCTCGCATCTAACCATGAACCATCGCATGTCCCTCTTGAAACCAACACTCACCAGCCATTGAATATTCCCAACCACAAAACCATTCTCACCCCTCAACCACCCTCCGCCACCCACCATAACCCACTCCCTGCAAACCAACCAACCACGCAACACACCAAAACCCCCCCAAAATGATCTCCGACGACAACCTCTACACCCTCGCGCAGTCCCTCGGCCTCGCAGCAATGCTGTTGATAGTCCTCTACCACTTCCTCGAAATCAACGCCAAAGACGGCGCGAAGACGACGCCGCTGAGCGCGGAGCGGAAAGCGGACGCGGTGCCGGGGAAGGCGCGGTGATGGGCATGGCGGGAGAAGAAGGGGGATTTGATGTTTGCATTGATGGGGCGGATGAGGGGGCATGCTGGGCTGCTTGTTGTGCAGTTTGGTGGCATTGGCGTGGGATGGCGTTTATAAAGGCTTGTGGAGTGATTTTGGGATGTATGTACAGGGGATACAAGGGAGATGGGTGGGTTGCAAAGTGAACGCGAGACACCCGACTGCTGCAAAGCACGGCCAGCGGACACACACTACAAGAGGAATCGAAGGAGAGCGTGACACGGAAAGGTCAAACGTGTTAGCCACACCAGCGCGATGGCCAGTGGCCTTCCCAGCAGTCTATCATCAAGACCCAGGTCTAAAAAGCGCATCAAGCGCAATTTCAACGCCCGCTCATGCAACCATATCTCAACCGTATCGTCATATCATGCCCTGGGTATCATGCCGTTCCCGTCCTCACTGATCCTCATCCTCAATCACATCCTCGAAGTCCTCGTCATCCAGAAACCCCTTCCGCCTTCCTTCATCCGCGAGTACACAGCCCATGCGATCCAGCACCACGCCTACGACTCTCTTCTGCTCTTCCAGTTGTTTAAGTGGTGCTTCGAGCATGTCTCTTGTCGCGCGACTGCCTGGCCCTGGTGTAGTGCTGGGCGAGATGATGGGCGTGACGCTCCGGCCATCTCTGTCGAGGAGATAGGAAGGGATGGACTGCGCGTCGCTTGGGGTGGAGTAGCGGGTAGTAGACAGATCTATACAGAGCGAAGAAAGAAAAGCAGTCAGTTGGGCTTGTTCAACATGTTCGTCCTCTACAACAAGTATACACTTCTTGTCTACAATGGGTCAGGAACACCGGGAGACGCAAATTCACTCACCTGCCTTGGGCCCGTCGCCCAACTTCCACCTCACGGCCGCGAGATGCTCCTCGTCCACATGAGCGAGCCAGTCTTCAATGCCGTCAAAGGACAGCACTCTCCCTTCCGCTCGCTTTTCCGCCCCACATCCTTTCCACCAGCACTCGAAGCGCTCGTCGCCTTCTCTCGCAAGGCCATGCACCTTGATGATATGCTTCTTTAACGTCTCGAGATTATGCAGTTCCGTCTTGCACTTGTTCCAGCGGCACTTGTACACCTGGTACACAGGCTGCAGCACGACGTCCTCTTTCTTCGCTGATCCAGTTGTGGGTGTAGAAGTTGCAGTCTTCTTACGACTAGGCAAGGACGCCACGCCTTTCGGCGGTAGGCCCTGCGCTTCACGCGAATGGATGCTCTTCTTCCACCCGAAGGGACGGCCTTTCTTCTTGAACTCGGTGCCGTCTTCGGCGAATCGCCGGAAGGCAGAGTAGCCGACGGGAGGCATTTCGCCATTCGTGGCCGCCGGGGTGGAAGTCGCAGATGCTGAGCGGGAAGTGTGGTGGGATTTGGAAGGTCGAGGCGCGTGGTTGGAAGTTGACGATGAGTCGGTCGCGCCAAGCCGTGGATGAGTCAGCGTGGGGTCAGTGCCGAGGTCGTACACGAGAGGGTTGTTCGAGCCTGGATGTGGTTTCGCGGGGCGATGTTTCCGCGACATCTCTTCGGGGGATGCATCGCGGTGTGTCGCATCCTCTTGCTCTTCTTCCACCTCAGGATCAATCACATCCCACTTGATCGTAGCCAAATCACTCCGATTCCCCAAGCCCCCTCCCAACCCATCACCTCCATGCATATCCCCACCATGCTGACCCAACAACTTCTGCATCGTAGCCAGATGCGCATTCAGACCGCGCATATCCGGGTGTCGGCCGGTAGCTAACAGCACATCACGCGCAATCGTCCGGGAATCATAGCGGGACTTGCGCGCCACGCGGTCGCGCATAATCGGCTCGACGAGCATCTTGCCCCTGAGCCGCGAAAGCTGCTGTTGTTCGAGTGTGGGGCCTTTTGGCTTGACAGGCTGAACAGGCTGTGGCGGTGGAGGTGGAGTCGTGTTCGAGGGCAGAATGGGTTGTGACAGAGCATTGGGACCCTGAAAGACGAGGGTCGTACCACCAGGCGAGAGAACCAATGGTCCGCTGTAAGAACCACTTGGACGGTGTTGCGCGACAATGCCATTGTGATTGCCATTCGCCAAAGACAGTTTCTTTGCGGGCGGCTCGTCGTCCGATTCCTCGGCAGTCAAGTCCACCAGGTCCCCAAAGGTACGCTTCCTTGCCGCCTCCTCCTTGTTCGCAGGGGGTCGTGGAGGTTCCGCGGGCTTGAATTCGGGTTTGACCTCCGGTGGCTGAGATTGCGATGCAGCTCGATGACTACGGGCAGGCGAGAATGCAGGCGAGTCCATACCTGCTTTGGCAGCCTCTGCCAAAGACAGCGGAGTGGTGTAAGCCACGGTGTGCACCCCACCATGCTGAACCGGTGGAGACATGGCGCTAGAACTCGCGCCAACCGGTGTTGCAGCAGTCCTCGCCGTTGGTTGTGTTTTGCTGCCTCCTTCCGGTACAGCCTTCAGCAACTCCCTCGCCAAGGCAGTCCGCTCGAATCTCAACCCCATCGCCTCGAGTGCTTCACAAAGCTGGACGTAGGATGGGTTTCTGTCCAGCAGTTGCTGCACCGAGTCAGTCGTAATTGTGCTGTTCGCATTCTGAGGCTGCGTGCGGAGCCACGATGCGGCCGCATTCGCTATAGCGCCCTTTTTATGCGGCAGCCAGAGAGTGGTGGCTGTCTGGGGGTTCGCAGGGGGCACAACGGGAGCGGTGTTGACGATCGTGGGTGGCTGAACCTGTGGCTGCTGAGGAGTCACAGCCGCTACAGCCTGCGGCACAATCGCTGGTGGATTGGATGAAGCTGGCGGCGGTGCCGATCCTCTGCTGGCCGGTGCTGCCGCCGGCGCGGTGACTTTCTGCAGAGCAGGCGAAACGCTCGCAGGCTGCGGTGACTGTGACTGTGCCTGCGCATGGGTCCTCCTCTCTTCCTCCCATAGCCTCGCAAGCATAGAAGGATTCTTCGCATTGAACTCTCGCATCTTCTGAAACATCGCTCTCATCTGCGCCTCTTCGTCAGTTTCCTGAGGAGCAGATCCTTGTTCAGGAGGAGCCGGGCTCTGCGCGGGAGCAGCATTTGCTGGCCCGCTGCTCAATCTCTTGTCCTCGCGAGCTTTCTTTCGCTGTTCAACCTTCTTTTGTGCCGCCGCCTTCTTCTTCTTCGCCTCTTTCTCCTCTATCCGCCTCGCTTCCTCTTCGGCCTTGCGCCTCTCAGCTTCTACTCGCTCTTCTTCCGCCTTCTTTGCAGCGTGCTCCACCTGCTCCGCCTCGTGTTGCCGCTTCTTCTCCGCTTGCTCCGCCTCATATCTGCGCCTCTGCTCCGCCTCAATTTGCGCCTTGCGCTGCAGCTCGGCGCGATTGTCGTAGACTTGCGACGGATTGACAGTGGTAGGTGGTGGTAGAGTGGAGTCGACAGACGCGCTCTGCTCTCGCGGTGCGGCGTGCTGCTGCGTTGCAGGGGCCATTTGCGGAGAGGGCTGGAAGGTATTGGAGCTCCTGGAGTTTGCCTGTGTCGTCTGTCGTTGCGCTTGCATCGCTTGATTTAAACTATTATAGCGTGGAGGCTGACTTTGCTGCTGCTGTTGCTGTTGGGCGTAAGCCGTCGGGTAGGACTGAGAGGGAGGGTTTGTCTGCGCGCTCTGATACGCAGATGGCCGTGCAAACGTATTTGAACTCCTCTGGCTCTGGCTCTGGTCGGGGAGATTCGAGCGTCCGAAAGTGCTGGACTGTTGAGTATTGCCATACGTAGTTGAGTTCGAACCAGAGCTTTGCCAGGCCGGGGCCTGATTATCCTGAATGCTTCCACCGGATCTGTTCGCAGATGAGCGGTACGGTTGGTTGCTCATACTGCTCAGAGCTGCAGCGGCATGACTCGCACTGCTATTCGAGCGTTGCCCAGTATTCGGCCCATACTGCTGAGTGTCGTTGTAGGCGGTACCGCCATACTGGTAGCCAGCAGAGGCGGTGGAATTGGCAAAAGAGGTGCTTGAGGAGTTCGCGGGCTGATAGGTGTAGCCAGTCGGCTGATGTGACTGACTTCCGACGGGATCGTAGTAGTTGGGGGGCTGTCCATATCGAGACATTGTCCCGCACTACTCTCTCCTCCCTCATGCTTCTCGTCTGCGTCGTGAGAAGTGAATTCTTGGGGCTGGGCAAGTGAATGGTTTCATGATTGAATGCGCGCGGATTCAGAAGTGATCCGAAGCAGCGCATTCGTCATATGGTATGAGTCCGAGTGACTTGCTGGACCAGCACGTGAATTCCGAAATGTTTCGTGCCGCGACATTAAATCGCGTCGGCGGTGATGCAGAGCGCGAGCGGCAGACGACGAGACGATCGTGTGGTTTCCCGAGCCCGACTCGCGAAGCGGCGGCGATGCTTAGGCGCCTGAACTCTAATCCACCCCCGACGGCAACTTTGCCGAATTTCGCGCCAAGACCACACGCAACTTCTTCAATTTACACCCAAGCAACGCCGCAAGCAGCAACCTCCACGATTGCAACACCCACGTCCACCCACCGTCGCCAGCCACCATGACAAAAATCAACTCCAGCCTGCACTCCAGCCGGAGAAAGGCTCGCAAGGCACACTTTGAGGCCCCGTCGAGCGTGCGTAGAACGATTATGAGCGCTCCGCTATCCAAGGGTATGCTTTTCTTGAAAAGTCCGATCGACATCAAAGGCTTTTGCTAACAGGGCTGCAGAACTCCGAGAAAAGCACAACGTACATATACACCTCATCGCTCACTGACCCTTCGCCATACTAACATGACAACTCCCCAGGTCCGCGCAATTCCCCTCCGCAAAGACGACGAAGTCATCATCAAGCGCGGCAGCAACAAGGGCCGCGAAGGCAAAATCACCTCCGTCTACCGCCTCAAATACATCGTGCACGTCGAGCGCGTCACCCGCGAGAAGTCGAACGGCCAGAGCGTGCCCATCGGCATCGCACCCAGCAAGGTGGAGATCACCAAGCTGAAGATCGACAAGGACCGTGAGAACATTCTGGAGCGGATTAGCCACGGGCGGAAGCTGAACAAGGACAAGCGGGAGAAGCATTCATCGTGAGCGGAGGCGATGGATGAGGAGGTGGACGTTCTTGTGGGTTCGAGGTGCTGAAGAGCTGGCTGGCGGATGCATTTCGGCGCTGCGGCGGGATGGAATGGCATTGTGGACGTCACGTCGCTCAAAGTAAGACACTCGAGAATCTCTTTTGAAACAATGACCCAACAGATCATACCATTCACTTCCCCGCCTTTCCTTCCGTGCCTCACCAGGCCGTGTGCTGTTCCCCGAGAGTACTCGCTAGATTATCTACTGAGCAGCCCAGCACCATGGCTTCGAAGTTATACGACTAGCGAAGATCGAGCCCCAATGAGGACACTACACCGCGTCCTTGCTCGCCTGCAGAACGCTCTTTGATGGATTATTCCGATGAGATTAGTGTTTTGATGGTGAGAGACATATCGATGTTTCGCTTGTGCTTGTGGACTACGTTGAGTATTATCAAACTATTCTACCATTCGAAATCTCGCCTGCTTGAACATCCTCGTCTCACAGTCTCTCTTGCAGCCTCGCCCATTTCCCATCTACACCCTCGGTAGACACGGCGTGGTAGCTTGTAAACGACCAAAAAACATCCGCTTTTGCTAAGCTTGCAACATCTCGCCACGTGCATGATGGCTGTCAATATGGCAAGTAGAAACAATCCTTCCATACCGTATCGCCTCGGCTGCTTTGAAGAAGAAAGAGAAAGGTGTGGACGTGGTTGGCGAAAATCCTCGGCTTCCCATCCGAATGCGAATCCGAAGTTGTCGCTCTCGCCCCACCAACGCCCGCTGTTTATTGCTTGGCAAAACATGACCCTCGACTTCCGCGTCTAGCCTGCACGTGCCTTGCATCTTCAACTCACATCTCTACAACACACCGTCGCCGTTCCGATCCCCCTCGAGCTCGCCGTCAAAATGCCCAGCATGGACTTCAATCCGCGCATGAGCATCGCGCGCAGCTCACAGCAATCCAGTCAACAAAAGAAGCAGCAGCCGGGGGAGGATGAATGGATGCAATTGGTATGCGCCGCCTTCACCAGTACAACAGCATCAACATACTGACTTTGCCCCAGCCCGATAGAGAAATCGCCGGATGTATAAGTGACATCGGCATCAACTTTACCGTCGAAGACCTCCGCAAACCCAACCCGCAGCAAATCCAGAAAATCTTCGAATGGTTCGCCGAGCTGCTCACAAACACCACGCGCGAGCTCGTCGCCCCGGCGATGAAGGCCGCGGCGGAGGACATGTGCGGCGACGATGCCGACAAGATCTTCACTGCCGACACGCGCGAGCTCATGGGCTTCTTTATCACCATGCGCAAGTTGCTGCTGGACTGCGGTATCAAGGACTTCACCTTCTCCGACCTCTACCGCCCTACGCATCAACGATTAGCGCGCATCTTCAGCTACATCATCAACTTCATCCGTTTTCGCGAATCGCAGACTGCCGTTATTGACGAGCACTACAATTCCTCCGAGCGCATCAAGAACTCCATCGAGGCCCTTTACCACTCGAATCAGGAGAAGGAAGAGCAATTGGAAGAGATGCAGCAAAATCGGAAGAACGTCGAGCAAGCCATTCAAGATAAAGAGAAGCGCAACCAAGAGCTCAAGACGCGATTACTACAACTCAAGAGCGCGCAAGAGCAAGTCATGGAGAAGCTGGAGAACGTCAAGGCCGAGCAGGCGCGACTCAAAACTCTGCTAGAAGACAAGACGACCAACGTGATGAACACGCGACAGGAGGCTAGGAAACTCCGTCCCTACACCGAGCAATCCCCCGCCGTGCTGGAGCATGCGCTCCGCGAGCTAAGTTCCAACTGGAACGGCGACCGCGCGGAAATCGACCGGCTCGACAAACGCACGCGCGCCCTGCAAACGAGCTGCGACTCCTTCACCACGCTGCAATCCGAAATCTCCGCCCTCACCCGCCTGCTCACAGACCTCGAAGGCGAACTCGCAAAAGAAGACGACGAGGCGCTCTCCGCGCGCCGCAACCGCGACGCGCTTATGGACAAGAGCAACCAGGTGCGCGAGGTGGAGCGGGAGGAGAAGATTCTGCGCAAGTTGCTGGAGCAGTGGCAGGCGCGGACGGAGAAGTTGCGCAAGGATGCCGCGGCCAAGGCGGAGAGTGCGACGCTCAAGATGGAGAGTTTGCGCGCGATGCACAAGGAGCTGCAGGCGGAGCGGCGGGATAGGAACGAGGAGGTGGAGAAGCGGCGGATTCGCATCGAGCAGACGGAGAAGAAGGTATGTTTGGTCTTGCCAATTGTTGTGATAGAGAGGTTTGTGCTGACTTGTGGTTGTCCAGATGGCGGATCTGAAGGAGAACATCGAGCATGAAGTGCAGAGCTCGAGGGAGGAGTACCTTCGGATGGAATCGCACATTCAGCTCTACATGCGGGAAATGGAGCAGAGCATTTGAGCGGGATTCCACGCTGGATTAATGAATTATGGGAATTGCGGCGAGAATGGTCGAGAGTCGAATTCGACTGTCCATCCACGGTGTGCGAAGATGGTTGTATGACCATTGGTCCGCACACTCTCGCGGGCCAGGATGAGGACTGCGGCCTCCTGGGGAGCGCCATGTTGTATCGGTCTCTGCGCGAAGAGGAGAGATCGTACCAAATGGCCGCAAGCACTTGATCGCTCGTCGAGGTACATGATAACGCAGCGAAAGGAGGGAACTCAAGCTGGCTTCTTGGCGACGTTCGCTCCACCACCGCCTCCATCTTTCGCTCGTTCATTCCTCCATCTCTCCTGCTCAGCAAGCAAGTCATCCTCCTCTTCTCCTTGACGCGCCGCCTCCTTCCTCACCACCTTCGCAGCAGCTTTCTGCTCAGGCAACGCCCCCGCCAACCTCGCCTCCTCCTCCCACCCCTTCCTCTCCGCCTCATCCAGCTCCTCCTTCCGCTCAATCCACCGCTCCTGCACATCCCTCACCTCCAACTTCCCACCCCACCCCTCACTCATCGCCTGCGCCCAAATACTCGCCTCATCCTCCAGCGTGCGCCCGCTCTCATCCGTCGCCCTTGCGCCCGCAAACACATGCCCGCTCGCGCGATCGATAGCCGCCAGCAAGGACGCCATGGACTGCTTGTCCTCCACCGCTAGCGTTTCGAAGCCCACAAGTCCGAAATCGGAGATGAGGTCGATGATGGCTGTGTTGAGCGCGGACCACTTTTCGTTGTTGCTCGTTGAGGACGCGGCTTGCTCTGCTTCTAGCGAGGGGAGGAGGTAGTGGAGATTTTGGACTTCGGTGTAGAAATCCAGGTTGAAGGGGAGGTCGGCGCCGCCTACGGCTTTGAGATTGTCGAGTTTGGTTAGGACGTTGACTTTGGGATTTATCGTGTTAGTTTGGGGAGTGTGGATGTAGATGGATGAGGTGGAAAGACGGACTTATTGGGTAAGGGAGATGGAGCATTCCTCTTAGACAGAGGAGAAGACTGCTGAGGTAGAGGCTTGGGCGAGTAAGCACGACGGAATCAAGAAGTTGGATGACGACGATCTACTATCATCTCAGTCAGTAAAGGCCTGAGTCGAAGATATGGGGAACCGGAGCGGTATCGTACTCGATAGCCTAGTTTCTCCAGTCTGTGTAGGATGCGCGGAAGAGCGTCGTGATGTGTCGTCAGTTCTGCTTGGCCGGGTGGATCAAGGAGAATCGTCTCTTCTAATCTGTCGTTAGCACGCACTTGTAATACACAAAATCAGTTGAAAGATTCAGACGAACCGCAATCCTCTAATCGCTCCTCCAGCCAGTCAAAGTTCGCCTCCAGCTCCTCCATAGCCCATAATGTGCCGCCATTCGGCCCCAGTTCTTCCCGATCCATCACCTCCTCAACATTGACGAGCTCTCGAACATCGAAAGCGACGTGATATGGGATATTGTCGTTCGCTGGGTCCAGATTTCCCACTGAACATGGTCGGTTGATGGCTGTTAGGAACTGTTGTAGTCCGTTGCAGAGGGTGGATTTTCCGGAGCCTGGAGGGCCGATTGGTAGGAGGATTGTGCCCATATTTCCCTGCTACCTCCGTTTGAGGCGTTGTCTATGGTTATTACAAGAGACAGACATGAAGTGAAGTGTTAGGTGGCGAAGAGTGAGGCAAAGAAAGACTGGGACTGGCCGGTCACAGAATTTGCCCTTCGCCGCTCGACAACAACTACACTCCATTGTTGATCGGCGCATAGACGGGCCAGAAAGAAGGATTTTTGAACGGCAACATGTCAAACCCGTACGAGCTCCCCGACGCTCCATCAGACATCATCTCCAGCGTTCAGTTCTCCCCAGATGGATCGCGAATCCTGGTCGGATCCTGGGATCAACGAGTCTCAATCTACTCCAAGCAGGACGGAGGAACCTTCTCACTACAACATCGCTTCCTCAGCCAGGCACCCGTCCTGCACGTCTGCTGGGACGACCAAGGCAAAAACATCTTCTGGGTCGGCCTAGACAGCGACGTGCGCAAACTAGAAGTCCGCGACGACAGCACCAGCTCGCAGCAGGTGATTCTCAGCTCGCACGAGGAAGCCAGCAACAAAGTCGCCTTCAGCGCGCAGCATGGAATCCTCCTCTCCACCAGCTGGGACGGCACCATGCACGTCCACAACCCGCACACCGGCGCTTTCGTCCGCATCCGCCTCGCTGCTAAACCCTTCGCTCTATCCCTCTCTTCCGCCCGCGCCGTGGTCGCCATGGCGGAGCGCAAAGTCGCCGTCTACGACCTCATCGCTCTCAAACAACTCCTGGAGCAGAATGGCGGCACCACTTCCGACCAGACTATTCACGAAGTCCAACCTTGGCAGGAACGAGAGAGCAGTCTGAAATTCATGACGCGCGCTATCGAATGTATGCCGGACGGCGAGGGGTTCGCGACATCTTCCATCGAAGGCCGTGTAGGCGTCGAGTGGTTCGATCCGGATTTCAACAACGATAACAAATACGCTTTCAAATGCCATCGACAAACGACCAAAACGGTAGACCAGGATGGCGCAGAGAAGGACGTGGATATAGTGTATCCCGTCAATGCGCTAGCTTTCCACCCCGTTCACGGGACGTTTGCGACGGGGGGAGGGGATGGAGTGGTGGCGCTTTGGGATGCAAAAACGAAGCGGAGGGTGCGGCAGTATCAGAAGCTGGGCGCCAGTGTGGCTGCCATGGACTTTTCGCCTGATGGGAGGAGTTTGGTGGTGGGCATTAGCCCTGGGTTTGAAGATGGATCTGAAGACGAGGAGGTTGATCGGAGTCTGATTCGGGTGGTGGTTAGGGAGTTTGCGGAGGGGGAAGCAAAGGCCAGGGCGGCGAAATGAGGAGCGCTGCATTCTCTCTTCGATCCTTAAGTCCGCTCCACTGGACTGAGGTCTTCTGAACGGATCACTCAGGCGCACCGCCTAGCTGGCCGCTCTTGGAAGACGCAGGGGAAAGACACAGCAAGTCCTGCCTGCCCTGCCAACACCATTCAGCCGACACTCTACACCCGCCTCGACGTTCAAAGCATGCAGAGACCCCACAGGCTCACAAATGTGCTTCGAATTGAGCAGCTCTGCAGTGAAGTGAATGGTAACGCTAAACGTGGACTGAAGACACAGTGACAATATCAATCGTATCATCTCATCCAACTCTCTTTTCCCTTCTCTCACAAAAAGTAATCCGCCACCGGCTTCTTCGCCGGCATCCCCCGACTATCCTGCGGCGCGGCATCAAAAACCCGATACCGCCTCCCAGGCCCCATATGCAGCTCCCGCCTCTGCTCCGCCAACGGGCCTCCACGCGATCTATTCGCATCCCCGTTCGACCGCGCCGCATACCCCGCATTCGACCCGTCTTCCCCCAGTTCGAGAATGGCCGCCACATTTCCGCAGCGATAGCAGTAGTTTGGCGCGGACCACACCGTCACGATGGTGCTGTCGAACATCTCCTTGAAGCCCTCCATCACCAGCTGATGCGCGCGGCAGATGAGGCTGAGGTCGTTGCGGTGGTTGAAGCACTTGACGATATCGGCGCCGAAGAGGAAGCCAGCGCCTCGTGGGGAGAGACCCCAGCCATCTATGTCATCTGGGTCTGACCACAGGAGGTCGCACATTGCGCCGTCGTGCGGCACTTCTTGTTTGCGGTCTAGGAGGCGGATTTTGTCGATTTTGTCGATGAGCGGACTTAAGCCGCCGTGCACGCAGAGGACTGCGCCGGTGTTGGTGCTGTTATTTGTGCTGGAGGCGGCGCCTGTGCCTGGTGCGCCGGTCCGGGAGGGAGCTTGGGACGGAGATGAAGGATTCTGAGAGAGTTGCGAGAGGTCTTGAGAGCTGTTGGGCGTGGCGCGGGTGAAGCGGTTGAGGATCTGGCCTGCAGAGTTGAGAATTTCGATTTCCAGCTCTTCGGAGGGAAGGGTGGATTGCGAGGCGGGGTCGGAGAAGGGGGCGTCGGAGGGGGCGAGGTCGGTGGTGGCGCCGATGACGAGCGCGCCGAGGGCGAGGTGGTCGAAGACTTCGCAGCAGTACCGCCATACGTTGGCGCTGCCGTATTTGCGTAGGCATTCGTCGTAAAAGCCGTAGACCATTGTGATTTGTCTTGATTCGTGATTGCCGCGGATCAGCGTGATTCGGTCCGGGTAGCGGACTTTGAGGCAGAGGAGGAGAAGAAATGATTCGAGGGAATAGAAGCCGCGATCGACAAAGTCGCCTGCGCAGTGTCAGAAAGCAAGTATGGGAGGAGCAGTGGCGAAATGGATTGACTGACCCATGAAAAGATAATTCGTGTCTGGGACATCACCACCCACGCGAAATAACTCCATCAAGTCATGAAATTGGCCATGAATGTCGCCGCATATCTGGAAATGAGATCTGGTCAGTCTTGAAGTGTTTCCCGTTGTCCATGCAGGCATCGCCTACCGTAACCGGCGCATCCACGGTGACCACATTCCCCTCTTCAATCAACAGCTCGCGCGCCTTGTAGCACAACTCTCGCACTTGGTTCTCAGGTATCGGGCGGCATGCTCTTAACTGCGCGATTGCTCTCGAAGGGTGTTAGCATGGGGAAATATGCGTTTGCGCCGAAAGGTGTGGCGGGGAGTTGTACTTGTCTAGGTCGCTCATTCTCTTGCACGCGCCACTCGGCGCTGGCTGGGTGGATGCTCGCCCAGCCTAAAGTCTCGATGTATCGCCGCCCTGATCTCTTGCGCGTGTGTGGAAGGAGGCGCAACCTGGTGGTTTCGTGGATAATCGGAGGGGGTTGCTGCTGAGATGTTCGGTCGGAGGTGGTGTAGCGGAGAGTGCAGCTAAGGGGGCAATCCTAGCTTCGCAAGTGGACGGATAGTGTAGTCTGCGCTCTGACTTGTGCCGAGGAGGAATACTGAGAGGGTCAATAGTGAGGAGGGCATGATGTCGCGCGACCCAAGACGCTCTGGACGTCGCTCACGGACCAAATTTAGAGTTAGTGGAACGGGAACAGTCAGCGGGAAGTCCCGGCCGCCGCTGACCATTTGCCGTTATGGGCCTGGCCCGGAGCGCGGGGGACGACATGTGATCGCCAATGCTCGACGGTCTTGAATCATACCAGCATATCATTGCGCAATGGCCGGAACAATCCATGCCAGCATACTCATAACCCCTTGTTCATGACATGAAATACGTCTTACCACATGGAGCAGCCTACTGCGGCGAATGCGGACTCCCTGTCCAAGCCGCGGAAGACGAGTCGACGCAAGCACCAGGAAGACGAAGACGACGATGGGGCCAAGAGGCGTTGCATCTCCTCCGCCTGCGTCGCGTGTAGAGCACGCAAAAGTAAATGCGATGGCAAGACTCCAGCTTGCGCGGCATGCGCTCAGGTTTGTGTATTCGACATGGCTTCTGGCAATCTCACTAATCGTTCGCAAGATCTACGGAACTGCATGTGTATATGACCCCAATTCCGACCACCGCCGGAAGGGAGTCTACAAGCACCCTGTGAAGTCGAAGAATACCACATTGGATACTCTGGTGCAGGCTCTTTTGAATTTGGAAGAAGATGAAGCAATTGCCCTTGTCCGGGAGATGCGCCAATGCGATAGTCTTGACCTCGTTGCTGAACGAATCGCTGCCCAGGTCAGTGCCGCCGGTTCAGACAACGATGGCGCCGGGCTTCTGGACTCGAGCGCTTCTGCCGCCGCGGAGGCTACGTTCGAAACCCAACTTGCCGGTCGGATCGGAGATCTTCGATTAGATGATGGTACTGTCAGATACATTGGCGGCACCTCACATCTCATCCACCTCGACAGTGAAGACGATAACTCCGACGTGCAAGAGTATCACCAACAAGAGAACGCCACAGCCTCGTGGACGACAGTGACCAGCGACACCGATCTGATCGACCATCTGTTGACCATGTACTTTGCCTGGCATTACCCATTCTTCACTTGTCTCCCAAAGGATCTATTCTTCCGCGACTTTCTTCTTGGAAACTCACCGTCTCACATCAAAAGAAAGAATTCCTACTGTACATCGTTGTTAGTCAACGTCATGCTCGCAATTGGCTGCCACTTCACCTCTCGGTCCGGTGCAAGAGAGAACCCCGATGATCCGGCTACAGCTGGCGACCACTTCTTCAAAGAGGCCAAGCGACTCATCATGGAGCATGACGAACACGAGCGCCCATGTCTGACCAACATCCAGGCATTCGCACTCATGTCCGTTCGCGAGGTGGGATGTGGACGTGAGTCCAAAGGCTGGGTGTACTCCGGCATGGCCTTTCGTTTGGCCCAAGAAATGGGGCTACCATACCACATACAACTGACCAAAAACTTGGGCGAAGCGGAACAAGACGCCAGAAGAATCACCTTTTGGGGTTGCTACCAGTTCGATGCGTGCCACTCCAACTACCTCGGCCGGCTGCCTCAACTTCCCAACTCCATGATTACCGTGCACAAAATCGACGCCTTCCCAAACGAGGAAGCAGAAGAATGGACTCCCTACACCGACTCTGGAACTCAGAATTCACATTCTCAGCCAGCGAGATATAGAGCGGTGGCCCTGCATATCACCAAGCTGTGCGAGATCTCCAACGACATCATGCTGGGCTTCTACAATCCTTCTCACACTGAAACAGTCCGCAGTCGAGCGGCCGAGTTGAAGAAGCTTAGCGCCCTCCACATCAGACTGGAAGACTGGCGGCGAGAGCTGCCCAAGGAGTTGGAAGCGCGCGAGGGCGCACTACCTAGCGTTCTGATCATGCACATGTTCTGCCACCTTCTATTCATCAACCTTTTTCGACCCTTCCTGAGGTACTCATCAACAACTTCGCCTCTTCCGCCATCCGTCAACCCGCGCAAACACTGCACACAAGCCGCCGCCGCCATCTCGAGGGTGATGAGGTTCTACAAGCGAAGCTTTGGGCTCCGACGGATCCCCAACATCTGCATCTACATCTTGTACGTCGCCTCCACAATCCACCTCCTCAACCTTCCCCAAAAGGACGCGAGCAAGGATCTGGTGCACGCCATCAGGCACCTCGAAGAAATCTCCGACTGTTGGCCAGCCGCAAAGCGCTCGCTGGCCATCCTATCCGCCCTCTCCCACCGGTGGAAAGTGCAAGTCCCCGAAGCAGCTCACGATAAGTTCGAGAAGTACCAAAGCCGGGCTTCGCCATCGCCCGCTCTAAAACAGCGGCAAGCAGCATTGGCAGCAGCGGCAGCGGCGGAGCCTAGTCCCACGCAACTCGCAGAGCCACTGAATTGGGCAGATGCCACGCTCCAGCAGCTCCCGAGCGTCTTCGCAAGCGGCGCACCCCTCCCACTTACTGATGTCGCGCCCGCACTCCCACAGGTCTCGGCAGAAGCATACTCCATGCTCTTCTACAATCACAACACAGAAGGCCAAGCGGAGCAAGTCCACCAAGTCCACACTGCAGCGCAACAACAACCACAGCAATCGCAAATAACGACCCCTCAAACCACCGTCGACTCCCGGCCCTTCCAGCCCTCGACACCAGACATGTTCGGCGGCGTGCAGCAGCTCCTCCGCGAAGGGCAGCAGCAGGACTGGACCTTCCGAGACCCCATGCCTGTGCCCGCAGAACTCGGCAGCTGGGCGGGCAACTGGAGTACCATGATTATGGATCCGTCCATGTGGGCCGATGCTCTCGCTCCGGAGAATGGGAGCGGGGCTGCTATGGCTGGGAATATTCAGCCGGCGGTGCATGTGGTGAATGCGCAGGCGTCCGCGATGGGGGATGTGTATCAAGATGGCGGCGCTACTGCGACGAATGATGGCGAGCATCAGCAGCAGCCAGGCGTTGTCAATTGGCTGAATGAGCAGATGGGGACGTACGATGAGAGTGCTTGGTACGGATGAATCGCTTGAGATTGTTGATTAGCTGAACTGGAAAACCGTCGAATTCCCGCCACGAATGACGACGGCAATATAGGAGCATTACTCTTGAGCGCTCTCCGGAGACTTGACTGACCGTAACCTGTCGATGCCGGGCGATTTTGACCCTCTTACCTACAACATTAAGGACCAAGACAGGAAGAGCTAGCAGACTCAAGCATCATGCAGAGATCAAGCAATCTCCAATTATTTGGACACGTCGTGCAATTTTCCCGCAACCTGTCTTAGGTCACTTACTATATCTTATCCCGTGACTTGACAATTCTCGCCTCCTCCCTTCCCAAGCCTTTGTCCTTATCCTCCAGACCATTCCCCTATCAGCCGACTTGACATGAAGAATGCAACGAGAAAGCAAGCATTACAAAGGGAAGAGAGAATGCGAGAATGGTGGGTATATCTAGAAGCAAACGACATACAAAAAAGTCCAATGCAGAAAGGAGTGCATTGCGGGGAAGGTGATTGCACACGGCCGTGATCCACGTTCTTCTGCCTTTTCATCCACACACCCGGCTATCTCTAGCATTTTAGAGTCCTTATATCCAATTGGAGTTCCACTTCGCCCTCTCACACTCCTATCATCCCAAGAGCTCCACCATCCCTCCAATCCTTGCCATCAACATCACACAAACCCAAGAAAATCGCTCAATTCCTAGCCGGAACATCAAACAACTTCGCACTCCCACTCGACGTATGCCGTCCATGCTGCACCCGCACGCTCGTCGCGCGCTGCACAACCATCGTCTCCGAAAACGGCGTCCCCAGCTCCGAATCCAAGTCGTCGAGATCGAAACTCCCCCGCCCGGCCGACGTGGCGCTCGTGGGCTCCTCTTCGCCTTCGCGCTCGCGCTCGCCTCCCGCGCCGCCTTCCGTCGCGCCGGTGTAGGAGTGCGTGAGGAGGCCTTCGCGCGATTTGAAGCGCGGGTCGCCGTGGACTAGCGTTGGGCGGCGGCGGACGGTGTTTTCGTGCACGGTCGGCGTGCCGGTTTCTTCTGCTTCACTGTTATCGTCTGCTATGGCGGAAGTACGGACAGTGGCAGGCGGGTTTTCCGGCGCGTCGAAAAAGTCGAGATTGGAGGTGGGGGTGCTCGCAGCGAGATTGGGTGTGTTTTCGTCTTGGGTGGCGGCGCCGCGCAACGTGTCAGGACTTCCGGGGCCGCGGGAGAAGTGTTGAGCATCGGTGTCGGTGCCCAGTTCTTCGTAGCTGTTGGAGAATTCTGGGCGTCGGGTTCCGAGGCCGGATTGTCTGCTTGCGCGTTTTGCGGAGCTACCGGCGAGCCAGGCGCCTTCGGAGTCGACGGATGCAAGGGATGTGCCTTGTTGCAAGCTCGGGCTGATGGGCGTGTCGTAGCGGGTGCCGCTGATCGCTTCTGATCCGGTGGTTGTAGTGCTGCTTTGTCGTGCGCGGATGTCGATCGGCTGGGTGACGGAGTGACCTCTTCGTGCAGCAGCCGCGGCCGCAGCAGCCGTTGTGACATCTGGTGAAGCTGTTCTCGAGTCCGGCGGCGAGATGGGCAACTCTGGTAGATCCTCGCGGAACTTACTCTGCGTGCGGGTCGGTGTGCCAGACAGCTTACGCATTGACGGCATTCGCGCCGTTGTGTCGATGAGATGAGGCGGCAGAGGCTGATTTCGCATCGACTCGCGAGAAGTATTCGAGAAGGAGGCCTCTGATATCGAGGTCTTTGCTAGAGAGCCTTTTCTGCTGTTTGTCCCGCCGCGCTTGAACAGACTCGCCAGACCACCCGTCCTTCGCTCGGGGATCGGGATTGGCTGCGTTTGCCTGCGAGCGTCTTGAGGCGGTACCGGAGGCGGGACATCGGTCGCAGGTTCTGGCTCTGATTGTCCGACAATCTCAGCAACATTCGAAGTAGGCCTGGTACGGTGGACGGGCGAAAGAGGAGGGGTGTATGCTTGCGACATTCGGACTTCCTGAGCTGTCGCCACAACTGGGTCTTCCAATGGAGTCTCAAGTGGAGTGTAGGTTCCAGTGTGGTCGGTGGATGGACGAGGGCCATCTTCATCGATTGGATCTGCGAATGGGTCTTCTTGCGGTCCATCCTCTGCAGTCGCATGATGGTCGTGCTCGACTTGAGCAGCGCCTGCGACAGCTGCACCCGCTGCAATGCCAAGTCCCACAGCTTCCTCTTCCCCATGTCGAGAGGGCTGATCGCGCAGGGCTGGATGGATATCCGTGGGTGGTGTCCTGATATCTCTGGCGCGTCCTTCATCTCCAGCCTCTCGACGCCTCCTGTCGCTATCGCGTCTTTTCCGTCCTTCCTTCTGTAACTTCCGGTCGAGCGCGTCTGCCTGATCTTGCTTCCGCTTCTCCCTCCGCTTTGCATCCCTCTCCATGACCAATCGAATGTCGCTCGCGTCAAGGACGTCAGCGCGACTACCAATCGTGTCTCGCTTCTTCGCCGAGTCGCGGCTCGCAGGCATCTTGTCCTTCGCCCTTCGCGCTAGTTCTGGCGGCGGCGAGCCGGGTAGGCTGCCAGGCGCAATGTACTGCGGAAGACCGGACAATCGAACGGCGGGTCTTGGATTGAAGATGCTGAATGCACCAATCTCCCAGCCCCTTTGCTCCATTATACTCGGCAGGCTCCCATGTACCGACCCTTCATGTGCAGGTAGAGAAACGAGGGAGTCTTTCATGCCACTGCGCATCTTCTTGCTGTCGCGTCGCAGCGGCCCTTCGCCCGGTCGTTTGGGGATGGGCGAGTGAGCGCTCATTGCGCGGATTTCTTCTTCCCGCAATTGCTCATCTTTGCGCGAGCGCGTTGAGCGATGTCGCTGGGGGGTGCCCGAGTCATAACTGCTCCGCTTCTTCCTCAGCTTGCCAGAGGAGGGGCTCGGGTCGGGTTGAACGCTTGTCTGGGAGCCGGAGTAGGGGCGAAAGTCGTAGGGGATGTGAGGGCGGTCGAGATCGACGGGGCGCAAATGCGGGCTGTACTGCAATTTGTAGGTCATTGGGAGGGCGGTGATGGCGTCTTGACTGGGAATTGCAATGGGTCCTGGCGCCACGTTCTCTTTCCCATACGACTCCGCTAGCTTCTCCGAGTCCTCGAGTGCGCGTGTGCGACCGCGCTTGCTGGATTTGCGCGGGATGGGGATCGGGGAAGAGGTGCGGCGCGAGGGATAGGAAGGCGAGGGTAATGGCGCGTCGTCTGGTGGTGTGGGGAGTGCTGATGGTGGTGCCGGTTTCTCCGACAGCAAAGGTTGAGCGCGAGTGTCTGTCTGAAGGGCTACACTGTCGCGCCGCCGCTTCTTAAAAGGCCAAATGGGCATGCTGGGGTGGGCAGGGTGGAGAGGATGGGGTATCTCATTGCCTACAGCAGTCCAGGAGAGGCGGTGCTGCTGAAGGCGGGCGCGAGAAAAAGCAAGTAGCGCGCAGGAAATGCCGAGGCGGTGGTGGTGGTGGTGGTGGTGGTGGTGTCAGTGGTGAGGCGTCGCATTCACATCCAAAAGCCGTTGGAAGGAGCAAAAAGGGAAGCAAAGTGGCGCGCAGCGTGGGCGATGGTGGCGTGTGCGTGGGCGGGTGGACGACGATCTCGCGTGGAAATTGGCAGCAGCGGCGCGCGCAGTGACAGCCGGTGGCTCAAGCCCGAACGACGAAAGTGGTCATTGCGGCGAGGGCGGATGGCATGCGGTGCGACCGTTTGACGGCGGATGAGTGGTGGAGGGCGTAAGATTGCACGGGAGGAATAAGCTTCGGCGTGCAGGGAGCGAGCGCGGTGGCAGGCGCCAAGCGAGGGTGGTGGAGGAGGGGATTGGCAAGGTGGAGTTATTGGCAGGAGGGAAACGAAGGTGAGGGCAGGCTATGCAAGTGGAAGGCAGGTAGGCAGTAGGAAGTAGGAGGGAGATGGAGAGGAAGAGGTGGAGGCGGAGACGGAGGTGGAGGAGGATGACGATGCAAGAAGAAGAGTGGACAAGACGAATGGCGGACGGCAGGCCGGCAACCCACGCGCCTGTCCACTAGTTGGTAGTGCCTTCCCAATCCCCGGCTACTCTCCTGCCTGTGGAAGTCACGGCAGGCGCGATTGGGACACTCATCGCCCTCGTCGATACTACTGTTACCCAACATACATACTACAGTACACCCTCACATCATCTCTCCCCAGCTCGCCAAGATGCTGCGGTTCAAGGCCAACAACGGGCGTACGCAACGGCCAAGCAGGGGAGATTTCCACGATCCACTCCGCAGCCCATCCATCATCAGTGGCGCCCGCGTGTGGCGTCTTGCCTTTTCCCCTTCCGCACGCCATTTCCCCGATCTCTCGCCCGCTGGCCGTCTGCTCACCCGCCAAGCCAGCTGGGTATCTGTGTACCTTCCAGGCTCACGTGGACTCCGACATACATATCGCCAACACCTGATCTCGACGCGGTGCATTCTCATTCGTCGTCGAGAATTACGAATTCTTCGACGGCGGTCTGGCCCTTTGATGCTGGCTGCATCGCCTGCATGCAATGATACCCACCGTAGGAATCGAGGTGCAGTAGCGAGGTACCATGCTCTCCTGCATCTCACCAACTTACCACACTCTGTTCCCTCTCGGAAAAATCAGGATCTATCCTCCTCGTGGCCGAGGACCTCGTCCAGTTCATCCCAGCTGAAACTGAGGTGTCTTTGTGACACCCACGCACAGCAGCATGCACAACAGCAGAGCCGTCGAACTCACCTCCACAAGGTCGCACAACTCACCCGAGTACAAGGGTGCGCCCTGCATTCCTACTCCAACAATGGCCTTGTACGAGGAGACGCGCGTATATGTACAGTATGTCTTTGTTTTCTCATCTTATCCCATCTGATCATTACCCAATTTCACTCCATTTTGTTGTGCTTGCGCCCTATACACTCCACAGCTCTCCGTTGGTCAGCGTCATGGCCAATCATTTACGGAAGGCCAAGCTCGCAATCCCGCTCGACGTCAAACGATCCCCTCCATTCAACTTCTCCGCAATCTCCGTGCCGGCGATGCGGCCGAATGTCATGCTTCGCAAGCACGACGTCGCCGGCGGGTACTCGTTGTAAAACAAGCCCGTCATCTCGCCCGACGCATACAGACCCGGAATAGGGATGTCGTTCGTCGACACCACACGCGAGTGCAGGTCGGTCTTGACGCCGCCGTAAGTAAAGGTAAGGTTGGAGGTGCAAGGGAAGCCGTAGAAGGGCGCCTTGCTGATGGGCGAGGCCCAATTGGTCTTGTTGGGCTTGAGCCCCGTCGTCGACTTGCCATCAAGCTTCATCAAGTCAAACGGCTTATCGTTAATGGCAGCATTGAAGTCGTCGACCGTCTTCTTCAGCTTCTTCGGGTCGAGGTGCAGCTTCTCCGCCAGCTCTTCGATCGTGTCGCCCTTCTCCGGCGGCACGTCGGTCGTCTCGTACACCCAGCTGCCCTTGAAGCGGTCCATGATGACCGCGTCGGTGATGAAGGAGCATGACTGGTTCTGGTCTTTCCACGTGTGCAGCGCGGCCATCTCGAAGGTGGCGAAGAGGTGGCGTTCGCCTTCGTCGTAGAAGCGTTCGCACTCGTCGTTGACGAGGATGCCGTAGTTGTGGCCTGCAATCGAGTTGTTAGCGATATTTTTTCTCACAACACTATGCGATAACTGACCCCAAATGACTGCGTCCGGCTTGCCAGCACGCTTATCGACAAGCTCGCAATGCATCCCATCAAACGAACCCGCAGTCCCAGCACCAACTTCAAGACACATCCGCAAGCCAGCTCCACGGTTATACTTCAAGCCTGGCGCGATCAAAGGAAGCTTGTGCGTGTCGCGGCCAATATATCGGGCCAGCATCTCCTGGTTGCCCTCGAAGCCGCCACAGGCCAGCATGACGTTGGGAGCGTACAAGTCGTGGAGCAGCCCGTCGCTCTTGCGGACCTTGAGGCCCTTGATGGCGCCGGACTCGTCTGTCAGTAGCTTGCTGGCTTCCGTTTGGTAGTGGAATTCGGCGTTGGGGAACTTGCGAATGTCCGTCAGGAGACGCTGGATGATGGCGTTCCCGCCGCCCTCGGGGCTACAACACGACTTCACATCAGCGTCTCTCCAAGCTCAAGAAAAGAGGCCAACTCACAAAACAAAGTGCTGATCCGTATCAAACTCCAACAACACATTCGGCTCATCATGATGCACAAACTTGACCCCATGCTCCTCAAGATATCGCGCAGAGATCGGCGCCTCCTTGCGCAACTTCTCACAATACGCCTCATCCGCCACACCGTCCGTCACGCGGCGCATCTCCTTGATCCAATCCTTGTCAAAGTCGAGATTCTTGTCGAGGCGCAGGTACGCCATCGTCCACTTCGAGGCCCCCGAGCGCTCGTGCTCTTTGCCTACCTCCACGACCGCCACGCGCCCTTGCTTGCCGAGGCGCTGGCACTCTTCGAGGAAGTTGAGCGTTGTCATGCAGCCGGCGAAGCCGGTGCCGACGACGATGAGGTCGTAGCCTTTGAACGTGGCCATGTTTGACGCTTGAAGAAGTTGATTGGTCTTGCACGAGAGGAATGAAATGTTTTTTCTACAGAGTATCGAGTGTCAATTGGGAAAAAAGCTGCTGAAGCCTTGCGAGCGAGCGAGCGCCAGAAGCTGGGGAACGTGGGGTAGCTTTATATCAAATGGAAAAGCAACACACCTCCATGCGGGGTTCTGGCGGGGTTGATGCTTGGGATCTCACTCACGGCCGAGAGAAGGTTCGTTGTTTCGGCTACTTTATGCGAAGATCGGCGAGGCGCAGGCAAGGTCGAGAGCAGATTGAAGCTCCCTCCAAGCTCCGGCGGATATCCGAGACGGGCTGACGATCGATTACGACGAGCGGATGTTGATCATGATGTAGATCTGGGTGGCTTAGACTGCCGGGGGAAATGATCGAGATTGCCTGCCGAGACGATTGCTGACGTGTAGCTGGATCCATCCTTCGTACAGAGCTGTCATCTCGGTCTATATCGTGTTTGGGACGCCTCCTCCTCCCGTTGCATGCAAATGCACCAGCCCAAGTATACACGCGGAAGCAAACCTCACACACCCTACGCCATCGCTAACAAATCTAAACATTCCACCCAGCCGCTTCCCTCTATTCGAACCCATCGTCCCTAGGATCCCGCTTCTCAATGCTCACAGCACCACCTCTCGGCAGCGTCATGCTCATTCCAGGCCGGAAAGAAGGCGAAGAAGGCGTCGAAAGCTCCTCCGCATGCGGACTCAACGTCATCCCTGCAGCTCCAGCAGAAGGAGGCGGCGCTTGCTGCTTCTCCGGCGGCACGCCCACGCCCAGTGGATCAGCGCTCGTCCTGGGAGCGACGGGCGTCTGCAGTTGCGCTAGAGTCACTATGTTGCCGCTCATGCTCTTTCGATGGATGGAGCCTGTGATCGACGATCCGCCCAACGACGGTCGACGTCCGGGCAGCAAAGCTACACTCTCTGTCTGCAGCGTTTCGACCTCCGCTTCGTTGGCCGCGAGTAAGTCCGCGCTGTCGATGTGCTGCGGTCCGCTACGATTGAGTTCGATGGCGTGGCGGAGTTCGTGGAGGAAGGATGTAACGCTGGGCATCGCCACCTGGCCACCGTATAATTTCGTTGCTTGCTCGAGGCAGCTTTCAGCTCGCGTGCCTTTCTCAAGACGCAGCCATGCGTCGCAGGCCATGACGTTCCAGAAGGCTGCTTTGCGCTGCTTCTCCCCGCTTTTCTCGGCTGTCAGAGCATTCTTCCGCTCCGAGTAGCAGGACGCAATGCGCTCCATGACCAGCACGGCGCCTACCGGTCCAGTAAGTCGATCGTCAAGAATCTTCTCCGCCCACTTCGCCGCTGCTTCCAATCCCACGCCTCCGCCTCTTAATTTGAGCAGTTCGACGGCGAGCAGCAAAGTCCGCAGCGCGTAGTACGGCGCACTTGCACGCGTGATGTAAGAGTAGTAGGCAGTTTCGAGCAGCTGATCGACCGCGTCCACTCGTATCTTGGGTTCTTTCGCACCACCGCCAGCCATGAGCGTCGCCACAGCAGCCATTTCATTCGCCGCCGCATAATACCGCCACGCCTTGTCGGTCTTGAAGTCTTGTCCGAGAATTTCAAAGGTGCTTTGCGCGAGCTTCCAGTCGCGGAGCATCATCGAGTAATCTGCCAGCCGTCTCATTGTCGCTTCGGGCGCATCGGGTCGATAGAAGCCTTGCAAGCTGTCGTAATTGCCCGTGCTGCCGGAAGTCAGTGAAGGCACGGATGACGTGCGATTGGTATATGATCCGGAGCCGCCAAAGGTGGTGAAGCGCTTGGAAAGCGACATGAAGCGACCACTGAGGCCGCGGCGTCGAGAAGCAACGGAGTCGTTCCATGTTGCGGAGGCTCGTTCCATGCTCGGGATCAGAGATTGCGTTACCATTTCGCGGACAAAGGCGCGGATGTTTGTGGCGTCCGTTTCGAAAACGTAAGGCTGCAGGACTGTGTGGGTTTCTTCACCCCGATCATCGTTCGGATTGGCGTCATCCTCTTCTTCGAGATTCTCCAGTCGGGTGATCTCGGCCAATTCTTCTGCTGCAGCCATCCATTCCATCCCCGTCCCTAATCGCACGACCTCGTCCACGCTGTCACTGACAGCCGGCACGGTCCTCAACCGGAGGAGGTGACAGTGCAAGCCGAAATGCCGCTTCATCTGCTCGTACAGCTGCATGCTTTTGTTCATGTCATCGTAGTCCTCGTCGTGGATGAGGACGTAGTAGCGAAGGAACTCGTTATGCACCCAGTGAGGAAGGCGGTGCGAGCCGGTGTTGGAGGAGGCGTAGAGGGTGCGCAAGTCCTCGATGGGACTTTGAGAGCGGGAGGAGATGGCTATGATGGAGGCGATGGGATGGGATAGGGTTTCGCTGGGCACAAGAGGGAGGCCAGACAGGAGTCGGCGCAGGTAGAGCAGGTAGAAGGGCGATGGGTCCGTGGGGGAGGTTGTATTGGCCGAGGCTTCCTTGAAGTTGAGATAGTCTGGTTGTTGGAACGGCCCGGATTGTTCTTCCGAGAAGGTGAGATGCCGTTCGACCAGCTCTTCCACCTGTGGAACATCACCTCCAGTCCGTAACCGCGCCGGCTTGTACTCCGAGACCATAGGTGCTCGTGGTTGACTCTGATCTCCATTCCGAGCGCTGCTTGAATCAACACTGGTTCGATCGTTGGGCGTCGAGGCGCGGGGATTCTCAAGACCGTCCTTCACACCCACGAAGCGGATGGCAAAGTCCTCCCATGATCGACTCGCCCCCGTACTATCCCGTATCGTGACTTTTCCTGGCACATGATTGCCAAAAGGACGAAGCAATTCCAGCAGCCCGCCATGAATGCCTTTGTGCCGGATCAACTCTTCTGTATCTTCTGAGGCCAAGATGGACACGTGCGGAGAGAAGGCGCGTAATATGATGTCCTTCGTCTCTTGTCCGGCGACAATAGGTTTGGAGGATAGTGCGGGTGACGGCGACCGTATTGTGGAGCCGGTTGGCGAGAAGATGGAGCCATTGATGGCGCTGGCAGAGGGTGTTACCGTAGCGGACTCATTGCTGGGGGATTGCACCCTCGGAGGCGTGGAGACGGGAGTGGTGGCCGCGTAGAGATTCGTAAGTGAGGCATTGGAGCGGCGGTAGGGGAGCTGTGTTCGGATGGATCGGCGGATCTTGGGGTTGCTGAGTTCGGGATCAGAGTCGGCTAGAGGGGACTGCATCGGTAGACGGCATCCAAAGGGCCTGCTGCGAGGCGATGGGAGGAGGAGGAGGATGAGAGGGATTGGCTGTGCGGTGCATCTGTGTTTTTGAGTAGGTGGAGTGTGGTCTCGGCTGTTTAATCGGAAGGCAATGTCACTAGTCGTCCCGGCGCGTTCGTCCCAAGATGGAGGAGGATTGATGTTTCATCCCAGAGATGGTGGTGAGGTGGGATCTTGTGGAATCCCGCGGGAAAACTTCGGCATTTCTCCGTGTCGACTTCAGGCCACGACCAGGCATGGAACTGTTTCTTTTGAACATATCCAACCAACAAGGCGAATGTCACTTTCAACAAATCAGTTTCTCGGCGCCTAGACCAAAGGGCTGCACAAGTGTACAGGCAGAACAACAAACACTGCTCCCACGTGAATGTTCCAAATCCGGCGGAGCGTGACTCAACGGACATTCAAGGCTTTCAGCAAGGAAATCCGTACTTCCACCCCTCTCGCAACTCCCTTGACTACTTCCCACAGATGTATCAGCAGGTGGTGCATGTCTCCCGGCCGACGAATCACGACTTCACCTGAGGGCAGGAAAAGACGCAAACTCAACTCCTCTCCAATCTCCACCACACGGCAAACGGCGTCTAACAAAATGTCGCCTCTGCTGGTCCAGGAAGTGGACCAGGAGCCTCCGAATGCCATTGAATTCACTTTGACACCCGTTGAAGCGACTCTCCGCAGACTTCTCCTCGACGTGGCAAACTACATTGACAACATCCCGCCTCCTCAAGATGGCCAGATAAAACTTCCACCAGATCTGGCAAACGAAAAGATCGTCCTACGCTTCACTGGTGGCTGGGTGCGAGACAAGCTCCTTGGTGTCCCCAGCCATGACATCGACGTTGCCATCAACAAGATGACCGGCTACCAGTTTGGTCTCAAGATGAAAGAGTACCTTGAAATCCCCGGGAATCCGGAGAAGTACGGTCTGGAAGGCGTCAGCAAATCCGACAAAGCTGGCACGACGGACAAGTCCAAGACAGTTGGAGGCTTGCACAAGATCGAAGCCAATCCGGAAAAGTCGAAACATCTGGAGACGGTGACGACGAAGATTCTGGGCTTGGACATCGATCTGGTCAACTTGCGAAAAGAGACCTACACCGACGAGTCGCGCAATCCTGCCATGGAGTTCGGAACACCTGAGGAGGATGCGCTGAGGAGAGACGCTACTGTGAACGCCATGTTTTACAATCTCAATACCGAGTCTGTGGAGGATTTCACGGGAAGGGGAAAGGAGGATTTGAAGGCCCAGATCCTGAGGACCCCACTCGAGCCATATCAAACCTTCAAAGATGATCCCTTGCGAGTCTTGAGGTTGATACGCTTTGCAAGCCGCCTGGGCTACCGCATCGATCCTGCAGCAATGGAAGCTATGAAGGACAACGACATTAAGGATGCACTGAGACGGAAAATCAGTCGCGAGCGAGTTGGGGTGGAGATGGAGAAGAGTCTGCGAGGGCCAGATCCCCACGAGGCATTGCGCTTGGTGTTTGACTTGGGACTGTACGAGACCATCTTCTCCGATCCCACCGTTATTGTGGATGCACATTATACCCCCGACACCGAAGGATGGGCCAAATTGATGCAATTCGCAGCGGATACTCTTGCCGATGGACAAAGCTTGGAGGAAATCCTCGTCAGAGATGACGAAGAGCGATACCTTGCCTGGCAGCTGGCGGCTCTTGTACCGTATCGAGATGCCCCCCAAGGCGAGCCGTTGGAGGCTGGACGTCGTGCTCCACCCCCAATCGCCTCTTCCGTGGCCAGAGAAGGCATCAAGGCGACGAATAAAGTGTGCGACGTTGTCACTGCCGCAGTGAGAAATCAGTCCGAAATCTCCCGTCTCGTGGACCAGCTCTCTCAGCAAAAGCGCAGACCCGACAAGAAGGTGGAAGGGGAAGACGCGTCTGCCCGAGATGTCCTCGGTATGGCCGTCCGGAGATGGGGTGCGAGTTGGCGGAGCCAAGCGATGTACTCTCTGTTGGTGGAGGTGGCAGATGATCCTGCTGCCGTCACGAGTAAGTCGTTGTCCGCAATGTCCTGAATGTGCATGTACTAACGTACAACAGCAATCGAGCGCAAATACACCCTGTTCGTCGAGCATCTCAAAACACTCAACATCCTCGACGCATACACGTTCAAGCCACTCCTGGACGGCAAAACCCTCGCAAAAGCAATCAACACCCCTCCCGGTCCTTGGATGAAGGACGCCCTGGACGTAGTCATGACCTATCAACTGCGCAATCCCGACACAGCAAACACGGACGACGCCATCGCCGAAGTGCAGCTCCAGCGTCAACATCAAAACGGGGCAGGCGATGATTCTGGCACGACGGGGAAACGAGGTGAGCTCACATCCTCCCTCATCCACCACTTCCTCAAGCTTACCATCCGTCCGCTCTTCATCAAGGCTAAGCTGAGCGCTGTCACCGATGCGGGACGGAAGAATACGACGACCGTACTGCCGCAGAAAGTAACTGTGAAAAGCATGGACGATAGTATCAACCGGCCTTGGAAGAGTGGAAAGGACGCCTATGCTCTCGACTTGCTCCGGTGGTGCGTGAATGCACTTGATGGGGCCACGGTAGAGCAAGTCTGGCCGCTCGTTGTCCCGCCATTACTGACGCTGGTCGACGACCGCGAGGCCAAATATAAAATCCTCGGTGCAGAACTGATCGGGCGACTGCTCGAAATCACGCCGCCAAGTTTGATCGCTAAGACGGGGCTAGGCGAGGTCTTCGAGGACGCACTACTACCCTCACTGGCATATCTACCCACCATCACACCAGAAGAAGAGTCCATTCCGCTTCTAAACGCGACATATCCTGCCCTCCTCGCCCTCATAAACCTACGCTATCCCAACTCCACACCATCCCAAACCGCAGCACCGCCAACTCCATCCCCCGATCGCACAAAACACCTCGACACCGTCCTTCGCAAAGGCATCATCTACGGCTACACAGTCTGCAGTCAACGCCCGCACATCGTTTCTACGCTCTTTACGCACCTAACGCCTTTTTTGACTGAGATGGGTATTGACTCCGTCAAGCATCTCAAATACCTTCTTCCCATCCTTACGGAAACCCTCTCATACCCCCTCGGCGACGCGAGGGTGGAAACACTGCTCAGCGCGACAAGAGCGCTGCAGGCTGTGATTTTGAATGCGTGGCCGCGAATGGTCGTGCATCGCGGGGAGGTGTTGAAGGGGTTGGCATTCTGCTGGATCAATATCAAGGAGAGCGAGGGGGAGGGAGTCGAGGAGTTGAGAAGGGAGTTGAAGGAGGCGGTGGGGATGTTGCGCGCTGCTGTCGGGGAAGAAGTGGATTTTGAGCACGATGCTAGGACTTTACTCGAGGCTGAGCCGGGGTTGGAAGGTCTGCTCGTTGCGCGATGATAGTGCGTACGTACTGATGAAGCATGACTACGCTGAACACTCTCCGCTGCTCGCTTTGACATCTCGCTGCTCTGAATACTATATGCTGCCCTTCGCCGGCGAAAGTACTGCTGGGACGAGACTGGAGGAACACGTGGTGGAGCTGTGCCATCCCGTGAATCTCGAAGGACTCTTCAATGGCATTGACAGCAATCTGCTGCCGTCCGTCGGCAAGATTGTTGCAGAGATGTGCCTCAGAAAATGAGTGGTGAAGCTGTACGCTCTCCGCAACCCGTACGGCTCTTCGAAAGCATTGGGGCTCAACATCCCGCCGTAGTGGGAGAGATTATCACGGAGATGAGTCTGTTAGAACGAGTGGTGACATTGTTCGTCTCCCCGAACACCTACAGCTCCTCTCTGGCATCGAAGATCACACCCGGCCGTCGCGATTGGAATACATGCTGGGATCAAGCCGATGGGCAGAGCGGCTGAGTTGTACCATCTCTGGAATACGCAGGACTCTTCGAAAGCGTCGAACCGTGGAATCTCGCCCTCACCGGCGAAGTTGGAGCAGAGATGGGGGCTGGAATGCGTGGTGCTGCTGTACGATCTCTGTAGTCTGTTCGGCATCGTTGCCAGGATTGAAGGCGACGCCTGGTCGGTCTTCCAGTCCATTCTTTGACGGAGAGAGAGAGCAGATCGGCGAGGGATACAGACCATTGTCAACCTTTTTCCATCTGTCCGCTCGACATGAGTGGTAGAAATGCGAATCTTCGTCCTGGCCTGACTGGATCATCTCGTAAGTCCGGCGCAGCCTCCCAAAGTATTGAGGCTGTCGATATCGCCTTCCCGTTTAATTTTTCAACGGGGATGGGCCAAACCGGTCGTATCAATGTTTTTCCAACTATTTGTTCTCACTATAACTACATCTCGAATGTTCCCAGTCCGGCCGATATACTACACGCATAGAAATAATCTCAGTAAGTTCCCCATCTCAGCCAAATATCAGTCCCAATTCCCGTTCCTCTCCGTCCGTTCCTGTCCTATCAATCGCAAGAATTAATCCTCGTCTTCAATCTCCTCAATCGGGTTGGGATGAATGAATGGACGTCCATCTTCGTCGTTCTCCACCGTCCCAAAAAGCTTCATGAGCTCATGAACCTCCATCTTCTCCCCACGCTGATGAGTCCCGAGACAATCGTCAATCTCGATGTCCTTGTTCTTCTTGATTTCGTGCATGCGGGCGTCGACGGTGCCTTTGACGTAGAGTCTTGTGAATGTCGTTTCTTTGGTCTAGATTGGTCAAATTAGCAGCAAATTCGTATATGTGTTCGGATAAAGACTCACCTGGCCGATACGGAACACTCTGCAGAAGGCCTGCTGCTCCAGACTGCGATTGAACCAGCTGTCGACGTTCAAGACACGGCTAGCCATCGTCAAGTTGAGCCCGAGTCCTCCGGAGCGCAGCGAGGCGAGGAGGACGTTCTTCGTAGAACTCTTGCCGAATTCTTCGATTGCCTTGTCTCTAGCCTCGAGAGTCATGTTGCCGGCGTATGTGCAGTATTCGAAGCCTTCGGCGAGGCACATCCTCTCACAGATGCGGATCATGGGCAGGAATTGCGTGTAGACGATGACCTTGACGCTGGGATCAAGGGCCTTCCATGCGAGTAGCTGCGCCTTGATCGCAATGGTCTTTGTCGAGCTAAGAATGTCGCCGTTCATGTCGATCCAGGACTCCATCTCGTCTCCGCTCTTCTTCCCGTTTGTCTTGGATTTCGTTCCGTCGCCGCCATTCTTCTCTGTCGCGTTCTTTTTCGCCCGCAATTCCTCGAGGCCTGCGCATGAGTCGGCGCTGGTATACTCTTGTCCGCACTCAGTACACTGGGCACTGTCTTTCCCGAGATGCGCGGCCCATGTAGCCAGATCTTGCAAACAGGTGCGACAGTAGATGTGGAAGCAGCTCGTGACCCAGGGGTCATCGGGTTGCTGGTGGCACGCACAGCAGGTCGACCGCTGAACCATGGCATCCCACTGTTTGGAATTCCGAAGGCTCAAAAGGTACTTTCTAAACCGATATGCGAGGCCGTGCTGCCCGCCTTTTCCATGTTGGTTTTGCTCGAAGCTGACCAGGTCGATGGGGCGTAACTCGGTTTCGATGACATTCTGCCCCAGTACGCGCTCTTCCTGGTCTTTGGCGGCCGTGTGAGCCTGCAGGATGTTTCGCAGCGAGACGATGAGCGATGCGCCCTCCGTGGTGACAGAGTCGTCTTCTTTGTCGCACAAAGCCTCCAGTGCTTCGTAGTCTTCCCGCTCCAGAAGGTCAAGGATTGTCCCTTGGATGAGCAGAACATGGCTGCATAGCTGGCGCAAGCGCAACAGTAACGTGAAGACGTGGTTGTACTTGGATTCCATCTCTCCGTTGCGGGAGATGCGGTTGATGCGCTGAATGAATCGGTTCTCAACGATCTGATAGATCTTCCGCTCAACGTCGTTGAAAGACAGCCAGGCACTGATCTCGGTCGGTGGAGGGAGCTCCAATAGTCTAGCACCGAATAGTGTGTCCTACGTTTGGAAATATTAGCCAAATACCACCGCAATGGACTGGAGACATACCTGGTGAGTGCGCCTGCACATGACCTTGTTCAAAAGCGCAGCCAACCTCCTGTTCGCGACGACGTCTTCTCCGTCTTTGACCAGAAAGTTCTTCTTGAAGAGGTCGTATTCTCCAACGCATGGCTCACGGATCAGGGAGAAGTAGGGGTAGAACTCCGCCAGCGAATTCAGGATAGGTGTACCGGTGACCGCCCAGTAGTGCCTGGCATCGAGCGCTCTGCACGCCAGAGAGGTACGCGACTTGTGATTCTTGATAGCATGAGCTTCATCCAGGACGACGCGTAGCCACTTGCATTGATGCAGAGGGCCGCGCTCTTCTTCGAAGTTCTTCTTGACCCACGCAGCCTTGTCAAGAGCGTCGATAATCTCGTCCGGTGGGTCGTTTGTTGGAAAAGAGCCGGCGACCTCGTTGTACGTTGTCAGAACAATGCTGTGGTCGTTGAACATCCCTAGGATATTGTCCGACTGGCTCTTCGATCTCGCACACCATTTCATGACACGCAGCCCGGCTTTTTCTTCGCTGGCAAGAACGCAGTGTCTCTTGATCTCCTCGAACCATTGCGTGACCAACGCGGGCGACGCAACGATCAAAGTCGCCCTGCGCTCGGCCTTCGCCGGTGCTTGCCCGTTCACGATGTTGGCCAGCGACATAATCGTCTTGCCGAGACCCATCTCGTCCGCCTGGATGCCGCCTCGTGGCTTCCCGCCGTTCTCGCGATCGCGCATGAACCCGACTCCCAAGATCTGGTAATGTTTGAGCGTAGTCTTCATGCCTTTGACTCGCCAATTCCCATCTGCCCGGGTGAAATCTTTGTTAGCTCGGACGGGCAACAGATTGGAATATTGGACTTACCTTCTCCCGGTCGGACAGCACCGTGGGCGGAACCGGTGAAGGAGCGAATGCACCTGTCGAGAAGCTTCCTATCATCCCGCACGACGGATTTATCTGTTGTAGGGATCGAAGCGACAAGCTCCCGCAAGGCCTTGTCTCTGCGGCCCAGAGGCCCAGTAGCTCCAAATGTCGGCTGCGCGGCAAGATGTGCCGTGGCAGCAGTATCTCTGAAGACATCCGCCGACGTAAGATTGCCCAAGTTGGCCAGGGAGGCGGAGAGGTCTTTCTTTTGCTTCTTCTTGCCATCGCCTTTCTTCGTCTTTGCTGTCTTTCCGACTTTCTTCGCTCCTTTCTTAGGAGCTTTCTTCGGAGGAGGAAGGCCATCCTCATCGTCATCACTGCCATCGCTGTCTTCCAGGATAGGCGGCTTTCTAGCCTGCTGTTTCGTCTTCTTCTGTTTCTTCGCTGGCTGGTAAGGCTGGAAGACGCGGGGTTCTACCCCTTGCTCCGAATCACTGGGGATATCCTCATCGTCCTCGATCGTCACTGTCTCCTGCTCAGCCTGCACAAATGCTTCGTCGGCTTTTCGCTTTCTGCGCCGGGCGGACTCTTCAGCTTCGAGACGGATCAATTCGATCTCCTCGGCATCGGTAAGCTTGCCCGCATCTCGTTTCTTTAGCATAGCCTTCTCCTTCCTCTTGAATGCAGCAGCTTCGGCATCGTAGCCAGAGCCTTTGGTCGTGTTGTCCATGACGGGAACACTGTTCGCCACGTCAGGGATCGGCTTGATCGAGTTGAGGGGAGCAGAGGCAATCGTCGAGGCAATCGTCACCGGCTGCCCACTGCGGCATTTGTCCGCAAGTTCTCGTTGCTTTTGAAGTAGCATCCGTTGAATATCTGTCGTGGCCAGGTTCTTCTTCGCCGGGAGAGTAGACAATACGGGAGGATCGATTTCTTCGACGTCTGAGTCGTGGGCCGAAGACTTTGGTGAAGACTTCACTAAAGGAGAGGATTTGGGTGAAGCTGGGCCGTTGGTGGCCAGGAAGGGAGACTTGGAGTCGCGGGTGGGAAGATGTTTGGAGGGTGTGATGAAGAGTGAGTCGTCTTCGTCGTCGCTGAGTAGAGAGATCGTTTCATTGGGCTGGAAACGCCACGTCGAGTCTTCCTGTGGTTCTGGCTTGATTGGGATGTTCTCGGTGGTGTCCATGATGAGGAATCGGTGTTCAGGGTGATTGGAATGGTAGAAGGGGATGAGTGAAGGAAGAGAAAGGGGGCCAAGGGAGAGGGGAGGCGGGCGGGGAGGTTGATGTTTGGGGGAAGTTGAAATGAGAGTAAATGCCCTTTTTGTAGCCACGGGGATCACTTGCAGGCTGGAAAAGGTGGCCAAGTGAAGAAAGAGAAAGGTCTGGTCCCGTGACACCACGTGAGCATAGGCGCTGAAAGGGGAAGGAGCGTCCCGTCTTGACAACACATGAGAGCATGTGCGGGCCGTCGATGCGAAGTTGAGAAGAAAAGACGCACACGGCGGTGCGTGGCTGGAAGAAGACTTCTTGATATACATTATCCCAAACCAGACCCCAAGTCGTGACTATTTACAATCCGAGCAACACCACCGCCCGCCAGGGCCCATCTCCGTACAAACGCCGTCGTCAAGCCAGCCCAAGATGACACCGCCCCGGTCTCCAAGAACCGCCGCCGTTTCAGAGAGCGCCCAAACCACCATGAACCCAAGCCCAAGCTCTAACCCGATTGCAACATCCTGGAAGCCGCGATTTGGTAGCTCCCCGCCGTCTAACCCACTCGCGACATCCTGGAAGCCGCGAGCTCATACCTCTCCACCTCTCTCGGCGTCGGCGAGAACCTCTCGGCAGGCAAGCGCGGACTCGTCTGCAGGGAATCCAGCTCATGTCTCAGCGATGAAGACGTCGAGCCCGATTCTCGCACATCGACAAGCTGCGGCGTGACTTTCATCCCTTCTATCCGCTCCGCCAGACTCGTGACGTGACGCGAGGTGCGCGCGCTGTCGGTCGAGTAGACGCTGACGCTGCTGTTGTGCACCGGTTTGCGCGCTGGGGTTGGTATTTGCAGGATTTGCGAGGGACGCGGGGACAGATTGGGGACAATGGGGGTGGTGTGGAAACTGGCGTACGAGTCGCGACTGCTGCTGCGGGAGTGAGCGTTTGTATGATGCGGGCGGTGCAGGCTGCCGCCGTCTCTGCCCAGGCCGTGCATCAATGAGGGTGCCGGGTGGATGGTGAGGCTCTCTTTCGTTTCGTTGTCGGGTAATCGGTACATGCGGCTGGAGAGAATTCGAGCGGAGGATCGGCTGCGCTTTTCGCGGAAGAGGAGACATGCGAGGACGGCGATTGCGATGAGAAGGGGGATTGCTACACCGAGGGCGGCGCCAACGATCGCACCGGTGGAAGGTGAGGAGCCGGACGAGCCGGAGGATGGGCTGCTGGATGCGATGGCAGTTCCCACCAGCTGGTTCACTTGAGCGGGACGGAGGACGATGGATACCGAGCTGGCCAGGGTGAAGGTTTTTGCATTGTCGTCACACTGCCCTCCCGTGTCTAGGCCACAGACGAAAGAGTTGGTGCTGACGCCTGTGTTGCAAGGCGTTATCGGTGTCTCGCCATCCGTGCCGACTGTTGTAAGGAGCCTCGTCAGTATGTCCACCAATGTATGTTACGGGGAGGGTTCAGACGAACCAGTCTGACAAAACTGCGCGCATTCAGGGCTGTTCCAAGTCTTGTCTGTACAACTCCCCCGCGTCACTACGCCTCCAGTAAAGCATCCACCACCCACCAAACAGAAGGACTGTGCGTTGCAGCAGGCGGAAGCGGTGGCATTGGGATTGCAAGGGATATCGGAGGAAAGAGTGTTGCCGTCGGGGTACCAGCACGACTGCGCGGCCGCGAGGGTGAGGAGGAGATAGAGGGCGGGGAGGGCGCGGCGAGCGCGGAGAAGGAGCGGCATCGTCACGAAGACGGGATGAAGGAGAGTGGGTGGTCACAAGGAGCGTATGGCAGACATGGAGGAAGTGGTGTCGACGAGACAACGGAGGGGAAAGCGGGATGGAAAGAGGTCAGTCAACTCACGAACTCCTGTCTCATGGAGCGCCACATTGGACAACGCGCGCGCTGGCGGCAACCCGCCGAGAGGAGAGGGCTGGCCGCCTGAAAGAACGAGACTCTTCAGCCGTTGCTCGAGCACAAATCGGGAGGGTTTGGGAGATGAAGCCGTTCTTAAGGTTTTAGCTTTACCCTAAAACGGTCCTGTCCAAACCATATTTGGTAAGGCTGGCGCCGCGTGGCTGCGGAGGGATTCATGATCGCAAGGCAATATTTCCGAAAACGCGCCGTCCAATCTACGCTGGGTTTATCGATTGCATGCACTCCGCAACGCAAAAATACGCCCCTGGGTGTGTGGGATCTGCCAATCTTCGCGTGGCAGACAGCCGAAGTCTGCCCTAGACTATGTGATCTGCGGACCCCATGCCAGGAGACGCAGAAATTGGCACGTCTCCCGAAGCTGGCCCAGGAACGTGGTATTCGAGTAAAGTGAGCGTGTATGAGCATGAATATTAATCAGATCAGAGAACGTCCATGGACGCCTGGCCTTGACGGTCTTACCGGGCCTGGAGAGCATCGCTCTATGCTACTTCTCTATTTCCGCCAGCGAGGTGTTTGCGGACGTGTAGATTCACCGCGTCTTCTCCACCTGTTCAGCTCGATGGTGGCATTGATGTATGCTCCTGGCCATTGCCCACTGGCGAGATCCTCCATATTGGTCGTTGGACAACCGTTCATCCAAGCCACATTAAAGTCACGATGGCAGCAAGGTCTACGAAGGCTATGAGTTGCTCGTCCGGGAATGCTTTTTGGGGCTCGTGTAGCTGGTGGTGCGTCTGTGGACGTGCCGTCGATATAGCCGCTGATTTCACCTGCGAGGCTGCAACAGTCACTCGCCATTGCACATGACTTAGCCAGCTCATTTTACATCGATTCCACCGCAGGTTTGCCCGTCGACCTCAGACTTTTTCATACACATACCCTCATCACGACTTTGCACCATGTCGACCCGCCCGGCATACCGTGCGCTGCGAGGAAAGCGTAAGACTGAATCCGAATACTCAGACAAGCGGAACACCGTCCGTGAGATGAAACGTCGCGAAAAGCTCAAGAAGAATGATCCCGCCAAAGCGGCGGCAGACAAACTACGGCGCAAAATCAATTCTGCACGCAGCAGAGCACATACCGCAGTTCGAGCAACCGATGCGTACAAGGCTGCGTCGCCTACGCGGCAAAAGGAAATGGAAGAAGCAGCGCGAGCCGCGGTCGATGCGAAGTAGTAAGTGTGATTTGCACAGACAGTCCTGTCTGTAGCTATCACTCCGCTCACCCTCAAGACAGCAAGGACGAAGTCCTCGGCGCCGCCGCCAGCCTGACCAGCCCCAACAAATCCGGCCATCCGAGCAAATCAACTAAACGATTCGATGATGATGATGATGATGATTGCGACGACGAGGAGAGCTTGCCGAACATCAAAGCCAACGTGTCTGGCACGAAGGAATTGACCATAAAGCTCGATCACAAAGACGAAGAGGAGGCCGAGATTGTAATTGACTTGAGGAAAGGCCATGAAGAAGGGGTGAAGCGTCGCCTTACCCTTACGATTCTGGTGACGTTCTAATGGTCGAAGTGTATTGCCACTGCCGATTACAGTGCCGATTACCGTGCTGATGCTGTGCTTAGTTGGTCTAGAAAATGCAGGTCTCCGCCATGACTGCCGACAGTTGAAGGAGGTCAATGTGCCGGCTGCGTTGTAGATGGACGACCACTACACAGCGCATTGCTTTAGCCGCCCTAGACAGACAAGCCCCCGTACCTCAATCTCTCTTCTCTTCCCTGTAATCATCTGCTACCCAGGCCTGATACAAACGGTAAACACATGACGGCGCCAAGGTGGCTGGAATCAGTCGCCAAGGACGATCTTTGCGTTGGCCGTATCAAGTCAGAAGGAAACACGCACAAGGCATGCACTGCGCCACGATTGATTGAGAAATTGCCCGAAGATCTGGGGATGAATTAACGTTCTTTAAGCTCGCTAAGGCTAGCCCAGAAGGAGGCCAATTCGCCACGCTAAGCCACGACGGCCAACACCTCCATGTTTGCCATGCCCGGTGCCCGGTTGATGCCAACAAGTTCATGCTTGGCACTTGTTCCACCTACGCCATTCAAGGAGACGCCTTGCACCGTTGCTCTCCTCTGCCCTTCTTTCCACTCCACCACCTCTGACTTTTGCTCGTTTCGCGACCCATCCCGCATCACGCTTCAATTGAACGCCGCTGCTTTCAATTGAACGCTCACGACGTCATAACCCCCAGCGACATCTCTCCATCATTGGGCGCGGTGTTGACCTCACATCATGCGTACGTCTTCCTTCCATCCAATCGCGCGTTTAATATGTCCTTCGGCGCGTGCTATTCACATTTACTAACCATGCGGGCCTCCAGATTCAATCAAACACGCCGCACGGCGCTCCGCATGGTACCCAAGCGACGATGGCTCCAAAACGTACAACTTCTTCGGTCGCATCAGCAACAAACCGCGCACCCGCAATCCCCGCGACGAAGAGACGGGCGATGGCCATCCCCGCCCATTGCGCGTGACATCAGAGAGTGAAGGAGTGACCCCCATCGAGACCGAGCGGCGACAGAACTACCAGAACGATGCGCAAGGGTTCGAGGCGCCATTGAAGTCTGGCACATTCCATGGAAGAGGTGTCCGAGACGATCAAGGCTTTCCGCGACCCGGCAACGAGAACGTGCAGGAGGCGCCCGCCAGTTCGGATGAGAGCAAAGCAGAAAAGGAGGTTCATTTTGAAGAAGAGACGAATCAGGAAGAGAGTATGAATCAGGTCAATGGAGCGTCAACCGGCGAGAGCAAGCCTCGCAAGCGCAACAAGTTTATGCCGTGGAAGAAGGAGAAAGATCAAGATTCTAGCGACCTGGAGGAGACGGATACCGAAGATTCCAGCAAGAAGACGCGCAAGAACCCAAACATCACCCTGTGGTCGCAGGTAAGAGCTGTGTTCGGAAGCTGGATCAACCTCTTGCTCGTGTTTGTCCCGGCGGGCATCGCTTTGCACTTCTCCGGCGTGAACAGAGTGGTGGTGTTTGTTATCAACTTCATCGCCATCATTCCCCTGGCTGGGATGCTCGCCTACGCCACCGAGGAACTGGCCCTGTACATCGGAGAGGTTCTCGGCGGATTGCTCAACGCCTCCTTCGGAAACGCCGTGGAGCTCATCGTCGGTGTCATCGCGCTCGCCCAGGGCAAGATCCTGATTGTCAAGACTTCGCTCATCGGCAGTATGCTCTCCAACCTACTCCTGGTCCTGGGCATGTGTTTCTTCTTTGGGTACGTACCTTGGTTTAATCGCAGCGCTGGTGCGCTGGCGGCACTTGTCGTTTCTACGAGCAGCAGCTTCGTGCACGTGATGCACTCACGTGACACGTCACCTCTTACGAGACTTTGCTAACACAATGTTTACAGAGGCCTCCGTCGTGTCGAGCAGTTCTTCAACGTCACCGTCGCGCAAACCGCCGCATCCCTCCTCGCTCTCGCTACCGGCAGTCTCATCATCCCCACTGCGTTCAAGATGTTCGCCTCGAACGACAGCGGAGTCGCACCAAGCTCCCGCGGCACTGCAGTGCTCCTGCTTGTTACATATGCATGTTACCTGTACTTTCAGCTCTCCACTCACTCGGAAATGTACAATGCGCCCTCCGCGAAGTCGCCCAAGAAGCCCTCCGGCCGCAAATCCGAAGGAGACGCCAAGCGCGCATTTGCCACGATCGGCGGTCGATCGGCGGGCACCTCCGGTGGCCAGGTCAACCAAGAGAACCTGGTCCACGACGAGGAGAAAGACGATGGCGAAATTCCGCAGCTCACTCGTCTCGGCGCCCTCATCACCCTCGCCGGCACCACCGTACTTGTGGCCCTCTGCGCCGAATTCATGGTCAGCGCTATCGATGCTGTTGCTGGCTCTGTATCACCGGAGTTCATCGGTCTGATCCTTCTGCCCATCGTCGGCAATGCCGCCGAGCACGCTACGGCCGTCACCGTCGCCATCAAGGACAAGATGGATCTCGCGATTGGCGTCGCAGTCGGCTCCAGTCTACAAATCGCCCTGCTCGTCTTGCCGCTCATGGTCATGCTGAGCTGGTGGGGCGTTGGAGCCGGCAAGTCGCCTGAGCCGATGACGCTGAGCTTCGACGGGTTCCAGATTATCGTGTTGTTTGTTGCGGTTATTGTGGTGAACTACTTGATCCAGGTGAGTGACTTCTCTCCAAACGGCAGTATCTGCGAAATGTGGATGCCACGGACGTATGCTGACCCCCTGTAGGATGGAAAGTCCCATTGGTTGGAGGGCGTGATGTTGCAGATCACCTACCTAATCATTGCACTCTCGGCATGGTTCTACCCTGTCTCAGCAGAGCTGGCTTAGAGGCCCAAGACGAGGCAAAGAGCATGAAGGAAGTGGAGGAGACACATCATGGCGAAGTGCTGCATCATGGGACACTAGGGAGTTTTGTTTCAAGGGAAGAAGCATTTACGACATGATACCCGTACACCACAGTGTCTAGTTCTTTACAACGATTGATCCAAGCGCCCATTGCCGTTCCCGTAACAAAATTCAGCGTCGGGGGTTGGTTTGCATCGAGTGAAGTTGTTCCTATCAAAAATTGAAGCCTCAGGCCTGAAAATCTTAGTCAGCCGTCTACGCCGGCCAGACGTACGCTCTCGTAGATTCATTCATCCATCCACCCATCCAGCCATCAATCAATAACATGAGCATTACGCTGTAATGTGCGGAGAAGGGTCCAGAAGGGCTCCCTCCGCACTCGTACAAGCGTGTTATACTGTTCGATAAGCTTGCTCGGCCACGCTCACTTCCCTTCCCCCTCACGATTCCGACAGTCAGTCAAAGGGATTCTCACCTTCATTGGCCTTACTGGCGCTTCTCAACGGTAAGGTCTGACTGGCGTATCCTAGTGGTGGGTATCTGAGGACCGCCGACCTGACTATGGGACTCGAGAACGCTCAATCCGTCCGCCGTACGGATGGCCACGTGGGTCAGTTACGAATGTCCGTCACAGTCGACGGTGCAGCATCAGCGGCTCTTCAGCCGCCCAGCTGGCGCTTCTCAGTGGGAAGGTCTGATTGGGAAGCCCTACTGATGGATGTCTGACCATCGCCAACCTTAAGAAGGGGCGCGAGATGCGCCCCATCCGCCCGTCGTATGGATATCCCGGGGTATTGCTACATTGGCCATGCATACCCTGTTTGCTTGGGCGGTACAATGACGAATGAAACCAACTGGCGTCTCTCGGTACAATGTCTGGATGAAAACTGTACTGGCGGGTATCTAAGGACCACCAATCTACCCAAAGGACCTGGAGAGCGCACCATCTGGCCCCGGTACCGATATCCAAAAAGTATCTCGTCCCTTCAAGATGCATAGACTGTTTGCGTAGCTAGCACCGTAACGAAGGTCGTCAAAGTCGGGGGTGCAGGAACTGCACCCACTGACGGCAAGGCTGAGTCGGTTGCCGACTGTGGGCTGGATGAACTCGATTCTTCACCTTGCCCTCCCCCAGTACTACTCGATCCATCACTAAGAGACACCCACGCAGCCTTGATGATATCCGCCGCCTGCGAGCAACAATCAGTCAAAGGCACAGAATTTCAGTGAGAGCAGAACGCACCTTCTCCGCCACCCCATAAACCACCGCCTGCAAATGCGCTGCCGGCAACATTGGCATCACACTCGAGTCCACCACTCGCAGATTGCGCGTTCCGTACACCAGCAACTCCGGACTCACCACCCCGCCCAACTCGAACGGCATCATAGCACACGTGCCCGCAGGATGGTACTCCGTCTGCAACTTGGTGTCGATCCACGTCTCCACCTGCGCCTCAGTGGCACCTGGCTGAGGATATACTTGCACCGGCTCAAGAGTCGACAGGCTTGGGGTTGAAAGTAGGCGTGTGTTGAAGGCTATCGCGGCCTGCAGAATGGAGATGTCAAGCGGGTTACTGCCGTAGCGGGGATCGATGATGGGTGGGGTGAAGGGATCGGAGGAATTGAGCGTCACGCTGCCCCGCGAGAAGGGTCGCATGTTTGCCACGCTTAGCACGCCGTCGTTTCCGTTGAGGATTTCAGATACGGCGCGGGTGGAGTCTGAGAGAGCGGATGTTAGGAGGGTGTGCTGTGCTGCGTAGCCGGCTAGCATGGATGAGTCGAGGTTGGATGGCAGGTATTGGGACGTTGATTGTGCCGACGCGGTGGAAGAGAGGGCATTAGAGCCATTGTTTAGAGCCGGGAGGGAGGGAAAAGCGACGCCGTCGACTGCTGCTGCCGTGTATGGCCCTGTGCGGTTCTCCCAGTACTCGGTGAGGGCGTCGGTGGCGAAGGTGATGTTGTTCGTGAGCTCGGTGGGGTTGGGGAAGGAGGCGTTGGTGTAGGGATACCAGCACCAGACGCGACCGTGGTCCTGAAGATTCCCTCCGACTCCTGGGAGGTCCGTGTTGACGGGAATATCCAGATCTTGGAGAGCCGCCGCCGGACCGATGCCAGACAACAGAAGCAACTGGGGCGAATGCAATGCACCGGCAGCTACGATGACTTCTCGGTTGGCAGACACGCTTTGTCTTTCGCTGTGCGCATTCGCGGCGAATTCGACTCCAGTCGCCACCAGGTTGGGTGCAGGTTGACTACTCGAGGGTGTCTGGCGCTTCGTGAGGAACCTCTTCACTAGCAACCACAAAGGATGATGGACGTGGCGCTTCACGCGAGGCGTGGCGGCGGTAGCAGCGCTGGACGCATTCTGCGTCGTTGCTCCGCCATATATGCCTCCCGGTATACCAGGGGAGTCGCCTTGGCCGATTGATGCGTCGCCTGGAGTTGTGGCAGAAGCATTGGAGTTGGCGGAGTTGTTGGCACTGCAGTCACACGGGAAACAGTCAGCTTCCGACACACCAACATGATCAAAGAGGACCTCACAAAAGAATCTGCGTCACCACCAGTCCCGTACTAACCCACAGGTTCGACCTCCCCGCATACGGAAAGTAGTACGCCTTCGCCGCGTCCGACCGCTCTTCCGTCACCGGATCCAAATCCAGCGGCAGAAACGAAGCACCCGCAACCCAACCAGTGTTCGGATCAAAAGCAGTCGGCACGCCCGCTTCATTGAGCGCGCTGAACAGCACCGCGCTCGAATTCCAGAAATAGCGCGGATAGCTGACATTCACGGGCCCGGAAAAGCCATGCACAGGCGCGTACTCCTGGATGGAAAACTGCGCCGCGAGCTCCGCATTGGCTCCAGGCGTGAACGTCTCGCTGCGCATAAAGTACGGCAGCAGATCATCCCAGCTCCAGCCTTCGTTGCCTAACGCCACCCAATCCGCGTAATCGCCTTGTCCGCCGCGGTTCCAGAGCATGCCGTTGATGATTGTGCCCCCGCCAAGAACGTGGCCTTGGGGTATACTCCGCGGAGCACCGTCGAGGTAGATCTGAGGGACGGTGGAGAGGTTCCAGTCGTAGGGCCCCCCGATGTCGTCACCTATTAGCCCTGGCAGTTCGGTTTCGGGGGAGTTGTCGGATGCCGGGCCCGCTTCGAGGAGAAGGACGGTCACGCTGGGGTCTTCCGATAGGCGATTTGCTACTGTGAGGCCAGCTGGACCGCCGCCTACCACTGGTGGGAGTCAGCGATGAAGCGCCGAGGAAACGAGTGGGCCATTACCGATGTAGTCGTAGCTCGGCAGCAGGGGTGCGTTGAGTGGTAGGGCGAGAACGACATCCTGGAGCAGAGATAGGAGGGCGAAGAGGAGGGCGAGGAGGAGCAAATGAGAGTGTGAGCCGGGCATGGCATCCGAGGGTGTCCGGACAGGTGACCGGCAGAGAAGAAGGCGAAGGTGGTTGCAGTAGAGGATGATGGTGGGATCGAGAGCAGTAGACTCAAGCACCTGGCGTTTCTCGCCGTTGGTAGCTGCGGAGGCGAGCACGACTGGATGGCCCGCGCTGGCAAAGAAGGAGCGAATGCCTGTGTCATATGACGAATCGTCGGGCACACGAGGAAACGGCGAACTGGAGCACGCAAGTACGGGATGTGTTCTTTTCGGCCTCATTCTTGAGCTCAGAGGAATACTACAAGCACGTGCGGTAAGTCGCCTTTCACTTAAGGAGAAGTGATAGAGAAGTGATAGAGAAGTGATAGAGAAGTGAAGGAGAAGTGAAGGAGAAGTGAAGGAGAAGTGAAGGAGAAGTGAAGGAG